TCATTCTAGGTCTCCCCTGGCTTCGCAAGATCAACCCTCAGATCGATTGGCGCAAGGGCACCTTGGAGATTCCTCCACCTCGTATCTCCAGCGTCACCATCGAAGAAGTCCCCGACGAGGATGCTCAACCCCCCCGAAAGGAGCCACCCTCCGGCAATGCTATTATCGAACAGATCTACAACGACCCTGATCCGCCTGTTCCTACCAACGAGTCCCCGGCGTCCGACCCCGACTTTGAACCAAGCGCGCCTCCTCTCTGCCGCATCCGCGCTAACCGAATGACCCGGCGGAGATGGGTTCGTAAGGGGTTGATGGGAAGACACAGGCGACGAACTTTGGTGCGCCGCTGGTTTCACCTATTCCCAACAGATCGCCGAGAAGTCCCAGAAGGCCAAGCCCCAGAAGTCGTTCGAAGAGATGGTTCCTCCCCAGTACCGACGAGCACGCCTCCGTCTTCTCCGAATCCGAGTCCCATCGCCTCCCCGAACACAAGCCTTGGGATCATGCCATCGACCTCGTTGCAGGAGCACCGGCCACCATGCGCACCAAGGTCTACCCCATGTCGCAGAACGAGCAGGAGGAGCTGAACCGATTCCTCGAGGAGAATCTCAAGAAAGGCTACATACGACCGTCTAAATCGCCCCTCGCCTCCCCGGTCTTCTTCGTTAAGAAGAAAGATGGCAAACTCCGCTTCGTCCAGGATTATCGAAAGCTCAACGAGATCACGGTGAAGAACCGATATCCACTTCCCCTCGTCTCTGACATCGTCAACCGACTCCGTGGTGCCAAGTATTTCACCAAGTTCGACGTTCGATGGGGCTACAACAACATCCGCATCAAAGAAGGAGATGAATGGAAGGCCGCGTTCGCCACCAACCAAGGACTCTTTGAGCCCCTGGTCATGTTTTTCGGCCTCACCAATTCCCCAGCAACGTTCCAGGCCCTCATGAACTCGATATTCTCGGACCTCATCGCTTCAGGAAAGGTCGCTGTTTATTTGGACGACATTCTCATCTTCACGGCCACCCTTGACGAACACCGCCAAGTCGTGCACGAGGTCCTCCATCGGCTCAAGAAACACGACCTCTACCTTCGTCCGGAGAAATGCGAGTTTGAGCGGGAGGAGATCGAGTACCTCGGTCTGGTCATCAGGGAGGGAGAAGTCCGTATGGACCCTGCCAAGGTAGAAGCTGTTCGCAACTGGCCTGTTCCCCGCAACCTTCGCGCCGTCCGTGGATTTTTGGGTTTCGCCAACTTCTATCGCCGTTTTATCAAGGGACTTTGCTACCATCGCCCGGCCTCTCAACGATCTCACCAAGAAGGACATCCCTTGGCAGTGGAACGAACCGCAACAACAAGCCTTCGATACCCTCCGAAACGCGTTCACCTCCGCTCCAATACTGACACTATGGGACCCCGACCGTCCAACCCGCGTTGAAGTAGACGCCTCTGGCTTTGCTACTGGAGGAGCCCTCCTTCAGAAGCTCGACGATGGACTCTGGCATCCTGTTGCCTTCCGCTCCGCCTCCATGCAACCAGCCGAACGCAACTACGAAATCTACGACCGAGAAATGCTGGCTATCATCGAAGCACTCAAGGACTGGCGACATTTCCTGGAAGGACTCCCCAAACCGTTCGAGATCGTCACCGATCATTCCAACCTGGAATACTGGCGCACGGCACAAGACCTTAGTCGACGACAGGCCCGGTGGTCCCTCTATCTTTCCCGTTTCAACTTCACGCTCACCCATCGTCCCGGAAAGGCCAACACCTCAAGCCGATCCCCTGTCCCGCCTCGACATTCATCAGGTCGCAGACGCAGAGGATAACAAACAACAAGTCGTTCTCAAACCAGAATTGTTTGCCAAGCTCGCAGCCGCCCACACCGTCCTTGCCAACCCCCTCGAAGACCGACTGCGTCGAGCCAGCGCCCGTGAATCTCAGGTCTTAGACGGACTCGCCCAGCTCCGTAAGTCAGGACCTCGCCGTCTCACATCTGGACTTCCCGAATGGGAAGAGGACAACGGCCTTGTGTACTACAAGGGCCGTGTGTACGTACCCCCGGACGACGAACTCAGGCGCGATGTCCTCAAGCAGTGTCATGACGACCCCACGTCCGGACACCCCGGAGTGCACGGAACCCTCGAGCGAGTTGAACGACAGTACTGGTGGCCCACGATGCGGGCTTTCGTCAAGAAGTACGTCGACGGTTGCGATGTCTGCGCCCGGAGAAAGCATACCCAGCACCCGCGGGCTGCCACCCGGCCTTTGGACGATTCCCGAAGGGCCTTGGGAGAACAGTAGGAGTCGATCTCATCACCCAGTTACCGGAAGCCCATGGACACGACGCGATCATCGTCTTCACCGATCACTACAGCAAGGTTCTTCATGCTCTCCCCTGTACATCCGACATCACCACCGAAGGCGTTGCAGACATCTACTACCGTGAAGTATTCCGTCTCCATGGTCTCCCACTCCGGTTCATCAGTGATCGAGGCCCTCAGTTCGCTTCTAAGGTCATGCGCACCCTCCTCAAGCGTCTCGGAATCGAGTCCAACCTCACCACCGCCTATCACCCTCAAGCCAATGGACAAACCGAACGGGCCAACCAGGAAATCGAGAAGTATCTCCGTCTTTACGTCTCTCGCCGACAGGATGACTGGGACAAGCACCTACCGATGGCTGAATTCGTGATCAACTCCCGCGTCCACTCTGCCCATGATCGTTCACCTTTCGAAGTTCTCTATGGGTATATTCCCCACTTCAACATCCCCATTGGCAAACGGACCGACCTTCGCCCCGTTGATGAACGTGTTCAGCAGCTACAAGAAGCCCGCAATGGATGTGGAAGCTGCCTTACGTCTCGAGAAGGCCCAGCAGAAGGATGCGTACGAGTCCGGCAAGCGAACGGCTCATCAATTCAAGGTTGGCGACTACGTTTGGCTTAACGCGAAGGACATCCAGATCAAGGTTCCGTCCCGCAAACTCGGCGACCTCCAACTCGGCCCGTACAAGATTACCGAACGCATCGGCGACCTCGACTACCGCCTCGAACTTCCCCCGTCCCTCTCCCGCATTCATCCTGTGTTCCACGTCGACAAGCTCTCCCCCTGGAAAGGCAATGATGTCAATGGCATTTTGCCACCCCCGCCTGAGCCTGTCGAACTGGAGGGGGAGCTTGAATACGAGGTTCACGACATCCTGGACAGCCGTTGGAGAGGTCGAGGAAAGAATCGCAAACTGGAGTATTTGGTCAGTTGGAAGGGTTATGGGTCGACGGACGACACTTGGGAACCGGAGGAGAACTTGGAGCACGCGCCCGAGATCGTGAAGGAGTTCCACCAGCGACACCCCTCTGCACCACGCCGAATTTTCCGCTACATCTTCAGCTCTCTCCCATGGCGCCCACTCGAGAATTTCACCGACGCCCCCGCCCTACGACTTTGACTGGGAACTGGGACGCCGCCTACCGTTGGTCATCGAGGACGATGAGGCTTAGAAGGGGGGTAATGTCGTGAACAGCCGGTACAGCCCCTATTTTTCACTTTATCTTTATCTGATCTGTCTCGCATCTTATCGTTTCGCTTGCCCCTATTCCTTCGCTCCTTTATTCCCTCTATGGACTCTTTCACTCATGGAACACTGCCTCGTATTACCCTTCGCCCCACTTCCATTGTTCTTATTGTTACGCACTGCCTCTTGACTCATTCTGACACTCTCTTGTTCCATTATTGTTTCATCCTTGTTCTTCGCGCAGCCTTCGCGCAGCCTCATGACCTTTCTTATTGTTCTTCGACGTTTCGCCATTTGTTTGTCATTTTGACTCATCGCGGCTATGTAGACTGTAGAATAGGTATATAAGCTAGGTATGTCAGGGCTCGTGCAACCGCCGGGTCTTCATACGTACAACTACACCCTTCCTTCACCCTCAACACCATTCGATATTATTATTCGTATTTTCTTTCTTATACATTTTATTCGTTATACCCACTTTATTTCAGCCCGCCGGTTCCTCTCTTGACTTTGACGCGCGACGTTCTCGGAGCGTGGGAAAGGTCACGAGAATTCGAGCCAGAAATTGTCCAGTTTCTCGTGACTTGCAATCACGTGATCTGGCGCGCGCGCGCGGCCTCGCGGCTGTGCCGGAACTCTCGGATCCGCCGGATAATCCTGTGGACTTTAGACGCGCGCTTGGCAAGCTGTCAAACGGGTCTCGTATTGTGTATTCGAAGTATGTTTTATTCTGTCATTCTTCTATTTCTTATTCCGCCGTGCCATTATTCTTTCTTGCTTCTATTTCTCGACACTTGATTTCTAGTTCGCTCAGAATGACTCTTTCGTACGAACGTTCTTGCTTGGATTTTATCCGCCGGGTTACGATTGGTAGTTGTAGTCGTTCTCGAGTACTCTAGATTTTCTTGTGTACGATTTCGTCTTTCTTGTTCTAGTTCTCGACTTGTTCTTTCCCTCTTGGACTTCGTCATTTCGTCTCGATTCGCCCGTAGATTCCCCGCCGGTATTTACTATAAGTACTATCTCAATTTGTAGTAGGTACCTCATCCGGAATCTCGACTAGGTTCATACGCTTCGAATCTCTCAGTCTAAGTTCCTCAGTCAAACTCTCTCTCATCGTCTTCGACCGTCGAGCCTCAGCTCCAGTCGCCTCACACTCTCGTCCCTCCGCCGGAAGGCGTTCCCGTCTGGTCCTTCGGCCTAGCCAGCCTTTGGAGCCGTGACGAAGGGTACACGTTCTTATAACGTGAGACCAAGGCTACCCTCCGCCCTCCTACGTCCCTCTCTCCTCTCTCTCTGTATCCGACCCTGACAAGGTAGTCTGCTCTGTATTTCCTCAGCTTGACCTCTTCGTCAATACATCGCTTCCGCCTTCATCTGCATTCGTCGCTCATCGCTCTTATCTTACTCGCCGCTCTTATCTGCTCCGCATTACTGGTCTTTGGTTTGGTTTAGTGTTCGCTCTTCGCGACACTATCCGAATACACCTAAGACTTTGCATAGTCCCTGTACCACCGAAAGACATCTGGAATACCTGCGGAAGACTCTTCCCACTTTGAGGGGTAGGGGAACGCAACGCCCGCCGCTTCGAATAACCGTTCCCGCCAAAAATACGCCATACAATAGCGCTCCCCGTTAACCTGAGGCACACCATGAGGAACCAACTTTCCCAGCAATGCGACCACACACCCAGGGTTATACGTCCACTTCCGATTGAACGAAGGTGTCTCGAATACGCCATTCGAATAATTGCCGCCGGTAAGAAGTATATCCAACCCCTGCATCGGCCCACTGGTATCTCGGTGAATGGGAGTTTTGCGATTGACGATAAGGGATAGGGAGCTGAAGGGGGAGAACCATATTTCAATGATCTTAGATACCGTAGCGTGGTCCTTGGTGAGTTTTGAATTGGAATATAGCTCCTTCAAAACCTTCACGCCCGATTCGAATAAGGGTTGGTTGATCTGCGAGAGTATAGCCCCAATGACTGCCGAAGCAATCGGGATATCCTCCAAGAACTGCTGGCCCTCTCCGTCGGGTGTCTTCAACGTCGCCGCTGGACCGGGAAGTTGTTTCTGTGTTCTCTGCGTTAGATTGAAAGCAACGCCGGACGGGCCCGCGGACGCACCTCATGACCTACAGGCCACCACGCTGGGGCGAATGTCAACACGCCGGGGCTCATGTTGCACTTCTCCTTCCTGAAGAAATCCGATGCTTCTCTCCAGTTACCCACCAGCCTCTCCTGACCTTCACCCTGCTGTTTACCCTTCCCCTTCGCCTTCTGTCTCTCTAGCCTCTCCCTTTCACCTTCCCTGGCCTTCCTCTTTTTGTCTAATTGACCATCTTCTGTACTCGCGAGCGTTCCAACAGCCGCATCGAGTATTGCCTGCAATTGCACAGTCAGCAATGTCTACCGACCGGGCCATGAAAGACTGTAATACCATTACCGCGGGGGATATGCAACTAGGGAGGTAGCAGAAGACAATGTGGTCCTCTGCGTCGACGATCATGGCAGGAAGAACCTCCTGTACCGGCCCCTCGCTACCGAGGTTGTCCCCTGGAGGAAATTCCTTTAACATTACTCCTTCGCGCGCGGCGTTGCGCCCATCCTGTCGAGGGGTAAGCTCCGACATATAGCGCTGAGCCGTCCAAGGAACACGATCTAAAGGATTGCCATGTCACCGTCAGCTTACCTAGGATAAAACAAGTGCTGTGACTTACATCTTCGTCGGTATGCCTTTTCTAAAACATAGGCCGCTTGCCATAGGGCTGTCCGCAGAATCGGGTTCGCCTTTATGCTGTCGTCGTCGATGTGTATGTAGGGACTGCCTGTCCTAATCCCATGTATCATCCGCCCAAGCACAGCCGCGGCCTGCTCAATCAGAACCAAGGCAGGAACCATACCCTCATCCGGCGAGGGTTCTGAGGTTGGGAAATGTGAGGGGGACATGGACAAGTGTTGTCCAGTCTCCACAATCGGATGAACTAAGGGCATTCCGCGGGGAAATTAAACCCACATTCACCGATCATTCGGATGGCATGTCCGCCGGACCCTGAACCCCAGCACAGTCGCTTCTTCACTTACCACCACCATCTCGACGATGACGAAAACCAAAGGTGAATGACTTTCTCCCTTGCCCAATGATACTTACATAGTATATAGGTCGTGGAGGGAAAAGGTCTAGGGCGAATCGTACTTGGAAGGACGATGACGCGGGCGGTGAACAGTCAGAGAAATCCAAGGCCGCGGAAGCAAATTATGGTACGTCCCTTCCCAGCGTTGTCGTTCTTAGGCTACATCCTCACCACGCGCGCGAAGTGGCCAGCGCAGGTATCAGTACTGGCGACAAAGCTGGGGGGCCGTCGCCAACCTTCGATACAGAGCGGTTAGCGGAGGAGTATGATGTGGCGGGCAGTTCAGTCGCAACTTTGGGCAAACCCGCGGACCGATTGCCTACCCTCGACACGGCGGCTTTAGCGGAGGAGTACAACATTGGGAGCAGCCCTCCAAAGCTCCCGCAAACTGCTGTGGACACTGCGTTATTGGCCGCGGACTATGACGTTTGCAGCAGCCCATCGATCAGCGCCGCGAAGTACGATACTGCCGCCCTAGCTGCCGATTACCATGTCGGTACCTCACAGCAAACAGGAATAACAGCTGAAGGACCCAAATCCCCAATCGATTCTTCCGCGGCCGCCTTGGGAGAGACATCTGACAACTTGAACACCAACACTGCTATCCTCGCTAGGGAATATTTTGACGATCCAGTTCACGCAGAAATTCCTTTGATGTGGGACCCCTTCATGTACCAGGAGAATGCTGAGGATTTTGCCTTGGATGACTTTCGCCAATCTTCTGTGGTAAGTTCCCTATCTTCTGCTTCACTTTTTTTGACTTCATATTAACTGCCACCCTAGGCTGCAAGTGATGATGAGATGGATGGAGGGGAATGTAGTGATGTTACCCTGGTCGGTATTCGCGCCAGATGTCGGGAGTCACTATGGACTCCTATATCGCAGAGAAATTGACAGTGCAGGCTGACCCTTTATACATGGGGAGGACAATCTGTCAGCTGGTCAGGTCAAGCCATCAACATGGGCTTTTTGCACCGTCAGGTATACCATATAAGATGGGTAAATGTACTGAAAGCACTGGTATTCGATCTCCTGACGTTCGAACTCGCACTTCTCTGGCCGGAGGTACAGATCGTGCTCCTTGAGGCGATGCAGAACTTCGTGTACAACTTGTCGGTGCTCGTCAAGTGTAGCCGTGAAGATGAGGATGTCGTCCAGATATACCGCAACCTTTCCTCCAGCAATGAGGTCCGAGAAGATCGAGTTCATGAGAGCTTGGAATGTCGCCGGGGAGTTGGTTAGGCCAAAGAACATGACGAGTGGTTCGTAGAGTCCCTGGTTGGTGGCAAACGCGGCCTTCCACTCATCTCCTTCCTTAATCCGGATGTTGTTGTAACCCCAGCGAACATCGAATTTCGTGAAGTACTTGGCACCGCGGAGTCTGTTGATGATGTCGGAGACGAGGGGGAGGGGGTAGCGGTTCTTGACGGTGATCTCGTTGAGCTTGCGGTAGTCCTGAACGAAGCGGAGCTTGCCATCCTTCTTCTTGACGAAGAAGACCGGGGAGGAGAGGGGAGACTTGGAGGGTCGAATGTACCCCTTCTTGAGGTTCTCGTCGAGGAACCGATTAAGCTCTTCCTGCTCGTTCTGAGACATGGGGTAAACCTTGGTGCGCATGGTAGCCGGGGCTCCGGGGATCAGATCGATGGCGTGGTCCCAGGGTTTGTGTTCGGGTAGGCGATGCGACTCGGACTCGGAGAAGACGGAAGCGTGTTGGCGGTACTGCGGGGGAACCATCTCCTCGAAAGTTTTTGGGGGTTTGGCTTTCTGAGACTTCTCGGCAATTTGTTGGGAGTAGGTGAATCCTGCAGCGCACCAAAGTTCGTCACCCGTTTCCTCGATCAACCCTGCTCGTAGCCATTTCCTGCGAGTAGTTCGGTTGGCACTGATGCGACAGAGGGGTGGTCCGACCGGTTCTGGTTCTGGTTCAGGAGCAGGGCTGGGGCTGGGAGTGGGGAGTACCGGAGAAGGATCAACCGTGGTATCAATCTGTTCCAGGATGGCATCGCCAGAGGGAGTCCCTCGACTGGGAGGGTGCGCATCCTCGTCTGGAATCTCCTCGATCGTGACACTAGAGACTTTGGAGGGGACCTGGAGGGTGCCGTTGCGCCAATCGATAGTGGGGTTGATCTTTCGAAGCCAGGGGAGCCCAAGGATGATGTCCTCGCCTCCCAGATCGGCGATAAGGAAGTCGGTCCATTCAGAGTGACCATCCACCGTGAGTTCTAGCCGTGCGAAATGTGTGATATTGCCGGACTGGTTAGGGGTACCATCGATGTTGAGGAGTCGGATGGGATGTCGGAGAGGGAAGGTGGTGATGTTGTGTCGATCGACAAAGGGTCTATCCAGGAACTTGCCTGTCGCCCCACAGTCGATCATGGCCGCGGAGTTGGTACTGCGATTTCTGCCTCTGAGCCTCACGTTCACGCGAAAGTGTGACGAACGGGGGTTTATTTCGCGAATCGAGCTAATAGTACATGAACGGATGGAGTCATATTCAGAAATGGCGTACGGAGGAGCAAAGGGTGCCTGCGTTGCGGCAGGGACGGGCACCCGTTTCAAAAAACCCTGATGGAGCCTCTGGAGTTGAGCCAGGATGTCGAGTTGTTGTTGTTGAGTGGCAGAGAGAGAGGCGAGGCTTGGGGCGGGGGCAGGAGGCGTGGCAGGAGTGGTGGCGGCAACGGTGGCAGTGGCAGCAGGGGCGGGTTCATCAAAGAGGGAGAAGGGTGCTTCCTGGGTAGCGGCGACACGGCGACGCGGAGGTCGAGAGAGCCCTCGTCCAGGTGGGAATCCCATGTATTTGTCCTGGCAGACGGTGGCCGCATGTCCCATACGCTGGCAGTAGTTGCAGCGTAATGCCCCATGATTCCCATCCTTCTTGTTGTGACTGGTGGACCCACAGCCGAAGCATCGACCGCGCATGGCATTGAGGAAGTCCTGGTAGGTCTTGCCACTAGGGCCGGGTCGGGTAGCGTCGATCTCCATTGCGTACGGATCACGAGCGGGGGCGGGAGTGGGAGCGGGAGCGTACTGAGCCAGGGAGGTGCGGGACGAGTTGGGGTTCATGTTCCGCATGACGAAACTCGTTCTTGATGGCTTGAGCGACAAGTTCCTCCAGGTTGGCAGGTTCCTTGATGAGATTGCTGAGGGCGAGCCAGAGAAGGTGTTCCTGGGAGAGCTTCCTCTTGAAGCGAGCCATTCCGTCCGAATCGGATAAATTGGTGCGCGAAAAGATGTCGACGAAGCGAGAGGCGAAGTCGGCTACAGTCCCTCGACCAAGAGTGAGCTGTTCAAGCTCCTGGAGGGCAGCCTGGGCGTCGTTGGCGGGTTGGAAGTGTTGCTTGAACTCGGTGAGGAAGTTAGCCCACTTTCCCCCAGCGAAGGGCCAAGGCTTGGTCTTATCGGCATCGTGATCGGCGATCTGTTGGAGGAAGCGAGATGCCCATCGACCAGCTTCTCCATGCATGTATGAGAGGGCCGTGGAAATCCATTCCTTGTCATCTCGAGTGCCGTCGTCCTTCTTCAACTGGGGTTGGTGTCCGGCCCAATTGGTAAAGAACTGGAGGAAGCGTCGGGCGTCTTCAGCCTTGCCGTGGAAGGGCTCAGGCGCCTTGACCGGGCTCTTGCTAGAGGCGGTTTTGGCGGGCTGTAAGGTGGCTGACCAGGGTAGAAATGGCGGCGGTGAGCTGGTTTTGCTGTTCCTGGAGTTTTGCAAGATCGGCGGCGGACATCGTGACAGGGGAAAGGGTGGAAGAGAGTTGACCAGGGTAGAAATGGCGGCGGTGAGCTGGTTTTGCTGTTCCTGGAGTTTTGCAAGATCAGCGGCGGACATCGTGACAGGGGAAAGGGTGGAAGAGAGTTGAGAAGTGGTTGAAGTAGAAGGTACGATGTCTGAGCGTTGAGCGTCAGATGAAACCTCCTCCTTCTGGGGAATAGGGCCGGGGAGGGGAGAACGGATCGGTTGCTTAAGCGACGGACGTGGGGTAGTGGAGCCGGAGCCGGAGATGCGGTGATGAGTGATAACGGGTGCGGAAGTAGTGAGTTTAGCGAGGGCGGCGTCGAGGGCTAGTGCGGGTGACGGTTCAACGGGGGTTTGTGGGGTGGGAGGGGTTTACTGCGGTTTCCTGGGTGTCGGATTCTTCGGACGAGTCGGTGGGTAAAGCGTAACCCTTGGCAGTCTTGGCGGTAGGCGCAGGGGAAGATTCGGCAGAATGAAATGCTTGCGGGGATTCCTCGGGTAGAGGTTGATCAGTGGCTAGTGTTGGGTCGATGGATGACAAAGTGCGGCCTAAACTCGCAGGGCGGAATCTTGACGGTGAGAGGGAACCAGAGTTGCCAGAATGAGACCTGATCGGCAGGTCAGCCAGGGTGCCAGGGGAGCCGGAATGCAGGGACAACGATCGGCGTTGCCGGTGCACAGAGGTAGCTTGACCTAATGTTGCGAAGAGCGGACACTAAATAAACCTAAGACCAGATGTGCGGAGCGGATAAAAGCGCGGAGTGAGATAAGAATGATGAGCGACTGATGCTGATGAATGCTGAAACGGTGTATTGACGAAGAGGTCAAGCTGAGGAAATACAGAGGGATCTACCTAGCTTATATACCTATTCTACAGTCTACATAGCCGCGATGAGTCAAGATGACGAACGGATGGTGAGATACAAAAGAACAATAAGGAGAGTCACAAGGCTGCGCGAAGAACGAAGAAAACAATAACGGAGTGACGAGGCAGTGCAAGAATGGAGAGAACAATAAGATGTAGGGCGAAGGGCATAACGAGGCAGTGTTCCATGGGAGAAAGTGTCCGTGTCGAGAATAAGGGCAAAAATGAGAATAAAGAGAAGGTGATAAGAGCGATGAAAGCGATAAGATAAGATAAGGAAAAATAAGGGCTCGTACTTGCTGTTCACGACAGAGATAGAAAGGAGTAAGTGGCCTCGGTAATTCTTTTCATTGCGAATCTCACTCGGTCTCGCTCATAGGGCTCGTTCTACCGGCCTACATCAACAGTATCAACGGTGTGCCTGTCCCGCTCAACGTCAAGACTCGCATCAAGAGATTCCAATCATCGGGCGCCCTTTTCGGCATGACTTCGAAGTTCATCGTGCTACAGGTGTTCATCAACCAAGGATACCGTAGCGTCTGTCACTACCATGCCGAAATCGACCACAGCATCGCCAAGAACGACGACAGCCGAAAGAAGTCCACCGGCGTCTACAAGCCCGTGGGGGAGAGTTGTGCCCCTGAAGAGCTTCGCCGGCTGATCCCAAAAAAGAAGCCTTCGTCGATCGAGGTGTTGGAGGGTGCTGTAGAGTGGCCAGAGAAAGGTCCTACCCAAACCTCCAACGGGTTGACCATGGACGATCTCCTAAAGTTCTACAGGAAGGTCGACGGTTGGTATTTCCTCACCTGTGGATGCCTATTAGACGACGTCCTCCTCGACTTTTATATCTGGAAGGCTCAGCAGTACATCCCCTCAATGTACGGACACGAGACGCCATTCGGAACCCCCATGGAACCTCGAGTTCGCACCTGGCTTTTCGCTTTCCTCAAATCGGAGATGGATATTTGCGTCGACAACCTTTACGCGTACGACGAGGATGGTGTCTATCGGTCGTGGGAGCGAAGATCGGTAATCCAGATCAAGAACATCTGGCACAGCCTCGAGCGAAAGGCTGCTCGGTCGATGGTCTTGGACGTGTTGAACCTGAAAGAGAAAGGGGCGGACTTGGAGCCATGGGAGTGGTCTGATAAGGATCGGAAATCTGAGCAGGAGGCGAGGAAGGCGTTGCAACGCGAGTGGGAGAAGGCGTCAAAAGAGGAGAGGGAGAGGGAGGAGCAAAGGCGGAAAGAGTTGGAAGAAGAAGACGCGTGGATGGACGGTGGAAAGGAGGAGGACGGGGAGCGGAAGAAGAGAAAGAAGAAGAAGAAGAAAAGCCGTGAGGAGGATGAGGGCGAGGGTAAGGAGAAAAAGAAGAAGAAGAAGAAGCGCAAGGCCTCTCGCTCGCCTTCTCCCAGCGACCCTTCGGGCTCAAGGCCAAAGAAGCGTAAATCCGACTAATTCTTTCGTATGGTTTTTTTTTTTTTTTTGCATAAATTTAATGTATTCAGATTATCGTACAATGTCATTTTTCGTTCTCTTGGACACTTGGTTGACTTAGAAGGAAAAACGAAGAAAAAGCTTCTGGGAGATGCAGTCACCTACACCCAGTCTCGTGAAACTGGACACGGATGGAAATTGGGTAGTACCCGGTGATCCAATACCGGGTGCAGTCTGACCAGAAGGTCCACTTGTGCCCCGTCGTCAGGACAGCCGATACCGGATGTCGAGTAAGTGACGTAGTCTTGGGTGACTGGCAGTCACTCATCGAAGGGGGACTTCCAGTCTCCCAAGACTGGATGCTTCGGTTTGTGGGACGTGATCCGGGCACCCAATACAGGATCCCACGAAAGTCACTTCCCATTGCCATGTACCTTCCGGTCCTGTGTGACTGGGAGTCGCTCAACGAAAGTCACTTCCCATCGCCATGTACCTTCTGGTCCTGTGTGACTGGGAGTCGCTCAACGAAGGACGACTCCCAGTCACACAAGACCCCAAGATCCACTTTTGGGGGACGTCACCCAAGAACTGGATGCTTCGGTTTGTCGGACGTGAACCGGGCACCCAATACAGGATCCCAGGAAAGTGACTTGCCGTTCCCATGCACCTTCCAGTGCTGTGAGACTGGGAATCGTTGGACCATTCAGAGTGCCAGTCTCCCAAGACTCCTAAAACTGGATGGTTCACCTTTTGAGGTATCTCTCAGTCGCCATCCGGGCACACTTGCCTTGGTATGTTAAATTAGTGATCATTACACCCAGTTTTGGGAGTCTGCCCCTACTGCGAGTACTACCAGAACTATAAACACCCGGGCACGCAATCCCTGATCCCTCACAGGTTGTTCTTTGATGTCTTTGATGTCTTGATTTGATGGTGTGTTATAAAACCTCTGACCTACCCGTAGGGGCTGCCGCGTCATACCTGTATGGTGTGATTAGACATACGTGTCATTCAACGGCTGCCCCCTCTACCGGGGATGTGAATATAGAGGCTGTAAAGGTTATATATTCTATGATTGTTTGGAACCGGAGAGATAAGATAAGATTACCGCCCACTGTAACTGTTGTTGCCATCAGCCGAAATTGATGATGGTGATGGCACCAGTGGCGATCGCGATGATGCAACCCGTTACATATCTTTGCTCATTCACCAGCACCGTTACCGTCTCTCTCCTACCTTTCATCTCTTCCCTTAACTCTCATACCAATGGCTAAAGTAAACCAAGAACTAGCTTTCAAGCTCTCAGACGGGACCTACCTCCCATGGGTCGCTTGGGGAAACGGAACAGGCGACGCAAAGAAGACGGCGATCGAGAGCGGGAAGATTGCGCTGGAGGCTGGGATCAGGCATATCGATACGGCTCAGTTGTACGAGAACGAGAAGGAGACGGGTATTGCGATTGAGACGTCTAAGATTCCTCGAGAGGAGGTTTATGTTACGTCGAAACGTGCGTTTAATTTCACTCTTCGTCCGTATGCTGAACTTGGGGTGCTGATTATGGCTTCTCGCTAGTATCACCAAAGGCGGATGACGGAAAGTACCCACCTGTGCCGCCGAGCGAAGTCAGAGATTCGATACAGGGGTCGTTGGACAGGCTGGGCTTCGTTCCTGATCTATACCTGATTCACAGCCCCTTCGTTCCCGAGCCTGGGCAACTGAAGGCTGTATGGAAGATCCTCGAGGATCTGAAGGACGAGGGCAAGTTGAAGAGTATTGGCGTTAGTAACTTCAGACCTCAGGACCTTGAAGCTATTTTGGATGGTGCTAAGCACAAGCCAGTGGTTAACCAAGTGCGTATGGACATGGTAGTCCTTTCCATGGTCTGCGATTAATCTCAATTTACAGTTGGAACTCCATCCGTATACCCTCGCGCACCTCGAGCCTCTCCTCGAGTTACAAGAGAAGCACGGTATCCTGACGACTTCATACGGCGCTCTTACACCCCTCCTTCGTCACCCCACCGGGGGTCCCCTCAAACCAGTCCTCTCAAATATCGCCGAGCGTCTGGCCAAGAAATACAATGCGCCTGACATCGATTCCTTGACTGTGCTGTTCCTGTGGGCTCGTGCTAAGAAGATTGGCGTCGTTACTGCAAGCGGAAACGAGGAGAGGATTAAGGGCCTTGCTAAGGTATACCACAGTTCATGGGAGTTGGATCCGGAGGATGTGGAAGAGATTTCGCGGGTTGGGAAGACAATTCATTTCCGTCACTATGTGAGTCAAAATGCTTCATTCGATATGGATGTACCCTGACCTACATAATCTCCGAATGTACAGCGAGAACATATGGAGAAGGACTTCCCTCTCCCCAACCTTCCGAGCCAGTAAACTCCGATAAAGATTTCGCTGTTTATTCACTAATAGACAGAATTGGATTCTGTATCATATACGCCTATTGAAAATCTACCCACCATAACGCTCCAGACAGGGCGCTTGCCTTGCCTGGGGTTACGTCAAGGATTCATCATGATTTGACGCTCGTTCCGTCCCCTCGCCCTTGCTCGAGGGTTCAATCCGTGAAGTGCGCCCCAATCCAACTGGACTAGGGCACCCCACACCCATCCACGTCGAGGATGTCCAAGGTCCTCAGAGATGGCCAATGTCGACGTGACCCTAACCTTAGGCTAGGGTTCCGGGATCAGTACCGCCGCGAGTGATTCTGTGCCAGCCTTTTTCGTTCGTGTCTCCATCGTCTTCTGACCAGACGACATATCTTTATTTACTTTTATACCATGGTATGCCCAGATGCTATTCTTTGTCACTTGAATCTGATCTCGAAACATTGAACAGGCAACCGTCAAGCCCTTGCGGAGGCATTGCGCCCCTATGTCTGTGAACACAATAACGAAGACAATAACGGATTCCTAGAACTTGACGTCTGTGGGCGCGCTTCTAGCAACCTCATAAAGATATGGGTCTGCAATGCTCTACCTACGAAACCCTCTCTTCCTTTCGCTCCTGCGGCCGTCCCAGCTTTTGAGAGGCTAGGAACTTACCCTCGTCTAAACTTGAACTAGAGGGATCAGAATCGACTTGCACCAGGTACGGGATCCACAGATTGCACTCGCTCTCTTTTTGAAATTGTCTGACGCGACACTCTAACACCAGACCCACCATTTATCGGCCAGGCATTCGCTATCGACTCGTAGACCCTGTCGGGCAAGCCATCACCAATACAACAACTCGTAGCCCAAACCATTCGCGACAGAGGCATCACGATGTCCAGATACACCTATCCGCAGCAACTGCGCCCCCTCCCTAACCAAGGACACATCCCCAGAGCACTTCCCATCCAAAAGCCCAACCCCAACCAGGTCCAGCGACCAGCTAACAGGAAGTCGTACTTCCAGATCATCCCAGCCATCGCCACCAGCATCCTCATCTCCATCATTACTCTATCGACGGCGTCGCTACCGATTATAATCAGGCCGTTTGCCCTCATCACCAGATGCATCAGCAGTTCGGGAGCATCGATTCTTTCTACTTTCCGACGACTCTGGGAGAGCGTCTCCAAGCCTAGGTCGAACTCAGTGGCACAGGAGACCCAGGCGGTTCCCCCACCGACATCCCATCCCCAGCAGCAGTCGAACGATGCATCCCACTCTCCCATCGACACTCCAGACCCAACCCAGAGACCTGCGTACCAAAAGAGTTCGAAGCCAATACCCACCCTCCAAAATCCCCCGTTCCGATTCAAATATCCCGTCCGTCAACATTTCAAACGTGTAGTGCCGCAAGCTCCGGCGTACGTCCCGCCACCACAGGCTCCGTCATCACCAGTCATGCCCAAAGGACGAGGCCAGGCGCTTCGTCGAGACAAGTCCCCGGTCACCGTCTTCCGAAACCCCAATCTACCCGTGCGGATGGAAATAATCGCCAGCCTCGAGGAAGACTACCAATTTAACCATCTCAGACCAGAAATTGAAGGAGTCTCCGATGCGAATGGCAGGCTCAACAAACCTACAGGGATCGAGCAGGGGAATCAAGGTTCCAGGAAACAGATCGTCGAGCAGAGATACCTTTGGCATGGTCCGGCTCAAGACCTCAAAAACGTCCTGGAGGAGCTTCCTCCTACAACCACATCACTTGTCATCAGAGACTGTGAGGTCGCCCTTGGCGACGTGTTTTGGATCCTCGCTCGGTGTCCTCATCTCGAGATACTCCATATTCAGGATATCGTGAACAAAGCCCCGATCCCCCACCTATCGGAACCTCACGGAAGACCCGGAAGCTCTGTGCGCTCATTGACTCTCACCTCCGAAGTCCCCCTCGAGCCTTTCTTTGAACGGCTGGCCCTTCATCAACTCGAAACTCTTTCCCTGCGTTTGTTTGGAGACGGAAACGCGACCGATTTCAAGTCATTTCTACACCCCAACTCCCCGCTGGAGTACCTACGACTTCGCGGGCACTTCTCGGACGAAACGGAGGGTCTAATCCGCCAGCTTTGCTCAGCACTACTCAAGGAGGTAACACCAGACATAGGGCACCTCTGTCGCTCGACGCGGCTGCGGCGCCGCCAGCGTTGAACGTTGAACATGCAGCCGGAAGTTGCTTGGAGGAGAGATGGAGTTTACCACCATTTCTAATCAATCATATGCATTTTTCGCCACGAATATTGCGACAGTCGCATGTGCCTACACTACACTACTATTTGAAGGATAGCATTGGCTCCAGTGAATCTCGTAGGGGACGGAATGGCTAGATTTGATGAAAGCTACCTCAACATGGTGAAACTTCGCATCGGCGAGGTTGGCAGCTCGCGACTGAACCATTTCCAGCAATTCCCCCTCATGGGAATCGAGATTGGTTAGCACTAGGTGTGACAGTCCCGGCAAGAACCTCGAGGGCGAGGATAAAGCCTTGAGGATACTCCCAGAGGTCTTGGAGTGGACTGTAAGATGTTTGAGGCCATTCATAGGCTGTGATGCAAGGAGGTCTGTGACAAAATCCTCGTCCAGGCGCGAGATGAGGAGACTTTCCAGTTTGCACTCGGAACGGTGAAGGAGCTGGAGGAGACGTTGGGAAGCCTGCTCCGGTTGGTAATCAAATCCAAAGCCCCTGGGCAATTGGAGGCATTTCAGGGAGGGCAATTCGAGATGGTCCAATAACACAGATATGTCAGCCCCGCCTGCCCCGCCAATCATGAGGCGATGAAGTTGGGGGAAGGTGATGGGCTCTGAAAGGGATTCCAATGGACCCACGATATCGTGGATGGCCAAGCTGGAGATATTTCTACACGTAGACAGGACATCGCCCAGTTGAGTTGAGTCGAGATAGGCGAGCTCCACGTCGACTAGGCGATCCCAAGGATAACTGGAGAGCATATGATTGATGCTCCAGAGGTTTCGCAACAGAACCTTCTGTAGGTTGGGCGCGGTGCCAAGCCAAGCATGGAGCCTCGAGGTTCCCGCAGGGGTCCAGTCTTTGAGGTGAATGTCGACGCTCTTGAGCGCAGGGAAGGCAGGAAATGAACTCTCCTCTTGGAGGGCTCGAAGAGGGTCCTCGGCACCGGCGCCAAGGCACATCGCGATGTGTGCCCAACGATGCTGCTGGTTGAAGGCGAGATGAAATATCTCGGAAAAAGCATCACCGGGACAGTTTCCTTCGGAGTGCGCGATCTTCAAATGAAGGGGACTGCTTCCTGAACGCTCGATCCACGTTGCGAATATTGGTATGTCGGAACGATTTGGGGACGAAACGTAGATAGTAGACCATAATATGGGCATCGACAGCGACAACGTGCGCCAATACCCACAGACATGGCCAAGCTGGATGGGGTTCGTGGACGAGTTCTTGTGAGTACTGACGCGTCCAAAGCGTCTCGGCGTGTCGCGTTTGCGACGGCGGCGCGTACGTGTATCCTCGTCAGGCGCGACTGGGTTTCCGTCATTGAATGCGTGAGTGTAGAGAGCGAAGATTTCGCAGAGCAACTCGACCGGAAGGGCGTTGATGTGGAGTTGGGAGGTGGGTGAGGGTGCGCCGTCGAGCTCCATTGGAACCGGCCCTTCTGGCGAGTAGTCGGGGGAGCTGTCGGAATATTGCTCAGGGGGGCACATGGCGTGAGGCAGGGGTAGAGCGCGAGGCGGGTTGGAGAAGAACCAGCTCGACAGTTGTCGACCGGCCTTGAGGAGAGGGTGCCATGGAATGGGAGCCAAGTCGTCCTGCATCACGATGTCTTCATTAGTCGAGTGTTGGGTTCCCCAGGTAGTTTGAATCGACATTGGATTAGAGTGCTGTGCCAATCCGGTCAGAATACATCCAGGGCGTTGTAAAGAGGGCGCGACTCACCTGTCCTATAAGATAACTATCTACGAAGTTCTGCCTGCAGAATAAAGGTGAAAGAAATAGAGAAAAATGAGGGGATGACCAAGCGAAGTAAGGAAAGCGACGACGACCGCTTTGACGTCTTTTCAAAGGGCCGTAAACGCCAACTTCTTCATCCCAACATTGCCTGTAAACTGAACAAGCTTTGACATTCCTCTCGTAATAGCCGATTCATGTGCCATGTTCCCTTATACTTTGAAGATCCAGTGGACGTCTCCATGGATTCTGAGCGGGTATGTTGAGTTCGTTGGAAGGAACATGGAAGGCGACGAGAGCAAAGGGAATGGCAAAACAGGAACAAGGACTTGGATGTGACAGCGTCGGACCCTTTTGCCATGGGCTCCGCCATTCCGATCACGGAACTACCAGCGCGGTGCTTTAGCGCCCAAGGCTCCCGTTCGCGCGTTCGATTCTTGGTGGACGCAAGCGCCTTGTGAAGTGTTATTTAGTGTGCTGTTTTAAACTGATGTCCCAATGAAGCGAAGATATGGATTTATTTACTGCCCGAGAGACGTTATTAGACGATATACGACAGCCAGTGGATACAAGACTTCGAGGAGGGAAAAGGGTAGATAACAACAAAACACTCGGAAACGGAACAAAGGGCTAGCATAGGTATTGGTTGACGAGATGAAGTTCCACTCCAGGAACTTGAAGCATGGAATCATGGACGTAACCATGCCCATGCAACTCAGCATACACATATCGCAAAGGAGTTCGACCTGAACGCGAAAGTATCATTGACGACAGAACGCCATCTCGAGCCTCCACGTTCATAAACGTCATCTCCTTCAGAGATGGCAGAATCCTTGAAGAGCCGGTATGTGTGAGGTCAGTCAATACCGAGTCGGTGATCGTTGAGTAGATGGTTAATTCTTCGAGGTTCGCCATCGTCGGAGAGGCGAGGACGAGGGGGAGAACGCGCTCGTGGAGGGAACAAGTGAACGATTTGAGATGGCACCCTGAGCGAACAAGCAGCTCATGGAGTGCCGTCCAGCCCGATTGACTGGTACAAGCATTGCCAAATCCGGTCGGAATACGAACGGTTTGCAGCGCGGGTAGCGAGAGGTTGTTGAAGATGGTCGATAGGTCGCTGGCGTATCCGAGGGTGAGTTCTCGAAGGCGAGGGAGACAAACGGGTGACGGAAAGCCCGCAGGGCCCTCCAAACGATGAATCGTAAGGCTCTGAACGTTCTCGCAGACGGAGAACAGCGCAGGAAGGTTGGCTTGTTCAAGGTCGTTAAGCGTTACGGAATGCAGCCTCTGCCAGGGTGCGTTTTGTAGAACTGTGGCGCAAGCTGTGGACGGGCCAAAATGGACGGAAGTGAGCTGTGGAGATCGATAGAACCAGTTTGCCAACTGGTTAAGGCTCGAGGCAGACCAACCCGGGAGGTCAAGTTGGAACTGTGTCAGACGAGGGAGGGGGATGTGTGTCCTGCAAAGAAGGTGTCGCTCGATATTGAAGCAAAGGTCCAGCGAAATGGACCTCAAACGCTTGTTCTCTCCGAGAACAAGGTGGAAGATGGATTGGATAGCAATATCCATGTCTCGTGTGGGGTATCGTTGGACGATGGTGATATCGAGAGGCCGAGACGCCGATCTCTCAAGCCAATGCTTGAGAATGCGAACGTCCTTCACAAAAGGGCTGATGACGGCAATCTTCGACCACAGCTTGGCGGTCAAATGCGATAAAGTGCGCCATCGCGAGCAAACGCGGCCGAGGATAGTTGGGTTGTTCGGTTTGTCCCTTGACACAGAGACGGCGCCGTACCTCCCCGGGGTGTAGGAGCTCTCAACCGAGTGTGTGTAGAGATCAAAGACCTCCCCGAGGACCTCGTTGGGAAGAGCGTTTATGTGCAACTTTGGTCGGACTGGCCTGTGAAGGACGACGTCGAAAGTGTCCATGACCTCTTCGGTATTCCGGAAGAGGTCCTGTTCACTGGCGGAGAACCAAGGAGCGCTTTGAGGGCCAGGGTTGGGATTGAAAACTAGCCATTCGGCAGCCATCATCGAGCTATGAGGCGTTGGCGGCGGCGGTTGGGGTTTCGCAGTGGTGGAAGAAGTGTCCCAAGGGCTGTCGGTGGTTTCCATCTGGTCGTTATCGATGAAGGTGATGTCGTCGTGTGTTATAGGCGATTCCACCCAGATGTGTTGCGCCATTGTCGAAAGTCGATGCACACAGTCTAGCTGGACGGTACAAGAACGACAATCCAATCAAGCCGTAATGTGGTCAATGATTGTAGGACTCACCAAGATAAACGATAGGATAAAGATAGCTGCAGAATAAGAGAATCTTCGAAGTACTTATAAAGTTAATGAACTGTGGACACACCGTCACCTTGTTTTGAAACAAGAGCGGTTGTTCTTCACGACGGGAGCGTTAAGTTCCACAACCGAGTCGAAACATGCTTTGTTATATTTTCCTGAGAGTCGTTGGCCTGAGCGCCGTTTCCACGGTCTCTTCGAGTTGCGTTAACGCCTGCTACTACTACTGGATAAGTTGAAGAGAAGTAGTGAAAAGACAGCTGACACCACAAACGAGAACAAAACTTCCGGAGTCGAACTCGCCCCAAGCACTGGTATACTGTCTACGCAGTATATGTAAGTCAGATGCAAGTTGAAATTAGTCAGATGTGGGCGCTGTTGCAGTCGCAGGAGTACTTATCCGGCGAAGGGCCTGGTCGATGTCAAGATAGTCGGGGATGGTCCGGTCCCGGAAAGCGAACGGTACAATTTTAGATACCATTCACTGCAGACCTTCATACATGTCTTCAAGAGTTCCTGGTCCTCGCTGAGTTAGACATGAGAAACGATTGCAGAGACCAGTTCGGGTGGAAGCGGTCGGGACTCGACATCGTCAACCTTGAGACTCTTGGCAAGTTGCGGCCTTTGGCCCGCTGCCGGGACGGATCACAACGGTTTCCCAGGGCCCATTAAGCGCGCGCCATTTTCCTTTGGGTGTCAAGCTCAAGGTGAGGCCTTGAGGAACACATCAATAACGAGCATGCACAAGGCATTTGGAAGGCCACGAAATCTCTGCACGTAGTTCGGATGGCTTTTGGATATGTGCATTAATCAGAAATACTACTGTAGACTCCGGTATAGAAACGAGGGTATGTCAGTGTCGATCCTATGCAAAGGGAGCTTTGGAAGTCGAAGTCTCCTCGGGGTATGAAGGGTTTCAGTACCATGTTTAATGACTGTGCAACGGGTCGTGCTTAAAGCAAAGTCGCGACTACTGAGGCAACAATAGCAACGAAGCTGGCAGCAGCGCCGAAGTAGAGACCTCGAGAGACACCAGACTCGTCATCAGTGGATCCGTCGGCTTGGTCGTTGTTCGAGTCCGAACTGTTGCTCTTCGATCCTTGAGCCAATGGATCCTGTCCATCTACAAATTATAATAGTCGGTAAGCATATCGATACTCCGTCCTTGGTCCAGGGAAGGCTTACCGGTGAAGTTGGCACCGCACATGTTCGTGACATATCCCGAAACAGCAGTATTTTCGGACAGTCCGGGGTAATCTTCAATGAGGACATTGAAGATAGCCTTTCCACAGTCAGAGCAGAGAAGGTCTTTTCCAAACTCAGTTACTGCCATGATACGGTGGATGTTTTCGATGGTGAGCGGTTCCGTTTGAAGGGCCTCCACAATCTTCACTGCGCAGTGGTCGTTCCCACTAGAAAAGGGAGGCGATAAGCGACGTCGAAGACATCACAAAAAGAACGACGTACTCTTTCAAGCAAAGAATCCTTCGGGCGATGGGGTAGTAAAGTTCAATCATCGCCTGGACTCCTTCTTTATCTTCTTCTGAGACTGCAAGCTCTTCGCAACCGGTAGTGGCGGTGTCAATGATGGCAGCAATGTTATCGTTGGTGCAGCTTGGAGCACTGCACATCTCGGGCAACCATTCCTTCAGAAGAGGGGCAACTTCGACATTGAGGGGATTTTCGCTCGTGAAGAGTGGGAGGAGGGGGCTAGCGCTCAAGCACCTTGCATCCGGGCTGGAGGCGAGCTCAGAGATCGTGTTCCTGCAGCTCTCAGAAATAGAGAAGCTAAAAATTGTGATCGGAGGAGAGGGTAAGCCAAATTCGTGATCGAGAGATACATATCGAAATTCTCACTCTTGCTCTCCAAGCCCGGCGTCATCGGTGGCCTGAGCTGCGACATAGGCGACGAAGGCGGCAACAGCGAGGGAGCGTGAATTAAACATTTCGACTAGGCTGGTAAAGACCGTGGGTGGGAAGGACTCGAGAGGAGAGAAAGGGTTTGGGCGCCTGGCAATCGACGCTCGGCCTTATATACACCCCCCTGTGACCTGAAACGGATGACTGTGATGCCCCTCCATCATTGTTCCATCGGCCTCCATCACCCAAAACGACTGTGAATCCGCAGATATCGGCAGTTTGTGTAACCACCTTGTAACGTGAAGGCTATTTAGTATCCATATTTTCCCAGTCCTTCACACCCTTTCACACCAGTGACTCATTGACAGTCGGCGACAATGTGCCGCCCGACTCCCGAGCAACGCTCGAAGCTCGACAAACGGCGCTCGCAGAATGAGAATGGGCATCGCGGTGAGAATGGGCATCCCGGCATCCCGGCAACCGTAACGACTGATATTGGCAAGGAAGAGGTGTACGGCGAGGGCGACCCAGATCCTTCTGAATTGCTTCCACAAATGGTTCACCCTGGGATGTCTGGAGAGGGTTCTTCCCATCCGATTGTGATGGGTCTAAAGAGGCGAGAACCAGTGGTGCCTGTAACGTACTAAATCCCTTGACGGTTGACCGGGTCCCAGAAGGTTGAAACGACGGGCGTTTCGGCCTAATTTGAAGATTATTGTCTCCGCAAAGTATGCGCACACAAATACGAATCTGCCAGCCATCTGCCAGTTCCAACGCCAGTAGATGTGCGGCATACGCGAGGCCTGCATCCCATTGACATGCGTATTAAACGTTAAACTTCCGTATCCAACTTCTCCCATTCAAAGCGAAGGTCATTAAATGTGGGAAGGGCGCACAGCCTGTTCCTTTTCCAAGCAACTTAGAAAGTGAAGGGAAGATGAAGACAACGACGACACCGACGCTGACGCTGATGACTGAAGAACACTCCAGTATCCTGCTGACATGTCCGCCCATCTGTATATCGCAACAAAGATATTCTACTATATGAATGTCTATGTCATTGTCCATCTCACCAAGTCACGGGAAAGAAAGCAAACATTAACGGCCACCACGGACCACCTGGCTAAGTAACAATAAATCTAATCTTCGTCATCCGAGTCTGGTGCCGGTCCGAACCATTCCACTTCCTCCACCATACCCCTCAGCGCCTCCACTTCGCTCACCTGCATGGCATGACAATACCTGAAACCCAAAACATCCAATCTCTTTCCACCCACACCCAGCCTTCTTTCAAGAAGATCGATCAAGGACTCCGCCCGAAGAGGCGGGTAGTCGTCGTCAAACCAGACATTGTCGAATCTTAGCGTCTTGAGGTTGGGAAGGTATAGTTGCTGATCGCCTTGAGCGTCTCCGTACGGAGATCGTAAGGTCGGGTCGGTCTTGAGGTAGGTGATAAAATAGCGGGCGAAAGGATCATCGGTGGTAACCGACTCGAGGGATGTGGCATGGCGGCGAGTCAGGAAATACCTGTAGTTTTCAAGGTCGGGGCCTATCTCACCCCGCATCTCCAGTGTTCGAGGTCCAACAAAGTCCAGAATGGACATGATGCGACGGACGAGCCTGGAGAGGGTGGAGGGCTGCTGGCCAGGGGAGAGGCTGAATGTGAAGTCGAAGAAATTCCGAGTGCAATGAGATGATCCCGAGAGCTCGATTTCTGTCGGATAATCACCCAGTACACTCAGACGATCAAAGAGTCGCATTGGTCGGGGCTTTGGGTGGATGGATCGGACGACGGGATTGGACCACCACGACGAGGCGAGGGCCGAATACAGGCTTGACACAGCCCGTTCATTATCGCCCTCGCAGTCAATAGTCATCCCCAAAGGCATTGGTAGCCGGAGATTGGCCAACAGATCGGCGCATCCCCGGCAGGAGCCTTTGAGAACCAGAGTCTGGAGGCTGCTGAGTGCGACAGGCGTCGATACTGTACTCGAGAAGGTCATATCCATCTCAGAGAAAGGTAGCTCCAAGTCCAGCTCGACCAGGCCTGTCATGTTAGACAAGGCGTCGAGGATTCTCCCGTCGGGTGGTAGCTCACTCGTGATTCTGAGTCGAGTTAGTCCAACGAACGACGAGTCAAAGCGGAACATTGGTCCACACCCGACCACGTCCAGAATCCCCAGGCGAGGGAAAGTATCGCGCGTGAACTGAGTTGGGAAGATTGGAAAATGAGCTTCATCAGAAGCCCGGACGTGCAAGCTCTTCAACGCTGGCATAGGGCCAGACCACGGGGCTACCAATTTGGACAGCAGAATCGGTGGGCCTTGAAGCCGAACCTCTCTTAACCGGGATGGTTGCTTCAGCGCTTCCACAACTGGCGCCGGGGGGAGTCGGGTAGTGACCCTGACATCAATGCGAAGGGCAGATTGTTTAGACCTGTCGAGCATCGCTTCCAAGCAGTCGCTTTTCATGGAAGTCCCCATGTGTGACCATAGAGGAGGGCAGTCCAATGCGATCTGCCTCCATAGCCGGCAAACATGAGTAGTCCCCTTGATCCATCGAATTCCGGTGGTCGAATGTCGGTACTGCTTAAAGATAGAAGCCATAAGCTCTGGAGGTAGCCGTGAAATATAAGCCAGTTCGTTTCTTTTCCTTTTCAGTTCCAGGATCTGGCGTTCCAGGGCAAAGATTTGAGCGTCCAACCGTTGGTAAGCCGCCTCTCGTTCCACATTTGAGAGTCTTTCCATGGTAGTCCCTTTAAGATGTATCCTGTCTTTACAACATGAGTACTTCCGATGTGCATCGTAAAGGGAATCAGACGGACCTGTGGCAATGGTTGGGTGAAGACCTCGTGCTCCGAAGCTCCAGGCTCTCATCGCGTCATCATCTCCGAATCCTCAAGTTTGAATCTCAGTTTGAATTTCGATTCCTGCCTCCACTGACGAATGTGCCAGCTCGAATTTGACATAAGTCCTTGCCCCCTCGATAATAAGTAAAGGTTGTTCCATAAAGCACCGTCAGTAAATTTACATACAACATAACTCACATCTAACCAAACAAAAAGCAAGACAAGGCGACAAAAGATCTACAGGCGTCTATCAGTTATTTATACAACATAAGTAGTAGCATGGGGGTTGTGGGAGTGGTGCCACCAATCAAGGAAGAAAAGATCGTTCAGTTTTCGTTTTAGAGGGAAAGAAAGGGGTTCCAACGCATTTACCATCCATCCAGTTAGATTTGAAAGAGAGGCCAGAAAAAGTCGAGTCCATCCGTCTCTTAGGGCGAGGTCACACCCGCCAAAACCTTCAACATACCGCCCAACTCTTCAAAGTCGACCCTCCACCGGGCATCAGTACCCTTCCCACTGGTACTAACCGTCTCAGCACCATCATCCTCGTTCAACCGTCTCAAAAGTCTCTCGTCACTGCTGATTGCCAACAAGAAGTCGGTCTCCTCAACAGTGCCATCACCGCCCATACCACCACTTCCGCCATAGCCTACATACCCTCCGCCAGCACTTTTATGTAGAGCGAATTCGTCGGTATCGGGCGTCATCCAGGTGGCACGGCCAATATAAGGCGAACGAGCAGGCCCACCAGGGTGGGTGATAGCACTGATGGCGGTGGAACGAGAGATGTTGTTCGGCAGGACAAGGAAGGAGTTCTTGCCGGGGATGATACGCAAACCGAAACGCTCGCCGAGGGAATCGAAGATGTGGTTTTGAGCTTCGGCAGCTTGTCGGCGGGCCCATTGACGGTCAGGATTGGTTTCGTCGACAGTGTCGGTGCTCCAGAAGCGCCAGACGACAGACGCTTCGCGCTCCTCGACGAACGAGCCTGGGGTACGCTCAGTGAACTACAGAGAAAGCCGTCAGTGACAAGATCGGTGAAGGAAGAGTGCAAGCTCACGTAGTTCAGGATCTCCAGGCAGGCGCTCTTCCAGGTCAAGTTGAAGTGAGAGACCATACTGATCCACTGACCCTCCGAGTTGCGACTAGTCCTGGTCCGGATGAAGCAACCGTTCTCGGCACTTCAAGGTTTATCAACATCGAATGTTCCAACGAATAGAGAAGAGGACTTACACAATGCCGACCTTGGGCACAACCTTGGCAACCTTGCCCAACACACCCGTCCTAGCCAAACCACTAAGAACCCAAACCTCATTCCTCCTATCCTCGGAGAGGGCCTTGAGAACCTCCACACTTTCCTTGGGCCAATCTTCATCCTCCTCACTCCACTCATCTTCCTTCCTCAACGTCTTCGCCATACCCGCATGAGACAAGTCTCGCCTCCAGAGCGTTCCCTCAAAATCGATCAAAATGAGACGCTTCATCGAGTGCTTATACCGGGGAAGGAGACGGGGAAGGTCGAGTACAGGGACGGCAGACGGGTCGGTGCCGGACTGGGAGAGTGAGGCGAGGTGGGCGACATGTGAGCGGAGAGTACGGTTGAGGAAGGCGGTGACGAAGTTCTGGGCGGTTTGGGTAATGACGTGGTTGTGGAGATCTTCCCAGCGGGAGCGAGCCTCCTCGGGGCTCATGGTCAAGGCCTGGAGACGAATTAAAGGGATGAAGCGCGACGGTAGCAAGGAAAGAACAAACCTGTTCGATGGCCTTGGCAGTTCCTCGAGTGTCCCAAGGGTTGATCGCGATACAGCTGCGGAAGCCGCTGTAGCTGTAGGTACCGGTGAACTAGATAAATGTCAGCACAGGGTGCAGGGTGAAACTAGAACCGTCGCATACCTCACTGAGAATCAGGGCACCATGCTTCTTGGACTGACACTCGACCCACTCGTGGGTTCTGAGAGCCATACCCTCTCGAAGACTGGTGACGATGAACGCATCACCGACGGTCAGCAGGGCGAGGTACTGGCTGAAGGTCAAGTCCTGGGTATGGAGGAAGACAACAGGTTGGTAGGTGAGGGTGGAGAATCGAGAGTTGATGCGAGAAACGAAGTCGGCGACTCCACCAGCAAGCTCGTTGGATTCGGTAGTTTGGAGGGCAACTTGGATGAGGACAACCTTGCCTTGCCATTCAGGGTACTTGTCGAGGAAGGCTTCGAAGGCCGCGATCTTGTGTCGCACACCCTGCAGAAGTCATGATTAGAATCAGAATAGCACGGGAGCAGAGAATGACTTGCCTGAATCTCGTCGAGCTTGTCACGGCCGACAAGAAGCTTCATGCCGGCATACCGTTGCTTGAGAACCTGAACCCATTCTTCAACTTCCGGATCTTCCCTGTATCAGATGTATCTGGTTAGGGTAGAAGAGAGAAGACGTGAACCGGTGGACTCACATTCGCTCCTTGAGCTGAACGACATCGATGCCCATAGGAACGGACGCAACATCGACGAAACGACCTTGATCAGCCAAACCGTCCCGAACGCGCCTTCCATTCTTTCCATTGACAGAACCTTCAGTCAGCTGTTCGTCTCCTTTGTCTTCCGGAAGCTGAATGCCTTTTGGAAGTGCTTCGAAAGCCAAGATTCGGCTGACAGTCTGCCTGAAATGTCTGGCGTAGTTCGCGGTCTGGAATCCTACAAAGTCGGCACCAAGGACACCAAGAAGGAGATCCTTTCGGACGGACAAGCAGCGGAAGATTTCGGAGGAGGGGAAGGCGACGTGCATGAAGAAACCGATGCTGGCGGTGTTGGGGAGCCTCTTGCGGAGCATTAGTGGCAAAAGCATGAGATGGTAGTCATTGACGAAAATGATGTCGCCCTCTTGGTAGATGCTGGCGATGACGTCGGCGAAACGTTCATTGACTGCCTTGTATTGCTTGTAAGTGGCAGATTCGTAGAACATCTTGGTCTTGGGAGCATCGGGAACAGCATAATGGAGGCATGGCCAGAGAACCTGAAGACGAGCGTTAGCGAGAATAGACGTGTGTAATGGAGAGACATACCTGATGGCAGAACTCGTCATAGCAGCTTTGGAATTCGTCGTCGGGGATCCAGACAGGAACGCTCTCGCGTTGGCTGAGGAGACGCTCGTCAATCTCTTTCCTCACTTCCTCTCCGAATCCGTCCGTAGGTGTTCCAAGGGTACCAACCCAAACCTTCTTCCTCAGACGTTCACCAACGCTGTCAATGGCGTTGCGGAGGCCACCGTTGCAGACTGTCGAGGGCTCAAAGTGCCAACTGTCGGAGTCGGGATCGAGCTCCCTGACAGGGCTCACTGGCGAAGCAACAGTGGGGCGACGGGATCGCGACCGTGACTTGCGATGCAGTCGAGAAGAAGGACCGTCTGCACGGAATCCTTTCCGCCCGATGGCTGGCGGGGAGGTGGGTGCGAGAACATCGAGCTTGGGCGTTGCACGACCCGGTGTGGGCGTATCCTCAGCGAAGCGGGTGAGCTTGGTGAACGGGTTCGCGGTCTCCGTTGCAGGTGAGCGAACAGCAGGCGACGTCAGCCGAGACTGGGGGATGATAAGATAAGTTTTCGCCAGCGTCATGAATGTTGATCAACGTACCTTATCTTTCAGATCTTCGACAATGCTCTTCAGCGGACCACTGGCGCTAGGCGTCCTTGTGTGGGAGCTGTGTGGAGTGCTCTTGCCGGCGAGAGCGCTCTTTAGGGGCTTGTTCTTTTCGCTGGCAAGCCTAGCGGCAATGGCAGGGATCGATATGGGCGGAGCGTCCTCGAAGTTCCTCTCAGGCGTCGGGGGCGCTGACTCTCCAACGACCACGGTTGTGGGGAGGAAGAGGGACGCGATGATGACCCTATGATTTCTAAACGAGCTCATCGTCGTCGACGTCGTGGAGAGCAGTTGGTTGTTGTCGTGGATGGGGCTCTAGAAAAGCAAAGGAGAGAGGCGGGGAATAAAAGGTAAATGGCGAAGATGCCAGAAACGACGTCACAGATCTTGTCTTGCTTACATTATTATCACCTTCCATACTTGGCACATCCCTCAGGTTTTCCAGTCCTCCGCTGATACTCCGCAGGCTCTCTCCTGCCTCAGCGACGGTGATTTTCGGGATCGCGAAACCCATTGTTGGGTTCTTTAGACTTTGGCCAAGATGCGACGCGCGAACGTTGGTTTCTTGAGAAGCTGCCGGGGGTGGTAAGGTGGGTCCCAGGTGAGGCTGCCAACAGGGTTGAGTCCGACGGCGAACCTAGAAGCAGGGAGGAGAACAGAAACGATGCTCTCGCTGCTGCGCTGGCGAGGCAGATATAGGAACAGTTGGAGTCCCAAAGAATACGATCAACACCAGTTCATAAGTGGGTGTGTAACCGAGTCCGGGGGCTACGGTGTTGGGGGCTGTACGAAGTGTGCTGGTCCAACAATTCTTATGCCACTGCGCACATGTATCTAGTACATGACCAGGTACACGGATCGTTGGGACAACAGCGGCAACCCTTAATCCAACACAAATGGCGCTTCCTAGCCCAGAGTTAAAAACCCCAACTGGCAAGAAGGGGAAAGGGTCGGAGGGAGAGAAGGAACAAGCAAGGCCTTTCACCAAAGCTACGCAGGTCTGTCACGTATGTATTCAACTCATCGATATCATGATCGACCCTCTTTCTTACGTCCTATTCTCGGTGGCAAAATGAGCGATGGGTGGCGGATGACCTGTTGTCAGCGCTGGGCGTCACACCAAGTACCCCGGTCGCACAGCAATCCTTCCCATTCAAGAAAAGGGGATAGATTCTGAACCGAAAACCCTTGACAGAAGTACACAATTGGGAGAATTACTCCTTGGCCACTCCAATAACTCGTAAGCCAAGGTTTCGATACAGCTTAGTCTGGAGGTTAAATGACGAGCCCCCCGTCGAGTTATGGGATCGTTCGTCGTATTGGGCGACAATTCGAGCTCAGTAGTAACACTCTTCGCTTCGTACAGCTCGGTTAAGCGGTGCGCTACAGCCCAAACTACGCATTCATAGCTATTCGACCCACGTACCCACGTTTGTTCATGAGCGATTATCGCCATCCCATATGAAACTTTCCCGAGTTGTTTGAATCGCTGGTTAGTCGCTGACATCCTTGTAAGAAGAGATAGAATCCACGATATGAAAAAGAAGCGTGATCCGACCTTTGTCCCCTCCTTCCATCGATTCTACTTGATTTGTACAAGGGTTTGTACAAGGGAAAAGCAAATGGTACATAGGAACGACCATTGGCATCACTGCAACCCGTGCCGTGCACTGGAAAAGTCCGTTTACTTCCGTTAAACCCATGAAGACATCGAAAGCCGGGGCTGTGCCACAGGTTTGGTGGGAATGATAACCGGAGGAAATCCCTCGAGAGAAAGCAAATCGTAGAGCCATTTGAAAGGGAGATACACCACCCTTGCAAATCGACCAGAGATGAGGTGAGTACCTGGGGATGAATGCGAAATCTTCCACGCCAACGCAACGCCAACGGAGAATCCTTCCAGAGCAAGAAACCACCACAAGAGTCGTCGAGAAGAGTGGCTCAGGCGGAGGGAGAGCATATGTCCAGTCCAGTCACTCCAGTCTAGGTTTCAGCCTAGGCACTACTATGCAATCCCTAAGTTGTCGACCAGGGCAGCAGCAAAGCAGAACTACATGGTTTGAAATGGAAATTGACATAGGGGCCCTCGAGTCGGAGCAATGGCTTGCCAGTCAGCCGCCAGTTGGATCGACGAGATTCGAGTCTATGAGCGGAGTGTCTAAGAATGAGTGTCTCCTGATTCCGCACAAGAGGAGCAACTAAGCTCGAAAACCATTATGGGAGGGGACAGAATATAGTAACGGCGAAACGGAGAGGAACTTGGAAGGAAGAAACGTGAAATTGGAGCTCCGAATTCGCTCAGTTTGAATTTGGACTCTACCTACAGCGCCGACGACGGCGCCGAGCTTCTTCTATCACTTTGACAAGTTCGCCAAAGTCATTGAACTCTACACGTTTTTATTTCTACACGAGGCGTGTACCGCTTTTCCGCGCCGCACTGGAATTTGCCTATCAGTATTAACTCGAGCGACTTTCTTGCCCAAGAACTGGTGTGCAGCGATGCTCTCATTAACCACGAACTCATCGACTGAATTAATGTCTAGGGCTTGCTCGAATACAGCGCATGAATCGCGACCTGTCAACAGAGCAGCGAAGAGTTGTGCCCACGACAATTTCCTGGAATACTCAGAGCACCCATGCTCAAGTCCTGCCGCTTAATACTGGAATCACCAGCGTCGCAAACGTGCCCTCCAAGATTCTGGCCAGTATATTCCATGCATACCGGGCGCTGGTCTCCAGGATCTCCGAATTTGTTACGGTCTCTCATGTCTGTCGGACATGGAGGACCGCCGCGTTGGAAGATGCCTCGCTGTGGGGGTATCTCGACACCATCATGGGAGAGCAGTGGTTGAGAGAAAGTGTGGAGAGATCCAAGCAAGCGCCGCTTTCTATCGACCTGGAGCTCTCAGCGGAAATGGCGGAACCCTTCAAGGATCTCCTCCCTCACATTTGGAAGCCATCCCGGTTACGATGTGTTCGCCTGACAGGGGACCTCGCATTCCTTCACCCCCTCGCAGTGCTACATCCCCTGGACACTAACATAATGTCACCCCCTCAGCCGATCCCATTCCCACTTCTTGAGACGCTCATCCTCTGGTCTTCACTAACACTCCCTACCAGTCTTGTGTCCGATTCGTCAGATATGAGCCTGACACCCCGCCTCTTTCCCCAGCTTCGTGCCCTTGAGGTAGTGAGGGCGGGGTGGTACCCTCGCTTTACCTCCCCATTTCCCAATCTCAGACGGCTGAAGTTAGCCTGTGACATAGAAATTGACATATCCTATCTTTTGGATATACTACCAAAGCTGCCGCAGCTAGTCGACTTGGACTTGGAATTTAATGACCTCCAATCGATGCAACACGGTCACGATACTCCAGCATCCGTTCTTCGCCTGCCCACCCTGAAATCCCTCAAGCTGACTTCTAGTTGTCACGGGTGCGCCAGCTTTCTAGTCAACCTTCGGCTCCCGACATGCTTGAAGGTGCATATAGACTGCAGGGCTTACGATTACGACCTCAGCGACCTTGTCGGCGTGATCAACGCCCTTTCCTCCTCGTGGTGGTCAACGCCACCTGATTGTTCCCCAGCACAGCTTCCAACCTGCCCCATCAACCAGGTCACCCTTTCATACCCCTGGTTTCAACCGGACCTGAAACTCGCAGGTTTTTCTGACAATGGACAGACATCGTTCACCCTGGACGTTACTTTACCAGAGTTTGGTTCGCAATTTGACGATATCCCAGGCTACGATCAAAACCTCGTTCTTGGGGCAATTTCGACTATATTCGAATATTTGGACATAGAGCATTTGGAGTTGGAAGGAGAATTGGCACGGCAAGGAGAGGCCGAGGATACTTTCGCCGACATTTTGACATCCTTCGATACTGGGTATCCTTGCATCCAATCCATCACCATCAAGTCGTCCTTCCTACGCGACTTCCTAGCTTTCCTCAAGGACGAGATCGGTGAGCAGCAGGTGCCCTTTACAAGAGACGAGGCAGCCGAGTTGTACATGCGCTATCCAACGTTCGAGCTGCTGACCCTGGAAGGCCTGGAAGGGGCGTCCGTGGCAGACACCGAGTTCATCGAGATGTTCGCTGGGAGGATGCTGTGTAATCGTCACATCATTGAGCGGGGGTTCCATGACTTGTCCGAGGTAGCAGAGGACGACACTTGAATTACGGACGGCTTGAGGGTGCAGGACTGTACATCGACTGGAGATACTGGGACTGTGCTGCAGTACATCTAATATGCTTGTCGAACGAATATCACTTCACCTATTCCCATCATTCCTATATCATATGCTTGCTCGTTGGTGTTGTTCTCCCTTCGGATACCAGGGTATCCAAAGCTTGCTGTGTGGCGTGCGAGGTTCGAACACCCAGCTTCGGGAACATTGTGCCGCGAGAGCATCCGAGTTTTGGAAAGTCCCCGGGACTGCGGGACTCCCGGGGACTCACGTGCTATGTCGGAAATATGCGGCAACCGTCGGCACGGCTTACAACGGCTCTCCACGAATGCCGAGATCCCGAGCGTGGAAACGCACCCCAACTATGACGCAACGAGGATACCGCGGTTGGCCTTGCCGTGGCGACGGCTGGGAGGTCCGTTCCGACAGCGGAGCTGACGTGGCAACCGCGTCGCGACGGGGAGGTTTAGGGGCCAGCGCCGAGCCAGCGTTAGAGATTTCGTGGGCTGCCTAACGAGCTGTAGAGCAAGTGGAAATACAGAGGAATGAAAGGGGACATAACCGGGAGGTAAAGCACTACCAATTGCATGCACATATCGAAATACATGCAGATATACTGGCAGGGAATGTAAGATACGGCGCCAATAGTCAGAATCCAATCCAATTGCTTCAATGTACAAGTGCCTTCGCGTTGGGACTCCCTGGGATGCCTATAGGCAGGTCACAGATGGTTCAGTGGACAGCTGCCAGTGTCTGAAATGCCAGTAAAGCGTCAACCGATATGTTCATGTGGAGTTATGCGAGTACTCAACTTCACTCCAGTAGTCGTCGTGCACCGGCTTGCTCTTGCTGCTCGTCTCCAGGCAGGCCACATGCTCGCAGACTAAATTTTGCGGAACAAACTTGCGTGGTTTCCAGCTGTGCCTGGTTGAGAAAGAGGGGGGGGGGGGGGAGAGAGAGATAGAGGAGTGGTTGGAGAGAGAATTGGAGAGAGAAACTCGCCACCCTCTGGAAACAGCCTCTTGCTGGTTGTCCCGACTCATGATGACTAGCCTGGGCCGAGTCAACAGGGCATCGAGATGGTGGCCAGAGAGGTGTCGCTCGAGGTGTAAGTTGTGGTGCGAGTTGCAACAGGCCGCGACGCGAGGACGATTTCGACGTATTTCACGCGCGAGTGATGCCATCAAAGTCCAAGATTGCCTCCCAACTGTCGAGACTCGTCACAAACCACCTCCCCAGCTAGCCGTTTTCTACTCCTAAGGGCCAAAAATAATAGAGTATAGTCTCAATACATGTATAATCCAATATATTCCATAAAATCGAATAGCTGTTGATCTGGGGAGGAGGTATGAGAGATGTAAGTGTCGGGAGCCTCAATGAGCCTGCCCTAAAGTAACCCATGGGCGCCTGTTGTTGGCCCAGCTCAAATGCTCGAGCAATTTGCAGCTGTTGTTAGACGTAGTATATGTACAACTGATGCGAGGTAATACAATGATTTATGTACTAGAAGAACATATAAAAGCTTGGTGTGATGTACAATGAAAAGTAAAGTGATGATGTGATGTGCAGTCTGTATGAGAGCCCACAGGTGACCGGCAGTGGTTCCAGCTGAGAAGAGCGAGTATGTGGGTAGAAGTTAAAACGAGCGTTGGCGCCATTCTGTAAGCTCATTTGACGAGGGAATGTGCTGGGATTCCAAAATTATATTCACAAGCTCTGGCGTTGCCATTTTGGTTAGTCTATCGAGCGTGAAGAATAGAAAATAAACATACCAGCTTTCTTGGTTGCCTTTGTCACCTTTGAGGGAATTTCACGTTCTTTAATCCACGCTTTGAGGTGCCGAACTGTCCATAGCTGGTGGTATATGAATCAGTCACTGTGACGCAAAATACAGATAAAAAAGAACAGCAAACGACTCACATTTAATGCTTTCTTGACGTCACCAGATGTAGGAACCGGCCCTGCTGCGGTCAGGTCTTCCACAACAATCTCCAAGTCTGAGTTTCTTCCTGAGCTTCGCAAAAGGCTGACCTGATCCAATGATAGTTAGCATCTATGAGAGATCAATGAGGAAGGTAATAAATACACTTACCTTTGGCTCTACGACGGTCCAAAGGACCTGAACGGTCTGGTCGAGATAGGCGTCACTCAGATATTCATCATCTTTGACTGGGATGTTCCGGTCTCCGCAGATGATACGGGCTGCATGACACGTGCGGATAGCGGCAGCAAGAAGCCTCGCAGCGTGTTCGGCACTGCCAACTGCATCCCAGGAGGTGATCGTGCTCCTCAAAGTCAGGGATCCTGCAGTAAACTGGTGGTGCCCCCAATTTTCGTTGCCATCGTCCTTCGGAATTGCAGGGTCATTGGGGTTGGCATTTTCGATACGCTCGAGGAACTTGAGGAACTGAGGGCTAGCCTCTCGTGGAACAGACGATGGTGCAACGACTTTGGAGAGCTCTTGTAGGCCATCGATGAGATCCGCCGAATGAGAGATCGAAGGGAAATGTTGGAGCTGGGAGCGTAGTTTGACGAGGTCATGGGAGATCTCGATTGATGAGATATCTACAGGCCAGCGTCCCGACTGCTGACCTAGAAATAGCAGGTCAGAATAACGATAAATAAATGTGTAAGATTAGAAGAGAACTAGAAGAGAACGTACCAAAATCATCCTCGTCTTCATCAAATTGACCCACAACATTGCTGTTTTCGTTGTCGCAAAGCATTGCTGCTGCTGCTTCCTCATATTCGTCATCGTCTTGGCGGACCTCCCCAATTTCCTCCTCGTCAGTCTCTTGCATGGATCTTGGAAGAATGTAGGAGTTCCAGAACCGGAAGATATCCTTGTAAGGCTCCGACAAGTCTTTGCCATCTTTCTTTCCTAAGTTCATCCCCTCGATGAGAAACTTCTTGTAAAAATTGAATGCTTTCTGATACGGGAACTTGGAATTGGCACCGACAGGTTCGAGATACTTGTCGTTGTTGTGAATGAAGATCACCTAAATGGATGCACAGTAAATATCAGTTCATCAACACAGACAGTACTAACGCTCACCTGAATGCATGTGCGAGAGACGAGACCTGGGCCTGCTTTCTTGAAGTACTTTATCCCTCGGGATTTTGGGTCGGGCTTGATTTCTCCATCAATAAGCCATTCCGGTATCAATGAATTTTCTGAAAAGAGGTCAACGCGCGCACACTACAAGAACATTAGTGCTGTTCATACTCTTAAAGAAAAAACATTAAAGACTCACCATCGGGAGCTCTGGGTTACGGAAAACACCCTCTCTGAAGTTCCGAACCCCATCTTTGAATAGGATTGGTGGGAACAACAGCAATGAGAATCGCACCATCCTCCTATCGTCCAACGCCTCGTCCCAGACAAGCTTGCTGAGGAAGAAAGATGTTTCTCCCCGCTGCTTGTACTTGTCAGGTGCATAGAGTGAGGCTATGTCATCAGGAGCATCGAATATCACTGCTGCTGCTGCCTTTTTTCTGAGGTCCGAAATCAAGGTTCGTCGGAGACTGGACACAGCATGTTGAAACTTTAAAGGGGAGTAAGGACACAGTGTAACAGAGAGGTTATGTGACGGGCTTACCACTGCCTGAAATGCAGGTGACGTCTGCAGCTGGGGGTGGTATAGCTCATCGGTTTTCTCGTATAGCTCTGCAATAATAGCAATGCGTAGGGCCTGAGGCTGTTTCTCTTTTTCACGGGGGTACCGCCCTTCAAGACTGTTGGTATTAGGTCGGGGTTGCATGAACCAATCAGCGTCGATGAACATTTCGTTGTTGAGGTAGAAAGCTCGTGCGATATCTCCAATTTTTTTGTCATGTCCGGGGTGTCCTGTTGTTGGGTTTTGACGGTTGCCTACCGGTGGAGCGGTGTAGCTGCTGCTGTCGTCGCTATCAATACCGTCGTCCTCAGCTGTCCTGCCTTTCGCTTTCATCTTTTGTTTGGCTTTAGCCCTCTCTTGCTGCAGAAGCTGCCGTAGCTCTTGAAGCTCCTTGGTTAGGCGCTGATTTTCAAGCTGCTGCTCTTGCAGTTTCTATCACAATACACACGATGGTTCAGTTCGATGAATAGGGACTAACAGAAAACAGCCACACCTTGCTCTGGTACTGCTGCAAGAGCTCGTCGCTGACATTGGGACCGGAACATGGGACGTTGATGTCGACGTCGATGCCTGAGAGGACGCCTGCTGGCTGGGGTGGTGGTATGTGCTCTCGATATCAGTCTCGGAACGTAGTGAGAGCTCCTCCAAGTAGTTGTTGAGAGCTTCCTCTTCATCCGAGTCGTAGGCGACGGGCTTCTTGCCCTTGTTCTTGGACATTGCCAGTATGGCTGGGAGAAGAAGTAGTCCACGTCAACACAAGAGAGAGAGGAAAAAGAAAGAGAGGAAAGAAAAAAAAGTGAGCATACTTGACGTGAAATAAACCAAGGAATTGTTGCCGGTGGACCTTTCTAAAGAGGAAAGCCATGTGCCCCGGCTAATTATGAGTAACGTAACTCATATATTCCATTTATCGTGCTTCATATACCACTGAAAAACAGACATATTAGCTCATGACTCGTGAGTGATAATATTCAATGGAAAGTGACGAACCTAAATGTCATTCTACGAAGGCTGTGTCTAGCAGTAAGGAAGATACAATAATGTGGGTAGATTTAACTATCTAGATCAGCATGCGAAGCAACTCTCGAACGCGGAGAAACATGTCTGAATCTACGACATCGAAGACTAGGTAATCGGTTTCTTGCTCATTCACAGGGATTAAAACGGCACCACGGACAATAGAACGCGCAAAAAACAGCTCTGCACCTGTTTGAACAGCCCTCCTGACACGATAGAACCCCGCACCTGCATCCTTTGCACTCTGGTTTCTAGGAATTGGTGCGGTATATGGAAGGGCCAATGCGATTGGAATGGCGTCAGAATCTGGTGTTCCGGGGGCTTGAATGGTGAATAGTGCGAGTAGGCGAGCAAAGATGTCTCCTGTGGTTGTCTGAAGAATAACCGAGTCGTAGCGAGGGCGACCATGAAAAGAGGGGGAGCACCGAAGCAGGTCGCGTTCAATGTCCCATGACTCCTTCGAGGTGTAGACTACCTCCATTGAGCGGAATGAACGAACCTGTTACATGATTGAACACGATGTTACATCCGTGAACCCACAAAGGCCATAAGGCACGTACCAGTGTCGAGTTGCGGATGGTAATGTCGAGCCCATTCAATGAGCAGAAGTCGCTCAACGATTGGCTGAGATTGACCCCTTCAAAGAAGCGGGCATGCTCTCCAAGTTCTTCCTCGTAGTGGAAGTCAAATTGGTCCAGTGGGCGCGCCTTTCGAGGTCCTTGAGGTGCCTTGAGGGTAACATTTCCGAAGCTGAAGCGATGCTGAAGTTCTTCATCGGCGCAGTCCTCGGCGTCCTCGAGTGCTTCAAGATGAACGTCAATAATTGAGTCAATAAAGTCTATGACCTGGCCACGTTGGTCTGCGCTAAGAATCTATCGAGGTTGAAGGATTAGTGATTGAGGAAAGAACACACGGTCGATTTACGCACCTGTTTGTCTGCGTCTTTGAAATTAGTCATATACTGATAATAGAACTTCAACGCGCGGTGCATTGTTTCAAAGGTTTTGGTCGTGTAGTTCCGTGTTACGCCTTTTGCAAAGATGTCTCCAGGAAGATGCATCTGAAGATGCATCTTCGGAAATAACCAGCTCTTGCCTTCGAAGAGATCTCCAAGCTTCTGTAAGGGTAAAGATGAGATAGGCGCCACACAGCTAGAGTATGTGTACCTTGATCTCTTCGCAGAACACTTGAAGTTCCTTCTCGATCTCTTTCACCGTGGACTCAGTATGAACTTCGAACGACGAGAATGCATTGAGGTTCAAGAAGATGCGGAGGCATCTCAGAATCTGGAGGGTTGGCTTATCGGATTTATCAATCACACCGTCGTATAGAATGAATGGAAAGAGCTGAGGTTTAAAAAGTTAATAGAAGTAAGCGACGGGGACCATTGTCATTTCTCACCCGCGCCAAATCTTCCCACTTGTTCGAGTCTTGAAATGATTTTTTAGTTGTGATGTTGTCGTAATGAGTCAGTCCAGGCCATCGTGGAACTGCGCTCGCCCTGCTGAAAGCTTAGGTGATTTGCTAGAGTCAAGAGGAATATCACAACAGACCTTGAATTAATTCGTTTCTGCACTTCCGGTGTTGAATAAGGACCACGATCGAAAATTTCGTAGAGCATCGCCAGAAGATGAGTTTTTGCCAGCCCACCAGGGTAATTATGCAGTCGGTCAAACGACAGGGCACGGTGAGGGTCCGAGTTCGCGATATCTGCAAAAGCATTCTGACGAGCCGAGTCAGCGGACAGTAAAGTTGAAATAGGAAATGGATACCTTGATCGGTCGGACGTTCAGCTCCTGAAGTTTCTTGCGTGCAGTGCCTTTGACTCGTTCTGGTGCATCAGGCCTTTCAAGTACATCAACCAGCTTTTGAGTGGTCTCCGCATTTCGATATTCCCAGTTGGTAAAGAATGTTGCAAGGTTGTCCTCGTCGACCAGACACACGGGGCACTGCTTAGTCTTTGATCCACGTATACCAGCCATCACTGCCCTAAATACTAGTCAGACGCAGCCCGGATATCATTATATCAGGAGGAACATGACATACTGCTCTTCATAGTCGGCCGAGAGCATCAGAATACATGGGAAGAGCCTTCGGACAACCCCATCCACCGCATTTGTAGTAAACCCCATCCTTTGAGATGTGTTCTGATAGACTCGAGTATCTCTCGAAAACTATCGTGCCATACTACGCGCTTGTACTCCACCCATTCTGTGCTTCGGTTGGATTTCTTGTCCTTCTCTGGGATCTATGCAAGTTGTTAGGGGAACGCTAGTCTGAGCCATAGGTAAACCACGCACGATTGGAAGCCATCCGACCACACAACCTCCACCGATACCTTTCCCGTTCCTTATATGAGCGGGGAGGTTTGCAATCTTGGCATACACTGGGTACGCCTTCTTGCCCCCGAACGACGAGAGCTGTGTCTTATCAGCATAGACGATCAAACAGAGAGGTACTCCGTCGTCAGGTAAGTTGTCCTGTATCCCATAAGCCTCATTTCACACTCAAACGATTCCAATCATACCTCGATCTTTGCCCAGTCATCCCCTGTCCACGGCTCCGTGACAAAGCGCTCCCACATCTCATCGTCGTTCTTCTTGAACATTTTCACGCTCTCCCAAACAAACTCCGGTGCTAGTTTGGGGTTCTCGACCAGTTCAAGTGCCCACTTCCATACAGACCGCACCCAGACATTGTACTTGTGAGGTTCTTCCTTGAAGGGCACGTCAACAGTGTTGCATTTCAAACTAATAGGGGTACGATTAAGATACATTCAATACAGGACGTAATTCACATGACCAACAACATACAGGAGTTACAAGGCATGAGGCATCCTTCCAAGCATCGTGGATTGCCTGACTCCCGTTGAACGTGAGGGTATCCTTCCTATCGACACATTTGTTGATGAGGGAGAGCAGTTCCTTCACATCATCGTCGCGCATTGCGGAGCGAAAGATGAGTTTTGCAAATCGATAGTCGGCATCCGTTTGGAAAGGGAAGTATGGGGACTTCGACGTCAGAGATGGGAGGGGAACGCGTGTGTTGGCACTTGCACCTGGACGTCGCCGGCGTAGGTTGTACTGATCGGTCGTGATGTGTTCCGGTGCCCGCTTTCGTTTTGCGTGATGCTCGATTCGAATGTCGGAAGGTGGGTCCAATCTTTGTTGAGGTTGCCCTATCGCGATTAGCTCAACCAGTGAGGGAATGCCGATGTGGGTTGATAATACAATACAGCGTACCTCGGGAGCGGAGAGATGAACCTGCTTCGGCGTTCATGCGCAAATTGGGCACGGGTTGCCTGGATGTCGCTGCGGATGAAACATGTGAGCAAGGACACCGGTCAGAACGATGCTTGTAACTCACATGTCTTACGAGTCTGGGACGGGCGAGGGGACAAGTTCTCCCAAGGATTCTTCGGTGGGTCAACAACAACATGGCCTGGGGCTGTATCTGGAAGAGCTTTGGAACCTGTCAGTGAGTCACCGCAGCACATCCTCTATGAAGATAAAGCTCTCACTGGCTGTACGTTTCGCCCATTGCTCCTGATCCTCTTTCAGCGCCCTTCGTTTGCCGCACGACTTGCTGTGGCTAATTTGCGCGGCTTTCTTCTCAAATACAGCATTACAGCCTGCTGTGCACCGGTGTTGCATCGTAGAGAGCTGAGGGGTGGGATTTCGAAAGGAAGGAGCGGAAACCGCTGTACTGAAGGTCAAAAGGCGGCTTGTGGGGTGCGACGGGAGAGGGTTCCCTGCCACGCCTCGTCAACAAAGCCGCATTCGTTCCCACGGTTATCCCATGGACCTGGGATCGTTGGGACGTCCAAGGCAACGTGGTGACGCCGGACCGTTTGATGAGATGGCGTTGCGAGGAACCCTTTGGGGCTCCCACGCACAATTCGTGGGGACCCCGGTCCGAGATTTCCGACATACATCACATAGGCGCTAAGCCGATAATCGACGCGTCGCTCATCGTTGTATACTAGGGCGGGAGAGGCAGGTTTTAGAGTATTTAAAAGGCTATATAACATTCGATAGAGACTGCTACGGCAATATCAACCACTTCATTGTCCAAGCAGAGTCGGTGGCATCCACGCCCAGCGCTGAATCGACGTGATAGGGCGCTCGACAGAAGTGAACTTTAAGGGTTTACAGGATGGTGTCGTCGTCATCACATGCGGTGCGGGCGAGTTTGTGAGCGAGGGCAGGCGGGCCATAGAGGGCGGGGTCTTGCAGTTGGGGATGGTAATCCTGTGTGTTCTGGACACTCTGAATTAGACTTCAGGAACTATTTGTGAATGGAGAGCTACGGTTACAGAAGGGCGCCGTCCTCGACGCCATAGGTGCTGGCGCGAGAGGCGGCGGGGTAGTTCCCTAGTCGATGTTGGCGGGGTGTTGCGAGTTTCTTGTTCGAGGGTGGTGTGCAATCCTCCCGGTCGTGAGGTAGATACGATGAGCGTCCTCGTCCTTGCACCAGCGCGGTGGGCCAGGTTGAGGGAGGTGCAGGGCAGGCGAGATGATGGTATTGCAAACAGCAATCACCCATGGGACCATCGATGGTCACGCCCGCCACCGTCTAGTCTGTCGTCGTCGTCGTTGCTCATTGCTCGACGCGTTGGTGACTCGAGGGAGTTTGGTGGGTCATGCTCAAGTCACGGTGTTTGCTTTCATGTGACTGTCCCGCTCCCGCAGTCTCCCATCATCCCCGGGACTTGGCGGATGTCGTATGTTCTGTGTGCCGCCAGGGGTTCCGTGATGGATTGATCCGAACTAAGGGGATGTTGTTCTGGTCACAGTTTTGTTGATCTCTCCGAATTTCAATTTGACCACCATGTTCGTTCTACTGACCAAGGCACCTGATGAGGTACTATGGCAGCTATGGCAACCTTCATCGGTCTTCAAAGTACAATGAAGAGTGGCATCTCGGGATTAGGAGTATAATGCAGGTCGACCTTTGTCCAGCATACTGCTAAAATCCGCGTTTATAGCGGGATCTGGGAATCGCCATTGCGTTATTCCACCTGTCGCCCTCTCAACCTTGCCGATTCCATCTTTACGTATCTACAGTTGTGTTCAGGTGAGCTTTGAACCCATCCCCGCTCCCTCAATGACTCTGACTGCCCGGGCAGCCATAGAATCCAATGGCACTTCAATGCACACACATCTCAACCGATGAAGACGTGGTGATGGACGAAGATCCAGCTCCAGCTTCAAGGCGCACAATCTTTAACTCAGGTCGACACCTATGGAACCGGCTTTTCTCCAACCCCCGCCGCATTCTCCCTTCCTCAACTGGCATCTACATTCAGGAACAAGCGGACCTTGGCACTCCTCATCACTCTCAGGAAGGACTACTGTCAATGGAAGTCGACGCACCACAGTCCACGTCGCGACTCCACATCAACGCGCTCCCCGTCGAACTGCTTTGCGAGATATTCGTGCAGTACACCCACTCGTTCGACGATGGAGCGCCCTTCCTCCCAGAAAAGAAACCAGGGTTACGCGACACCGTCTTTCAAAACGCGACCCGCAGCAGATACGAGCTGGACGTATCGGTACACACAGGACCTCATCCACCAACCCGATCCTTCTTGGCCATGTCTGTCAGCGTTGGCGCGTGTTGTCACTATCGATGCCCGAGCTTTGGTCCAGAATTTGCGTTGCCTTTCCTACGACCTCCGACTATCGCTTGCTTCATATGTGGCTGGAACGATCAGGCACGCATCCTCTCGACTTGACTATCGTCCACTCAGAGGGAAGATACCCTAACGATGGGATCGTACACGCCCTCCGCATTCTCCTTGACGAGGAACACCGCTGGAAGTACCTATCCCTAACTTTGGGCGAAGGGGTTGACCGCCTCTTCGAACAGTCCACTGTCTCATGCACGTTCCCTCTTTTGGAGACTCTCGATATAGATCTGCGCGATTGGAATGAGGACGTGGCGGCCAAGTTCTGTCGCCGGATACACGGCACACCGAGCCTGACACGACTTCGGCAGGACAGCTTCTGGAAACACGTTTCTATCACCCCGAGCATCCCTTGGAGCGTTTTACAGGACGTGGAACTGAATGCACTGGAAGCTAGAGAACTGAAGGCTGCTTTCTCCCAGGGCTTGCGTCTCCAACGGCTAGTTCTCCACCATGTTGTGGGCACTGTCGATCGGTCATCTCCCACACCGTTGACGCTCCCGTGTCTCAGAACCTTGGGGCTTGGGTCTATCGAGGATGTCTCTCAGATCCTTCGCATGGTGGCTCTTCCTGCCTTGCACGAACTTCACTTGCTCGGTGGAATTGGATGGCCTTGTACCACTCGGGCTGCCCATGACGTCCTTCAAGAGATAGAACGATTCGGATGTCGCCTCGAGAAGCTCGCACTGAACCTGGGTCGTAACGCAGACGAGGATATACTCATAACCATCCTCCAATCACCGGTTATGGTGCACCTTAAGGCCCTTGCCGTCAGGTCTAAGACCACAAGTCGACTTCTACAGTTTCTCACCGCATCCTCGTCTTCTCCTCTGGCACTTCCGGCGTTGGAACATCTACTCCTTCCCAACTTGCATTCGAATGACGGTGAACTGAGAGACATGGTGCAATCCCGTGTCGAATATGCTGGCGGTTTTCGTGCGGTGGAGGTGTGCTTGCACACCTTGGGGCATGTGATAGTATGCTTCCACTCATCGCGGCGTGTGATGGATAGCACGATGGATTGCCCCAAAGTTCGGATGTCATTTAAGAATGTTTCTAGCTAGTTCCTCTGTGTAATTTTATGGATAATATGAAAGTTTCATTTGTGCCTACATGCAATGAAATAAGGCTGCTCCTCACCGGCCCCTTGAATTGAGAGGCGGCTCTGCTCGGCGCAGTGAACAGCTATCTCTCCTGTCGAAATGAGATCTCGGTCGGAGTGAACAAAGAATTGGAACTGGGCATAGGTAACGCGACTAAATTGGCTTGTATTCGATCGCCGAGCAGTGGAATACAAGGATCCCAAAAGCATATAGTATTGTGCAGCGGTCGAGGTTCGAACGCCCGGCTTCCACCGCCAAGTGACGTTCCGTGATTGATCCGAACTGATGGAGACCTTGTTCTCATTTCCGCATTCGCTTTCTCCCCAACGTGCATGTTCTTTCCTCCTAATACAAGGTATCACCTCTAAAGTTTCTATGGTAACCTCACAGACTACCAAAGTACAAGGAGTGACGATGCATTAGCGCAGATATTAGGAGTCCAGTGTGTTTGATTGGTTGATTGCAAGAAGGTTATAGCGTCGACACGGTGTGATATAGGTTCGTCGTCTTTTGAGCTTTTCTACCTATCACCAATCTCAATTCCTACAGAAACTGTTCTGTACATAGATACTACGCGAATCAGGTGAGTTTTTTACTCGCTGATGTCGCTCTCTCTCCATGACTCAAGACTGCATTCATACAGGCTTGGAATCAAATATGTCACTTCAACCCACATCCGCAAGCCACGGCTCGACCACCGAAGACGTGGTGATGAGCGAGAATTCCGATCGATCTCCACAGCACCCTTTTCTAAACGCCAGTCGACACCTATGGAACTGGGTCTTCTCCAACCACACTCGCGCTCTCACCTTCCCCATTAACACCTGTTCTCGGGAACAAACCAGCCCACCTCATTACCCTCCGGAAACACTCCAACCCATGTCTCGACTACACATCAACGCGCTCCCTGTCGAGCTGCTTGGCGAGATATTCGCTCAGTACACCCACTCGTTCCTCGACGGGACGCCGTTCGTCCCGGAAGACCACAGACGTACGCGCCGTCGTCGAAAGCGCGAGTTGCAGATGCGATTTGGGCGCGTCAGTGCACACAGGACCTCGTCTACGAACCCCATTCTTCTCGGCCATGTCTGTGGCTATTGGCGCGCATTGTCGTTGTCGATGCCCGAGCTTTGGTCCAAGATTTGCGTCACCTTTCCTACCACCTCCGACGTTCCCCTGCTTGACATGTGGCTCAAGCGATCCGGCACATCTCCTCTCGACTTGACGATCGTGCATTCACAGGGAAGAGTCAAAGATGACGGAATCGATGACATCGTCAGACTTACGTGTGGACAGAATCACCGCTGGAAGCATGTCACCCTGATCCTCGGTGAACATGTTGACCACCTCTTCGATGCTTGGGCGCCTTCGATTCCCTTCCCCCTCTTGGAAGGGATCGACCTACAGCTATCTGATTGGGACGAGGATATTGCGGTTCAACTCTGTCGTCTAATGTACCGCGCACCGAACCTGCGAAGGGTTAGGCACAACACCTGGTGGAAAACTCCTTCTGTAACGTCAGGCATCCCTTGGTCGGTGCTGGAGGATGTCGAATTGAAGGTTCTGGATGCAGACGACCTGGACGTGGCTTTTACCCAGGGTTTGCATCTTCGGAGCCTCACCATTCACAATCTTGTGGGCACGGTCAAGCGCTTGCCTTCGGACCCTTCGATGCTTCCGCATCTCGGATACCTGTCTATCGGAAGTGGAGACATTCATCAGATACTTCGAAAGGTGGAACTTCCCGCCTTGAAGGAGCTTCACTTACCTGAAGGGTTGGGAGGACGTCATACATCTCAAACTGTCCCCGATATTCTCCAGGAAATTACTCGATTTTCATGTCGGCTCGAGAAGCTCTTGGTGAATTTGGGACACCCTGCCGACGAAGACATACTCATCACTATCCTGCAGTCGCCGGTGATGACAGACCTCAAAAGCCTCGCGATTAGATCCAAGGCCACGGGCAAACTCTTGCAGTTTTTGACTCCGTCTTCATCCTCTTCTTCCCCACTATCCAAGTTGGAACATCTGATTCTTTCCAAACTTTACTCGAACGATGGCGAACTTAAAGATATGGTTCAATCTCATGTCGGTTGTTCGGCTAGTAGGCTACGGTCTGTGGAGGTATGTTTTTATACCCATAGTCATGCTATCGATAAGACGATAGAATTTCCAAATATCCGCATGTTGTTAAGTACTGTTTACGGCTAGATACAAATGATGTAAAATCAACAACGTTGTGTATAGAGAAGAGTGGGACTCCTTTGAGAAATGAGAGTTTGGCGTTACTGGCGGGATCCCCTAAACCGCCTCCTTGGTCGCATTGACTGGCATACATGCCCGATGTCAACTGAAGGTGTCCTGGGAAGAACATTGCGAAGCTCCCGCAGCATGGCTTTCGTCTCGGCGGGGAAATGTCCCCTCAGACGCACTGTGAGAAGCTCAGAGCCGTGGATGGCAAAAAGCTCGGCTAGGTCGGTTTGCATGCCATCACCAAGGAGCCGAAGCGAGATCGAAACCAGGCTCGGAAGCCTGACATTGTTGAACAGCCCATCTAGGGAAGTCTTCGAGGTGATGGTGAGCGAGCGCAATGGGGCATCCTTTGTGACTGGAGGAAGGTCAGCACCTTGACCGATCACGTCGCGGACGTCCAATGCCTCGAGATATGGGAAAGAGGATATAATAATGAGGACATCCTCGATGGTGAGGTCACAGTCCTTCACGGTGAGCTGGGTAGTCATGAGAGGGATCTCGGCGATCACATCCTTCAGGTCTGACATAGGGCCACTCCATGAGAGTCGCTGCTCGACAAGCTGCGCTCCTTCGCCGGAGAGAACACCTGCGGAATCGACCTCTGGCTTGAGATGCTCAAAGGCAGTGTGGTCCGCCGCCAACCTGGCGACAAGCTCGAGGCGGACTGGAAGGGTGGGGTTCCTGACGGCAGTGACAGGAGAAGAGGGCTCTTGAACAAGAACCCGTCCTCGTCCTCTGGGAATGCCTGAGGGGGCTGCGGGTGGTGGTGGGGGGATGTACCGGGGCATTCCATCGGTTGGCGGAGCCTGAACACGAATCACGATTCCTGAAGAAGTTTCTAACGGGGTACTTGAAGCGAAATGGGGGCTCTGAGGAGACGATGGCTGGGGCAGCGGAGATGGCGACGGCGGGTGGCGCTGGAGCTTGAGCTTGATCATCTTCAGCTGGGTTCTCGGATGCTTGGGACGCCAACTCGGACTCGTCATCGGACGTGTCTGACCAGTCGCTGGTCTGCGACGAGTAGGCGATGGAGCTCGATGAGGAGGGGAAGTCCAATGCTCCTGGAGTCAGCATTGGAATCATGTCCAGGAAGCGGCGGAGAGTCGCCCAGACGCTGGAGGTCTGAACTTCGGCTCCTTGGTCTGGCTCTGGAGACGACATTGCAGTGGATGGGTTGGGATTGATTTAGAGCGAAGTCTGGTCTCGGGGATGGTAAAGGTTTGGGCTAAGGAGGGTGGTTGAGGTCAAATCAATTAAATAGTCGACAAATCACTGTGGGAAGTAGTTCTCGTGAGGACTCAGATCACAACCTGCACTAGGCCACGAGGCGTGTCGCTGCTCAATCGCTATTTGTCTCCTGTTGTGCTTGTTCTTCGCTTTTCTGTTTTTATAAAACCAAATATTTGCTGAAAAAAGATCTATCACAACGCTCCCGCATATGCCCATTGCCCTATTTCAGCCTATTCCACCCCCAATGGCCTCGTCCCTGTCTTGATACGTCGGGGCGTGAAAACCGTAGCCTCTCATAAGCCTGCCTCTGGCGCAGTCTATCTTCCATTATACTATTCCTCCAACACTGTGTCTTTTGGACTAACTCGTAGCTGTATTAGGGCACTCTCCAATTAGCGCTCTCCGACGGCTTTGCCTTGGCGAACCCCAATCCAAGTCACCAAGTCAGTGTGATCGGTTGGGGTTCAGGACTGCCCTCAAATGGGAGTAAAACGTGTGAGAGTGTGAGCCCAGGATGGGGTGATAAACATCTAGAACACATATACACCAGAAAACGTGCGGGAAGAACATGAACAGCAAGCCTGCTGGAGCTACACTGCCACTGTGCCACTCGCGAAAATGGGGTAAATTTTGGCAATGAAGGTTCTATGACTTCGATCAGCAGTTCTGATTGCTCTCTCCGACCAGGAGTAGATCACACAACGAGCAGAACCTCCGCCCTGTCATGGACCCAGTGGGATGAAGTAGGAGATAATAATCGCTAACTGCAATTCTCCTCCGCCGACCTGGTGACGAAAGTCAGAGCGAGGTTAGCCGAAACGGACAATCAAAACCGTCATAATATGTACTAACCTGTCAGTATATGCCTGCGCGAAGATGAAGAAGGATAGAAAGATTGTTTCGTGAGGCGCATACGAGTGCCAGGCAAAAGGCAGCACATTCAATCAGCACGAATTCAACATTCAGCTCCGAGTCGGCTCGGTACCAATTGCTCAGTCACGTGACCACTCCCACTGTAATTACAAATACCTAAGTAGGTATCTACTATCTTAGTATCTACGGTCAATGGCCATCATCCACGGTTTCTTTTCTGAGAGTCGAGCTGGATATGCTTGGTCCAACGCGTGTAATTTTGGGCCAAGGTGCGCCACCGGCCAACGAAGGGGTCGAAGAAGACGAAAGGAATGAAGACGAGGGGAAGGTCGACTTACGCATTCTGACAGATTGAGTGCTGACAGTCAACATTGTGCTAGCGGTCATCTTGGATGAAGGACGTACCCCTCCAATAATTTGGTGAACATGAGGGGAAACCTCTCCGGGTGTGACCAACCTAGTACAGTCCAGACAATCAGCGGTTGAGATTCAGGTCCACATGCTGAAGGAGACTCACGGATCGAATCGTTCAGTCACCAACTGAGCACATCCAAACCGGATAGTCGCTCTGACCGAAGGAACTGCGCTGAGCGCAAGCGCTAACAAAGATGGTACAAGCATGACTGCGAGAGGCACTTCTGCTGTGAAAGGCGACCAGAAGCCATCTCTGTGTATTTATATAGCCCATTAGAAGGCTGCATGATTCTGCTCCACTGCTGGTCAAGTGGACGGACTGCGATTCATCGGTGGTGTCCAGTAGGTGTGCAGAAGGATTCGAAATTCGAGAGCACCCTAGAGAGAAGACAAGACTTCGCCGAGATTAAGGAGAAACCATTATCGCAGTGACTCAGAATGACGACGGTATCGATAATAATCAGGTTTGTTCGAAGAAGTCAAGATTTTTGGATGCAGTCGAAGAATGCGCCAATTTTTCCGACTTCGAAATTGTATGCAGAAGAGGCGACCTCCAGGCAGGGCTTCTAGATAACGGAGCCGAATTTAAATTTAGTTGGTGGCTGTTGTAAGCGCAGATTTCCAGGTCGCAAAGAGAGCCCAGTCAGGGAGGTGGAAGACCAAGTCGAAGCTGAATGCGCGAAAAGCGGCATCGCGCAGGATCGAACCATGATGATGATGCACCAATCACGTGTCACGGGCGCTTAGAAAGCTCGATGCACGAATTCGAACCCTGGTGGGGAAGGGAGATTCCAAAATTCAAATGCATTCGAATTTCGTCCGTGTACTCCATCTACAAATATGCACATCCAATAAATGATTCTTCGCATAGTCGCTCAAGGGGCGGGGGTAACACCAGCAACCGGGGGACGAGTAGCAGCCGGAATACCAGTCGTGGAGATGGCCTTGCAATCTCTAACCATAGTCGCGGGCTCAGGGCCATGTTGGATGGGGTTGCATCCAGGGAGTTCCGGAAGCCCTGTAAAAACGCTGTCAGACTACCGCATACTATCGAGACTCAAACAAGTGACTCACATTCTCCCTCGGTAACTTCGTTGATCGAAGTTTGCTTGACGCACTGATCCATCTCCTCATCAGTCTGGAGAGTAAGAACCTCGCAAGCCTCCGGCCACCCAAAGTAGTCGAAGCAGTTGTCCATAGCACGCTGGAGGGAGTCGCCTTCCCAGCCGAAGAGGTAGTCTCCGTGGTGTCCGTAGCCAGTGCTAGATTCCCCGGTAAATCGTAATTCCATGAAAAGAGGGAGGTGACTTACGGGTCTCCTTGGCTAAGAACGAATGGCTGGCTTCCGTCTTCAGGCCACATGTGGTTGAAAGGACGGGTATCCCAGCTAATTTCGAACAAAATCGTAGGCGTCTTCACCGGGTGGGTTTCCGGGCATTCGCCCTCATGCCAGATGATACCGAGCCTCTCATCGACTCTTCCCAATGGGAAGGCCATGTGGCTCTAAGTCACGCTCAGAGGGATCACCCAGGATAGACACCAATAATTCGTACCTTGTGGTCACGGCTATCCGTGTTAACGCCATCCCAGCAACTGTACAAACTAATGAACAGGTTCTTCAGCGCCAGAAAAGACAGAATGACATACGAGGGGAAGAAAGTGTTACTACGAATACCACCCAGGCACGGCTTCTTGGGGAGATGGACAGTATCCCAAGCACCCACACCTGGTGCATGTTGGTTGGATTGTCCAAGCCACTCCTGGTCTTCCCAGCATCGGAAACTCAAGGAGTAAGACTCGACGTCGTCCAGGCTGGATGGCTTCCCGGTTCGCTTCATTGGGTTACCGGTAATCATTCGGAAACCCTGTTTCAGCGGTTTTAGAGAGTGGCGATGCAGTAAACCGTGGCAGAACTCACCTTGGGGAAAGCAGTGATCTTCTTGTCGAATGGAGGTGCACCGGGGAGGTAATACACGGTCATCCCCCCATTGTGATTTCCAACGAGGTGATTGGGCATTTGAGGAACCTATGATCGGCAATACCTCTCGACTGAGTCCTTTCCCGAAACGAGCAAGGCATGGATGGCGTACCCTGATGAAGCTACCGTTGGGATGATGGAAGTACAAAACAGCGGTCCAGTAGTTGGACTTGTTCTCCTTGAAGCGACACGTCGTGCAAGTCGCGATGCTGGCAAGATCAAGGTCGGGGTCCATCGTCAAGTTGAAGCTGCGGAGCGAATGGTCAGTCCAATGCGTCGCCGCTTCTAGAGTAATCCTTACGCATTCTAGAGGGAGAAGATTAGCCGCTGGATCGCCAGACTAGGAAACAATGGTACTCACTCCTCCAATGATCTGGTGAACGTGAGGCGATACTTCTCCAGGAGTAACCAACCTATAGACCATCGTCAACCGCAAAGCGCAATGGTGAAGAGGAATGAAACGCACGGATCGAATCGCTCAGTTACCAACTGCGAGCACCCAAATCGAATCGTCGCCTCAACACTCTTCGCAAGGAGCACACCCGCTACCAAATGTAAAGCCCGCATATTGTGGTCGCCCTATCTTTCACAGTTCGCAGCACGGAGGGGCACAAAAACGCAAAAACACGGAGAACCACCTGAAGCTCCACACACCGCTCTTTAAAGGATTTAAACCAGGACACCAAGACAAACCAGCCCTTCTCCTGCCCTCTAACAGCCGCTGCATTACGAAACTCTTCACCTCCTTCGCCCATTATATGCCTCTGCCAATATCGCGAAGCAACATACCGCCCAATCATATTACGCAGAAGCAAGAGGACACCTCCGAGGTTGAGGAGAAACGTTCTTCATTTGAATAGCCAAGGGCGTGTGGTGGTGCGGTAGCGGAAGGGAGGGAAGAAGAAGCCAAAATCTTCATTTGGAGAGGCAGTGAATGTTTCCGAAGTTATGAGAGACGAGAGGGGGGAGGTGCAGCGCTTGTCTGTTGAGAAGCTGACATGGACATGGTCATAGAACCTAGCCATGTGCCAACGATTGAAAGAACCACCAAACTGCCCGTGGTTGTCGAAGCTCTGGCGGATTGGCTGTGGCCGGGCCATAGTGATTGGTTCTAATGATACATAGATCCCTTTAGACTGATAGGCCATGTTCTATCATGAAGAAGGTCCCGGTCGCAGAATACATTTCCAGTTGAAGAACCAAGTCCTGGGAATATCCTAAGGTACCTGAAATCCACTTTCGACCAACATCACGTGACTAGCGTGACATGGCCTCATTTGGGCAATTTTCAGGCCAGAATTCAAAGAAAATGGGTTAGATAAAGCCGCGAGATGCTATGCGTAAATTTGACGCCATCGAATGGTGCCTACTAGATGTAAATAGGGCCCGAATCAGTAATATTGAGCTATTGGGGTAAATGAGAGCAAGATTTTTGCGCCATAGTCTCTCTAAGGCTAAAAGTACGCGTCGCGTCGCGTAAAACATGGGCAGGCACTCAAGATATCTGGCCTCCCGGTTCCAAAACTTACTCGGAGGTACAAAGATGCCTACAACAAAGGTCTCAGTGGCCCTCACGCTGCCTGGGGTGCAAGGCGCTATCGGGGCCACCGTAACATTCCCCCAGAATGGCGTATTGACCTTGATAATGAGGTCAAGAAGCGAGCCGGCGCTGCTGCGGCGGAAAAGTAGTCACATTGGGCGTGACATGTTTTGTTTGTTAAATTCCGTCATCGTCTTGCCTCCAAATCCCTTACTTTCTGGTACACTCATTCTTTGCCTGTAGCATGCTCGTCCTATGGTTTTATTTTTCTCTCATTTGTGCGTACAGTTTGTAAAAATCGGCGAAAGTGAGAAAAATTGGGTGGTGTGCCCGATTTGGCACTCGCGGTCACACTATCGGTCACACCATGTGACGTTGGTCGAAAGTGGATTTCAGATACCTTAATGGACCCAGTGCAGAGACGGTGCCGACAGTGTCGCAACAAGAGAAGCAACGACAGCGACTGACTGAGCATCGCAGGAGAAATATCGCTAAAGGCGGGCACCGTTATCACCGTCTTCATTGTCGTCCACGACAAAAATGATGACAGGAAAAGACAAGAAGCATCTGTCTGCCATGACCAAGATTTGTTTGTATTCAAACCTACCGCCAAACAAACTTATCTCATCCTCCCTCCACTGGATCCAAACCTGTCGTTTGAGAGTTTTATAAAACTACAAGAAAGCTACATGTAACAATGACAACACGAGTGCTCATGCGTAAATGACAGTGCGGCAAGTTGAAACTACAGAATTGGATCATCAGCGTCAGAAAAGGGAGGTCATGCGAAGGTAAGTGGACGGCGGGGTCAGTCCAAAAAGATCTAACAACAGGGATAGATGTACAGGTGTGCAGAAGGTCAGCGTTTACAACAAGGAAAGCCATAATTACTAAAATACAAATGCGAGTCCGTCGTCATCACAAGGTCGTGTATGCTTTCAATATCCCAAGGAGCGGTGCATCGCACGAAGGTGAGGAGGAGGTTTGAATGTCAGGTGTGGTAAGGTTAATGAGGGATTCCCGCCTTGAAGCAACAACCACTGCGTGAGATCCGAAAGCAAAGAAATAAAGAAGAGAAGTGAAACCACAAGGCGCAAGAGGGAAAGTTACGCTTCCATTGTTAAACTGGAACTATCCCGACTCAATGGGTCTTTTGCGCCGATAGCAGCCATCGCTTCTCTACTCGCTTCGGCATCATGATCGACCACCGACAACTCTGCCACTCCCATCTCCATCACTGGTAGAGGCTCTTCATCATCATCGAGGTTCGGTGGGCGATACAGCGAAGGATGTTGTTGGGAAAGTGGATGATCTTGCGTTGGGCTGAGTGCACTTGAGGCTGGCGTACTCGAGCTGGCTGTCGGCGGTATTGACGATGATAAGGCGTGCCCTGGCTTTGGCGGTCGTGGCATGGCAATTATTACGGCGACTCGAACGACAGGTGGTCCACCGTCTGGTCCGCAAGCCGGAGGAGTCCCTGGAGGCTGGGCAGGCGTGACATTATCAGCTGCGGCACCAGCCACGTTGACCTGCGAAGCGTTGCTTGAAGGAGTGAATGCGGGTCGTGGAGGGAAGCCAAAGAACCACCGGGCACCGGATTGCAGAGTTTGCCCGACATTTCTTGTCCAATGCGTATTGGGAGTCGGTTGATCGGCTACGGTCTTTGAAGCCCCTGGCTCCGCTTTGACGGCAGGGGCGAGGTAAGCTGCGGAGACAGGTTTGATTGCATCCCAATCCCTAGGTTCCTCGTAGCCCCCGTAGTTACCGCCCAGGTCCTTCTCGCTGTTTGAGCCAAGGTATGCGTCCCACATTATTGGCTTTTTCGATAGGTCGACTCGAGGTGCTCGTCCGCCAGGGCCTCCAGTTGGCGGTGGCGGAGGTACCCACGTTCCATTCCGAATGGCTTCTTCTACCAATCGCCTATGCCGCCGCCTGAGCATGAAGGAGCGGATAACGATGGCCGCAGATACGGATAGGAGAAGCACAAGCGTGGCGAGGAACGTGTAGACTGGAGAGGTGTTGGCGGGCGGCGGTTGCGAAGACATTGAGGAGGATGGTGGAGGGTCAAGTCCATGAGCAGAGGGGGATCACATGGGCAGAGTGCGGACATTAAGAAGCAAAGAAGTGGGAAGCAAGGGAGATGTCAGAATATCATTAACGATATGTCAATTAGATACGTACGATACAATGCAGCACTTGAGGCTATTGGGCGCATTCCCCCATTTCCACCACCGCCTCCACCCCCTCCTCCACCCCCGGTCTCCCCCGGTGGTGGCGCGATGAACGTCGAGCCAGCTGTCGGTCGTGCTGTAGGCTGGCTGAAAGCACTAGAGCCTGATAACGTTTGGGACAGATCGAACGACGAGGACATGGTTGGACCGTTGACTGGGAAGTGACGATGGTGGGGTTATAAGGTTGGTCCCAAGTGCGAGGCACCACCTCGTCAGATGATTTAAAAGTGTACCAGTCCTACTGTGGAGCCTTGGATGGCTGAGGTTTGGTCTGCAGCTGGCCTACGACGACGAAGCGAACAAGACGACGGGCAACCACCCAGTTGATACTAATTGCTGATTCAGATGTTGCGGTGGTGACTGCGTGAGTTCTGTGCGTGACCGAGGGAAGCCAGGGTGGACTTTTACGGTTTACACTGCTGTGCTGCCGTTGTCCCAATTCGAAGACTGGCCAACAAATACCGATGGGTAGAAATCTGTCGTCAGCAGTTCAGTGACTTCTGTATGATATCGACAGTCTCTAATATTAGCCTGTGGCCCGTTGTAATATTGATACAGGATATTTACCGGGAATCACCTCACAGCATGCAGCGTTGTTTCCGACTGATTCTGCAGATACGACGGCGACGACGACGGTGGCAAGAAACAAGAAACAAATTCGAAAACAAGATGTGAGGACACCCGGTGCTGGGTCTCTGTTCGCATGGTAATCGCGCTTATGTAACATTACGTCACATGCCCCGCGTGAGACCAGGCTCCCATAGCGGTAGTTCACCAAAATAAGCGCTCTTTGCTGGCTCCTCATCTTCCGAGTAACGCCAACGGATAGCTTCTGCTGTCATGAGATTCTCGATGCCTTCGAATGACTAGCGGCCACGTCAGTCAGAACTCCCCGGTGTAGAGTTTTCGTTCCATCATTCCAGCCTCGGAATACAGCTAGGCCAACGATGTCCGTGGTGAAACGGCGTCAGCCCACAGCCTTCCATGATATCCCTCGAAAGGCGGACTGTGGTTTCACCGATATCTCATCGCATAACTACACTAATAATAGAGTACAACGGGACAAACCGGCCGAGAGTATCCGGACAGCCAACCCTCTTCCGGCCCGTCTCATCGTTCATCTCAGAGTGCAGAAGGGGATGGAGCTTGCTTACAAGGGCTGTATGAGTAGAGATTTTGGAGAGTCGGTCTTATATCCATTAAAGTAACCCCCGCTGACGTCGTTTGATCCGAGTCCCATTAGTGGCGCCCATACCCCTAATTGATTTGCACCTCGACCTTCGCCAGCTCACTCAGCCGCCCGGTATTGATGGTACACTATGCGCAATGCACGATTATCACTGGGTATCAAGAATAACATAATACATACAAAACCCCTCCACCAAATAAGCGCCCGGCTCTAATGCTATGTACAAAACGTGTCCGAGAACAAATGAAATGGAATCGCTGAACCAACGCAGCGACATGAAAAACGAGAAAGGTAAGCCCGAACTCAAAAGTAAAGCCTAATTCTTCCCTCCAGAAGCCGACCTATCCCTCCTCCTCATCTCCATCGAATCCGTCGACGCCTCCTTCCTCCGCCTCTCCTCCTTCCCTCCCTCCTCCCTCACCCGATGCACAAAACTCGAACTGAACGACGAGATCGCGATGGAAGGCAACGAAGGTATCGTTATCCCATTCAGATCAACCTCCACAGCCCACCCAGACTGATCCATACCACCCGCCGCGTCCATATCCACATCCATAGCATCCCCATCACCACCGCCCACATCCCTCCTCCGATCCCGATTCGAACTCTCGCCCAATGGCTCCCTGATAGCCATATGCGCCACAGACGACGACAACGATGAATTCGACCTGTGGTGCGTCTTGTAGCTCGTAGTTGACGACGACACCGAGGACGAGGATGTCGATGACGTCGTCTTGTTGCTATTCTTGTCGTTGCTAGCCCGATTCTGACGAACCCAGTTGGAGATGGAGGGGACAGGAGGGATCATCACCACCCTCGTCGTCGAGCCCCCAGAGCCCGCAGCTGCAGCTGCAGCTGCTTTAGCAGCCGCCGAATTGGCGCGATCGCGTTTCTTGAGGGCGCCAAGACTGGCACTGGAGCTACTCCTGCTTCTCGACGAAGGCGTAGAACCGGTCGAGGAGTTTGTCGTGTTGGAAAGGGTAGACCGGTGACGTCCCTTATACATCGCCTTGCACTCGGTGCCTTCTGATGAATTCGTTTTCTGGTGATGGTACCCTCGTTGGTTGAAATCGGGCGAAAGAGGCCGGTTTTCTGAAAGGACGGGTGATCGACGGCAGTGGTAGTCCATTGAGGACGAAGAAGATGAGGCGGTTTGTCCTTCGGAAGGGTGCATCGCTGCGCGAAAAATAGGCTGGTTGTCGAAGGTACGAGTGATTGGGTGGTAGGCGCAATACGAGACTTGCAGCTGAAATGTCTCGAAAGAAATACGGGGATTATAAGACACTCCTCGTTGCAACAACCGAAACTCGATCGAACTACGGGTATCGCTGGGTCGACCGATTATAAGCCTCAAATGTAGCGAACCAACAAGCCCGCTATCACAACCCGGAAGGAAACAAGCGCAGGTGCTGGAGAGAGGGAGAGGGGGGATGTAGCAACAGCGCAACCAAATCTCCCCTGGAGGGATACGACACTTAAATATAAAAAGACCCCAGCCTCGCCTAGCCTCAGACTCCGAAACCAATTACGACGAGAGATGCGGATTCAGATGATGTGACGACACGAGACGACGACGACGACGGCGACAACGACCGATGGCAGCACAAGTCAGTTACAATGATTCCAGGGTAACAGGCCCGGTATTGGCATTGCAACGAGCGAGCCGGACTCGCACCGTGTCCGTGGACAACGAAAAAAGGATTGTGCTGGGTACTTAACAACGTTAGCAACAACAACGTTAACAATGTCACTAAGTACACCTGTAGCGTACCGAGTTCGAGTCTGTGCTTCGCGCTTGCCCTGCCTGTCCGGCAACTCAGGGAGATCATTGGCTTGGTGTTCGCGCTTGGTACTTGGATACATGCTGGGTGGCCTTGAACAAATGCCATTGTTTTGGAATTCTTCTGACAATGATTGGCGAGTAGTTAGGGTGCAATACTCAGTTCCTGGAATCCTGATTGTAATGAATTATCCGATGCGATACAATATAATATAATAGATGGTGCCACTGCAAAGTCCATAGCCCCCAGTACCTTCACGCCCTTATCTCAAGCGGGGCTGAAGATTGATTGCGATGCATGAGAACACAGGATGGCAACACTTCCTATCAAACAATTAGCGAGAAGGATCACGGGTGTACATGTTACAGAAGTGCCCAAGTACTATACTACGGCTTACCAGTGGCCTTTCTACACCTCCGTGTAGGCTGTATCACCAGCCAGACTTGCAACAGCCACCGACGACGCTAGAGACGGAACAGAAACAATTCAGGTTTACTGATCACCATATGTGCCTTGCCTTGACGACGGTATACTTATCACTCTACTTGCGCCTATAAACGAGCCTAAAATACCACATTTTGAACCTCAGTTCACTACAGCTGGTCGCCAGAAGACTTTGAATCTGAGGAGAAATTAAAGGAAGAATTCCAGGTGCTTCATCGGATTCGGGGCCGCACGCCAACTGAACATCCTCGTAGCAGTAGAAGGAATGGAGATAGCACGACTCTAAGCTCACCTCGGTAATCGACGAGGTAAAGGTAGGACCCATGGCAACGAAAGAAGTTCATGAACTGATTATTCTCCGTCTCCTTCGTAGATGATTTACTTCAGGCTTGCTGCTCCTACTGCTGCTCTGCCTTGTAACTCTAGGCCCTGTCGTATGATATCATCGCGAAGGTTCCAACTCCTCGTCCGACTTTTTGCTGACAACAACTCGAGCCACAGGGTAGTTCCATTCCAATGGCTATCCACGATGTAGTAACTCTAGAGTACAAGGAACCATTCAAAAAAATCAAATGGTACGGTCCCTCGGATCGAGGCTTCTCATAAACTACAAACCGAACCTTCTACACAATCTGGTCGCCCAGCCAGCCAGGAGGCGGCGCCGTTTCGTAGTCCTAAGTAGCAGTCGTATAGTACCCTCTCCCACAACACCGTGATTCCAAGATCTAACACAATTTAGCAACTATTGCTAACTGCATATAATCATTTTTGCTTAAACGCCCCGAACTCTCAGCGCCTCCCGCGACTGCCCCTGCCATACATATAAACGTACACCCCAATCAGCTCACAAAGCAAGGTACAAAGGTGGTAGATAGGCACCGACGACGACGATGACGACAACGTAGTTGTTCCTTGGTTGTATGCAACTTGCTTCCCTTCCGTCTCGTCACCATCAAAACGTTAACACGGTCACGGTTTCGGTTCCATCCATCATCCATCTCCAACGATGGTCGTTCCCAAACCAAAAACGGGCATCCTTGACAACAGTATGGGATTCCTTTCGTTTCGCGTTACATACATTTAGTGCAGTAGAGACCAGAGTCCCACTGGTAGTCCCACTGGTCTCGTCGTAAGCACTGGTTGTAACTAAACCATAAGCCTGAATAGTGGTGACTACTGGTTGAATCGTTACGACTACGATAATTCTTCCAACAATAAATCCCCCGTCGGTCATCCTGGTCGCTAATTACTCAGGCTCAGGGACCGTATTTGTTGCTACTTACCCTTTAGTTTCGTAACTTGTAACTCGCCTAGCGGGATGAAGAAAACACCATTAATAAAACCCTGACGAGTTGCGAAGCAAATCATCATAAATCTTCAAGCTGAGGCCCTTGCTCACGTACATCCATTCCATTGCGAGGCACACGGTCCCCTTCTGAGACCCTATAGCTAGAGACCGCTTAGAACGAGGAACCTGAATTTATTTCAATTTTTAGCCCGCTCTGACCCTGGCCCTAGGCAGACTCCTCATAGACAGTTCCCTCCCGTTGAAGCTCAAACCATTCCTCCTCCTCCTCCGCGTCGGGCGCGTAACCATCACCCAAGTACCCTTCAAACATCGAACCAATACTCTACTCGACAGCCAGCGCGTCGCGCTGTCACTGCGTCCAAGCATAAGCATAGAGTTTAGCGGCCGGAGGTAGACAGTATACGTACTAGTCAGCCGTCCATGATTCAGAGAAATGATAACCTCCGCATACGTCTAGTATCCGATGTCTCTAGGTCCCTACTACTTGACGAAACATACTTACAACGACGACAATCAAGGGTCCATCCTGTCCGACTGTCACCTCCCTCCCTTCTCCTGCGCTCGCGACAGCCGATTGACCACCCTGACACGAGCATGAGGGACAAGTCCAACGGCCAATTATCCTTCTGACAGGATACGACCAACAATCATTAATCAACGTTGGACGTCGCGGCGCCTATGGAGTAGAGTGAAAGTATGGAGTATGCACGCCTCCTCAAGGTGCCGAGAGGACCTGGCAAGCAGCTAGTATGCATCAGACCAGCGCTAGTTGAATGCGGAAACAACAGCCTGAACACCACTCCACTCCTGGATGTAACGCGAACATCTCAACCGGCCGTCAGGTATCAAAGCACAGGCTAGAATGCCAGAATCCAAAATCGACAACGGCAGGGAAGAACTAGCTCCCCTCCAAAAAAGAGTCTGTCTGTTCGCACTAGCAACAGTAGTAAGTACGCTCTACAAACAACGATGAAGAAGAACGAGAAGAAACAACGACGAAGAGAAGGAACAAGGTTTCAATGCGTATCAGGTCACTAGTCACTAGGTATGAATATTCAGAATATATGCAGGGATGCCAGAATGCAGAATCAAAAGAAGAATGAATATGCGTTAGACCAAGACAAGTTGCAACTAATATGCATCATGCAATGCCAATGCCAAAAGAAAAGTCAGTGGCAAGCTCGAGACGGAAGTGCAATACCTCGAGGCTCGAGTGAAGAAATGCAGTAGTCAATATATAAAATAGAATAGAATAGAAACATGTGAAAATCGTTCAAGAGTCATTCGTTAGCGTGCGGTTCCAAGAGTCATAACCTTAAGACTTCAGAAAGTTGAAGAGGGATAACGGGGTTGTAAGGATGAGATGCCGTGCAATGCAGACAAGAGTAGATGCGTGTATGTGTGAACGAGGAAAAGGAGGTCGTAACAGAGTCGAAGGTAGAGTCGAAGGTAGGTGGCGTCGATTGGATGGTAGTAGTGTGGGAGTAGCGGCGTAGAAGATAACGATGATAATTGGTGGTGCGAATGGTAGGCGGTGTGGATATCGAATAGAGGCGCGGAATTTCCAAATGAGTAGGGCGGAGGCGTCCATCATCAGCAGTCCAATCACGGCAGGATGCAGCGACAGAAGCGGGGATCCAAGCGCATGTGGGGACACGTTCCTCCTTCATGGATCAGGTGAAGCGGATTGGGAGGGGGAGGTAAGAGGGGCGTCGGAAGGGAAGCGAATGAGCAGAGACGGAGGCACCAGAGATCCGACCTGTCCACCTCCTTCAGCGGAAGGACCCAGCAAGGCAAAGCTTTTCCCTTCCCAAGGCGCGGAATGGGTACTTCGAGGGAGGTACCTCATCCGGGAGAAGGGCGAGGTATGGTGTGACGGAGGCCTCGCGAGCAGAGGACGACTGCATCCCAGAGCAAGCCTGCATACCGCCAGCGGATCTGGAATGCATCAATTCAATTACATGCGCCGCCATGCACATGCTCCGTGACGCCGTCCTAGCCTGTGGTCTGCGTCGTCCTGGATTGACCAACCATAACAGCAGCAACCACGACGCACACAACCCGGACGGTCGTCCCCATACCTCCTCCCAAGGATAGGTTACCGAGTCAAAACCATATCCCAGATCTCAAATCTTAAGCTCCCTAAATCCCCTCACATCAACCCTCCCAACGCCGGTCCTCACCCACTCCTCCACCTCCTCACCACCCCCTTCATCCTGCTCACCGTCCCTAAATTCCCGGACCTTCACCGCATTCCGGCCTTGGTACCGTCCCCCAGGGATAATAATCTTCCCAGCACCACTCACCCTCCCAGCCCCAGGTGAGTTATTGTCCGCGCCAAAGACCAGGGCGGCTCGGGGTTTGGGCAGCCCGAGTGCCTTGCGCTGTCGTCTTGTCAGGGGTTTCTCACCCCGGGCGGAAGCTGACTGGTGGTGCGCAGGCATATGGGAGAGATGCTGTTGGCGTTTCAGAGCTCGTTTGGACATGGGACTGGCGCTGGTCGGTTCGAGCGAGCGATGGCGTGCGGGGACGGGTGCGGAGACCGAGGTCGGGCCGGGTGAAGGTGGGAGAGACTCGAGTTCGCTAAGGCTGGAATACCCGTCATCGTCCAGCAGACTCGCGACGACATGATTAGTCTCTGCGACCTCTTCGTCATCCTCAGCGGCACTGGAAGAGCTTGAGGAACTGGAAGATCCGGGTGCCGAAAGACCAGGGGTCTCCTCGCGCTCCTTCTCCGCCGAGTCGGTGTCAGCGTCCTGCTCGGTGTCGATTTGATGCGACAGCGCGAGACTCCCGATCCGACTCCGTTTGTCGACTCCTCGGCTCCGCTCGACGTCGTCTGCCACGCTCTGGCCGTCCTCGCTTGATGTGGATTCGTCAAAGGTCCGTTTAGGGGATCTGTGGATGCGCATGGAATGAGGAAGTGCCGATGGGATGGGGCCGGAGGGTAATGACAGTTGCGAGGCGGTCGAATGCGGCGGTGATGCAGAAGAGGATGCAGGAACTTCTGGTGCAGGTGTGGACGACGATGAAGGGACTTGCGACTCGGGCAGGGGAACGTCTGCTGGGTCTTGTGACGTTGACAGCGTCGACTCGATTGGGGATGGGGCCGAGAGTTTCAGCTTGACTTTGGGCAGCTTCCTGGCCTTCTCCCTCTCCTTCCTTTCCTTCTCTCGCTGGCGCTTAGCTTCCCTCTCCCGTTCCTTCGGCGTGATAGCGGCCGGTGGGTCTTGGTAGGCCGGGGCAGTCTCCTGGACATTGGGGAAGCCGCTGTGAGGCCCCTTGAGATTGCGGATGGACGAAAAGTGCTCCCAGTCGTGGTAGCTATCGGAGAAGGGGGATGAACGAACAATAAGTGCAAGACACAGGGTGGTGACTTACGCCACATAAATGGTCCCCTTGCTAATCGTGTCGTCGTGCTCCTCTGCTTCTAGCTGTCGCAGAGCCTTCTGCCGCTCCTGCTCATCGAGCCCCGCATCCCACTCAATTACATACACAAGCCCCGGCTGGATAACCTTGACGTTACGCTTGACCATGTGAGCAAACGAGCTGAGCTCGAGGTGGCCGCCATACGTCCCGTTCTCGCGCATGCATCGGATATGGACATCCAGACCCCTCTCGTCCTCGACAAACGGCTCATAGCGAGACTTGTGCTTGACGATGAAATCGCAAATGTCCTGTCTCAATTGGGCATGCTTCGAGGGAGAGCCGTATAGCTGATCTGAGAGAGCTCGAAATAGACAGTTGCCATCGCCCAGAGTGTTGGCTGCATAGAGGCCTAGGGAACGCAGCTGGTTATCGAGCTGAGCCGACGATTCATTTGGATCTGAGAGGACGAGGCGGGGTTTTGAGGATCTGGTTGTGCGTGTGCGGCCTGCGTGGGACGATGAACACACATGTGTGGTGCCTCGACGAGGGCTAAGACGCACCCTGGGGTTGGTTCTTTCTATGAGTCTTTCCCATCTAATATCTCTTGGTCTGCTTTAAATTCGTAAAATATCGTTTCTTGTCGTCCTACAATTACAATTGGATTTTTTTTTGAATTGTGTGGGTCGCGGTGTTGTCGGGTGATGGATAGACAACGCCCAGGATAAGTCCGTGTTGGGTAAAATTGTGTATAACAGAAAAGAAGGAAAAGGAGAGTCTGGGGACGGTTTATGTAAAAAGGCTGAGGGGAGGGCGGCTGACTTGGGCGATGGTGGTGGTTGCAGTTTGACCTGGGGATTCCCTTCTTCATTTCGGCATTTGCCGCGATGCCGGCACCATTAAAATTGTCCATCACTGATGCTCCTCGCCATCGTTGATCAACCGTCCTCGTCGTCGTCAGCGATGATGAGACACCCTTGCTCACCGCCTCCGATGACCCCGGCCGCTCTAGCCACTCGTTTCACCGTTTTTACCCGCTGTGCTTAGTCTGCGCCCGGCGTTATGCTCATAGGCCAATTGACGCCAGCAGCCGACCCTCTGTCTTCCTGTTCGTCTTATCTGAGCCATCGCTAGCGCCCTACCGTTGAGGATTCTGCTTCTGGGCGCCAAATCTCGGGGTTGTGGAATACCAGCAGACGATCTTCTTCACTTCTTCACGGATCCACAGCGACTTGGCATTACATCGTATTCCCTTGCTTCTCGACTCTACCCCCCACTTCTCCACGTTCCACTTGCGTGCACCTTATTACCTCGTCGACAAGAATAATATCCAATCAGGACCCTGAGTTTGTGTATGTTCCTAACTTTCGAGCGATCGAGAACTCTTTGGCTATCGAGCTCAACTTGCGAACTCGGGTTTGCCTCGTTGCATCCACGCGATTCGCAGAACACGAGGCCTTGACAGTGGCGCTTCAGAATTCTCTCTCTGGCTTCCCCCAAAAAACAACCGACATTAATGATATCTATTGGGCGCTAATCGATTAAAACTCAAGTGAGTCTCTTTCATCGATAAGATAACGAGTTTACTCACCGGAGAATCATAGATTGGTCACTGATACGAAGAACACTTAGACTATACCCCGATTGCTTCTCTACATTGACATCTTCTCGGTAGGTCTAGTCTAGTCTCTTCCTCCATCTTCTGTGATCACAGACCACGAAACGTAAGTAGAGTCCGATGTCAAACTGATAAGTATCCCGATCGAGGAACTCCAATACAGCATTTTGGGCTCACCGATTGGATAACGGTAGTGGGCCCATTGGACCCTGTAACGGACGGGCCTAAGCACAGGAACCTCCGAAAAATCAACGAAAATCTACGGCTTTAGCCCTGGCCATCGCCAGAGTGGTGTGCGCATGTGGGTCCATCCGCACACCCCTATTCGACAAAAGGCAAGAGGCTGCAAGAAGCACCGCCGCGCCCGAGCTTTGATCATTCGTCTGCCGTCGACGACTATATCAGCACCCACTGGATAACGCAGCTTGGACCGTTCGTTCGCCTCTCTATAATCTGACCGGCCCGCCCTTGTGGGACCGCCGCACTACCGCTTGACAATTATGGGTTGTGTTGTCTATTGTACAACGTCCACAGCCCGCTCCCAATTCTTGCCGGCCCTGCATGGCGCGCTCACGGTTCTGCACAGCAGCCGGTATCGGGATATTGTTGTGCTGTGAACGTCGCTCTTCGGTCAAAGCGCCGCCTCCCGCATTTGTTAACGACGCGCACTTCGTTCATATGGCCCTACCTCGACGCTTTGACTCTTGGCCCTTTGACTACTGGCTGCATAACTACAAAATGGCTCACTTAAAAAAAGGAGAATTAAGAGGGTCCACAGTGCACACCGAGGGACAAGAAGAAGTTATTGTTGCGTCGCCACCGAAAGAATCGAGAGTGCCCGCTTGTTCTGTCTGCTCCCTTGGATTCCTGGCCACTCAACTTCTACGCCAACCACGACTATCTGTTCATCCTATATCTCGTTCTCGTGAAAGACAAGTGCTAGCCACTGGCTTTACGACGTTCCTACCCGACAACCGCAACTAGACTATCGGTCGCTGGCTGCGCCACAAAGACAATACGATCCTACCCTGCATCGATATCCATCCTAGAAAACCTACAGCCCCCAATCTACCAAAATGACGAATTTGGACTCTCAATCTGACTCGAGCACTCTCCACTTCACCGCAGAGGGAATAATTTCAGCAACTGCCCCGTCGTTCCACCGGCGCCAAGGTCCCCCAGCGAGCGATGCGACTTCGAGTAGCTCCGCTCCTCAGGCTGTCACTCAGGCGGAGGCGGGTCATCGGACGCAAGAGAACTCGCAGATAGCCTCAAGCCAGGTGGGCACGGAGGGTGTCAAAGGCTCTGCCAGTGCGCCGCCGCGCCACCAGCCGGGATCTCGTGCCCCCACGCCTCCTCGCTCTGTGCGTGACGAGTCTAGGGATCGTCAGGCTGGCTGGGACGATCGTCGTCCTTACAACGAGAGAGACGACCGCCGACCGTACTCTGACAGGGATGACCGCCGGTCTTACTATGACAGAGAGGATTCTCGCCGACCTTACGATGATAGGGATGACCGCCGTCCTTATTGCAACCGGGACTATCGGTACGACCCTCGAGGTGGTCGTCGACCATATCCTCCCCGTCGAGGGTATCCAGATTCGAGACGTTATCCTGGAGACGACCGGTACTATTACGATCGTGACCATCGACGGCCTCCCCTGCCTGAACCTCAAAGACAAAGCTCCTCACCCTCTCCTTCGCCTTCGCCTAGACCTTCCCTGCCCCGATCGCCGTCCCCTTCCTCCAGTACATCGAACACCACCTATCCACGGTCCCGTTCTCACACACCCGCCTCGAGCACCAACCACAACCACAACCACTCAAAATCAGGCTTCCGCAGCTACATCCACACTAAATCGAACAAAGGCTACAACTACAACACACTTGCAAACCAAAACTACTACAGCCACACTGAGGGTACGAGCTACGTCTGGACAGCCACGGGTCGACCCCGGGGCGCCGCCGCATCGAGCTGGCAAGGTCCAGATCCCTCCAACCCGATCCACCACCTCAAATTCGCGTGTAAACCCACATTCGACGGGAACGCTGCCACACCTACCTCATACTACTCCACCATCTCCTCTTACAACGCTCTACGATCTGCGAACTCTCACTGGCGATCGCAGAAACTTCCTTCCCCTCCAACTGAGAGTATCGTTTTACCGAAAGTGGAGGAGTGCACTGCGGATGTGAGGGATCATGATTCGTATTGGAGGGGTGTTAATGAGAGGTTGTTTGGGCATTTGGAGGAGTTTAGGGTGTTGGGGGAGGAGGGGAAGGCGATGTTTAGGAAGGTGTTGAATAGGGTTCCGCCGTCGCCGAGGATGTTTTGATAGCATTTTCTCATTTAGGGGGCAGGCAGCTGCAGGGGGTGGCGGATGGACAGTTGATATTGTTCCTGGATATTTGGATCGACGACTCGGACGGCGAACGTGCATGGACATTTCGAAACACACTAGTTCTGCTTACACTTTCATAGACTTGGTACACTATCTCACCTCACTAACTCTGTACTCAAAATCTACTTTGTTAGAATCATAGGCCCCCGTGAATCGCTCACTTCTCCTCCTTGCTTCCAAATCCTTCTTGAAGGATCTTCTCCGCGCCAGTCAACTGATTCGAATCCCACCTTGGCCGTCTATTCGCAGAGGACAACTCCAGTGACCCAGTCGTCTGACCCCTACGTCATACGTCCGAGTCTCTTCGCCTCCAGACTTCTCCGTCACGGGTGTCGCACGAGCCCCCCGCACAATAAGCGCCCAAGTCTAGACTCCCATCGGGAGCCGTTGATTGGAACTGCTCCGAACTTGCGGACGGTTTGATGATGTCATTTTGATGACGGGTGCAAGCGCTCATGATCACGCCGCCACACAAGCCGCTGGCAGTTGCGATGAGTTCAGAGTTGGGTTCAGTCCGTCTGCCACCCCAGTGAGCAGGCATCTCACTTATTCTGACAGAAGTTGTCGTACTGATTTTGGACTTTTGGATAGTTGGATTGCGGGCTTCGTGTTGCATGTAGGATGTTGGTGTGAATATGATTCGATTGCCAGTCTCCCTGACTTGGTCTACTTCGCAGAAACGGGGAGCGAGGCAACGAAGATGAAGATATTCTATGGTACCTCGGTTGCCTACGCCGAGGCGCTCGTCGTTCATAAGAGAAAATAAACTGTTGCCAGTGCACGAACAGGCTGTGAATGGATCCTTGTATTCACTCTTCAAGTCCTCATCACTTCTGATAGAACTTCTCAGCAAAGGAATGATGACGTTAGACTAATTTTTTAGGTCCTTAGACTGGGGATCGAAAGTGTAATCATGTACTCTATATACACGACCTTAGGATAAATTATAATCTTTACGCTGGGAGCGCGGTCTCGTGCCCAGTTTTCTAACCTCGTGCACCCCTGCTCCGAGTCAGCCTCCAGGCCTTCCCTGGTCAACTATGTACACAAATACTCACTTACATTGCCCAAGGTTGTCGAATTCCAGCATTCGATCCTGAAAGAGACTCAATAAACGACATAAGGGGATCTGTCATTGCCATCAAGTGGAAGCAGGCCATGGGGTGTATGTAAGGGTTGTCGTGACCACTTGGCAAGTCTTCTTGGAAATCTGAGAACACAGGTCGATCATCATGGATGGGGGTATTCGAAAAGATTCCTATCACCGTTTCTCTGCTCGAGGACTTAGTCACAAGGGCCGTGGCCGGGTGAAGTAACATGTAAAGGCGTTATATTTGTCGAAAACTAAGGCTTACTTCGGTGCAGTCTTCATTCCGAGCGTCTTTTCTTAGAGAGATTCAGATATACTTGTTGCTCGAGTCTGAACTTAGAACTTAGTGCATAGATTCAGACCCCAGGATTCCATTCACCCTGCAGCGAGGCAAAGACGGCGAGGTGGGCATCTGACAGGCAGAGAAGCCTCGTTTCTGACTTCTCCACTCACGTCCTGGTCGCTCATTCATCGCTCGGTATCTAAGCTGAGGCTCGTTTTTATTCTTGGAGCAGCTGGCCCAATGGGTTTCTTCGACCCACCACATTTTTCAACCACGATGCAGCTGAGAAAATTGTCATGTCCTGGTATGGACAATGGGCTTCACGCTCTCCGACTTCTTCTCTTCCCTTCATGCACAGGTGAAGGGGCTTCACGGCGGTCTCAGTTTCGTTGGAGATACATTGCGATTGCGATGCCTGCTTGTTTCCCTTCCTGGTAATCTCTCGCAGTGGACGGAAGTTGGCCCTGATCCTGGAGCTTGGATTGGATCCAGGCGGGGCTCCAATCGACTCGGTTCTATCGCTGGGCGGTACATACGATGGCACTCCACCTTCCTCTTTCCTCTGTCCTCGAGGCTCGTGTCTCCTCGTTCCTCCTCGGACGAGGAAAGAGAAAAAAGAACGATGACGGCCCTATCATGGCAACACCCAAATGTTCAACCCCTATCTCGAATCTCGACTCCCATTTCAATGTTCTGTCACCAACGCATTCAACCTGGTGATCATCTTGCTTTTCATATCTGGTATGACTTGGGTGGAGGCTCGCTCACTAGATGAGCACAGATAACGAACTTGAACGCGAAATTAAACGAGGTACCTATTCAGGTGGCCGTTTGGGATCTTGGAATGGATGCGTCTGACCCCTCTCTTTGGCCTCGGTGACTTAGTTATGACTATGAATGAATCAAACAAATTACCGTTGCTTGCGGTTCTTGGGGACCATGTGTTTCTTGCCACCCTTCCAACCCGTCTATCACATCGTCACCGACTCACTTTCAGCCGGGTTTTGTCAATGTTTTTGGGTGCGTGGGCGGTTCTTGGCGATTGCTATTGCTCGTTCTGGCCGACAGGTTTCGGGTATAGCCAGCTGGACTTTTGGACGACCTGGAGAAGCAAGTTCGTGCTGGAAATTTGGATATCTAGACCTGGTCGAATGTATCAAGGTCTACAATTAAAAACCACGTGTTCAAATGTGTATTCCTGGGCTGCGATAACCTGCCGTTTGGAATCTGAATGGAACGCCCTCTCACAACCCGCCACCCGCCATTGCTACGACAGCCTGCCTATGTTCGGTTTCTCTGCTGGTGGCCGATAAGAATAGGTACGAGTCGTCTTTGAATTCGAGCGAAGATAGTCTCTGTCAATTCTGGTTCCTCCGCAGCATATCGGCTCCAGTGACAGGCGACTGAGGGCGCGATGCGACAGGTTGCGGCTCTCATATGCCCACAACGCGACCGCTGTCGCTTGATACGCCCTGAAGCCGTCCAAGGAGTCCAATGACGAACCTTGCCTCAACTGAATATTTGCTGTCGTTGTCGTTGGCAGTGGCGCTTCAGAATCGACTGTGAGTGTTTGAACTTTCCTCTATCTATTCCCCCGAAGCGAAAGGACTTACGAACGACTCAGATGCGAAACCTATGGTTGCTCAGTCAGTCGGTTGCGGCGACGTACATAGACACTTCGTAACGCCGGCACCGGCGACCATTCAAAAGCCATTCAATGGCCATGCCAACATTTACGCGGCTGGGCGCTCGTGGTTGAATCTCTGCATCCTGATGATCAGACCGAATGGATCGGACATGCGACACGGTGAAACTAATTCGTGGTCACAAGTGCCACTGGCGTATTCGTGGTCCCATGAAGCATCTTCTGTTGCGTCTTTCGGAGCCTTGAGTGTTGTCTTGGGACTAGTTGGTCTTTTTATTTGGGGAAAAGGAGGTGAGACGAAGAAGAAGCGCCGAGACTTTGGTTGAGTCTCCATCTGGATAGCTCTGGAAGTAGGGGGCAGCTCGTGTGCTGACATCGGTCCCCGGAGTACAGAGTGGTAAAGGGATGTACCGATACAGAGACGCTGTAAGCCCACCAAATTCACGCCCCACTCCCTGAATTCGAACGTCATCGTATCGAGATGTGTTGGTGTGCCATAGAAAGAACCATCTTTTAGCCAGATACGCCCATTCAATATTATATTCTTGGAACACGCGGGAGAAGCCATGCGTACATTAGTGAGTTATTCAATTATCCATCTAAATCGACAGGGCTTACGACCCTTTACGATAGAGTGCAACCACCGAGAGCCATGACAAAGGGCCACGACAAACGAGGGTTTGTGGAGGGGTCCTGGGCTTAGAGGTCCCACAAATGGAGTGAACAAATGGTGTTATCGATTCATAAGAGGCTATCGCTGACCTTTCCCGATTTCATCAAACATATCGGTTGTTCACGAGACCACATCTTGGCGAGAAGCCCGTCAGCGATGGATCGCACGTTTATGGTTTCGACATTAGATTGCTTACCCTGGCACACGACAAACTTAGGCTCAGACACCCTTCGTCAATCACGCTTCTTGTCACACACCTCAATGAAGGATATCTCGAGACTCATTTGCGGGAGCTGTGAAGGGAATTGCCGTGAACGAGTGGTGGTTCGAGGTTGGGCGGTTCTAGCGCCAAGACTCCGATTTTGATGACAGGGAAAGCACCCACTTACCCCTCTTCCGACCCCACGGTGAAGGTGATGTTCCACTTTCCTTTGGACCATTTGGGCCATCGATTGCACCATTTCTTTAGTTGACCAGTGGCAAGAAACTATTCTCGAACCCGAAAAGCAACATAAGAATAGCGACTTCCTTTGCTATCCCAAACGGAGTCTCAGGAATATTCAATTGGCACCAGGAACCAACTCTCTTTTGGGCATCATGTGGGGTTGGTCCGTCGTGATGGAGGGTAGATCTCATCTGGGACTACCTGTCACAACTTAAATAAATGCCATCGATTCCGAAACAATGACGCCCCCCGTTTGTTTTCCCCAACCCGTATTTAAAGGACAAGCGCACCTGGAGGGATACTCCCGCGCCTAGCCTTCTCTTGATTTCGCTAAACCTCACCTCACACATAGCCCTTCTACCTCCCGCCTGTTTTACTTCACTGCCACATACACAACGCCTGTCTTTGACACTCCGCTAGTCAGACGACACCACTGGACTCTCACACTTGACGACACAATCGCTCTGACTTCTGTATGACATGGGCAAGCTGATCTTGGACCAGGCGGCTTCATGGAGTCGCAGCTCGCTCAACTCACCACATCCGCCACGAGTTCCCAACTTCCTCGCCGTGATATGGAGGGACGAGGACACCGGATTTATTTATGCATCTCGACTACCCGGACGTCAGCTGAACGAGTTCTGCGAGCAGGACTTGGATCAGGTCCACGTCTTCATCCCCCCACACCACTATCAGCCGCACTGGGACCCCTACATCAGCCGGTACGACATCGACGTTCCCCAAACCGACGCCTTGCTATATTTGAAAACGCCTCGGCTTGTCGGGTATGACGGAACACCGGGTATCGCGCAGAGGGTGCGGCATGAAATCTGCGTCCTCGAGCAGCTGAGGAAGAACCCCCACCCCAATCTCTGCGATTACTACGGGTGTGCGGTTGATTCAACTGCGGGGTTAGTGACGGGAGTTTACATGCGGAAGTACCACTGGTCGCTGAGTGCGTTGCTTTCGGGGCGTATCCCCTTCGAGTGAGTGTTGGCATCTCCACCGTCTCTTATTCGGATGTCACAACTCAATCGTGTTTTGAATGTGTTTTGTGCTATTTTAGGTCGCAACATTATCCAAGACCCACACTCCATCTTGAGACCATAGCAAAAGGCATCGTGGCGGGTATGCGACACCTCCACGCCATGGGACTCGCACATAACGATATCAGCCCGAGCAATATCATGATTGATGAATACGGGAGCCCCGTCATCATCGATTTCGACAATTGCTCTTCCTTCGGCCAGCCCTGTAGACCAGGGACACCGGGATATACCAACTTCTCCAAGATTTCCGATCCCCGTAACGACTATCACGCTTTCAACTGCCTCTTGGCCCTTCTCCGTCAGAAATTTGGACTTGTACATCCTCATCGCTCATCACAGACGTTGCCCACTCCAATGATCGCTGTAAATTAACCATTGATTATTTTCCTTTGCATATTTCATCGCTTTCGCAGTTCCAACCTCTTGTTTTCTCGTTACTCGCTGTATATATCTTCTAACATACGTATCTGTATTATAGATCATGTTTGGCTCTAATCCTACTTGTACTATACCCGTCTTTGAGCAGAATAATAGCCCGGGGTCGTAACATGGTCGTCTCTTTTCTTCATGACCCTCCGTCGTTCGTCGCTCAACTCCCTGGCACATCGAAGCCCTTACGCGCATGCTCAGGGCAGGGACGACACGTCATAATTTTTTTTTCACTTTCAAGCCACGTTGTCCCTCGTACACCTCCCAATACAGATCCGTCATTGGCGATTGGGTTCACTGGGTATTAGAGTGGACATCGTTCCTGAGTCGTTGACCGAAAGAAATCGGGGGCGCTCCGAGTCGGGAGTAGAGAATTCCTTTGCCTACTTTTTCGTCGTCTCGTAATGGGAGTGGTTTGGTCTCTTTCCAAACCCTTCTGCCTCGTGTTCTACCCTTCATTTCGACCCCCTACTTGACGATTATATCCTCTGATGACCGGAGACGTCGACTGCCGGCGCTATGACGTTCACCAATGTGACAAGAGGCTCTCGGTGATCGTTATCCCCTACCCTGAACCCACACAGGTCCATGACACGCACTCAGTGAACGTTCCGTTCACAGAAACAGGGTGGGTGACTCTACTCTTTGCTACTGTGACGACCATTATTCATGGATTACTCCCCATACTACCCCATACTACTGTGACGCGACGTTTCCAGGCGTTTCTGCGGTGGACCGAGTGCTGTTGTAAGACCTCATTTTCAAAATGACATGTTGATGGGTGGATGCTTATGTGATAGGTTTCTGTCCGTTGTGAGCAGCGGGTGTGCGGACTCTGAGCTACAGGCGATGAGCCTACGACTTCTTGAGGCTGGACTTGGTGGACCAACTCGACGCCAGGTGTATGCACTCTCCCTCTTCCAAGACTCCACACATACCCCAAATGATTGATCTTGCCGGATCGTCGACGGAACAAAAGTGTTCATGAAGAAGTAGTAGACCAGTCGGCGTTGATCACTGCGCATTCTGCGGCACCGCAGTTGACTCCTACGGCCTTCCAGCTGCGCACCTTAGCTACAATCGTTATATTGTCTAAAAGACGGATGTGTGAGTACCTTCTCCCTCTCCTACTCGTCTTTTCTCTCTGCACGATATTCCTGGTTTGCGGACATACATTAAGTACTTATCTCCTCTACTTATCGTTTTTTAGCGTATTGAGCGCAAGGTGAAGGTAGACTATCCCCATTTAGACGACCTCCTGACCAAGAGCTCGGAACCAAACCTGGCGAGCTTGGCCTTCGCTATCTCTGGGCGCGATACTACATATCAACTATCTTTTCAATCCACCTTCACCTTCTCCCCCGGCTCTCCTCTACAGCGAGCACACCCGCAGGGCTTTCGTCAAACCGCTAGTCGAAGGCAGTCGTACTATCTTGCGGGTGAGCGCTTACCGTGATTTCATCAATGACTGCTGACAGACACCGCAGTCTCCGCAGCAACCATTTGACTTCGCAGGGCGCTGTTAGAGTTGGTCACTATCTCAAGTAGCCAACCGTTACTGCGAACATATATCAGCCGCAGAGACGCCATGATCCTCGACGACAAAACCATCATGGCTCTCCCACCTCCTCCACCATACCTACCCTCCAATAACCCCTTTAGCCACCCCACACCTGGAGCGCAGTCCCCCGCCAACCCGCCACCATCGTTTTCGGAGGCGCTAAACTCTCCGACGTGCTCCCACACACCAGGTAGAGCCTTGAAACTCTCCTCGCTTCCTCCGCACATCCTCCCTGCAGTCGTTTACAACACTTTCCCTACGCACCCTTTAATCGACACTCTATTGGTGGAAAGACTAGCGAAGACGCTATTATGGCTTGCGAAGTCCCTTGACTGGTCAATAAGGCATTCTATATCGCCTGCATGCACGTTTTGCGGTCCACCTACCTACCGGCGTATACTTCGCTTCTTCGCCCTTACTATTCGTCCGACCCATTCCCATCCACCCCCGTGCCTCAAGCCCATGGCAGCACTTTGAACACTGTTCAAAGGGAAACACCGATCCTGGACCAGTTCATTGCGCTTAAAGTCCGCGAGGATGTGTTTGCGGATGATTCGGAGCTGCATCTGGAGCGGGAGGATATGTTCAAAGACATCTTCGACCACAGTCAGCCCAAGGCGAGGTTAGAAGACCTCGTTCGAATCTACGGCGTCAAAGAGGGCGTCGTCACCCTCGCCCCACCAGGCGTTGTAACGTATACCTCGACGTCGACCTCCTCCAGCTCGTCGAAAGACACAGTAATGCCTGCACGACCGAACATGCCACCCCCGTCTCCTGGAGGAAGCACGGGGCGATCCTCAACTTCCCGCTTCTTCTCTGCCTTCATGCGATCATCCTCGTCCCGTTCGAAATCCAAGTCTCCGTCTCCACCACCAACAGCACGTCAATCTGCAACTACAAAACGGAAGATCCGCCCTGTGCCTTTTGCACTGCTTTCGGTCACTTTCAGCACGAGGAAGGTTGGGTTGCAACTGATGAGTACGGAGACGGGCGCCAAGAGGACTATTGTGGAGGTGCAGCGAATGTCTCGAGACGAGAACCTTGAAGCTGCGGCGTCACGGATCGTTGCAGAGTTGAAAGGGCTGCTGTTGAGTTAATGGCGGAAGGAATTGCCGTGCAACTGTGTGTATCCTGCTTCCTGGCGATGTTGTTGATACTCATCGGTCGGCTCGTTTCCAGCCCATTCTAAAATCTGGCCTCAACTTCAAGTGACTCCTTGGCGCGATTACCGCCATATTGGTGAAGGGTTCACTGAAGGGCTGTGTTCAGCGGTCCGTCGGGGAGAGGAGACCACGCTCGCAGTTTGCGGGCTCGGTCCCATCAAGCAGACTGTGCTGCGGCTTCTCCTGAAAGATGGGCCTTGCTGTAAAGCGAACGACTGCACGTCCGAATTACGGTGTATCCTTACTCGATGGCGAGGCGCCTTGCACCTCCTTTCGCCTGCTACGCCACCGACGGCCACCTTGTAATTATCGTCATTGTCAAAAGCCACATAGTAGGACGTGTTCCTATCTTCATTTGCGTTCGTCCACCCGACTACATCCTTGTTCTCCGCGTCCCGTACGATCTCTCATGTATCATATTTTAGCTAAAATGTCTATTTTAATATCCACTTCCAATTGACTCCCACTCCGTCTGGACTAGAAGCGGAGCGCTTCCCAAGGGTTGGCCTTCTTGATGTCAACAGAGCCACCTGTCGTTGGGAATGCAGAGTACGTTATTGTGGAGCTCTCTTCCCGCCTCTCGTCGTCTGCACTTGACAGCACTCCTTCCCGACAACAGCAGCTGGGAGTGGCCACTTGGCGCCCACACTTGAAGGTTGCCAAGCACCAAAGCTCCGAACAACAGGCGCTTGTTTCCACAGCCACTTTTCTGCGCTTAAAAGGCGGTTGTGTGCAAGAGTGGATGGTCACATACTAGTACTCGCTACCTACCTTCCATCGCACTCTCCCTGAATCTCTCGCCTACACCTCGTTTTTTTCGATTCTCTTCAACCCTTCACCTCGCAGCAAAGCAACGCTATGTCGGGCGCAGCACAACGGGCTCCACTCATCAAAAGGGCTTTGTGCATTGCCAACCTGTTAAACTCGTCCACACCCTCTCTCACAGCCTTCGAAGGAGAGGGCTCCGCAGAATCTGCTATCCTGCTGGAGGACTCAGTTCTTGAGGCCCATTCAGAATCCAGTTCTATCTCCAACAGTACTCGATGCAAACGGTCTTCTGAAACTGCACCCCTCACCAAGAAAAACGTCAAAGCGCTCGGGGAGCCCTCACCTGAGCTCAGAATTATGAACTTTGCCCGATCTCTCAACACTTCTTCTCCCGGGCCCAGCTCACTTTCTCCAGTCAAAGACTGGGGTCGTTACTCCCCGTCTCCTCTCCGTGGGCAACCTCTTCTCTGTGATGATACCCTATCGGATGGCTGGTCTCAAACCTCCGACATAATGGATTACTACGACGCAACCAGTGTGGTCGCCGTGTTATCCATTGAAACTGACGAAGGCTCCCAGCAAGACGACCACGACGAGCTGGCTGAGGTCGAGTCAAGGCAAGGGAGAGAACACTCGGTGCCCCCGATCACAGTCCTCCAATGCAGCGATGACCGTGCTAGTTCTCCTTCAACGGATCATACTCTGAAACAGCTACCTGTGACTGGAAAGGAGCCTCCCTCTGCTTCGGAAAGTTCGAACTCTCTGGCCGATACACCGCAGGAACGACTTACTATTCGAATCCCTCCTCGTCTCGAGCGCATACTATCTCAGGAGGCATGCGGCAAGAGGAAACGGTCGACCACTTCCGAGGAGGAGGATGGTTCGAACAGCAAAGACAGATCTGAAGGGAGCTCGTCAAAGAGGGCTAAATTGATTCAACCCGTCGCAAGAAGAGTGACTCGCAGCTCCACACGAGCCCAAGTGGTGAAAAAGAATGGAGCAGCCGGGGTGGTCCCAAAGGTCGTCACGTCCGATCGAGTTCTACGTTCGGAGACTCGGCGGAGGCTGGAGAGCACTTCTTCCGCAAGGATGGTCTCTACGAGAACCTTACGCCCAAGACCGCTGAAGAGAGGGGTGGCTTAACTATAGGCCTCTTGTTTTGGGCACGGACGATAGATCTTGGCTTGGGCAATAGCTAAAGGAGAGAACAGCAACTGCGACTCTAAATACTTGTAGAGCTACTAATATCTAAACACGTTCTGAAGACATGAGGAAAACGGCATGAATACCGACCTACTCCCTTTTAAATACTCTGCTGCGCTCAGGCTTAGTAGCCTGCTTTCTTCGGAAACTGCCCGTTCTCGGTCCCAATTGGAAAGTCGGCCTCGGGCGCTAAACTGAAAGAACCTTGGGGCCTTGCGCCTTCTTGAGAACTGAAGCTCGGGCCTTGTACCTCGATTTTAAAACGCACATAGCATCTCCAGATATTTTTTTCAGTCGACAAAACCATCGCTTTACCAATACATCGGATACACCTTCTCGCCCTATTCCCATCCATGCCAATTATTTTCGGCCCTTCCATCCTCCCGACAGCCAACCATTAACGGAGTAAAACCCGTGCAACCGACCTGGCTCCGTTTTCAACAGCATACTTCCCCAAGGATTGGGAGTTGGTCCGAGACCATCAACCAGCGACGCGCCGGCATCGACGAAGAAAGCAGAATCATGTTGGGCTTCCTCTTCGTTGAATGACTGCACAAGTTGGGCTATTGTCCGTACCGTCGTCTTCAAATCGAAAGGTACTCACAGTAAAGACAGATGGAATCTCTTGCTCGACGAGAAGCTTGATGGTCGGCTTCCAGAGGTCCTGATGCGCAGCTACCCCGGCGTCAAATGCAATAGCAAGGTCAGGCTTTGGAGACGAGTGGGTGACATCCGAATGGTAAAGCCTTGGGGAAATTGTCAGCGGATCCCCGAGTTGAGGGCAAGAGTCGTGTTGAAGTTACCTGGCAATGTACGTGTGGACCCGTTTTCTGCCCGCCCTTTGACACTTTCTATTACATTTCACAGCCGCTTTCGTTAGGATTGGCAGCATAGGGGAATGTCAGGCACTTACGGGCAAGTGTCCATATTCATAGACACCCTGTCTCCATCCATGGCAATGAGCTGCTGCAGCTCGGGGCCATACATGACAACCTATAAATTGACGGTCAGAACCATGAGCGAGGCGGGGATCTGGACCTAACAGACCTCCATTTCTTTCAACTGTGGGAGGCGATGGACAACCTCCTCGAAGACCATGCCGTTCTGGATTTCCAGCCGTGCCGCTCCGAGTACCTAAGTGTCGCTCTTTCAACACATGAGCTACAAAGAACGGAATTTGGACTTACGTGGATCACCAGCTTGTGTTTCCGAGTCCAGTCCGTGTTCTCGCCGTTCAAGGTGTCGAGGGCGTGGAGGATAGTCATCGGGATTGAAAGTCCCTCACTGAAAGTGTGAAGGAATGAGGCGATGGTCATTCCTCGCGGAAGTGGAATGCCCTTCTGAACTTCCGCCAGGAACTCCTGCTTCCACGTACTCCCTTTGAACGACTCCCATTGCGTCTTGGTACGCTCAGGTGCCCAGACCAGAAGACCTCGAGGCGCGTCCTTTAGGGCAGAGGAGAGTCGAACATCTTCCCTGATCAGTTGGTTGGCCTGGCATTGTGTGAGATTTCCGCAAGCCGTGGAGGTCTTCACACCATTGTGAAATTGTTGCGCAAGTTTTTGGTGCTCTCTTGAGCAGAAAAAGGTTGTGCGACACGTCGGGCATGGCTCGAGGAAGCTTGCCGCTCCCGAGCCTGTATTGCCTTGGTTGGAAGCACCCGGAAGCTGACTTTGACGAGCACGAAGCATCCTCTCAGTCGAGGCACTGAAATTATGGTATCCACCGGTCATCATCTATACTTCTAGCTTCTTGTATGCTTACCAGGTAGCGCATCGAGGCTCCCACCCGAGCATGTTTCGCTCGGGGATGGTAAGTTCTCGTCCGAGGATGGATCGCAGAGTGTCCACGTCTTCGAGCATGCAGCAATACGCAAACGCGTTTAGACTGGACTCGCCTGGCCCCATATCCTCATCACCAAGCAGTACTGTAGTCGACGAAGGCCCCTTCGCTTCCAATTGCTCAAGGGCCTTGCAGAAAGACTTGTGCTTGGCCCAGTCACGCTGTAGCCGTGCACGTCAGTTCGCGTTCAAGGATATTCGCGTGTCAAAGGTAGTACCTTTTGGCAGTCTATACCAATATCAGTCAGCATCTGCGCAGTGTGATTGGGACTATGTAGAACTGTCTCTTACCAGCTCCGCAATATACGACGCGCTTGCATCTCGAACACCTCTGCAAACGGCGGCCTATTTGCCCCTCTTCTTTCCAACAGGAGTAGCAAGCTTCTCCTATGTTTGTTGAAAGGGGTGGGAAAAGCTCCTGTGAGTGCATTTTCTTTCTGATATGTTTGAGAAGGGGGAGCGAGAGACAACAAGGGAACGCCAACGATTGGGATGCAGTTCAAAGGGAACCAAACATGTTCAAATAGCTTTGCTTGTCGCTGGCGGCCTCGGTGACCGTTTCTGAGAAACGATTCATCGGAGGACTTATTCATTGTAAGACACGAAGGTCCAACGAAAGTTCCCGACTCACGGGTGTTCAACGTTCAACGTTCAACCTCGACGCGACGCGTCGTGTTTAAATAGGGGCCGATGGGCCAAGTGTGACGCGCCTGACAGGTGGATGTATTGTGGCCCCTCGTATTCATTCTTTTTTTATTAAATCCTGTGCGGTTAGCCTGGTTGAATATCCCAGTTGCAAAGTGGAAAAGGGAGCTAATATGAGTTAGGTAGGACTGCCAGGAGAACTCGTTCCCCTCCAATCTGACGTCACGGCCCCTATTGACGTTTATAAGACCTCTTTCCCCTGAAATCAGAGAGCTCAGACATTTCCAATTCGTCTATCCATCTTCAACCGACAATGTCCTCCGCTAAATCACTCTTACCGGAGCACCGCGAGCATAACGAATCGGAGCCCCTCAGGGCTGCGGTCGACTATTCGCCTGAAGTAATCGACAAGATGAATATCCCCCCCAGCGAGGAGGGAGAAAGTCAGTTCAAGGGCCAGAAGCGCTGCACCATCGACCACGACCACAACGAGCATTGTGACTCGGCGCTCCATTCGAAGCAGCCAATGGCACACCAGAAGCCGATCCATGCTCCCAAGGAACACCATTTCTTTAACAAGGACAACCCGAGGCCGCATCCTGTGAAGTCTGATGGTACGTGGTGTTCATGAATGGAGATAATGTCGCTAAAGACGGTCATATCACAGAATTCGAGGTTCGTGACTTTGGGGACAGATTGATAATGTGCTGACACAATTGCAGTGGCTCGAGGATGGCGAGAAGTAAATTTAGCGCCCAGGTGAAGAAAGGGTCAACACAATATATTTATTCATCGGTCATGACAAGGGTATCTATCATCCAGCTTCGTATATACATGCAGGATTTTAACTATCGTACTCGTAACTACTCGTCAAAGCAAGAACAATCGTCTAAAATACAGTCATAGATAACTCGTAAGCGACCAGGAAAGCAGTTCAAACAATACATCAGTAAGCCATTTGAGAACGTTTAAGGAAAGGTATAAGGATAAGGAAGATGACGACTCCGACCAGGGCGTACCTGAACTCCTCCCATCCCTCCAACGCCAGGACGATTTCTCCAGAATCACTGTCGGAGCGTCGGCGACGGCGCGAAGAACGACGGCGAATTGGGGCAATGTCGGGTTCGTCATCCCGACGACGAGAGCTTCGCTTTCTAATGCGGACTGGCAATGGGTGGGGCTGGATGACTTCAACAGGGAGGGAATCGACCTCTCTCCCCTTCCCTTTGTCGACCACGGGAACTCGAGGTGTCCGCAGGGCGGATGGAGGGTTCTGAGGAAGGGGCGGGATGACAGATGACGACGGGAATCCGAACGGGCTGGGGCTGGTAGACGAACGCCTTCGGGCGCGTGGCTGGGCAGCTGCGGTTGCTTGCTCCACGGCGGTCGGGGAGATTAGCAACTTGAGAGGCTGGGAGGGCAAAATGGTCATCTTGGCGCCGCTCAGCTTCTTGCTCTCCTCTTTCAATTTCTCAGCCGCCTCCTTGATTGCAATCATTTCGCTCTTGACCTTCCTGGCTGTAGCCATCCTGTTCTCCTTCTTCAACTCGTCGTATTCCAGTCGCAAATCCTGCATGTTCTTCTGAAGTTCGTCGAGCTGCGTGCGGTATTCCTTGTGAAGAGCCCGTCCGGCGGTGGTCTCTGGGATGAGTTGTCCGTCGTCTACCATCTCTTGTTGGACGAGCAATGGAAGGGCGGGTCGATGGAGGAAATAGCGAATGATGTTCTGCGCGGAGGAAAGAGCTGCAACGTCATCCGAACGAATGTATCTGAACAGTGTAGCGCCGGCTTCAACCAAGGGCTTGAGTAAAGTTGGTTTGGACTGGAGTTCGACTTCTCTGGCTTCGCCAGACCTCAGGTCCACTTGGTCCCAGCGTGTGGTGACGATTGCGACGTTAGCCAGCGCTTGCTTTCCGCATAGTTTGGTGAAGAGGGAGAGGTTGCGACGGCCAGGACCACGAAGTCGGGTAGCTGCGATACTGTGGAGGTAGATGACGCCTGCGAGCTTTCTGCTGTTGGTATACCTACACGAGCGCTTCAATACAATTCTATATCCCCAAGAGGTGGAAAGAAACCCACTCGCTTGCCAAATACGACGCGATTGCGGTTAGGACTTCGGTGTCGCTCTTGTTAGGGTCTCCAAACGCTGGAGTGTCGATCAACCGTACAGCTTTGCCGTCGACAAAGAAAGGTAGAGACAATTCCAGCTTTTCGCCTTCAGCTCCGTCCGCACCACTGCTGATTCGAAGTGTTGAATTGCTAACGGTGTTTATGAACTGGCAAGTAGTCAACTTTCAGTACATACACCAGCACGGAAATCGAGCCTATGGCACTTACAGACGTTTTTCCAACGCCAGGCTGGCCTAAAACACTGAGAAACGTTCATGAGCTTCGTCTCCACCATGTGCACCAGGAATTCGAACTCACAGAATAAACAATTCCTCCGTGGGCACCCCTCGACTGACGGGCCTGGACAACGGCGTCCTCTGCACAGGTGCGGTCACTGTGACCGTTTTGGCCGACATTTCTGGCTCCTGCGAGACAGGCGTATGGTTCCAAGGCTCAGAAGACGGGTTTTGTTGATAATCGGCCATGCATGGATGTGTGGTTGTGTACAGGTTGCCTCATCAAGAACGGCCGATGCCTCGTGTCGCTGTCCCAGGTACCAGTTTCACACACACCGCAACGCACGCACTGCGACAGGCGGCGAGGCGCTCGCTACAGAAGGCCAAACGGCTCGTTTAAATCGCCGGTTTTGGTATTTTGAGGACCAAATGGATTCGTTACAGGTGCAGAAATGGCTTGTCGTGACTTTCCAAGCGCCGATTGACGGATGCAGTGCCGAACACAATGGATCCCCTTTCGCATGTTGAAATGTTTGTACTCAGCGCGTCGGAGCCTGTTTAAGGTCGGCACTGTCAATGTGCCGCATCTTCAGGCGCTGTGCCGCACCCACTACGAGTGGCGACCATCTCGTCAAATATTCAACAAGGGCTATTGTACAGGTTGGGACAGAGGCTCCCCTTCAGTAACGTCATTTTTCGTGTATTACGCCTCTACATAGAATATATAACTACAATGCCACAGCACCAAGAACCAATTCAGGGCCCTCAGAACATCAGGACATTCCCGCAGGCGCCCAAAGGACTCGGTCGGAGTGCTGCTACTAGGGCTGAAAAGGACATATGCATAGGTGATTGAGTTTAGACAAGGGTGCCTGCATGAATTGTGTATAGAACATAGGAACTAGGGCTACTCTCGTTTGACGAGTTTCTCCAGTTTATACCAAGGGCGTCCAGCATTTAAGTCCGCTTCAAGCTTGCGAACCCTGGATTCTAGCTGAGCGACGCGCTCATTCTTCTTTTTCTCCTCCTCACGAGACTGGTCCTTTTCTTCCAGCAACCGTTCGACCTGCAGCATATACTTTTCCTCGTTCTCCTTGGCCTGGGACACGGATTCCTCCAACAACCGGATCTTCTTCCTGGTATGTGTTTCCATGTCCGCCTCCGCCAACGACAGCTGGGAGCGCAGCTTGGCATTCTCGTCATCTCTGTCCTGCAGGGCAAGCTTGACGGTCTTGAGCTCCTCGTCCACCTTGCGGTTGGACTCTCGCAACAGATCAAGGTCATGGCGTAGATCTGCACACCGAGTCTCTGCGTGGGTCCTCTCAGCTTTCAGAAGATGCTGCTGGGCGCCGGAAATGGCCAACGCAGAGTTGAGACGCGTATTCTCCTCCGTCAGAATCCTTCTTTCTACCCTCAGCGCCTCCCTCTCTTTGCCCAGCGCCTCCCTCTCGTCCTTCAGAGCCTTTCTCTCGTCCCACATTCTTTGCGTCCCTTCGTAAAATCGGGTTATCTTCGCTGGCAGTTTGAGGTCGGGCGGGAGCATGTGGTGAATGATCTGGGTCGGGGAGACAACATCGTTGGGGGAAGAATGGTCTCCCGCGCTCTCTTCGCTGAAAGTAACAATCGCTGTCCCCCCACTCCCAAAAAGATCCAAAAGGCGGCCAAACCCTCTAAAGGAGGGTGCCTCCACCAACTCGTCTGCGCATCTGGCAATAACGACATCTCGCACCCACGAGCTATTGAGTCTTATCCACTCTTCTGCCTTGCGCAAGTCGGTCCACTCCGAGATCTCCGACCAGATCAGGAGCACTCGAAGGCTAGGGTTGGGTCTGTTCCTAAGGATTGGATAGTGTCAGTAGCGCTCGGTACAACATCCCTGATTAACTGCTTTAACTCACAGAACACGAGTGGCGATTTCGTCAACGATGATGCCGCTGTCAATTCCGAATCCGCTGAGGAGGGTGACCTCATTTTCGTCAATGATGCACTGGTCAACGGAAACCATAGCTCCTGTCCCCCCATCAGGCCGTCCCAAAGTCACTCCGTAAAAGTATGCATATCCAATCTTCGTTGCATTCAGCGAGGTGATGAACTAGTGCTCAGTGCTCAATCATTCAGGACGGTGTAATCGTGAATCCATGTCCATATGTACACGGTCCACAGATGTGGTTTCGATACCTAAGATGCTTCACTACCGGTCAGATCAAGTTGAACGCTCACAGCCAGACCCGTGCTTACGCGATGATAGGATGGCTTCTCTCAGCGTGGTGGATCGAGTTCATTGCACCACGGTCGAATATGGTAGAGTTGGTTTCAGCAGAAAACGTTTAACGAATCCAAGTCAGAATCACTTCGTTGCCGATTTTCCAAACAGTGTCAGCTCCTCAGCGCCCGCATTACAGAGTGCGCACTTACTACAAGTGGATGTCAATATCCGTCTCCAATGACTGTCGGGACATGCTTCAGGAGCATTGGACTCTACAAAGATCCAGGCTTTTATAGTTGCGGCATGCGGCTTCAGCGAGGTATTGCCTCCCGTCCAGCATGCACGGGAAGAAGCTCGACACGAGGTAACGGATATGACGACTGAAGGTTCGTGGCTTTCTGGGGATGTCAGCTGAACATTCGAGTGTCATGGGGCGAAAACATTCTGCATCGACGAGTCGCTGAGGCAGATTTTATGATCTTGTCGCCGATCACTGTGCTCCATGGAACCAAAAGTTCTATATCTTGCAACGGGGTATCAACGCCACTGGACCGGGAGATCATAAACACACACAGATCGATAGCGTAACTGGTATCAAAAGACAAGAGGGAAGGTGTGTATGTGCTTCCCTATTTTGTTACCGAGGGAGGAGGCTCGAGGCACCACGGAGAGCTAACGATCCTCCGAGTCGCAGCGTCTGGGTACCTCCAGGGAAATAAGCGAGGACGTAGGCTACCAGGGCAATCACCTGTATTGCCCCGCAGATGAGCGAACCAAAGTATGAATGTCGCTGTTGCAAGAGAGGGTTAACAACCACGCGTTCGAGTAGTTGAACAGTGACGCACCCCCAGAGAGAAGTAGAGCGTTAAGCCCATGCTGCCAAAGTAAACTGCGGAGAAAGGCAGGCGTTCTCGGGAGATGAGATGCTTGAGGTGGTTTATTGGGCCAACTAGTACCGAGAACCTGTAATTACGATCACAAACGTCAGTTTGCGCTTCAGCTCTTCACAACAGACAAGAGGCCATCCTGTTCCACCGAGAGTTGTGCCATGCATCATCACACTGCCTCGTTCGCGCCATCGACGTGAGGGAGGCTCGGTGCGCTGGTATTACAGCCAGACCAATTCATCCAAAGCAGCATCACACCTAGTCAAGGCGTCGACTGTTTCTCCAACCATTGGGCGTGCATTCAAGATGCCCGGAGCCAGCGCAACTTCAGATAGCGATGCACAGGGGCTTGTCCGTTGCGTGTGTAGAGTCGAGCAAACACCACGTACCCGAACATTACGAGTAAACTTCCCAGACTGTTTGAAAGGCCCGTTGTTCAGAAACGCGTACCCAACATTCACGAAACGGGCCCAACACACCTAAACGACAAGGCAAACTTGGCCGGCCTTGAATCCAACCATGTCAGTCTCCGGGAAGTCCATTAGGATTAAAGCATGAACTCACCGAACAGGAAGGAACGGCAGAGTCATAAACGACACAAAGAAGCATACAGCAGCACCAATCAGGCATCCTCCAAAGCCCAACAACCTATCCCACCAACCAAATTACCCAAAGCCAGGCCAGAGTTCGTGGTCAGCGCTCTGCCCTACCCCACACAGGTGCACGACCGATTGACAACCCACCTCTCCCAACTAGACAGCGCAAACCAGGCTTCCTCCTCATTCGAGCGCTCATTCGACCTTAGTGGAACATAATCCCCGGCTATCGATGTATAGAACCTGGAGAACGGGTTCGATGACGCTTGTTGTTGCTGTGGTTGGGAGTCGTCCGTGACCCCTCTTGCCCACCGAAACTGGGATAAATTGCTGCGAAAGCTCTGTTCTGCTGACGGTTGTGCTGGCATCGAGGGGCTTATAGGTTTGCAGGCAGATGCCTGCGGACGTCGTGGTGGTTTATATGAGGGTTGTATGGAGATCTTGGAATTGGTCAATGATCGCAGTTGACGTGTTTGCCGTCTCGGCGATAGCCTATTTGCCTTTGCTTGGTTCGGAAGCTGTTGGCTTCAGATGGGCTCCAGGTACGTGGAGGGCGCCCATGGGCCATTTCTTCTATCTACCACCATTATCTAACTTCCAAAGCTTCCTGGACTGTGGACAAAGAGCCTAAGTTTATTGATTTATCGACGATATAGTCGGACTCGTGTGCGGCCACTCTTTCCTGGCCGTGGTCTGGAATGGGTAGGTTCCATGGCCCATTCTCCCCATCTCGCCATTGATTATGTCGGAAAACTCTAAGCCGGGTTCCCACGGGCTTTTACGCCGGTGCCGAGCTAACGGCTTTAAACGGTGAACCTAAACGTTATAACTCCGCAACCTAATTTGAAATCCCGTTAGAACGCCGTAATAACAACAGGTCAAGCTGGTCGTACCTCGTCCATCGCGTCCATTGCTCACCGCTTCCCCAGATTCATATCAGACGCTTTCCATTGGGCAATACGCTATGTACAAGTTATCTACGGGTCTCGTAATGTGCTCATCACCACCAGGACACCGATCTTAGGAACCCACCACCCTCTTTCGCAACGTTCGAGTCGGCGCAGCTGCAAGGTTATCAACACTTCGATTCTGGCCTCCACACCGTCCGCCTCGCCCACGTCGAACACCTTTTCCACCCTTCGCTGGAGCTTGCTCGACTGGTGCCGGTCCCTGGAGTGATGCAGTAGCGCTACCAACCTCGACATCGGATGCAGGTCCATCAAGATTTACTGCTGGAAGCGCAATCGTATTCTGGGCAGTGATTGGCTCAGTGTTGACTGGGACGGATGGGGAAGGCGCTGGACCGATACTGGAGGGCTGGGGAGGTTCAGGGACAGTTTGTGGATTTGTAGTGTCGTTGGTGAGTGCAGTGTCTTCGGGCCTCGTCGTTCTCCCTCGCTGATGGTTCTCCCCCATCCAAATTCATCGCCTGCAATGCCTCCGACAATTCGTCCTCACTATCGTTCTTTTCCTCACTCCCGTCGGCGAAAACCAGCTCGTTGTACCAGTCGAGAGAGGTCGAGCATTTGTTGGGAGCTCTGGGGTTTCCTCAATGCCTCGAGAAATAAACCGCTTGCAGAAATTGTAAAGCTCCTCGTATTTGATGCCGGATTGGGGGCCAACAGTGTCCCAGGACTCGTCGGACGAATGAATAAAGACAGTCTGAATTAGGATCAGATAGGTTTTGAGTTATTGGCATTGCCGGGCTGTCCAAGGGTACGTACCGCCACTACAGCGAGAGCGATAACGCCAGGTGTTACCCGCTCGATCCTCCAAATTTTCCCATTGCTGTTGCTTGCTAGGGACTGTACCTCTCCATCTGGCCCAGAGAGAGACGTTGGGCCGAAAAGGAGGCAGCGGATGAACTGTGGTATATTGTGTAAATAGGATATCCGATGGATGAAACTGAAAACATTATAATTACTCACCTCGACGAGCCAAATACACCTGAAAATGACTGAGAAGTCTTTCGTTTGGTTCTCGAACATACACGGGCGGTAGAAAGATGATTTGGCTGTGTCGGGGAAGGAAATGAAGAGGGCGAAAGTATCAGCACGATCTTTTCCTCGCTTCGAAGCATTGTAGATTCCGGGAGGAGGGCTGAGGAAGGCAAAGATATGAGGGGCCACCTTTCGGAAATTTGACCAGATGGTTCGGCGATGGACGTTCATCACGTCAATAAACTAGACAACAGAATTCAGAAATCAGAATAAAGTAGATGTTGCAAGCAGAATCACTTACTGTATCACGGAAATGGGATGAACGCTCAATCTTGATATGTAATTCATCAGGAATTCGGTCGTAGAGTTCAGCAGTTTGACCACGGATTTTTGCAGAAGCCGAATGATAGCGGTTGGGGTCAGATGGGTCGATGTTGGGGTCAGGCTTGAGAAAAGCAGCAGGGTTGACAATGAACTCGTCCATATACAGGACGTGGCGAGCCCAACGTCCAATGTCATCATCTTCGGTCGTCTTGGCTTTGGTAGTGGCATTTTTCCCTGACTTCCGGGATTTGAGTACCTTAATCTCGTGCTCGAGCTTGATGTTCTGGACCTTGAGTTCACGTATTTCCTTGGAGGCGTCGCCGAGAGCCAGTTGAGCAGACTTGACAATCTGTTGCATAGCCCAGCCAAAGTGTTCAGTATCATGACTGTTGATGACCGACGACCGACGACCGAGAAATGGCAAGCGAGACACACACCTGCATAAATTCTTCGCGTGATGTAAAGTCTGTCACCGTTGGAAGAGCAAAGGTGATTTCAACTGTGTCGGGATTGCGGGAGCTGGAGGAATCGTCGTCTGTAAGCGCAGCACTAGAGTCGGATATGGAGTTGAGGGGCATCAACAGTGAACTCCCCATCTTCATCTGAAGCGGGTTCTGTCTGCTTTCTTCTGGTTCGACCCATCGCAGATAGCAGACACCAAACAGTGGGTATACCGAGAGGAAAATGGTTCGAGTAGTCCGACTCTTATGTACATGTCACATCGCGCAGTCAAGAGCTAAAATATTTTGTCTTTCTATACATCTACCTGGTTTTGGTTATTAGCATTGGGATACTGTATTGTTTCTAGGAGACAAGGAAAAGAAACACACCTGGCGATGAAATCCTTAACTCTAAGGAACATATCTCCATCGGAGACGTCAAAAACGAGGTAATTCTCTTCCCTTTCTCCGAATGCTGGCACGAGAAGAACACCGCGTGTAATTAAATTGGTCGAGATGATCACGAAATGGCCACTGGTTCTTGGCTTTCTGCACACTCTGAGTAACCCAAGTTCTCTGTCTTTCCTCCGCTGTGCTTCGGTTACTGGGCCATCGTATAACTCGACAAAAGCAAGTGGGAGTGTGCGGTTGAGATCGGGGATGTCAATGGTGAAGGTTGAAACGAGGCGAGCAAAACATCGGGTGATGTCTTCGCCATCGAGCAAAATGGGATCATATCGTGCATGATGCTGGTAATCAGGGTTGCACCGAAGGAGGGTCACATCCAATTCCCAAGTGACCCTGCATTCGTAGAACGTTTTTACGAAGCAGAATTCATGGATCTGAAACACGAGGGTTAGTACGGATTTTGGAAATGGTGTGCGGAGCGAACCAAAGTCGTGTCATGCAAGGAAAATGTTGATGGAATTTCACCACTTTGAATTGCTGCAGAGATGTACGTCCCCAAAGCCGATCTGAATCCTTTGAATCGAGGATCCTGGCGTCTCTCAGAGATGAAGAGTTGGAGTGTAACGGGCTTCTGCGGTGAGCCCAGGCTGATGTTTCCGAAAACATTTGACGTGGTTTCCTTTTTCTTCCGATGCATCAAGCCCCCGCCGTCGATGACGTGAATCACATCTCCTGAGCCCAAACTAAGATTCTCAGAGTCCTTTTGAGCAACATCGCCCTCAATGTCACTAGCTGCATCTGAATCTGGGTCAATGAGGTTGCTTCTGCCGTGATACATGTCAATCTTGCTGCGAATATATGCGGCTGTGTAGCACCAGTGCTCAAGCTCGAGGATCTGGTTGGACGACGGCTCATGACATTAGAAATTGGAACAGTGTGAGGCAATCATGGTCTTACCTTTCCTTCGAAATTCTTGAAGTTTGTCATAAAGCGGTAAAAGTCTTTTAGAATTGGGTGCATGCCTTCATTTGGCTTGGTATTGTAATTTCGCGTCACACCCTTGAGGTAAATATCCCGCGGAAGATGTGTATGCGCGTGAATCTTTGGGAATGCCCAGTTCTTTGACGCCTCAGGTGTAAGAGAGATGTATCTCTGTTAAAAGTCCATCAGATAAAACATTGATGCAACATCGGGAGGAAGGTTTACCTTCAGGGAAACAAACTTCAAAACGGCCCAACTCATCCGAAATTTCTTGGATCGTATCTTCAGTATGATTTGTAAACGATGCGAGTATGTCGAGATTCAGGAAGTGGCGTATGCACTTCAGGAGCTCGTGGCCCACTTTATCTTGGGGCGGAAAAATGTTGAAGGCGATAAACAGTGCTACCTAGGGTCAAAACTGAGTAAATGTTGCAGCACGGAATTAATGAAAAAACTCGCCTTCATCAAATCTTCGTTCTTATTACCATCTTGGTATTTGGTGCTCAAGACTTTGTTGAAGCGGTTAAGGCCTTGCCAGGACGGGAAACTCCTTGCTCTAATGAATATTCATCAGCACTGTAATGCATTAGAAGTTGATACCATTCTCACCGGTCCTCGAGCTCCTGTAATTTCTCCATGCCATAATTATCCTCGATGTGCTTCAACAACGTCACCCACAGGTGCTTAGCACCCAGGCCATTAGCATAGCTATGTAGTCGATCGAAGGAAAGAGCTCGGAATGGGTTCGAGTTTGCTACATTCGAAAATGCGTTCTGATGATAGTCAATATTGATACACTTCCAACTGAAGCGGCAAGCGTCACCTTTACTGGACGCAATCCGTCTGGTTTCAGGAACTTATCCTGCTCTGTCACTCCTTTAGTCAATGCCTCCGAGACCATGGATTCAGTCTGTGCGACGTCGCGCTCAGTGTTGCTCTTGGTAAGTTCCAGCATTTCATCAGCCTTGACGAGGCAGATGGGGCATGGACTCAAGCTGCCTGCCCCTCGAATGTTCGCCATGGTGCATCTTTGCAGTTCCATTAAATCAGAACGACGACAGTGATAACAACATTGCGACTTACTGCTCCTCGTAGTCCGCAGACAGTATGATGATGGCTGGAAAGAGAAATCTTTCGATACCATCCCCACATCGCACCCAGCAACCATTTTTTGCGTGGTCACGGATGGTATCAAGAAGCTTCTTGAAGCTATCATGCCAAACGACGCGCTTCCAATCTGCATAGTCCTTCTTCGATGCCTTTTTCTTGCTCGTTTCCTTAGGCTAGCAAAGATTAAGAGAGATTGTTAGGATTTGATTGAGGAGTGATAAGGGTTGAACGTACGACCGGCAACCAACCAACAACTCGACCACCCCCAAGAACAGACTCTGAGCCATTACGGATGTCAATAGGCAGGTTAGCAAGCCTTGCATACACTGGGTAGCCCTTCTCTCCTCCGAAAGACGATAGCTCCGTCTTGTCCGCATAAAGGAGAAATGCGAGTGGTTTCCCTTCTGCCGGGAGGCTCGACTGTACGATAAATCAGTACAGAACTAGGTGGAGAAAACAGAACCATACCTGAACATCGTAGAAACTGTCGGCTGTCCAAGGCTCATTAATGAATCGGATCCAACGCGCGCGCTTTTCGTCGTATTTGAATAAGCGTTGAGCATCCCACTCAAAGAATGGTGCCAGCTCCTCATTTTTGACCAGATCGAGTGCCCAGTCCCACAGCGACCTGCTGTATAGTTTGAACTCCTGTTTTTCATTCTTGTACGTAGCGGGGATGGTATCACATTTAATCTACAGCAGCGAGTTTGCTTCACAGTAGTAATGGTGGTAACAACAACATACCGGTGTCAGCAGTTGGGAAGCTTCCCTCCAGCACCGTGAAAGATCGTCGTAGGTCTCTATCGTAAGTTTATCATCCCCCTTCATGCAACGGTGGAAGAGTGATAAGAAAGCGCTGATCTGCTTCTGGTTTAGACAGCACCGGAGAGCCAGCTCGCCGAACTCAAAATCAGCTTCGGTAGCGAAAGGGTAATGAGGGGGATGTTTGCTCGAGGGAGGATTGGTCTTCGAGCGATGCTGTCGTCGATAATTCTCAAACGCGTCGTGACGAGCTGGCCTTTCGGAGTGAGGATGGTATTCTGTCCGGATATCGTCATGTTGCGCAGGGCGGGATGGCTCTGACACGGGGATATGGGGTGAGGGAGGAGCTGGAAAGCAGACACAAGTCAGCGCCCACGGGCCACAGTGGTTCAAGCCCGAGACGAGACTCACCTTGAACAGACGGATGCTGTGGGTGATTATCCTCAGCATCAACTGCACCGAGAAACTCGGGCAAAGGCTCTGAGAGAACCTGTTCTAGGGTAGCAGGGCCGCCCTCTTGCGGTAGCTCAGGCGCCTCTTTGCGGTTACTACGACGTTGCTTTCCAATTGGACGGTCCTCCCAGGGCTTCAGGGTCCTGACTTTGGCAGGGGTACCGCCTGAACATATAGACGTCAGCGTGCCGGGGGATCGTGGTATAGGGAACCAGTACCTTGCTTCTGCCGCCTAGCCTCATCTGCTTTCCTCAGTTCCCGCTCCAGCTGCTCCTCCTGCAACCGTCCTTCCAGTTTGCGACGACAGGCCGGGGTATGCTTCACCAAGCTCTTGAAGGTCTTCTCGCAAATCGGACACTTCTGTTTATGTGGAGATTCAGGCATCGAAACGTGGATTGATAGTTGTAGGATGTAACGACAAAGCAAAAAAAAGAGAATATGCTGGCAAATGACAAGAAACAAGTGATAGCGAGTGAGCAACGTCGACGAGGTGACCAACACGAACAACCAACGTTTGAACCCCGTGATAACGGTCCGTGCCGGATATCGGCACCGTTATAACTCTGTATGGAGTTATAACGGTCCCCAACGGTGATCCAACGGACCGTGCCGTTATAACTCCGGTTAGGAGTTTTCCGACATATTCGTAAGATCGCTGGAGATTGTCGCTTTTGTGAAACTATGGATCTGCTTCTTGCAGAGTTTATCTTGGGCGCTTAAAGTCCAGCTCAATGATCCCCGCCTTTTGTGCAACTTTTGTGGACACAAAAGCTCGGTTCAGGGTCGGTTCGGCAACGACCGACCCACCCTGATCCCGCCGCCAACGTCCCTGAATTCCCAATTCAATCGTTGACCCTCGCGTCTCGTTGGCACGCAAGGAACCCTTTTTCCGACCCCACTCATTTTTATCCCATTTTCAGGTCAGTTCATTCCCTGAAAAAGCTCGCTACCGTTTGCGGCTCTGACTTAGCGCCTTCCAGACTCAAAAGAGGGGCAGAAACGTTGCATAAACGCCAGAAAGGGGGTTCTGAAGTGCTGGTTTGGAACTTGGAACGCGACCCCGGATGCCACCATCACGTACCCCAGCAAGTGAAAGGTCACTCAGTGATGCACGACAGAAGCTGCCGTATACTCCTCCACCACTTCCTCCACCATATGACTCTTCGAACACCAGCACCGGCAGTTCTCGAGATAGCTCAGTCCTCACAGAATTGCCGAGTTCTAGCAGGAGTTATCTCTCCGAGTTAACCCCTTTTGCATCGAGTGACGAAGACGCGGAAGGAGAGGATGATAGCGACTATGTCAATGAAAAAGGACGCGTCCTGTTGCAGCCCAGGGCCAAATTGACGCGTTCATGGAATTCCTTGGCGTCCCTAAATCCCATCTCACCGCAAAAGCCGGTGAAAAACGGGAAAACACTATCAACCCCTCGTGGCAAAGCAACCCTGAAATACATCATTGTCGATGGAGTCGAACTTAAGCCAACCGTCGCTTTTGACACGTTCTGGAGATTTGCTGCTGAACGGAAAGCGATTGATGACAGACGCCGGGCTGGCCAACCCGCTCCGTACGTGTTTACATGTCCTCATTTGTCCGCAATCTCGATCTCAAAATCTCATTTTCTGGAATAGGTGGACAGAAGACCCCATTCTGCAGAAATACTTCTTTTGCAATACATTCCGTGTCCTTGATAAAGTATGCCAATACCTAATCGAGCACGTTATCGAGAAAGGATCTCAAGAACCTATCGAAGTCGTCTTTCGCGTTACCCTGTTCAACACATTCACCAAGATCTCCACCTGGGAACGGCTCCAGTCAGAATTGGGGCCGCTCACCTGGGCTTCATACAACCGCGAAAAATACATCGCCGTCCTGGACCAACTCCGAAGCGAAAACCAAGCTCTCTACACCGCCGCCTTCATCAAACCCGCACCCCACTTCGGATTTAAAGAAAACCACATCAACCACCTGTGTCTGCTCGAAAACCTGATGGAGAACGAAATGCCCTACAAATTGTTGGGAGCAAAGACGATGGCGGATGTCTATGAGTATTTGATTTCGTTCCCCGGAATGGGCGATTTCACAACATACCAGCTCATGCTCAACCTCTCCTACACCAACGTCCTCAACTTTCACCGGAACGACTTTACGATCGCAGGTCTCGGTGCCATCTCCGGCCTCAACAAAATGTTCGGACGGTCGTTCTCGGAGGCCTACGCGGATGACAAGGGATTCGCCGAGCAGGTCCTACGATACCTCGCCGAGGCCCAGGACGAACATTTCCAAAGACTCGGGTTGGAGTTCTCGGGTTTGGGACCTGAGAAATTAGGAATGGACTTGTCGGACATCGAACATACCGTATGCGAAGTGGACAAATATTGCCGCAAAGCACATCCGCAACTCAAAGCCAAACGAATGACGATAAAACACGAATACAAACCCGTGACTACCCCGTCAGGTATCCCAGTGCCCTATCCTAAAGAACCAATCCTCCCGAAAGCCTGGTCACACCCCGCGAGGAAGATTCCAAACGTCAGACCTGGACCCTTGACCATCGAGAAGCGATACGAGGTGGACAAGTTGACGGATGACAAAGTGGACGAGCAAGGGAGGAGACTCTTTTTCGTGCATTGGGTTGGGTATTCTCTCAAAGACGCCACATGGGAATTTGAGCAGTCGCTGTTGCAGGATGCACCCCGAGTGGTGCACGAATACATGGCTGCAAAGACGGCTGGCAAGCAGAAGAACGCGAACAAGAGACGGAAATTGAAGTGATCGGGCAACGCCAAAATCTCGATGAACGCTACATACCCTTTTCACTGCCGGCATGGCAGCTTCCCCTCCAACCTTTTTCTAACATTTCGTTGCAGATTTAATTTCAATTATATAGATTGTTGTAATTCCCTTACCGTTCCCCTTAGTCTTGTAGATTTAGAGCCGCTGTTCTAATCTCAGATCTTCTTGGATACCGTCACCTTACGTCGAAGCGCAACGGAAGTACAGCACGACAGGCTTATGAATTCCAGCAGCTGAGATACGATACACAGAAAAGAGTAAGTATATATAAAACGAAAGCACAACAACAGGAGAAAAGTCATCAGGGAAACTTTATGAAAACATCAATCGTACACGCAAAGGTGCTCAAGCGGCTTCATCGTCGAATTCGTGATCGCCACCACCATTGTCATCTAAAAGGCCAGCGGTATCCCTCAATCGTCGAGACATAATCTCGACATAACCCTGGCTGTCTTGCCAATCTTTACCGCTAGCAACAGGGGTCTAAAGAGGAACGAAAACAATTGATCAGCGAATAGTTCAACTGACGGAATGGACCACTTACAAAGTCTAGGCCAGCCAATTTTTGCAATATGGGAGCCAACTTGATCCCCGCCTCACTTCTGAATGTCACAGGATCGGCAGTTTGCAACAGTCGCATCGCGTTGGCCACAGAGGCTTTGGCCGGGGGCATATTCATGTTGCTTGGGTTGGCATAATGGTTGAGGTGGCGCCAGAGAAGCAGCATGAGCATCTCTAGTGAATCTGCGAAAAGAGCCGCGCGTCAATGAAATATGAACAGGAACATGGAATAAGACCTACCCAAAACAACGCGGGCATCATTCTGCACAGACCGCCTAATCCGCATGAGCTCCCGATAAATGAGAGATCGGGTTTGCTCGATCTCGAGGTCTTGCAGCAATGCAGGGTCGAAATCGCGGAGGATCTACAGATGAACGAGGGTGTTTAGTCCTCTACTAGGACTCGAACAGAGCGGCCAACGAACGACTGACCTCTTGGATCTCGTTAGCCCCGATATGGTGCTTGTTCGCCAACTCAGCTCCGATGTCCGAGATTTGTTTGAGGATCTCCGCGAGGTCGTTGGAGAGGTCGTCCAGTGCTGCGAGGGCATCGCCAATCGTTGGGATCGTGGCTGTCATTCCAATTGAGCTATGCCGCATGGTAGATATAGAACGAAGAGGCATACCAGAGAAACGAGAGCCATGGTCATCACGCTTAGGAGTGATAGTTATAGGCGACAAGACCAAATGAATATCCTCCTCTGGAGACACAATCAGATTCCGTTAGAACAGGAAATCAGAACACGGCTTACCAGTGAAATCACTAGCCGAACCAATATACGAAATCACGCTCTTGTGCAAGAGGCGTTCCTTCTGCTGCACCATAACATCGAACTTGCTCAACGAACCGTGGCCTGTGTTAGCAGATAAGTAACCGCGACGCCTAATTCGGTCTCCAAAGAACGTACCAAAGGCATACACATTGCTCGCCTGCACTTCACTGTCGGTGGAAGGAATGACGCGGTCAAAGGCTTTGCCTCGCCCAAGGGTCCTTGTGGACAAACTAAGGATGGCAGCGTTGATGACGCCGAACCCAGAGTTGGCTGAAAGCTGCGCCTCCATCAGTATGATAATCGCGACATGAAACAATCCGACATACAAGGTCAGTTCGAGGGACGGATGGCAAGACACTGGCGCAGAGGTTAACCACCAAGTGGAGCTCCTCGAGGATAGACAGTGGCACGTAATCAGCCTGCGTTTTCAACAGGATGGCGATAGTCGAGGAGTGGTTCGAGAGGAAGTCCAGAGCCTGCGCAGAGAATTATCAGTTATCGGTACCAATCAGGAGAATCCAAGAAAAAGAACATACGTGGTTAGTAGCTGTCGTATGCTTGTTGCCCAAGACAGCGATGATAGCGTTGACGACTTGGACAGCAGGGGTGAACAGTTGGTGGTAGCGTTGGATGGCCGAAGGCAGGAACGAGTCGTGGTCCATGAATGCTTGGTCGGCTTCTGGCATCGCATCCAAGTAGTCGCATTGGGCGAGAGTCGGGATCAGCTGCGCCTCAAGCAACCTCTCCGCTCCCGATCTCGTCTGGGCCATCCTAATGAACAGCGACATCTTCGCCTCGTAGACGTACAGAGGGTTGAGGTCATCTGCAGAGGAGGAATCAGTGAGAAAGGATGGCCCCATGTGAAATCCGAAAGCACATACCAGGTTCAGGCTTAAGGACAGACTGTAGCAGGGCATCCGAATCCTTAAGACCCCTCACGAAGTTGGTAAGAATACCATGTCGATCCAATGCCGAGAGCGCAACATGCGGCTTCTCCAAACTCGACAATTGAGTAATCGCATCCAAAAGCATGAACGCCACCGTCTTCCAAACTTCCGTTCCATCGATCGCATCCCTGGCAACAACAGCAACCAACCTCTCCAACCCGGGCTTCAGGGATGACAAGATTCCCGATTCAACCTTGGCGGTTCTGGAGGAACCAGTCGAGTTGACGAGTGCGAGGGAGCGCGTACTGCCGCTAAATGGGCTACCCTGCCTTGAAGAATAATCGAGGTTGAAAACGTCCTTGGAATCGTCCGAGAGGCTGCTGTCGTGGTCAGAAACGAGGACGAGGTGGATGAAGTTGATGAGAGAGCCGTAGAGGTTGCCTCTGATCAGTTCCGAATGGTTGCTGTCGAGGATACCTTCAACGATACTTCGCAGAATGGAGTAAAGTCGTTCGGCTGGAAGAGATCCGGTTCCTTCGACTCCACCAGACTGCAAAACGAGTTGATGTCGTCGATCTTCTCGCAACTTGGTGATGAGCGAAAGTGTGGTTTCCGACAACAAGACGGCGGTGGGTTCTTCGATATTGGGCGAGCGAATGGCAGGTGGAAGGACATGGAGGAGGTCGAACAACATATTCTCCCTGCGATCATGCGGCAGTCGGTCGAAGCACTTGGTGAGCGCAAGATCGAGGAGACGGCGCCATGATTCGAACCCAGTCGCAACACTGAACGCAATTTGCCGCCTATGATTCTCGATCGCACAACTCTCCAATACGTAGTTTATCTCCGCATTGAGTTGATCGTTCTGGGCAGTCGTGGCAATGCTTCCCTGAGAGAGGAGTGTCTGTTTGGCGGTGGAGATCATCCGAAGCAATGTGGGGCGGTCGACAACTTCGCATCCATTGGCGTCCTTCCGGATCGAGGCCTGCAAGTTCAACTGAGCAAGGTACTGCAAGTCGACGTGGTTAACTTGCAACGTATCCTGCCACTCGAACAACAACGACTGGAAGAAGTCGACGATACGCATGTTTGACTGGCCGACCTCCCGGAAGGTATGGAAGTCGTGCTCCTCCTCGTAATCCACATCAATACCGAACAGAATCTCGAGCAGATCCGTGACACTCTTGTGGTGTCCCTTGCTCGTCAACAAGTGAAGTTCGAGGGCGACAAGGTCGAAGATGTAGGATCGCAATCGGAGGAAGGAGCTCAATGCCTCGACCGTCGTAATCACTCCCGACCCATCTCCGTAGATGACCTTGATGACGATATTCGCAGGGCACTCTGGAGCTCCAGGAGAAATGTTCGAAATTTGACGAGCGAAGAAATCCTCCCGCGTGCGCAAATACCGGGTTACAAATTCGGACGTTCGTGGGTGCGTGCAGAGCTGGTAGATGACGCGATAACAACGTTCAGCCAATGCGGGGAGGGAGATGGCAAGAGGGATGGTTTGAATGCGATGTTCTGGATTCCTTCGATCCTTGATACGCGGTACGCCTTCATTCACCAACTCCAGGATGACATGGATCGAGGTCCTGCGCGCGTGCAATGCACGGGGATCTTCCACCAGAGGTTTGCTACTCCCGAAAAGGAGCCAATGGCCAAGATTGGGGAAACTGCGGCTATTACTCGTGTCCTGGATCAACAAATCCAACGACGCCAATCGGATAGCCTGATCCAAGGAGCTGCTCGCGTCGTCAATGGTGGGCGCTCCCGCGCCAGAGTTGAGCTCGGCGTTGATCTCAGCTTCGGTAATATCCGGCACAAGCTCTGCTTCCAAGGTCTTGACGAATGCAGCGAGGATTCGTTCCGAGTTGGGACTGCGGTCGATGAGGGCGACGAGGTTGGTGAAGTATGGGGAGGTGGAGAGGAAGGTGAGAACCTTGACCGACAACAGGACGATCTCAGCATGACTACTGTACTCCATGTACTGGGCGATGGCTGGCGTGTAGCGCGGGTCGAAGGACAGGGCTTGGTCGAACTTGGTGAAGTAGGATCGATGATGGAGATGACCAATGTAGGGCGCCGTGTTGAATTCGGACAGAAGGGGGAGGAGGACATCGAGGAAGATGTCTTGAATCTCCAGCAACCTTGAAACAATTCGGAGCACTCGGATGATAGTGTTCCTGAACGCTGGCTCCTCGTCCGCAAGTCCCTTCTCGAATCCATCCAGTGCATCGACAAGGTATGAGAGCAAGCTCGCCTGCAAGGGTGAAGTGCTCAGCAACCGAGTCATGACGTCGAACCCTGGATGGATGAGGTAGGGTACGATAGACTCAGTCTTGAGAGGTCCCTCTTCTGCCAGGCTAACCAAAGATTCGAGATTAAAGCCAGCAACGGCCCGCTCGATGTAGCACAAGCAGAGGTCATTGATGCGCCATCTGTCCGAGGGGTCATTGTACTCTCGGTTTGGAATGTTCGCAAAGACGTTGTCGATAACGAAGGAGGTGTAGGGACCAACTCCGGGAAGTCGGTAGGGCTGGCCCAGGGTGTCCGGGATGGTGTTTGAGGGAATCATGCCAGTTGCCCGATCTCGTTCTGGCAGGCGCTTGGCGGTATGAATGAGGGTGCTCAGAAGTTTGAGGAAGGGAATTGTGGCCGGGTATTGTCGATGTACCGCCTCGATCTGCTCCAACTCTACTTCTACTCCCTTCCCGGATGCCAGAGATGTCGAGAAGCCACCCGTTTGCCCTCTAACATTGATCACCTCATTTCGCTCCAAAGATGTCCACACAGCTCGACAAATTTCCAAACCAGGGCTTCCTCCTCCAGGTTCGCAGAAGGCGGCGAGTGTGTCGAACAGCGCGCCTTTCAACTCCAGTGGCACGCTCAAGGGAATGAGGTTGGCGAGAGTAGGGATGGCGCGGAAGTGAATATGGCCGGCAATGGCCTTGCGTACATTGATAGAGTATCGGACAACGGAGGCCAACAGTCGAAGGAATGCCTGGGCGAAAATGACGTCTTTGTTGCTGATGACTGGCTGTTGGGCGGGTACCGGCTGGGCGAGGTTCTGAATGGAATGAGAGAACGTCGAGGTTAGGCCGAGGGATTGAGGTTGGGGGTTGCTCTTCGGGTTCGCAATTGCGTTCGTCCATGCATCGAGGATACCAAAGATGGCAGTCCATGAAATAGCGGGAGTCGCAGCGGTTGAAGATGAGATCGAGCTTCCGGGAAGAACCTCTCCAGTTCCCCGAGCTAAAAAGTTATAAGCCAGCTCGCTACACTGCTGTCCCTTGGCCAGTCCATTGATCATATCGTAAAGAGCAGTCAGCATGATCAAGTCTTGAGAAGATGTTGACCAAACCGCCCATTGGAGGAAAGCAGGAAGTCGGCCAGCGGTGGCTTCCACAAATTCAAGGTAGGTGATGCTAGCGTCAACCGATCCAGCTCCCCAGAACTGCAGAGCGCGCTCTTGCGGAAGAGCTTGGAACAGCAACCCAATGAAGGAGTAAAGAATGGCAATGTCGTGTCTGGGTTGCTGGGCTGGCTTCTCGGGTTCTGGTACCGAAGGCGCGCCGTACCGTGAGGCTGCCCGGTTTCGCTCGGTCCTCGCATTTGCCAGGACGACGTCCTCTTGCCGTTGCTTTATCTTTCGGAGCTCCGAGGACGCATATGTGATCAAAGAGCGAACGAGAGTTTCGAAAGTCGAGAGAAGGAGCAACTTCGAGTCTTGCGCAGGGAGTTCTGGTTGCTCGGTTGTTTCGGTTACTGGAGAGGTGACGAGGGATGGTGGAAGGGCTTCTTTCTCGTTCTTTCGAGATAACCGCGCGACAGTGATGGCCAAATAGGTGAATGCGTCTCCCTGAACAGCGTTCCATACTTGGGTTTCAAGTTCTTCATTTTTGAAACCCGCTCGGTGCTCCAGGCTCGCGTCGTTGTGGCGTGCATCAGTGATGAACATTGTCCATTTGAGAAGGATAGCTGCCTTCAACCCGGGCTCCTTCCATGTTGTTGACGGGGAGAGCTTTTTGCTCATATAAGTGAGAAGTGATTGGTCGGTCGATACTCTTGAGCGAAGGGAGCCGAGGGGTGAATCGGGGTCGCAAGGTTCGAAGCTGATGAATACGGCGGTGAGGATGTGATAGGCCAGGAAGTGGGTTGGATGGTCAGACAGCCAGTCGATGAAGGCTCGAATCTCGTTGGGCTCTATACACCCGTGCTGTGCTATTGTGGTCAACGAAATGGCCAGCTTGCGTCGTTCGTAATTGAGTGAGTCTCTCCTTCCCTTCAGAATGTCGTAGCCGAGAACACCTTGCCCTAGAAAACGCCTGAGCATTGCTTATCTGCGAGACTATAAGAAACAAACCTTGAGCTGATGGGGATACTGTGTTACTTGTTGCATTTTTGAGGGCGATGTCTGCTTTGGCGATGACATTGTCGAGCTGCTGGATCTCTTTGAAGATCCTATGGGCGAAAGATGTTTGCCCTCCGGGTGTAGCTTCCACGGGCAAGATCTCCGTCCGGACAAAGCTGCGGAGACGTTGGAGGGTTGGAGGCGCGTCCGGTCGCTCGCCTTCAAGGGACGCGGCAAGGAGGGTTCCAATGGAATCAGCGAGGTCCCGTCTTCGTGCATGGTACTCGCGAACTGTGGCTTCAATGTAGTCGACGGGAGATAGGTTCGTATTGTTTCGCATAACGGAATGAAGAACGCTTGCGACATGCTTTTCTGAGCAATCGAGATGTTGGGAAATGAGTAGAACTTGACGGGCAAAGTCAGAGTTCACTGCAACCTGTTTTCCGTCGATGGTGATTTTCCCTAAAGGCTATCAGTATATATTTGTAGTGTTCAAATGATAGAGCATACCTGATTCGACCTCCCTTTGTTCTTGAGCATTTCTAGGACCAACATCGAACAGTTTGAGCAGACGCGGTTTCTGAACCATGATCTCTTCAAACAGTTCCCGATCCCCCTGGTGAGGCTCTTCTGGGCCACGGGCCAAGGCCCTTGTCAGGGCGTCTTTCAGACGGTGTATGTTGTCCATGATAAGGGGTGTGTCGAAACCAGAACCAGCAGCACGACGACAAGGACCGCTGGCGCGACGATGAAAGCCTTGCACACAACGCCGTGCGCGAAACCGCGTTTGGCTTGGAACAAACACGGACATACATGCCAAGACCAAGGTAGATCAATCCATACCATGTCCCGCGCCTCGTGAACTTGGACTGCGCCTGCACCGTCCGTCGCGATTCCAAAGAATTGATAATCTCTTCTTACATGGAGACTAGTCTTGATTCAGAATCCAACTAATTCCATACATAGGCCCAAATCGCCCAGGATAATCAACAGCAGCGACCGCCTGCAGTAAACCTTGCGGGACATGGGCCAGAATTCGTCCTCCCAGCCATCGGTGAGTGGGCTTGACTGTGATTCAAACCCTACGCTATATGCTTATAAACGATAAGGAGACACATGAATCGGCTGGATCTATGAACATTCCAGGATCCTGTACGTTCCTACCGTGGACTTGATCTCAGAGGTGCATCTTAACGGCGCCTGTCCCTAGACAACGCCAGCGCTTTCCAAGGTGCCAGCAACGTGAATATACACGGTGGAACTATCAATGTGGTCGGAGGAAACCTTATAAATACCTCACATACGATCCACAAGCGGTCGCCAGATGAAGGTATCCCTATCTCGATTGACTCTCGGAGGCCAAGTTAATGGTTCGACAAGCAGCCCTGGTCATTGAAATCTTGGAATGGCTCGCTCCCACCATAAACTTCAGGGCTGACCAAATGGACAATATTGAGAAATCATCGCCGGGAACGGGGACCTGGTTTCTCCACAGCCCACTTTATGAAAAATGGAAGCAGAGTCGAGGAGGAATCATCCTGGGCACTGGAATGCGTACGTGTGGGTTTGACTTCCTGCGAAAAGCGTGACCACTCATGCCACTCTGCAGCTGGTGCTGGAAAAACGGTCCTCTCGTGAGTCACTAGTCGCTCTCCATCGGCCAATCCCAAGGATTATGGTTGACATATTTGGCAGATCCCTCATCGTTGATGATCTCGAACAGATGCCGGGAAGAATTGGCATCGTCTTCGCCTATTTCCGGTACACCTCGAACGTCTCTGCGAGGGATATCCTTGAAGGGCTCGTCAAGCTGCATCTCCAAAGAGACGATACCTTGGTCACGCTGATCAAGGACACCTACACGAGACACAAGGCCCAAAGGACGCGTCCAAGTCAGGGCGAACTTCTATCCATACTGCGCGAGATAGAAAAGGTTTACGACATCACGTTTTACGTCCTAGATGGCCTCGACGAAGTGGGAAGCGATACCCAATTCGATCTTATCGAGGTCATTCAATTGCTACACGGGAATTTTGTCATCATGACGCGCCCTCTCGATATCCTGGACGCCATACCCCATGCCGTCCTTGTCAACGTCACAGCCCAAGATCGGGACATCGAACTTCTCGTCTCCCAAAAGATCGATCGAAATCCCCGGTTCCGCAAGCTTCTGGAGAATCATGGCTGCCGTGAGCTAGTCAGTAGACAAGTCCTCGTCAAATCAAATGGAATGTAGGTTCTTCGTCACATCAGGATGGGTCTCCACTCACACTGCTCAGGTTCCTACACGCTGCGCTTCAACTCGAGGCCCTCCAACAATGTTCAACCATCGCGAGTGTACAAGAAACTCTCGATCGGTTCCCCGCCAAGCTGGAAGAGATGTACGCGGTCACCGTGGCGCGCATCGAGCGACAATCTCCCGAGTACGCTGCGCTAGCAAAGCGAGTACTTACTCTCCTCCTCTGCGCGCAAGCGCCCTTGACCGTCGCGGAACTCCGATATGTAATAGCGACGGACTCAACGATGCACCGTTACGAAGGCTCTCGTGTAGTCGACATCAACACCCTCGTTTCCGTCTGTTGTGGCCTTGTCCATGTCGGAAAGAACGGCATCGTCCAGCTCGTTCGTGGGTGATTTTCAATGTTCATCTAGGAGCCCGGCTCACAAAACGAAAATGCGTAGATTTCACAGCCTTGGATGCGCTCAAACCCATTATCCTTCAAGATCCTTCAATGTCCCATGGCTGGCTGGCGCAAGTATGCATGCAGCGCCTCGTCGATTGTAACATCACGGACTGGCCCATGAACCACTCCTTGTCACGATTTGAAGATGCCTTGAAGCAGCAACGATTTCTTCAGTATTCCTATGACCACTGGGCTACCCATGCAAAGGAAGTGGGAACTGACTCCAGCGCTTTCGATGCTGTCCTCACCTTTCTCCGTCGCTGTACTTCGTACCCTTGTCCTATCGACCTCACCTGTGGATACGATGTCCTCTCCCACCCTCAGGGACAACTCGAACAACTGGGTTCATTGCAACTCGCCAGTCGCTATGGTCTTCCCGCGACTTTTGGTGACGTCCTCGTCAAACAAGACGAGTCGAATTTAAACACTGTGACAAAACCGCTAGGACTCACCGCTCTTATGGTCGCCGCGTGGTTCGACCAAGGGGAAACCGTTCAGTGGCTCCTCCAACAGGAAAGCCTCGATATCAACGCTCCAAACGCCAGCGGCCAAACGGCTCTAATGCTGGCTTCAGCAAAAGGCTATGAAGCCATCGTCAAACAGCTGCTCCAGCTGCCTACCGTCAGGGAGGACGTCAACATGCAGGATGTAACCGGATGGACAGCACTTATGCTCGCCTCGTGGTTCGGCTATTCCAGCATCGTGAAGCTCTTACTAGCATGTGAAGCCGATGGAACAGTGGTCACTAAGAATGGAACGACAGCCCTTATCCTCGCTTCGTGGAAAGGCCATGTATCCGTGGTCGACCAATTGCTCGAGCATCATCCTTCCACGGTAGACGTGAATGTACGAAATGAATGGGGACTCACACCACTCCTGGTTGCGTGTTGGAATGGCCACGTCCCAGTCGTTGAACGCCTCTTGATGTACCCGGGCGTTCAGGTTGGCCTTGAGGATGTTACTGGCTTAACACCGTTGGCACATGCGAAGCGCTGCGACCATCGGAGCATCGTCAACCGACTGCTTGGACACCCTGGCATGACATCCAATGCCCAACTAGCAGAGGAAGAGCTCATGCCCGGGTCGGAATTCTCGATCGATGACCAGGCTATGGCCATTGCACTGGACCCAAGGGTTCCTCTCATATGGTACGTGCCATTCGCCCCTAGAGTTATCGTCTACTGACTATTATGCCACCAGCATTATGGGCACTGAATCTGCTAAGACATCGGCAAGTAATCATGATGTTGTATCATCCACAGCACACTGAATATTGTTGTTCCAAATGAAGCTCCTCCATGCCCTATTCACGTGTGCAACTGCGAGGACATCGACCGCTGTGGGAAACAGGATACATCTCCACACCCTCAGCCCGGACGGCGCCTCCCAAGTGCACATCCTCGATCTTCCAGCCTTCGAAAATGATTCCTTAGATCATGACAGAAATATCAGTGATGCCCTGGTCTCTTATTTCTCCAAGTTCGTTCAGACTCATAGCTTGCCTTGTACTCAAACTAACCTGCATACTGGATCCAGACATTCTGGACATCATCCTCACGCACTCGTCTTTGCCTACGACATCTCCCAACCATGGTCACGCCCTCGGCCATTGGATATCCACAATTTCAACCTACTCAGGGATCTGTGCGGCGTGTCCTACTGTCCAAATCTCACCGTCCTCACCACCAACTGGAACTCTGGTGGCGGTTTGGGCGGCTCAGAAGAGAGATTCATGAGACGAGAAAATGAGTTGCGCTCAGCCACTCGTCTATGCAAACTCTTCATTGACCGTGGCGCTACCTTCAAACGTGACTCTGAATTCTACCCCCGGGACACTGGTACTGGCTTACCCAGCGCCTTCCCGTCGTTCCAGCAGCTCCTAGGACAAACCCCCAAACCACTCGCAATCCAAACTCAGCTCGCTTCTTCCTCGTCCAACGGCAACCTAGATGCAGTAGCCGTCCAAGAGACACTACGGCGTAGGGTCAAAGAGCGCCTCCTGTTCCAGCAAAATCAATTGGACATCAAAATCCGTACGATTGAGCGAGATTTGCGCTGGTGCTCGGGTGGAGCGGAAGGCAAAGGCTCGTCGGGCTCCTTTCGCCGTTTGTTGGTGGCTAGGGTGAAGAACGAGGAGAACATTCGGTGGTTGAAGCAGTTTATCCCGGATGCTGGATCACCTTAGATCGCTCGAACCACGGACCCATCGCGACGTTTGGGTTCTGACGTTGGGAATACAAATTACTAGGATTACTATGTCACATCACTTCTTCGGGTCTGGAGGTTGCTGATGACAGGACGCAGGCATAGCATCGAGGCCGACGCGCGCACACAGAGAACGCAGTCGACAAACATTGTGTGGAAGCCCGTGCGGAGGACTGTGATACATCCGTTGTAGTAACGTTTGCATGAGGCCCATGATCATTGTCGATAAGCGCCGATCCGGGAAATGGTGCATTCCCACGCCCCTGGGTAAGCGCTCACATCGATGAAGTCCGCCCTTTCGCTGAAATGCCATGCTTCATAGCCTTAAAACCAGACTCTAGCCTTTAAAGAAGCTGAATTCCATGTACAATGCGATGGCTACTATGACCACCATGTCAATCATGCTTCCAGTAAACCCAGTATCTAGTATCTTTCCATCACATAGAGCCATGGAAACTAGACATGATGTCGAATCGCTTCAACGAGAGCGTCAGCCTGGAAGTTAACCATCTAGGAGAACTAAGCAGGAGAGACTCACCTCCATAAGATATTTCCTCCTAGCCTTTGCATTCTATCATCGATTCATCAGTGCCAATTCACCTCGACAAAAAGATTCCTGAGCTCACACTCTGTATCAGCCTCGCTTGAAGCACACCAATCTTCTCCGCTCTCTTCAGATCCTCTTCTCTAGCTCTCCTCATTGTTTCCGGCGCACAAAGTACGCTCAGCGTCCGGGAAAGCCCAGAGGTAGGAGTGGCCACCCGCAAAAATCCATCGAGCTCATGAATCATTGCAGTGATGGCTTCGTCCGCACGTTTCCCTCTGGAATGTCCTACGGCAGTCTGGCTGGCCGCATCTATTGCATTCCTCACCGATTCTGAGATCAGCCTAGATATAAATCGATGTCAGCCTTTTCGGGTACTAGTTTAAGCGCCCAGATTGAAACGAAAAGCTCAACACCCAGTCGGCGCGCAAGCCTCGAGACCTCGCATACTAATAGAACCCACATGCGATGAAAAGAAGAAACTTGAAGCCAACCTCTTCAGTTTCCGCGCCATGGCCAGCGACCGCAAGAACCTCGAGTCGCTTATCAGACCACGACACAGTCTGATGACAGTAAGGCACTGCGTAAAATACGCCCGTCCAACGAAATGCAGCTTTTGTGCGCAGCTTCGGTAAAGGGTGGACTCGAGGTCACCTGTCTTTGATGTAGAAGGCGGCATCTCTGTAGTCTGTCGCTTTTCCGGCGGGTTGTTGCGCCAATAATCTGACAGGCGTCGGGGTTTGAAGCCAAGGAAGGTGCGAGTCAGACTCATGTGCCGTACGAGGCGGCTTCTCAGGCGCCTGCCTGCCACCACGAGGTGTATATAGACCGATAAGATGTTTCCTGGGGCATGGCATGGTGGTATTCGCGGCTTCCAAAACAACCTAGTATACACAATCGAAGATGATAGAAGAACATACTAGCGTCCCTGATTCCTCATTTGCAATTCCCAGACTTCGCGGTTTCACGTAGCACGCTTTGCAAGGATATCATAATGACCAGGTCTAGTGACGAAGCAGTCACTAAATGCGCCAAATGCAGACGTCACATCGATGGACTTACCGATAAAGCAATGTGATAGGCTCCTGATCTTCTGGTCCTTCTTTGAAGGTCACAAAGTCCACACTGTCGCTCTTATGACCATCCAAATAGGCAACATTGAGATTGATCTTCAACTCCCGGCAGAGGGCGAGCATTTGGACATGGTCTATACACCCGTCGGTCAAACATGTCCCCGGTCAACTGCTATTAGCATGTCCGACTCACCAGCCTCTACTCCCACCGGATCGACAAACCGAGAACAGAAATCGACAGCAGTCATCTCCAAATCGCGCTCAGCATCATAGAAGAATCCAGAATATTGGTCGCTGTTGTTCTTCAAATGGGCGCTCTGTGTCGAGAAGATGTTCAATGCTATGCTGTATAAGGACCAAGATAAGGGACTGACGGCAATCATTCGAAGGTAATAGACAATGTAGGCAGGAACAGGCTCGTCTATAAAGCGCAAAAGATAAGCTTTGTGCATCGTTGTAAGTCGACGTTGAAAGAAATCATTGGTACCTTCCTCATCGACACTCGGATCCGTAGCCTGGTCTTGGAAACGCGCTAACAGACGGTCAGAATCCAGCTTGAATCCTTTCTTGTTGGGTGTCGTGATGTTTTGAATGAGAGCAGTGAACATCGCATAAGGTTCTTCGAGGATAAACTCGTCCGTTCCCGACAAAAGGATTGCCGTCCGTGTCGATTCCAGAATCGAAAGGCTGGAGCCTACTTTCAGATCACGATGTTCAGGCGGGGTGTGGAGGAGCTGGTCGATATAGGCAAAGGCCAGTGCTACATTGACAGTGAGAGATGAGCTGCACCTTCTTAAAATGCTATAACCCGAGACTGACATCGGTAAAAGCAATCGCCATCCCCTACAATCCATGTTCAACGTCAATCTCACAGATAAGGGACAGATACGCACCTCGAGCACGTCTGATCCCAGTGTAGCCCTGTCCCACAAGCCAGTCAATCTGGCTCACAAATGACGCCGACCCGTTCTCATATTCTGCTCGCAAGGTGGCCATCGGGGCCAATTCAGAGACCAACGGCACATCCGGGATAGATTCGTTGAACAATTGCTATTCAAAACATCGTTTGAGCGCTTCAGGAGATTTTCCAGGCCGTCACGAACGAACCTGGTTCTTATCGTACATCTCAGCCGTCGAGAGCTCCTTCAGTTGCGCCTGCGTCGTCTGATCCTGGGGCTGCTGCTGCTCCTGAGCCTGCTCGGGCGTTATCTGCGTCATTTCTGTCTTGCGTTTACTGCGGCGTCGGTTTGAGTTGCGTGGTGGTGGTTCGGGTACAAGAAGTAAGCCCTCTTTAACTGGCGAAGCTTGTGTGCTATGGAAGCTGAGGCCATCCAAAGCTTGAGTGGACCCAAGCTCGAACGTCGCGAGGAAACTCGGCCCGCCATTCCCAAAATCATCATCGTCGTCGAGCTCGAGTTCCTTGAATTTGGGTTTTTCGACTACCGGCAAAAAAAGGGAAAAATCAGTGGCATAAGGATGGGTTTGAAGGCTGAGAACGAACCCGGCGGCGGCTCGTTTGGGCGACTTTTAGGGGTTGGTGGACGCGGTGTCGCCGCTCCAGATGAAACCGAATCGTCGAAATCCAGTACTTCCAGAGACGCAGTCGCAGAGTCCAGGGACATGTGGGATAGAGAATTAGGCTGTCCATGGAGGAAGCGGTATATATTCCAACAGATATGATGTACATCCACGCATTTCACTATTATACCCAAAACAATGTACAGATAGATTCCCGAGAACAACAACAAAAGAGTGAATTCCCTTTTACACCGAAATTAAAAGAGCGACATGACCTCGAGGTTGATCAAGGCAGTGCGCGAATTGAACTGCATTGTGACTGCCAGGCTTCCAGCGCTAAAGGTGATGACTTTGGGTGATGATGCAAAAGGGTTGGGTCGTTATCGATCACGAATCGCTCGCGCCTTCTTCTTCCTGGCTTTTAATGAACGCGTCCAACTCGCCAAGGATTTCCTCTTGCATTTCAGGGGTATTCTTGACGCTAAAGCAAATCTATCAGCCATCACATATTCCTCCTAAAACAGAAACGGGACTCACAAAAGCTGAACGAATTTAGGCAACTCTTCAGGACCATTGATGAACCCTAGCTCGACGAGAGCTTCATGACGCGCTCGAAGTCTACAAACAACTAATGAGTCAAGTCGTTCGATGATATCAAGGACGGCACGTACTGCTCTTCAGGGCTAAACTTCTTCTTCACCTCCGCTACAGACTCCTTCTCTGGGCTCGGCGATCTGACTGGACTGGTCCTGGGAGGACTCGAAGGCGGCTCAGGTGTCTTTGGATTAGCCGCTGCCGAAGCCATCTGCGCCCTCTTCGCCTTGCCACGGATAGGTGGCCACACTGCTGGCGTCTTCGCATCCGGCTCTTTCTCCTTCTCCTTCCTCTTCGGCTTCGATTCCTTTGCCTCGGCCTTCTCACTCGCCTTTTTCTCCTTCATCTGTTTCCTCTACAACAAGGTCAGCTTCGATACATCACGCCCGGAGTGTATTCACCCACCTTGAGGGTCAAATTCGTCCTCTCTTCTTCAATTCTGCTCGGCTTCAAGATATGGTCGTTGTGGTGGATATAGCTGACACCAATCGTGCTCAGCGCTTTCTGGATCGCGTTCTGTTCACTATCCTCCGAGAGTGCAGTAGGGGCTAAAAGAAATCAGTTCTCTCGCTCACCGAAGTAGATGAATAACACTGACCATCGTCCGAGAACAGCAGGGCGCCTAATCCCTGCAAATCCTTGTCGCTCTACCAGAGGCATCAGTACACCACCAACACAGACCGCATGCAAAACACTCACATCCGAGATCTTAACACCTTGCACCTCCGCCAACAACTCATCCCCCGTCTTAGACTTGCGCGACTTGCTCTTCCCCCCAAGATTAGCCATAGCCCAATTGAACTCTGCAAGATTCGCTTTCTCAATCTGTCAATCACAAATATATATATATATATATTCCAATATCTCAGACCCAAAACCCCAACGTAGGAATGAAACGACACGTACCGCCATCTTAGTCGCCAACTTATCCTCATGGAGTTTGAAGATATTCTCGAGACCGAAGAGTTCACCCCGCTTGGTGACATCGCCTTGCACACCCTGGAAATACCTAGTCTGCACACTAGCCTCATACCCAATCGCCATAAGCTGCTGCTTATAGATCTGACGTGCATAGATCAGTTCCTCGACGGAGCCAGCTCCAAGCAACCGATACACCGAAACATCTCGCGTTTGGCCAAACCGATAGGACCTATCCATAGCTTGCAAATCATGCGCAGGATCTATTCGAACACGATCGTCAGATACCCATCCATGGAAACACACTGATGATGTAAATGCACGTACTCCAATTAGGATCAAAGATCACAACTTTATTGGCGCCTAAACAGACGCGCATGAGTCACCCCCAATAACGCAAGAACGAGGGACCATTTACTCACCAGTAAGGTTCAATCCAGTCCCACCAGCCATCGTCGAAATCAAGAAAATGAAGATATCCGGATTAGCATGGAACCTGTCAATCATAGGCATCCCTATCCCATTTCATTCAGCATTGGAACACGGAAGAGGAGTGGACGCCACGACTTACGCTCCGACTGCTTCGTGCTCCCATCCAGCTTACAAAACCCGTAGTTCTGCGTTTGGAGATGATACTCCAACATCTCCAACAACCTCACAGATTTGGTGAAGATCAGCACCTTGTTTGTCGGGTCGGCTCTCCACTGTTTCAGAAGGATATTCAAGGCCTAAGTGGGATAGTAGGTCCTATCAGCAGCGCGTCAACACAATCCAAGACTGCACGTACCTGCCACTTTCCGCAATACCTTGGGTCGATAATAACCTTCCCATACATCGGCACATTACCATCAGGAAAGGCGAGCTGAGCAAGCTCTCTATTACGCTCCTGCTGTTCAGCCGAGTCTCTTGGACCTGAGAAAGTTGGAAAGTCGTCAGTGTCCCCGTCTAATTTATCGTACAAAGACACACATACTTCCAGGCAAAATAAGACCAAGATGGTTAGACAACTTGATCAAAATAGACATATACTTGAACACATTCGCAGCGACAAAAGGATGGCAGCAATTCTTTCTCTTCTTCTTAGATCCACACGAACACTCTTCTTCTCGCCTCAAAAGATTTTGCACATCTCTCGACTTCAAAATCTTCTTGTACACACTGCTCTGGAATTTGGACAGAGGGCAGAACACGACTTGATCTGTCTTCTTTGGAAGCTGGTGAGAAATAATATCCTTCGTTCTGCATATCAAGCATCAGTAATCGTCTGTCAGCAGAGGTGTACGGAGACTCACCTTCTCAAAAAATACTGAGGAAGGAACTTCTGCTTCAGGATCTTCGCCACAATCTGAAGAACAGACAATGAGCAACTAAACAGCAATTAGACCAACAAACACTGACCAAAGCCTTCTTCCTCGTCTCAGCCGAAGCCGTCGTACTCTGACCCTCAGTCAACGGCTTCGCAACATACTCATTCCACTCCTTGACTGTCCCAATCCTCCCAGGATTCGTCCAATCAAGGATAGTCCACAGCTCCTTATACGAGTTCTGAATCGCCGTTCCCGTCAGTCCAAACCTAATCGGACACGCAAACTGATGCAGAGCTTGGGTAACAGCCGCATCTTCATTCTTGACTCTATGAACTTCGTCAACAATCACACAACTCCAGTCAAGAGTGTCGAGATATTCGATGTCTTTGCGAGCTAAGTCAAATGAGGCTACGACTATCGGGAAACGGTTAGAGGGTGGTTGCTATTCGCAGTGAGAGGTGAGGTACTCACGGACATCTAATCTTCCCAGTTTGAAATCATGTCGAATGGCCTCGCGGTCAGCCGGTTTAGAGTCTCCAGCATACGATCCCACTTCAAAATAACCCCACTGATAACAGTATCGTTAGATAAAGACCACAACTCGACAACATAGTGACAACTTACCGTCTCAAACTCCCGTAACCAATTCTGCACAACCGTGCTCGGAGCAATAATAAGACACGTCGGCCACTTCTCGTTCGCCTTGGGCAATTTGCGATGCTTTTTCCACATCTCCCCATCCTGCAACCGGGACACATGTTTCCGCCGACGATTTCGGTCATCCTGAGAACCCGTCTTTTTCATAATGGCAGAAAGGAACGAGATAACCTGGATTGTTTTTCCCTGGAGAGCGCGAGTTAGACGTAGAGTGGCGAAATGTGGAGGAAAGACTCACAAGTCCCATGTCGTCGCCAAGCAGACCTCCTCTGCCTTGCTTGTACATATCCCAAAAGAATTGGACGCCCTCACGTTGGTACTCTCGCAGATACGTGTTTATCGCACCAGGGACCTGGATACCCTGCACTTGGTCCAATACCATAGGGCCCAGCCTCTCTTGACCGGGACCAAGCTCAAACCCAGGCTTAAGCCGCGGAGTCTGCGAAAGTAAATTAATTCAAGAATCAACGCGGGACGAACAAGAACACTTACACCATCCTTGTTATACTCCCAAGGTTCATCGTCATCATCATCCTCAGTCACAGACTCCTCCTCGGTAACAGACTCTTCTTCCGTAACCGATTCTTCTTCAGTCACCGACATTTCATTCTGCGCGGGAATTGGGACATCCTCCTCGGACTCGGACTCCGTCACAGAATCTTCTGCCGCTTGGCTACCTGGAGAAATGTGAGCTTTTATGTCGGGGATAGAAAGCGGGACATACTAGCTTCCTGCGACAGCTTCTGTCGCTTATTGGGCCGCGGCGAGGCAGAGGCAGATTTGCGTTTAAGCGCGGGCGCCTCTTCCTCACCCTCTTCCTTGTACTGCGCAGCCAGCGCAACCTTGCCTATCAAATTCAAAAATTAAACGTGGATACACGCGGAAAATAGAATTGACCGACCGAAGAACTTGTCTAGTGGATTTGCCTCTACATTTCCGAACAGGCGCTTGTCTAGATTGAGCGTGGACCGTTGAATCATCTTCTCGTCGTTCGATAGTCGTCAAATGACTCACTTGCTTTCGATTTGGACTTGAATCGCTTTCCAGACGTCCCAAGTACATCCTTCCTCGATGCCGATGCAGCCCCCTTGCCCTTGTTCCCCTTCGTCGTACTCTCTTGCATAACTTGACTCAGTTCGTCCTCATCCATGTCGAAGTCGGAAAGTTCTACACATTCCATCGATTTCAGTTCAAGTGCCTTCAAGAACAGTAGAGCCAACCTCAACGTACCAGCAGGAGCCGCAATCCCAACCGAGTTCCCTGTAACGAGCTTAATGACTGGGTTGAATCACTAATGAGTCGGTCAACACTCACGATGGTCATAACCTTTCGACTTTCTCTGACCCCTGGGCCCACTCGAGCCCTCCTTGCTCTCCGCCATGTCCGTAATCTATGGTGTCGCGTTAAAGTCGATGTTTGAGGCCGGTGAAGTGGTTTCAACGTGAGATTTGGTAGAAGATGGTCGTGGTCATTAACGAAACGCGCTGCCAAACTCAATGGCCCAACACATGCCATCACGTTTCCCACGCGGGTCCGCCCAATTTGGTAGGCAGGTCTGGCGGTCTCGTTCCGGTCGCCGGAGTCGCACAAAATCCGACAGGGGTAAAACAGGGCTCGGCGCGGCTGGCTCAGTGCTGCACATACCAGCATGCTCACACAAGATCTGAGACCAGGGATTCAGTAGGGAAACGATGGACTAGCCTAATTCCAGAGAAGAAAGTATCTGACACAGGGAGCTCACAGATGGGCAAAAACTGCGTGATGTTCGAAAGTGATTAATGGATTGATACAACAAACAGCGTGTTTCCGCGAGGTCGTTACATGGGAGAGGGAAGCGCTAAGGATGGTCATGAAGAGGGACAGATGCATTAGACAGCTATGATGAAGGAAGAGAAACGATAGCCATGCGACATAAGCAAAGATGATGGAGTAGTGTTACATTGGTTAAAATTCCTCCGCACTTCTGCGGACCAGGCGCCTGACCTTCTTCTTGTAGGCTGCACACCAGGGATCAGCACGCAGTTAACAGTACCAGTGGGGTTGACATACCTTCAAAGTCCGTGCGAACCTCCTTGGCTGCGTCAACATTGGCCGGGCTGTCGAGGTTGGGTTTATCGGATGAGAGAAGGGAAATTACGCTGAGAAGCTGTGAACAAGTGGCAATCGTGTTCAGCAGGGCGAATTTCAGAAGGATAAGGGTTCCTTACAATAGATTCCACGCTGTGTACCGGCATCCATCTCTCTCCAGCATCCTCGTAGCCGTACTGGTCCTCTCCGGGGGCATGCTGCAATCGTGATATGAGCCAATGTCCGGTGTGGCGATTGGAGTGAGCTGACGCACCAAGATTGAAATGCAAACGGTTCCGTCGGGGTAAACTAGACGCAGTAAGAGTCACTAGGGCTATCCACCCAAGATGTCATCATGGACACATACTATTTGGATGCCACATCTCGGTGAGGAATCGCATCTTCGGTGGCAGGAGAGGGTATTCTGGAGGGAAAGATAGCCGGGCTCGCAGGAAACCGCCTTCACTGGATACCGATGAGCTTGATGTCGTTCTCGAGAAATGATAGCGACCTACTAGAGGGTGTCGTTTGGCCTGTGGGTGGTCAGAACCCGACACTAACAAGTTCGGACTACGTGCGGACGTACCCAATGATCATGATCTCCCACTCGTACAGGTTATTCTCGTCCACGAGGCCTGAATCAGACAGAGGTTAATGAGGGTGAATACATGGCCCATTAGGCGCTTTGGCTCACCAGCTGAGAAGCCCTCAACGGGACGCTTGGTGAGCTCAGCCAGCTGTCGGCGGAGCAACAAGGTGTTCGACGGTGTTGACGATGATGATTTGGACATTGGATCGGATGCGATGGATGGTGTGGTACAACTTCAAGCGGAACCCTGTCCAGGCGCTGCAGAGGAGAAGCTTATAAGGCGGCACCCACGTGATCCGGTCCCTCGAGACCAAAACAAAGCTCAGCGTTCTTTTGACAGACTCAGTGATATCCTTTCTTGTATTCTTATTTAAATGATACTCGCAATAATACTTGGTGAAATCTTTACAGCAAAGGAAGAGGGAGATGTGCGCCCAGCTTGTTCCCAATTTAATTATAATTTCTTTTTGATATTGTGAGAATGCAATCTTATCTTATCTGCCAAGTCAGGCGGAGTCAAAATCAATGGGTGCTCGGCACTGCGAAGACGCGACTTAACCATCGCCTTCGATGTCCTAAACGACGACGACGACGACGACGACGACGCCCACGACATGAACCACGACGAGGAGTCAGAATGGGATCAACTCACAAATCCCAAATGGAAAGGACTTGGGCTTAACGATCCTGTAAAAACAGTCGAGGTACGTGGATCACCATGCTCCTTAGGAAAAACTGACTGGAATACCAGGACAAATGGCTTCTGCTACCAGCCTTCCTCAAGGTTAAAGGTCTCGTAAAACAGCACATTGACTCGTTCAACTACTTTGTCGATGTCGATATCAAGAACATCGTAAAGGCCAATAACAAGGTCACCTCCGATGTAGACCCTCGGTTCTGGTTGAAGTACACCGACATCAACGTCGGTTTTCCCGACCGTAACGAGATGGAGGCTATCGACAAACGAGTAACGCCTCACGAATGCCGACTACGAGATACCACCTACAGCGCACCCATCATTGTCACTATTCAGTACACCCGAGGCAAGAGTATCGTTCAGCGCAATGTCAATATTGGCCGCCTTCCAATCATGCTTCGAAGCAACAAATGCGTGTTGACGGGGAAGACTGAAGCTCAGTTGGCCAGAATGACGGAATGTCCGCTGGATCCTGGAGGATACTTTGTGGTCAAGGGGACAGAAAAAGTCATTCTGGTCCAGGAGCAGCTGAGCAAGAACCGTATCATTGTCGAGACGGACAATGTAAAGGGGATTGTCCAGGCTTCGTGTACATCGTGCGTTTACTTCACCTTCCAAGAAAGTCCTCTCCTCAACCTTTTCTAGCTCAACACATGGTGGTTTAAAATCCAAAACCTACGTGATCACCAAGAAGGGTCGGATATACCTTCGCCACAATTCTATCCACGAAGACGTGCCGATCGTCATTGCTCTCAAGGCTCTTGGGATCCAGTCCGACAAGGAGATCCTTTTACTCACTGCGGGCAACACCGAGGAGTACAAGACTATCTTCTCCGCCAACATCGAAGATGCAGCCAAACTTGGAATCTTTACCCGACATCAAGCTCTGGAATACATCGGTGCCAGAGTCAAGGTCAACCGAAAGGTCATGGGTCCTCGGAGGCCAGCTTGGGAAGAAGCTCTGGAGGCGCTGGCCACCATTGTCCTTGCTCACGTACCAGTTCAAGGGCTGGACTTCCGTGCGAAGGCCATCTTTGTCGCGACCATGACTCGCCGTGTTCTTATGGCTATGGACGACGAAAGCATGGTGGACGATCGAGACTACGTTGGAAACAAGCGTCTAGAACTGTGAGTAGTCTCCTTCGTCTGCATCTCCCGTCTTCTGACCCTTCCTAGTGCTGGTCAACTGCTAGCCCTGCTGTTCGAAGATCTGTTCAAAACCTACAACTCAAACCTCAAGAGTGCCATCGACAAGGTTCTGAAAAAGCCCTCACGGACAAGCGAGTTTGACGCGTTCAACACAATGCAGATGCAAGGAGATCACCTTACCTCCGGATTCGTTCGAGCCATCTCCACCGGGAATTGGTCACTAAAGCGATTCAAGATGGAGCGTGCAGGTGTAACCCATGTGCTCAGCCGCCTAAGCTTTATCTCCGCACTCGGCATGATGACCCGTATATCCTCTCAATTCGAGAAGACTCGAAAGGTCAGTGGACCTCGAGCGCTTCAGCCCAGTCAGTGGGGTGTTCTGTGTCCAAGTGATACGCCCGAAGGAGAAGCTTGCGGTCTCGTGAAGAACCTCGCACTCATGACCCACATCACCACCGACGTGGAGGAAGGTCCAATTATACGACTGGCCTTTATGCTCGGTGTGGAAGGTATGATCTTTTGCCTTTCCTGTTGCCTTCCGTTCCCCTCAATCGGGTTATTTTAGATATCAGCCTTACGACTGGCACGGAGATATACGGTCCCAACTCTTACGTTGTTTACATTAACGGAACGATCATTGGTGTAACTCGAACGCCTACGAAATTCGTGTCCCAATTCCGGAAGCTTCGAAGGGCTCGACGATTCAGTGAATTCGTCAGCGTGTACATCAATCACCACCACCGAGCGGTCCACATTGCTAGCGATGGTGGCCGCATCTGCCGGCCTATGATCATTGTCGAAAAGGGTCGCTCAAGAGTGACTTCTGACCACATAGTTGTAAGTCATCCATAACCCCCGATCCCCTCGTACCCGAACCGTCTCACTGGTCCTTGTTTTTAGCAACTGAAAAAAGGCAATGTTACGTTTGATGATTTCCTACGGAAGGGTCTCGTCGAGTACCTTGACGTCAACGAAGAAAACGACACCTTCATCGCGCTGCACGAGCACGACATCGTTCCAACAACAACCCATCTGGAGATCGAGCCCTTTACGATCCTGGGTGCCGTCGCAGGCCTCATTCCCTACCCTCATCACAACCAATCCCCGCGAAACACGTACCAGTGTGCCATGGGTAAACAAGCCATCGGCGCGATCGCCTACAACCAAATGAACCGGATTGATACCCTCCTTTATCTCTCCGTATACCCGCAGCAACCCATGGTGAAGACCAGAACAATCGAACTTATCGGCTACGATCGCCTACCGGCTGGACAAAACGCGACGGTGGCCATTATGAGTTATTCTGGTTACGATATTGAGGATGCTTTGATCCTAAACAAAGTAAGACTTTGTCGTGACCCATTCTGAAAACAGCCCCAGATTTCTAACTAGGCTGCGTCGCTAACTAGGCCAGCTTGGACCGAGGCTACGGCCGTTGTCAAGTCCTAAGAAAGAACGCAACCCTGCTCCGCAAATATCCCAACGGAACGTAAGTAGTTGCTATCACGGAGTACTTCTCCCTGTCTATTCCCGGCCATCTAACAAGTTACCAGATTCGACCGATTGGCCGATGCACCATTGGACGAAAACGGTCAGATCCAGAGGCGATACGATATAGTTCAAGCAGATGGTCTTCCTGGTGTTGGCGAGCGCGTCGATCCTGGCGACATTTATGTCAATAAACAGTCGCCTACAAACGCAACCGACAACACATTCACTGGCCAAGCAGCGTCGGTCCCGTACAAAAACGCGCCGCTGAGTTACAAGTCGCCAGTTTGCGGCATGATAGACAAGGTCATGATTAGTGACACCGACAACGACCAGACCCTGATCAAAGTCCTTATCCGTCAAACACGGAGGCCTGAGCTGGGAGACAAGTTTTCATCCCGACACGGTCAGAAGGGTGTCTGTGGCTTGATTGTTAACCAGGAAGACTTGCCTTTCAATGAGGATGGAATTGTCCCCGGTGTGTTCTTTCTGGTTTTCCTTTTGGTTATCTTCGTTCAAGAGCTAATTCTTCAATTGCCACCAGACACTATCATGAACCCACACGGTTTCCCGTCGCGAATGACGGTCGGGAAAATGATTGAATTATTGGCGGGCAAGGTGATTAGATATGACGAAAGTTCTTTACCAGAGCGGTTACTCACAATTACTTCCGTACAGGCTGGTGTTCTGACTGGTAAACTGCAGTATGGGACCGCTTTTGGTGGATCAAAAGTAAGCCATATTCCGATTGGTTCCGTAGTACATACGTGGTACTTAGAACGCTCCTAAACCCAGGTGGAGGATATGAGCCGAATCTTGATCGAGCACGGGTTCAGCTACGGAGGCAAGGATATGCTTACCAGCGGCATTACTGGGGAACCTCTCGAAGCCTACGTTTACTTCGGACCAATCTATTACCAAGTACGTCCCCTTTCATATGTTCTCGACGCAAGAAAGCCATTCTGACAGTTTATTTCCAGAAACTGAGTATGTCTTTCCTTCCACACCTGATTGCCAAGCAATGTCTGATATGGCTTTGCCAATCTTAGAACACATGGTTATGGACAAGATGCACGCCCGTGCCCGGTGAGTCTGGTGCTTCTCAACTTCTTCATTCTGTTCTAATAGGGTTTGTCGTAACCTACCAGGGGTCCACGTGCAACGCTTACCCGTCAGCCGACCGAAGGTCGTTCCCGGGAAGGTGGTCTGCGTCTGGGAGAAATGGAACGAGATTGTTTGATTGGTTACGGCGCTACTCAGCTGCTTCTTGAGCGTCTCATGATCTCCTCGGACAAATTCGAGGTGGGCGCTTGTCAGGAGTGTGGTCTCATGGGCTACAACGGCTGGTGCACGTACTGCAAGAGCTCCAAAAAGATGGCGACCCTGACGATTCCATACGCCGCAAAACTGCTTTTCCAAGAGGTAAGTAATCGTTTTGCTACGCACAGAGCCGGTCCTGATGGCGTCCCTCCCCCCTACAGTTGATGGCGATGAATGTCGTCCCCCGCCTTGTGCTCGATGATGCCTGAAACATCTCATCCTTTCTTGTGATCACGGGCTTCAGCAACACCTTGGGACTATTTCATTCAGCTTTCCTCTTTCTATTGCATCCCCGTTTTTTTGTTGTCACATTTTGTATCAATAGAATTTATTTAACGCTTAGGGGATCAAGGAGTGTGTCTCTTACTCCAAGGTACCGGCGTGATTTACCGTCTTTCCACAAAGCCCTCCGTTGCCAGCAAATCAGATTCGCCGATTTCTTCGCCGTGAGGGTGCCTATTCACCTCAGCTTAACTGTGGGCCCGATGATTCGTGCCTTGAAACGCCATCCGAAGAAATACCTTGTTCTGAGAGAAAACTGGAACGTTTCCGGTAAGAACAAATGGGAAGAAGGTTCAATTGGATGCGTCCGGACTGCTAAATATAAGAACAGGGGGACAAAGTCTAGATGTTCAATAGGATCAGAATAGAGTATAGTGGCGGAGTTTGTAGCTGAGCGGCGCTGAGGTTAGATGCGGTGACACAATCCGAGTCCGGCGCGCGTGGCTCTTTCATTCTCACCTCATTGTTCTAAATGGCCTCTAGAAACGCAAACACCTCTACCGCCGTCAGGCGTCTGATGACAGAGTACAAGCAGCTGACATCCGGAGGTGGGTCCTCTTTCCACTAAACCACTTCGGAAATCCAGGCTGGAATACAGACAACATGGAATCTCCTCTCTAGGTTCACCGGATGGAATGTTCACAGCTGGTATGACCCCCAATTACGATATTCATATCTGTTTTTCCGGAAACAAATACGTGTTTCTGTTCGAATCTCTTCAGGCCCGATCTCTGAATCCGATTTCTTCACCTGGGAGGCGCTCATCTGTGGACCGAAGGACACCCCATTCGTGAGCCTCCAAACCCCTTCTTCTCAGGCTTCGAGTCAGAACGCTCACGTATACCATGAAACAACAACCAATATGGTCTATTAGGAGGGCGGTGTTTTCGCAGCTAAGTTGACATTCGTGCGTAATACGACGTTCTTGGTGGTGCACCCACCTTCTCCGAGCTTACGCCTGATAGACGGAACTAATGTTGTCTCCTGCTGGTTCTCTCTAACAGCCTCCCGATTATCCATTATCTCCTTTCAAGATGAAGTTTGAACCGCCCTTGTTCCACCCCAATAGTTAGTTCTTGGTCGCAATCATTCGCCACGTCCAGGAAGCTAACTATGGCCCTCGGAACCGCCTTTGCTCAGTCTACCCGGATGGAAACGTTTGTATTTCCATCCTCCACACCCCCGGCGATGATCCCACGCACTACGAGCAAGCTTCCGAGCGATGGAGTCCTGTTCAGAGTGTCGAGAAAGTCATCCTTAGCGTGATCTCCATGTTGGCAGGTACGAGGCGCCTCCCCGGTCAGATCTTTGAACACCATGCGCTCAACACCGTTTAAACCGTGGCAAATCCAGAACCCAATCTCGAAAGCGGAGCAAACATTGATTGCTGCAAACTATACCGCGAGAACAAAGCAGAGTATGAAAGATTAGTAAGGGAATCTATCAAGGAGCAATTAGGCCTGTAGAACGCGGTATACTACCAGTCCTGTTTCGTGTACGATGCTATTAGCTATGCATTAACAATCACAGTATTCTCAACTGATCATCATGGTGGGGATCAACATTCAATCCCTGCGTTGCTTGTAAACTCGGGTATCGATGGGCCTTCCCATGATATGGCGTTGGACGTAGTCGTTCCTGAAGATGCCTTGAGGATCGACAGATTCGATGATGCGGACAAAGTCGTCAAATCGAGGGTACATTTTGCGGAGGGTGTCAGGGCGAAGTTTGTGAGCCTTGGCCCAGTGCGGTCGGCCTTCATACTTTGCGACGATGGCCTCGTACCCCTCGAACAATCGGCGATATGGTACGTTGAATCCGTATGGCCTGAGCGGATCACATTTTAGAGAGGAAAATAGTGTGATATCTAAGAAGAGGGACTTGCCTATATTGAACAATGCCGATCCAGCAGGTTTGCTGACCGTTGCTGGGGCTAAGCCAGATGTCATCGCTGGCGGACACGCGGATTTCTATGGGGAAGTGGGGTCGGATACCATGAGGGTCGGCATGTTCCTGCTCCAGCCACGCGCGAAGTTCACGAAGACAAGCCTGGGAGTGTTTCAGAGGAATTGCCCATTCAGTGGTATGTTGGGGATACTAATATGCCGTGAACTTCGTGAATACCCGTACCAATTTCATATACGAGTAAAAGAATGGAACATACCCTGCAGTCGACATTGAATATGCGATGGCTATCATCAACGCCCACCGTCTTCTCACTCACAAGCCAGCATGCGAAATTGGCGATCAGGGGGTTAAGGAACGTAAAGAAGCGCGCCACGAAAAGCAAGAGCTGGACAACATGATGGCCCAGGAAAGAATGCCACAACCAACTTCCTGCGGGGTTTCGAGGCTGAGAAAAAGATGTGGAGTTGTATGAGATAATCCTAGGCGCCGATGACATACAAGTGCGTACCTCGGAAGTGCGGTTTGAATAACTGCACCTGACGGTATCCGATGTGGGGAACCACCAGAACCTAGCATGCTCAGCAGAGTGCACGAGGGTGTCCATGTTGGACACGAATTCATCAAAAGGCACAGATTCTTGCTCTTCTTTCAGTCGATAGGCGGGTTCGACTTCGAATTGAATTGAAAGAATGACCCCTGTGGAACCGAGCCCGCACAGAGTGGCGATAAACAGGTCGGCGTTCTCATTGCGGGAACAAGTGACGCGTGAACCATCCGCTACGAGAAGAGTGAGGGCGAGGACCGAGTCAGAGAGAACCTTGTACTCTATGCCAGAGCCGTGGGTGCCGGTGGTGATGACGCCAGCAAGAGTCTGCTCAGAGATGGACCCAACGTTGCTCATGGCCAGATTGTTCTTCGCCAGCTCTCGGTGCAGGTCGTTGAGGGTGATTCCAGCTTGGGCAATCACGTAGCGCTTCTCCACGTTGACCTTGGGGATAGGAGGCGAGAGTGAGAAAGATGTAACCCACAGAACGACGGTCCCCCGAGACTTACCTCCAGAATGTGATTCATTTTGGTCGCCCTCAGCATGAAACCGTTGGTGCAAGCCAAGTCGCTCGGACTATGTCCGACACCGACGGCCCGGAGGACCTTGCCCTCTCGACGAGCGAGCTCGAGGATGAGCTCGCATTGGTAGTCGTTCTCTGGTTCGAAAACTGCGAGAGGTTTGCAGGTGAAACTGAGACCCCAGTTTGTGAACCTGGCCCGTGGAGAGTGGGACGGAACTGTTATAGGTTCAAGGAGTCTGTAGAGGTCCTGGGTAGATAATTTGAGGGCAGAAGGAGAGGAATCAGTCGAGGACATGGCGGCCATGAAGTCGTCGCGACATTTTTTGTGCGCACTGGGATTATAAACAAAACTCCTGAGGAGAATTGTGATGGCTTTGCAAAGCTCGCCCGATCGTTTGGGACATTGGAAGTCTTTCCGGTTGACTAAACCGCCGCCGGCGTTTGCCGATTGTCGAAAAAAGCCATTTCTGCAAGTCGACATCTCCTCTTGGCTCTCCCAAATCGAATTCTGTCCCTCTGCTACAGGAACCGAGGCCCGACCGATAAGGCCACTGCGCTGAATCACATCGGGAAACACAGAGCCAATCTCTATTCCACATCAAAACTATAAGTAGCTAACTATGAGCGACTACAAATCGTGATCCTGACCTCATAGATATACTCACCATGTTTCGTTGAATGGCCAACTTAGGTCTACTTGTGACCAGACGTGGATCCAGGTTCATGGCCATACCTAGATGGAGCTTGACCCCGCCATCGCCGATCCCACAAGGCGCCATCGGCACGCAATCCGAGTAGGTGGCTGTAGGTGGTGGGTAAAGATCTAAAGAATCCTGCGTGCTAAATCTCAGCGCTTGCGTTGGTAGTAGTAGAACGCCAGAGGGCCCATGCACGGTATCACAGAAGAAAGATGAGGGGATGAACAGGCCTGTACGATCGGATCGTTCCTTGCTGAGTAGCTCTTTCCTTAAACTGCGTACCTTCCCTTGACGATGAAACTCGACGAATGCGGCAAAAGTGTACCGCGCAATTAATCCAAGAAACTGGCGGAGACTACACATATCCACTGCTCCGATAGATACATCCGGTCCCTATGCTGAGCTCATCTAGGTCCGAGACCTAACCGCGGAAATCGAACGTCACCCTATACGATTATTGGCATTAGTTTGCGAGGAGAAGAAGAAAGAGAACGTGATCTTGACCTTCCCCATTCCTGGTTATTGTATAGCAATATCCCACGAACTTCCACACTATCAAGTTCTAGAGCCAAGTCGAATTCTATCGAGAAAGAAGACCAAGTCAACTCGGATACCCATCAACAGAGTACAAGGAATGGAGTTCCATACCAGTATAAAACCCTCCCATATTTGATGCAGCGGCATTTTGCTGGAAGGTCGGAAGTGATGTCAAGTCCACGGTCCATTTGCAGAGTTCCATCAATTCTCCTTCATCGGTATATCTCATGATCTTCTCCGAGTCGCTCGTGAACAGCGTGGCGACAAACGACGAATCTAGAAGCGCGCATCTCGGTCAGGAATACTATCCCGTCGGCGAAAGTCACCTCGTCCTTACCTGAGGGTGTCTGCGAAAATTTGCTGGGTTTTCGTTAGTTCGACTAGACTCTGGGCACGGAGAAATTGATAGGTACCAGAACTTCGTCGTTAGTCTTTGCCTGAAACTCTTCTTCAGCTCCACAGTTAGATAACAACCAATCAAAGCGGCCTCACCCTTTCCGAATGATAGCTCCCTTCGACACAAGGTACTGCAATCTTCAAAGGAAAAAATGACAAAAGAACACGTTAACGTGACAAAGCCACGCATGTGGGTGCCGTTGGCGTACCTGTTTTCACAAATAGGTACACCCGCGTCATTTGTTTTGATGTACGCAGGGCGCTTCAGCCAATCCTCTTGCTCTGCGGGCAACTTGACCTGGTAAAGCGAGCGGTGATCACATCAGTAACTCTGAAACCTAGCGCCCGCCGTACCCCCAACACCGACCTTCATGATGTACGAGCGGGGTGCAATTACAGTGGAGACCAAACTTCGCTTGGCAAGACCATACTGTGCTGCACCGCGGAGAGTGGCGGTATCAGCATCCGGAGGTCTGGCAATAGTACGTATGCGGTTCTGGAACTGAGCCTAGAGGAAGTTTAGGTGTTAATCGCGGAGGGGTCCGGGTTGTGGTCTCTCATCCCACTTACCTCAACCCGCTGCTTGAGGTATTCACTCCCAGCAAAGCCTCCCACGAGAAGCAGAGCATGGATAGGTTGATCAACTTTGGCCAGTTGATCTTCGATGAGTTGGAGAACCTACGCGGAAATAGGTAAAAAGCATTAGTCTAGTCGTTCTCTCCTTCTGCGTGACGCAATGGATCCTTACCTCGTTGACAACAGGGTCGAAGACTTCTCGGCGCAGCAAGTTTCCTGGAATCGACAATTGTCCGTTGATGAGTCCAACAGAAGGATCATGGGGATCCTCTACGTTGAAACACGTGAAGTGGAACATATTATCTGCAAGGGAATGGTCGGCGTAATGTCATCAGACGCAAGTACACGAATGGGATTACCATCGTCCTCAATCCCAGCATAGTTCAACTTGTCCGTTTCGCTGAAAGAGTGCACTACGCTCCAAATTAAGCAAACCCAGATCGTCGATCAACCAAAAAGTCATAACGTACTGAAATAAGCAAGAGAAGCTGGGTCGAGGTGGGCTGGATGATCGGACAACAGCGTCTATGTGGTGGAATACGACCATGAGAATCCGAGGGGGGCGACTGCAACTTCCAGACAGAGCCAAACGCACCTTTACAAGCTCCCGGAATCGGAGGTCAAGGAACAAACTCCCGCAGTTTGCCCCAGAACGAGCACACATTTCGGCTATTTCCAGGTTGGCCATTTGGCCAATGATCTATTTCCGAGGAAGCAGGCACGGGGTTTTCTCAGTTCTTGTTTTAGGAAGGTTTTGTACGACATCATGCACACCTTGTACACGGCAAGATCCACGGTACCACCACCAGCGTCGCACACAATGAAATTTTGAGACGGCTTGAGATGGTGCAGGTTGGACAAGTTTGCGCAGTGCACCGCTGCAGCCTCGGGTTCCGTAATGATCTTCAACCGATCTCGCCACGTTGTGTCTCCCGCACGGGAACTCTGAACAAGGCCAGCCGCGATTGCCGCCTCTCTCATGATTTCGCAGCCTTTGGCATCCCATGCGGCAGGGACAGTGAGCCAAACCTCGGCGGTGTCTAGTTGTTAAATCCGGTTAGAAAAATGCAAAAATGTAGGTGCAGGAAAAGAAGCAAACATACTCAGGTCTGCCACACTTCCCAGATCTCGAGTGATTTGGTCTTTTGCGTACTCCCATAGGCAAGTGAGGAAGTCAATGATGAGGTCCAAAGCGCGTTTTCCAGGCTAGTAGGAACGGTGGGTCACGGAATGTAAGGATCTTGAAATGGAGAAGGGCGTACTGGGATATCTGGGAGACGTGGGTCGACTGTGGACTCGTCGCGGAGAGCATGAGGTTCCAGGAAAAGCTTAAACCATTCACACTTGTGTGTGCCAGCCATAGGACTCGCATTCTTCGCTTCCAAACCCCACGCAAGAACCCGTCCTTCTTCATCATAGAGCAAACATGTAGGGATCTAGACGCCCTTACGTTCAGAACCACAGCTATATCCAATGACGATATCCAACTCAGCTCACCTTCCTGAACGTCTCGAATGAACCTGGCCAATTTAGGATTTGTTGTATTTGACCCCCAGCAATACGCGATGATCCATAAGCCTGGTGGGAAAAGCCAATAAGGATGACATCGTCACAGAGTTGTAGACAAGTGTACGCACGACGCCCGAGAACGTAGTACCTAGCACGTATTCAGCCAACTTCTCAACTAACCAAAGGTACAAAAAGAGACTCACCAAAGTCAATCGACACGGACATCCTTCCCTCATCCTGCTGTGATTGGGGTTGAAGGCTGGGCGGTAACTGTGGGATGGGCGGTGGACTCGTAGATATTGGAGGTGTTCCCGTTGGTGCATGTGGGTTGAAAGCTGAAGGCGGTCTCATAATGCTATTGGCATCCATCGAGCCATAACCAGTATGGTTTGGTGACGAATACCCCGTATACTGATGCGGCACTTGCGTTGTCGGCGGCGGTGAGGTCGGCGGTGTCTGCGCCCAAGGCTGGCCCTGCATATTCTGCCCCATCCCATTCACACTTGCTTGGTTATACGTGGCCGCTGGCGTCTGAATCGTCGGCTGCTGGAATCCTGGACCTCCTGGCAAAGGCTTCTCCATCCCCTGCGGCCATTGTCCCGTCGGTTGGTTCGTCACGACGCCCTGGGGCTGTTGAACAGGGCGGTTGTCGTAGCCGTTAGCCTTGTCGATAGGTTCGCCACAGCAGCCCATGGTGGTTCAAGTTAGAGTCCTCTGCGGTGCAGTGCTCGATCAACACCAACGCGCTCGGCTGTCAATACATTATACTGCATTTGGGCGCTAGAACATCATGTCGTCCCTGAAGGCTGTGCGAAACTGTCGTTTGGTGCCGTTCGGCATCTTAGGCGCCCACGGTCCTGCTGAGGCTGCCGTGAGTTGGGTTGAAGAGGTTGGAATCGACATTAGACAACGATGCTGACGTCGGACAGTAGAGCGGGTGTCTTGAGCCCGACTACGTAAAATTTCTGAAATTGGAAAGCGGATCATGTTACCAAACACCTAAATCATCATTCGCTTTAGCGATGAAGGCGCAAAGCAGCCTGGTTCAAGGTATATATATTGCCCTTCAGTCGACTGGGCACTCGCACAGGGAGCACTCATAGATCAGCCAACCTGGAAGCCTTCCCAGAGGAAATACTCGAATAATCCTGGGATTTCAGGACCCGGCTTACCAGATGCTCAAAGGAAATCCCAGCAGCTCCAGATTCCAACTTGATTGGCCAGCGGTCAACACGATTGGATGCAAAATGGCCACCCCTGCTGTGGGTCCCGGTCATCGCACGATGCGTGTGGCCTCCCCAGGGCGTTCCCTGAATAAATTATACTCTTTACATATCCAGAGAGGTACACAGATCTCTGAATCACAAGAGTGCTGGAGGCCCCTTCGTCCCCGCTTCTACGCCGGAGTTCTCACCAACCAGCCACCGCCTTCCTTCAGCCTTGCCCTGAACCATGCGCAGGACCATGGCAGCCGCAGTTGAGCCCTCGATCCCTCGCATGCTTTTAGAAATAGGGTTGTGATTTGCAAGTTAAAAACAGACCGTGACGGTAATTAAGTAGGTGAAATAGCTACTGACCTGGAAAAGGAAAGGCGGTACCGCACATCGTGCAAAGTGCTGAGGTCGGTGCAAACCCTTGGGGAAATTCGCGCGTGCCAAGATCCAGGGCTCCGACCTCGAGCAAAAGGCTGCGAAGCTAGAGGATGTCAGTCACAGGGTACCTACCGGGTACCAGAGGAAATTGTTCCTCCATTCCAAGGTCGCAGGTCATGAGGCAATCACCTACATTACTTAGGGCCTGAAGCGTTCGAATATCCATTGCGCGAGAGCATGGAGGCAATAGCCGTTGAACCTTCTACATTACAGAAGTTGCAGGGTGGGGATCATCGCCTTGTCTCCACCGGCGGAGAACGGACATCAGCCCAATTCCCTCGCAAAGTCCCAAATTCAAAAACCCAAGCGTCGATAACTACTACCTCGATGTATGGAGCCTGAATCAGTAAAAGAGTACGACATCAGATGGAAGTCACAGAAGATCCAACGTTACTGTAATGGCTCCATATCCAAGTGTTCCGTTGCGGCAAACGCTTCTGTGGTATTTGAAACTATCTCCAGGTTCATGACCCGTCACGCGCGCGTCACGGGGGTATCAAGAAGCTGAGCGAAGCGGTCATTATCTTGACCTCGAGACCTGGCATAGAAGCATTGCAGTACAGACTCTGTCCATTAACAACATAACTCCATCGCACCAACCCCGAGACCTGCCCAAACCGGCGGATCCTCCGAACGTTCATGAATGAACACTCGAGCCCTGTGATCAAAGGGCACCGAGTGTCAGAAACTGGGCGCCAAAAGCTTCCAGCGGGAGGGGAGAGGGAGCCCGAGTAGAGCTGTAATCTCGGATCGAGGGAAACAGATGGTACATCGGTGCAGACGCCACTTGATTCCGTCCCTTGCTCGAAAAGGAAGTGATTGTGATAAAACAGAATATCGCTCGGGCAAGGAGATAAATTCGAGGGTGAGCAGGCAGCATATTAACGTAGGTATGTGAAATATAGAAGGGAAATACCCTCCTTTTAAAATTGGATATACCTTTCCACTGGGACAAGGACCCTGCTCATGTCAAAGACGCCGAGGTTAGGTCAGAGGCCGTTGGGTCTTCTTATTCGAATCCGTGGCAGTCGGACGCACAACTATCTTGTCACAAGTCTAAGGAAAATGGCGCCTTTAATCAATTAATCCAGATTTCGTGGAATTTAGTCGCAGCTCGACCAGGCTCTGCCCCACAGATGAATGTCTTGCCCGACTCTCGCACTCTTGTTGTGCGTCATGAGACCATGAGTGTAGGTAACGAGGGTCATAAGCAGAATCGGCGCAGATATCGATGTCTATGCAGGTATTAAGGCGGTATCTTCGAACAGAACAAGAAAAAGGAAAACAGCAATGATCATTCCAAACGTCGTGATAAGCGCCCATAGTGCGGGCCGACGTTCTGAACTCAAAAACAATTCAACCGGAGCTTCAAACTCTCCCGGTCGTCGCGGCGGTCGTCGACTGGCGCGTCTGTGACGTCTACACTCACCGCGTTTTCGCCCAAGCAGCCACTAGTCACCAATAGCCCAAGGGGACACCTGCAAAAAATGTCGGCGCCTTCAAAACAACTAGCCCAAAAGCTTTCAACAATCGCCGACGCCTGGGTGCGGGACCCATTCCGACCCAACATCCAACTCTCCACATTCCTCAAATCACTAGCGGACCACCCAAAGCTCACACCACAGGCTGTCCAAGCTGCACGCGCACTACAAAAGAATGAAATTAAGAAAGCGGTGCGTTCTAGATTCTGCAAATCTTCTCCCGTGAAACGAAAGCCGTTTGGAACCCCCGTGTCCCGGGACGCCCTTTCCCCTTCCCAGTCTCCTTTCACCTTCCATATACAAGCCCTCTTTCTAACCTCCTGTCCCAATCAACAGTATCCGCTCTCAGACAAGATGCTTCGCCCAGCTTCCATGCCTCAGCACTACGAGCGCCTTCTAGAAGGATACAAGAAAAGCCAACAAGGAATCGGTAGACCCTGGTGGAAGGTGTTCTTTGGAATTTGGTAATAAATACCACACCAGAAAAGAAAAAAAGAATCAGTATGATATGTTTTTATTCCTAATACTCCGTTTCGCAGTGCGACTCGTAATTTCAGGAACACTTTCCTTCTTTTGGCGACACGGTCTTCTGGTGTGAACGGGGTACGCAAACGCAGGTACGAACACGGCAGGACTTTTTCGTACCTCTCCGGTGTACTCTAGTGATATTACCTGAATCAATCCCACTTACCAAGCTAATTTCCAATTTACACCTCCGTCTCCCCATTAATCAAGAGAGAACCAGCACAATATCCCCGCCAGGCATTTGCACCCAGTCCTTGCCCGTCTCAACCCAGCCTTCACCAATGACAAGCCTTCCATCGAACTCTTGACAGACGGAGAGTTCCCTACCCCACTATTAGAAGGTTTGATGAAGAAGACAGATCGAACCACTGAGTGGTACATGTCCAAACCAACTCCACTGTCCACAGCAACGTGGTCACGGTACGGCGGAAGTACGCCCTTTCTCGCTCACGATTGGACAAACATCGACGGAGAGAAAGCGTACCCGAAAATGCGGATCTAATTCCACAACACTCGGAAGAACAACAGACAGACATTGACAGGGTCTTAGATGTGAAGGAAACGAAGGAAGAGATGGAAGATCCAGAGACCGAGAAGAAGAAGTGGAAAGCGCGAACCGATCAATCCATCGTCGAGAAGAGAGTGGATTATCCCGGTGGCGCTCAGCACTGCATCAAAGCGGAACGATGTCGATGTCGCCTACATAACGCAACTTTCACCCTCTCCTCCGCAACACACACGCAAAATGGGAGGAAGAAGAGCACAGGCCTCGGAACCTTCCCGAGAACCACTCTGTCTCTTCCCCAGACAGACGGTATCACATCATGGATCACGATACCATCTTAATCCTCCAAAATCTCATCCCGACCCTCTCGTGCCTAAAGTATAGCAGAAAAGAAAAGAAAATAATCAGCGGACCGCACAAAAAAGGCTACAACGCATAACCCATACCTTCTCCAACAACTTCCTCCGATTCTCCCTAGCCTTCATCTGTACCTTGAGATACTTGGCCAACGGCGCAGAATCCAACTGACTCCTCAAATTCTCCTCCCACTCCCGAACCTCCCCAAGCTGCCCAGGCGCAAAATTCACATTCTTCCTCCGCCCCTCAATCCACTTGGCACTATCGTCCACCCTCTCCAAAAGCGTCTTCACAACACCCGCTTCCTTACCTCCTCCAAGCACCTTTGCACCGCTCTTCAAACTCTTCTTCAGCGCTACGACGATGGGGACGACGACTTCCGGGAAAGCGATGCTCCCGAGGACGGGCTTGCTAGCCAACCATTCCGCCAAAAGGAACGATGCTTCCTCGACGAGTCCTTCAGAGTACACGCGCGTCCGGACGTACTGCTGAGGCACCCGGATCGTCGTCTCGAAATCCAGCTGCTTGAGAGATGAGGACTTGGGTCGGGAGGAGGGTGAGAGGGTGGAAGTGAGGATCGGGATGAGGTAAGTCGAGAGCGGGACGTAGGTCTCCGTATGCCGTGTGAGATGGAGGAGTGAACGCAGAATGTGAAGATGGAAAGGGTGAGATCGGCCATGCGGGACAAGTCTGTTTTGCATTTAATTTCCGAGGTGTGTGGTTTTGATTAGTATCATCGTTGCATTTTTGGGGTTGGTGCCGGCGGTGAATGGGTAGGTTTAGAAATGAATCGGGAGAACATGATGGAAAGAAGTTAGTTAATGCTTTAGCCAACCGCTCAACGTCAAGGAAAAAGAACCAATACGCACTTGACAGCGCCCAAAGCAACCTGCACCAAAGGGTAAATCAACGGGCGAAGCTCACTCTGCTTCCCAGCTTCCGCCTCTGCCTTCGTATCACAAGTCTTGGCGAGTACGATACACCAAAAGTCGACGCAGTGCGCAAACTGCCAGTTATACACTTGCTTGTACGCCTCCTAGAAGTACGGAAAGAGAAAAAGATCGTATCGTTAGTTTGATATTTCCTCCGCGACGAGCTTCGAGAAGTGAACTGGGAAGAAGTTGTGACGACCGGAAGAGAGTGACGGAAAAGCAGGTGAAGAAACGAAACCGGGCGCTGCTTCGCGAAGAGAAAACGAATAGGTTTACAATAGTCGAAGAAGAATCCGAGACAGCTTCTGAAGACCAGATCGTATAAAGTTCTCGGAAAGGGGCGGAAGGCATAGAGAGAACCGAGGGCTGGACGCATAAATCACCCTCCCAGAAGAGAAAGAAGAGCACCCAGAACAACGGTTGTCACAGAAAACCCAAAACCCACCTTGGTCTTGATCTTCATACTATTCCTCAGATGGATTGCCAGCTGACGGATGTACCCGAACGCATGCTGGTACGAGGTTCCATGGTTGATACAAAAGACTTCGGAAGCCGAGTTTTTCATCAGGTTCGTGGAAGGCAGTGTGTGCGCGCTTGTGGATTTCGAAGAGCGGACCAGGGCAAGGTAGGTTGACTAAGAGAGAGAGAAGGTCAACAGTAGTTCCGCGAAGATATATTCCAGAAGGGCGATTGCGAACGCACCTTGAGAATGGTGTCCATAACAGACTCGTCCGGGGACGAAGCCAACCTCCTTATGGAGAGGAACGCAGTCACCCTGACTTCATCCTCGGCACTCGACCAAAACTCTAAGCATTTCTACGCATCAGAAACCACAGTCAGTATTCCTCTCTTAGACCACCGCAATCAGCCAGAGTACGCACCTTCAAATATGTCTTCACCGTCTTCCTACTAGAGATTACATACGGGATCAACTTTGCACTTTCGGTTAGCGCAAGTTTGATGAGGTCGCTATCGGTGAGTTGACCAAGGATGTGAATGATGTTGTTGAAATACGACAGGATGAGTTTTTGGAGAGTCTTGAATTTGCGGTTTTGGGTTGGTGGTTTGCTGTTGAACGGCGCATGTCAGGAGAGTAAAGATACATATTGGATCAGTTCTTCCATTGGTGGGTGAACAAAAGGGAAGCGACTGACAATTTTCCGTTCGGAAGGGTTTTGTAGGGAACATGGTGTTCGAGGACCACAGGCGTGTAGCGGAGGGATGTCACGACGAGTTTGTTGTACACTGCGAAGAAAAGGGGCAACCAGGACATTATAGTTCCACTGTGGAAGGATAGGGAGAGCTACTCACCTGTAGGACTATCAATACTCCAAGCGACAACCTGATCATCCTCATTCATATGAGCCGCCGACCTAAACGCAACCAACAACTTTCTTAACGCCCGCAACGAACGTTGCTAAACCGAATAGAGACCCAAAAGTCAATCCTCTGTCCAAATCTTGATGCAAAGCGCACAACGCACCTCCAAAAGAGCTTTTTGCCACTTGCTCAGCTGCTCCTTCGTAAGTGTAGGAACCTTGTCCTCATCGTCCTCCCCATCCATGTCAACATCCTCATCACCATCCATATCATCGTCATCTCCTCCAGCAAAGTCGTCCGCCTTGAAGTTGAGCAACTCCTTGTCGTTTTCTTGGAGATATTTGTAGAACTCGGGGTCCTTTTCGGCGAGTTGGGAGAGTTCGAGGAGATGTTGTTTGCCTTCGTCGTCTGCGAAGGGCCAAGGTGCCTACAAGTTAGACACGGCGGATAGCACGACTGGATAGACCAACGCACCATCATCCAGGTCGTCGACTGAAGCAAAGGAGGCGTTGTCATCGTCCTCGTCGTCTTCATCGTCGTCCTCTTCCGAGAGGGACTGTTCGTCCTATCCAAATCAAAACCCTTCAATATCACCAAAGACATCAAACGCTGAACAACCCACCTCCTCCTCATCCTCGCTATCACCCCCAACCATAAAATCCGCATTCAAAATATCATCCACAGTCATCTTTCCCTTCCTATTTGATTCGGCAAACCAACTTAGCCCAACTTCCCACTAACAGACCACTAAAATACTTACTTTCCAACAGGCTTCCTCTCCTCAACCTCCTCCTCTTCACTCTCCTCATCATCATCACTCCCTCTACCCTTCGCATCCCCATCCTTAGCTCGATGCGCCCCCCTCCGCCTCTGAATCTTCTTTTTAACCTGCTGGTGTTTATGACGCGCTTGGATCGTCTTTTTGAGCTGGCCGCTCGCCGCGAACTTGCGTGTGGCTTTTGTTGCCTTTTTGCCCATCTTCTAACCTTTTGGTTAGTGTGTCTGATGAGGGAAGAAGAAGGGGAGGTGGTATGAGCGCTACCAAGGTGCGTTTGAGGAAGAGCCCAAAAAAGTGGTTAGGTAAGGGGAGGCGGATCAGATGCGGTCCGACGTCGGGGGATCTGAGTTCGAACCCTGCTGAGCGCGCGTTTTTCGTATTCTGCCCAACCCTTCAACCCTCCAAGTTAAGCAGATAGGTGTTTGGAATTGCCCGAGGGCCGATCCACAGAGTACTTCTCCGTCCAGCTAGCATAGAGTCTGCCACAGCTAACGATATTGCAAGGCGTATTATTGCTCGACGTTTGAGTACATACATCATCGCGAAATCAGGAAAAGGCGAACGCTTGATTGCCATCGCTGGCGGAGACACAAACTAAAGGGAGAAGTAGTAGAGATGAGAAAGGATTAGTGAAACACTGATGCGCGGCGTAATATTATGGGCACGTTTCAAATCCTTACGGCTCACCATTAACCGACTCGGCGTTAATATACAGTGACGCCCAGCGTCCCTCCCACTTTCAGTAGTTTTGAATCAATACTCAAGGGCGCCCAGAAAGTGAGAAGGAGGTACTCCGTACAAGCGGTAAGACGTTTACACAGAGTGCGTAAGGTCCTAGCGTCGCAGAGCTTTTGAACAGACGCCCAGGCCCCGACTCATAAGCGCCGACGCGCCTCGCCAGGAACAACAGATCACCCTCCATCAGCGACGGCCTCCGCTCCCCGCTCCACCCCAACGAGCTCGGATCGTGGTTTCGAACGACAGTTGATTCCACGTTTGAGAGCTTGTAGTCAATATATGACGTCCAACCAACGCCCGACCTGGATACCAACAGTGCAAAGCGCGATCAGCCGCACTTCTCCAAGGCTCACAGTCAACATGCGTACTACCGACCGTTCAGTAGTAGCAAGTACATAGGTGCTACGTTAAGATTGCATGCGTAGGTTAATAGAAGGTGGAAATCGTCTGATAGATGTGCTTCTCCAAAGGTAACGTTGTGATCATGAATCATGATATCTGCACCTGAGGTAGCGGGATCATAGTGGCGATAAACAGTTCAAAGGACTCTTGATCCTCGCACATCTCTCCATCCCAAATGTCATCCTTCGAACACTCATTCAACAAAAAGTAGAAGTCGTGCATATTTATAGCTCTACACTCCGCCAAACCTCCATTCAACCCCAAACGTAAAGCCTTTTACACACCCACAACCTAAGAACGCACCCCGGGCGTTCCACTGTGTCGGACCCATCGGTACCAATGCCCCTTCATCCCTCTTCAAAGGGCCGAAAGACCTCGTCGTCAAGGCCTCTCCTCCCCGTTGATACACAAGCACCCGCTCATTCGTGAGGGTTGACATGGCTGAGCCCACATAGAGGCTTGGTTCTCTCTACATTAGGCTTTTGTCATCGGCAGTTTGCAGTCAACCTGGTAACTGCGTCGGGGGGGTCCGAGACTCACCAAGTTCGACCCTTGGTGACCCGTTGGCCAGGCCGCCCCTGCCCAAGGAATTATGACGCTCTAGAAGTCATGTGTAGACTCGGACACACGCTTAGAAATAAGCGGGAATTTCGCCTACGGCCTCGAGGCAAACCTTCTGAACTGAGCTCTTATCTGAGGTCGTTCCGTCGACACCTGGGTTGGGTAAAGTCGTTCCTCAAAGCTATGCACAACTGTATTCAATAGTGCCTTCGGGTGTGAAGAGGAGAGGGGATAACGTGAATAAGTGAAAATGCCTCTCGGAAACCAAAAAGGCTTGTGAGAACGACAAGCCAGCAGACAGATCAAAGAAAAAGATGGATCCCATGTGAGGATGAAGAGATTGACTTTGTAATCAAATTCTGGTAGCAACCGGAATAACAGGTGGGCGTCGAGTGCAGAGGTTTATCGAGTAGAAATAGGCATAGTTGGACAGAAAACAGCAGCGAAAGAGGGTAGAAGAGTGTTTATACGATTCAATGCGATAGTTAAGAGAGGTTGGGTATTGAAAAGGAGAAAGATTTAGTGAAAATGAGGTAGAGGAAGCGTGGAGATGACAACGCCGGGAGAAATGATGGGACCTGTTGAAGGATAGATACAAGTATAAAAGCAAACTAGCGATGCCGAAAAGGGCAGTTTCTCCCTTCGACGTTCTCCCTTCACCCCCTTTATTTCCTTTCCCTTCTTTTTGCTCGCCTGTGGTGGCCCCGTCGCCTAGTGCGCAATCCTAAGACTAACGAACGCCCGGCACTGGTGTCGTTTTCTTTTTTCTTTTGGCTCTGAAGAACTTTGACAGTCCTCCCTCAAGCCGTCTACCCAAAATTTCATTCATTCCCAACGGTCTTTAAAGCACCTTCATTTTCACTTCTATTCATTCGTAGTAGTAGTCATCGAAGAATGTTCTCCAAACAAGTCATTCTCGCCCTCTTCGCCCTCTACTTGTCCGCAATCACCGCCGAGGCCGCTCCGTTCTTTGGCAACAACAACAAATTCAACAACTTTAACAAGTTCAACGGCGGCTTCAAGGGCAACAACAACTTCAACAAGGGCTTCAATGGAGGAAACTTTAACAAGGGTGGTTTTGGTGGCTTCAAGCCTGGTTTCGGTCAGGGAAACAACAACCAGAACGGCAACAACAACGGCGGCAACAACAACCAGCTCACTCAGAGCGCCTGCGCGGTATTCGTTTATCTTTCATATTTCATATTTCAACGGATCGCTAATTAGTCGCTAAAAATAGGCCCCAACCGCCACCCGAACTGTGACTGTCACCGCTGGAGTCGTTGCTACGCGTACGTGGTTGATCTGCACAACCCCTGGTGCCTAACTGACTTTCACTGACTTTATAGCCCCTCCTCTGAACAACAACGGTGGTGGAAATGGCGGCAACAACAACGGCGGCGGCAACAACAACAACGGAGGCAACAATGGCGGCAATAATGGCGGCAACAACAACGGTGGAGGCAACAACGGTGGAAACAACGGCGGCAACAACGGCGGCAACAATGGTGGAAACAACGGTGGAAACAACGGCGGCAACAACGGTGGAAACAACGGCGGCAACAACGGTGGAAACAACGGCGGCAACAACGGTGGAAACAACGGCGGCAACAACGGTGGCAACAACGACTTCCTCACGTCGACCAGTAAGTTCTGCTCACCGTCCACGTCGTAGACATCTTACTGACCTCTGTGCGCAGCCCTTGATCCCCGTGTGATCGCGCCAGGTTTCGCCAACGATGGCCAGGACGTCCCCGCCGACGGCCAAGTGCGCTCGCTGACCTCGACGAACAACTTCATCAACTTCTGCCTCACCCGACAAGATCTCCCCATCACCAACGGCGAGCAAATCCGCACTGGCTCCTGCAACCCCGTCCCCATCGGTCTCATCCCCAGCGTCGACAACATGCCCTCCTCCAAGTTCGTCTTCCCCCGCAACTTTGGCACCATCCAGGCCCGCGCACCCTTCACCATCCAGATGGCCATCCGCAACATGGAGACTGGCTTCTTCACAAACGCCGCCTCCAACTACTTTGCTGCCCCTCAGCAACTCAACGCGCAAGGCCAGATCCAGGGTCACTCGCACGTCGTTATTGAAAAGCTGGATTCCATTGATCAGACCACCCCCACTGATCCCCGTCGCTTTGCCTTCTTCAAGGGTTTGAATGCTGCTGCTCAGAACGGTATCTTGACCGCTGATGTCGGTGGTGAGGGCTTGGAACCTGGTGTCTACCGTCTCTCGTCCATCAACGCTGCCGCCAACCACCAGCCTGTTATCGTCCCCGTCGCTCAACACGGTCACCTCGACGATGCCATCTACTTCTTCGTCACCGAGTCTGGTCAACCCGAGAACAACAACGGCAACAACAACAACAACAACGGCGGCAACAACAACGGCAATAACAACAACAACGGTGGAAACAACAACGGCAACAACAACGGCGGCGGCTTCGGTCGTGGTGGCTTCGGTGGAGGAAACAACCTTGTCGGCGACGACTCTGGCGCTCCCGCTCCCTCCGCCTCTGCTGAACCCTCCGTCCCCGTCTCCGAAGCTCCCTCCGCATCCGTAACCCCCGCTCCCTCATCCGCCGCTGACGCTGCTCCCACTTCCTCTGCCGCCGCCGACTCATCCACCAAGCGCGGCAAGAAGGACAAGAACAAGAACAAGACGAGCAGCGTTGCTCCTGAAGCGTCCATTACTTCAGAAGCAGCTGTTGCACCCTCCTCGACAGACGCCGCCGCGCCTGCCGAGTCTTCCCCTGTGAAGCAGAGGAAGAAGAACAAGGGTGCTGATGCTGATGCCCAGGCATGAGCGTGACGAGCTTGACGCTCTCTTTCTCTTTCCCAAGTTCTCCTAGACGCTAGCTAATGCTTGTTTTCTTGTTCGATATACCGAGTATACCACCATCTACTATTACCTATCATGACTAGAAGTTGTGTGCTTTCTCTCTTACCTTTCGATATTTTGGAAGCGGGCTTGTGTTTGAGTCATTGAGTTGACTTCCAGCAGCCTTTTCTTTTCCACCTGTTGTTTTCTTAGTATTGTTGTCCCTTCTTTTTCTTTCTTTTTTTTTGCATCGCATGTCCACCACTCATACCACACGTAACCAACGCACTACAAACATTAAGCATCACGTTCATTTTCCCCCCGCCTTTTCTCTCATAATGAATGACATTGGTTGAGCCCTTGTCAAATGTGTGTTTCTTGGAAGTATGTGCGTTTTTGGTTACTCGTGTTTCGCTCGTTCTTTTTCGAAGATACCAGGTTTGGTAGACGATAACCCCGTGTTTTGGTTTCGGCTCTCGACGATCTTCCCCCCTTTTCGTTCTTTGGCGTTCGTGGTGACTTAGGGTAGCCTTCTCTCTACGAACGTTTATCGCTTCCCTTTGTGTATTGTAGCTAGTGTGTACGGCTGTAGCCTTGCAGGCAGGTCTCACCTTCCTTTTCCTAATTTTATGCTTTTGGATCGTCGAATTCCTCCCTGGGTGTGATTCAGAACTCAAAGCTGTAGTACGACAGATACATTGTCTTGACGTTGATTAGCGAGACCTGTGGGTAGCTTTAGGGTAATGTTTTGTATGGAGTTACTGTTGAAAACGAAAGCGATAAAGAATGTATGTAGTGCAATGAACGAAAGCGGCGACAGAGCATAAAAATGAGCGACGATTGAAAAGCGAAGAGAATAATCCGTCCAATGAGACGAAAGTCCCGAACCGAATCCAGTTCCACTAACCTCCCCTCCCTCACACACACTCCTCAAAACATCTTATAACACCAACCCATAAAACCCATACGCAACACCCAACCCAACACAAATCTTGAACCCAGCCGACAAACGCCCTTCACCCTGCACCCCCACTCCCAAAGGTCGCACCGCAACAGCCGCCCCCTCCTCCGTAACCACATCCTCCACGGCCTGACTCGGGCCCTCTCCCCCCGCCGTCTTCGAATGCGACGGCGAGTTGGTGTACGAAGCGGGTTTAGGTGGTTGCGCGGCGTTGAGCTTGAATTGGACGTCGGTCTGTTGGGAGGTGGGGTTCACGGCGAGAACGGCGCCTTGGTGGCACAATCCGCCTGCTTCGTCGAAGAACCTGGTCGTGGTGGCGCCGTATGCCGATGCGGTTGTGGGTAGGGCAAAGGGAAGGGAAGGGAAGAAGTTGATTGAGTTTGAGTTTATTTAAGTGCGTGGATGGATGGAGGGATCGTACCAGAGTGGTTCGGTGCTGTTCACTGTAACTCGCACGATGGGGAGACCTGGTGCGTCTACGTGGAGGTCGTCTGCCACCTGAATAGCATGGCCTCAGTATTGGCTCCCTTGGACGCGAGAGGTACAGCAATCCAGGACTTACCGTGAAGACACCAGAGTTAAATCCCCCATTGTACACGCAAGGGTTGTCGAATTCGGATTCTAGTCACAAACCGCCGCCATCTAAGTACCTCGCCCGACACACATTAACAAGGGCGATGGACTTACGAACAGCACTATGTGCTCCGCTTCTAAACTCGAACGCAATAACGTCTCCAGCAATGGGGTGAATAACAGACGGGTCGAATCCCTTGCCCTTGCGTCTGCGAAACGTGGCGGCGGATCAGCCATACCGCCTTGTCTGGCTCGCTCGAGGACACGCTCACCCAGTCGTCTCGTCCTTCCCGACACCAACGCGGTACTCCGCTCCAAGGACGGCCGTCGACGTCGACAAGCCAAGCAGGACAGCAGTGAGGAGCTGCATCGTGTTCGTCACAGCACAAAAGACGCGGTGGAAAAGGCTCTCAGTGGTTCCTGGCTTTCAAAGAATGAGTGTGTTCACGACGTCTGGCGCCGCAGTGGGTGGGTCGGAGTAAAGGAACGAGAACGAGGCAAAGGGAGGAAAAGAGGGAATGATGATGGTCAATGGTCAAAGAACGGGAACAGGATCTCGACGGGATGATCACGATGATCTTGGCGCCTGCCCGTCAGCCGTCTATCATCTCCTTTCAGCCTCGCCTGATCATCTCCGAGGGAACGGGGATCCACCTTGAAGACTAAAGTTTGATTCAATGCAGACAAGTACACACATGACACCTATAAGGTAGTCGACTGAAAGAGATGGTAGCCACGCTGAAGAAGCTACGTCGCCTCGAAAGGTCCGTTGGTGCACTTGAATCCCAGCCTACTCTGCTCCCTCGCGCTTAGAGCCGTCGGGTCGCACATCACATTCGCCACCTCTCCAGGCTGGTTGAATGGGTGTATATCGATGTTCTCCAACGTGACATTCGTCGCTGTACAACACGATCAGCCACCGCACCCCGCATCCACCGAACCTGACTCACCAGTATCAGGATACAAATCCAAAATAACAGCTTTAGGTTCATCAAGCCCCTCCACGTAATTCCAACAAGGCGTGCTTATACACGATCCGTCCGCTAACATAGTTTCACGTAGTTTCGCATTTTCAAAGCAGGTTCAAAAACGAAAATAGGGGCGCGATCGGTGACAGGACCGTCAATAAGCCAAGACCGTACCCCGATTTGGCGAATGACTTACTCCAATTGGTACCTAGACTTCCTTTAAAGTTCCTGAAGGATATATTGATCACTTTGGTGCTTGTGTTGCCTGGATTGGGTGGGCGCGGTCCTTTGTCCTATAGCGACGTCGTTAGAAATGGGGGTGCTGAGGAATTTAAAGTGACTCACTTGGTCATAGTAGCTGATCGGATTCATACAGGTTAGCGATGTCACTCAGGTACCAGCGATGCTAGGAACGATACTCACTTCTGAGTGATGAATATACCGGTGGATACGTTGACGAGCGTGATATCCTCCCAAGCAATGTTCTCTCCATATCCCCTTCCCCCAGTCCAACTCTTGAACTGTGTGCAGCATTAGCGTCAGCATCACGGGCCGCACCACGAATGAGGGTTCAACTTACCCGAGCGCCATACACAGCTCCATCCATAGTCCAATTCTTGAATAACACATTTTTAACTGTATGCTCCGCCCCATCACGCCCCAAAGAGCCGATGGAGAGTCCATGGGAGGAAAATCCACAGTACCCGTTCTTCGCGACAATGTCTCGAGCTCCGTTGATGACAGAAACGCAATCGTCGCCATTGTGTCCGTAGTACCTGATATCCGACGGTTAGGAAATGACAACCTCTGGAATTAAGGCGCTGGAAAGAGGAAACACACCCGTCAATGGTGATATTCTTGCCAGACAAGTTGAACCCATCGCTAGCGACAATAAACATCCAATCACTCGCACTGGAAAAACACCATCCACGTACGTATTGAAAGGGAAGCTCTACAAAAAACCAAACGCATGCATTAGAGCACATACTTTGGGGCCACACGTTAAAAGAGAGGGAGACTCACGACTGTATCATCCCGCGTCGCATTCTCGGGCTTCGCATCCACGAAATGGTTTTCAATCCTGATGTTCTGGCCGGGGATACTCCATCCCCAAGCAATGGGTTTGATAATCTTGAGGTTCTTCAAAAGGCCGTTCGTGACGTTAAATGTTGCAAGGTGCGGTCGGAGGGTCTAATTCACAGGCGTCAATAATGGATAGAGGGAGAGGTAGAGTCACGGAAGAAAGGCGTACCCGGATACCCAAGTCCCACCATTGCTGCCCGAAACTGTAGAAGCGCCCGTACTTGAAATCGCTTGATCCAACGAGCTCGACGTTCGTCCCTTGGATGTAGATCCAGGGCGTGGCATAAAGCTACAGCTATACCATCAGCACAAAGGTGACCTCGAAAAAGTCGCAAACACGCACAGCAGGCTGGTTCAGCGTATTGTTAATCTCGACTTGCACCTTCGTTATATTCGAAGGGAGGACAATATTCCCATTCAAAAGAATCTTGACGTTTCCTAACCACCAGATGCAACGTACATACCATCAGTCGCCGCACCCAGTCCCAAACTTTAAATGAAGCACTTACGAAGATTCAAAAGCGAGATGGGAGTGTAAACACTATAATTGGCCGGCCTAAACTCGATGATCGAGTTGGTCGAGCACCTATTCACAGTGCGCAGGATAGACTGCGAGTCGTCCTGGTTCGGATTCCTGGAGTACGGAATAATGCATCTACGAGGGGGTGCCCCCGCCTCCAGTACCTCGTCGGCGTCGAGATCCTGGGCACGCCCAAGAGCAGCAAAGAGGAGGCAGAGCCAAAGCGACGAAGCAATAAACCTCAACATCAAGCTCGTCTTCCCCATGCCTCCTTCTGCAAAGCGCCGGTGAAAGATGGAATGAGGTCGAATGTAGTCCAACCCCTACAGATTTCAAACACTCTCATCCAACCCATATAAATACCAACAAGATATACACCCGTCCCATTTCGAAGCACATTCCTGAGAACTAATCCCCCAGCGTCACGTACAGTATTCACGCTTCCTTAACTCACCGCAGTACGCGTGACTACAGTCCATATTGGCAATGAACGGGCCAGATAGGTTCTATCTGTCAACAACAAGCTTCGAGAAGCAGTAAAACTCACCTCCCTCCTACGGTTGAACAAAGAATACAATTACACAGAACGTCAAGGGTGCAGTTATTGGTGCGAGGTATGTCACTGGCGACTCACGGGATCCACGACTCAGTTCAATCTAGCAGCGGGCGCTTGGTGGTGCGGCGCCTAGTCCGGACCGCGACTGCAAGCCGCTCGTCGACGTACCGATGAAAGACGAAACCAACGGCCCGAGCCTTTCGTGCGCATACAAATTCCTCAGATCGGAAGTGGAGGTCGAAACGGAGTAGTGTGGGATGCCACAAACGAGTCAGTCTGACTGGCTGTGCGGCAGGGCCCGAGAGCCAATGGGGGGTATGCATGTGCCGAAGCCACCCCCAACAACGCGTCCCCCGCACCGGCCTCAAAGGCAGACCTTTTCGCATCCACCATTCGAGTCCAACCCAGGTCCCCCAACCTTAACATCAGTGCCGGTAACACAACCACCTCCCTCGAAGACGAGTTGTTTCGTCGCTGCTCCCGCAAGCTCCACTTCGTCGGGAGAGCATACCTCTCTCAAAGCCGACACCTCATCCACTCCTGCAGGATCCTAGTCTGCCAGTCCTCAATCCTCCGATTCCAGACCAAGGCGCACACCCAAGTGAGTAGTGTTAACCACTAGCGCTGGGGCGCCTATAAGTACCTGATTCCGACTGTCGACGAATGAAGTGTAATATCGGAGATAAGCGATGCCCTCGACTCGACAGCTTACATCGTGAACGGCCATCGGCGTAGCGAAAGCGGGGACCGCGCATTCCAGAGAGCCCTACTCACAATACTTGGTCCATCCAAGCACCCGCTACAACAGGCCTGCAGCCTGGACATACTACAGGACAAGTTGGAAGAAGATGCGCGAAAGGGAAAGTGGATTGAGATCCTGCAGAAGAGGATCATTGAATGGGTGAGCTTGACATTCGTACAGTGACAGTGAAGATATTGAACACATGGGCATACATCTTCCGTTTAGCGTGCGAGGGGAAGGAGGAAATACCTGCAGGGGTCAAGGTGTCGATAGTGATCGAAACCACACGCACAGTCGTCAGTTAAGAACACCATGCGCGGGGTCATCTTCAAAGCCCTCCATCATCTCCCTCAATCTTTTCATCTCACTCTCAATCCTCTCCTTCTCACGTCTCAATTTCTGTATATTCTCCGATTCCTGCCTGTGACTCCAAACACCCCCGCCGCCTTCCGCATTCATCTCCTCGTGCACAGCGTCCAACTCACCCTTCAGCTCCTTAAGCTCGTTTTCCACCCTCCTCTTCAACGTCCTGAAAACCGATGTGCCCTGGATCCCCCTCTGGACTTCATCCTGTACCCCCAACAGTCCCGACTGTCGCCCTTGCACAAGATCAGTCAAAGAGGTCACATCCGTCGACCGCACGAGCTGCGCTCCCCCGCCAAGGAAAGGCTTGAACAACCTTTCTGATTCTCGAAGGTACTCCTCCCTCGTCTCGGCTGCCGAGTGGGATTGTGAGTGACTGAGGTCCCAGTTGGTGGTGACAAGGGTGATGGCTGGGAAGGACTGATCGCCACATATATCTCGCACCAGCTCGAGGTTGAGTGTGTCCAGAAATTGCACTCGGGTCCATGGCTTGGATATATCGTACGCGAAGATGAAGGAGTGCACGGAATAGGTACCGTGTCTGCAATATGACAGTGTAACAGGATCAGTGTTAAAGATTCAATCATAGGTACGATGTAAAAGTATGCCTTACTCTCGGAAATAGTCCAAAATATCGTGGCACACCTTTCCACTCTTGTGCAGATCCCTGGTGTCGAGAGCGGGAAGGTCGATCAGGGTAAGACGCGACCCATCTTCGAGGGTAAAATCATGATGCTCAATCGACGGTCCAACCGAGGTCGTTGACTTGGCTCTGTAAAGCGGGGAGATAGTTTTCATGAACTACAGAGAGCGCTGATTAGCCTTCCCTCGATCCCCTAGCAAAAGACGGAAACACTCGCCGAGATCTTCGCATTCTTGGTCCCCAAAAGACTTCCAACCAGCGTCAACACTACTCAACAACTACAGCCTAAATTGAACAGGAACTCACCACAAGAAAGGCGCCTCCTCTGACGCCGCATTCCTCTTGCGCTGCAAAACGAAAGGTATCTTCACACTCCCCCAAAGCTGCCCCATGGGCTCCCTGGAAAGTGTTTTCATGCCTCTATGTGCCTCCCCAATTGAACCCTGTGCCAAGAACCCGAGTTCAACGGGTTTCTGAGTGATATACAGTTTCAAAAACCCGTTTTCCACATCCGTGTCGTCGTCCCCCACAGAGAAGCCCGGTGGTTCCACCCCACCTGGCCCCCATCCAATTGTCAGGGCTTGGCCCTTCTTAAGGGGAGGGGTAGGACGTTGCGCGAGAACGACAGGCTCGTATAGCGATTCTGGGCAACGACGATCAGTGTCGCTAGATCAGCAGACAACAAGGAAAACTGGGAACGTACGGATGGACAGCTCGTAACTGTTAAAGTAAAAGAGGTAAGGGTAAACGTCAAACGAGCTGTTATTGACGATCTCAAACCCATAAACCTCTTCGCCATCGCCTTGACCATCCTCGAGCATCAAATGTACCCCCTCACGAGTGTTTAGGGGATCGCCACGCGGATGATAATTCCCGTAGCTATCTTCTTCGAGCTGATAAACCCTGATATCAAACATCGAAATGAATGTCTTTGGCGGGTTGGCGGGCTTGCTGCCTGGGAGGATCTTTTGGGTTGCCCCGTTGACCTGGCGGAGACGTTGGTAGTAGAACGCGGCATGGGAGAGATAATCCCAAACGTTCTCAATTCCAATCTGCCTGGGAGGACAGTGGAACCGACTCTCCTCTGAGGCAAGTAGATGGAACGAGATCGACTCTCTGTGAGCAGAAAGTCCGACATCAGCCAGCCCTTTCGGCTTCTCCTCGAGCACAAAGGTCGCCAGCGCATTTGGGTGTTCGCAGAGGGAACGGAATATCAGTTTGGCGTTATCCTCAACGTGGACCGCCAGCGTCGGCTTTTCCGTGTTCCGCGGTTTGACGATAAAGTTGGTGCCAGGGACGTTGTGGTGCTTCAAACTGGGCGACTTCACTTCGGTCCTGAGCGGGAAGGGCTTACACAGTCCTTTCTCTGGCAGCGTCGTCAAAGGCGTCCCAAACACGTCATCAATCTTCAGCCACAGATCGAAAACGGTGGCCGACGTGACCCCGTTTATTATCCCGGCTTCGATTACGAGTTTGTCCTTCTCCAGTTTGGCAATGTAGCACCCCTTCATGCTCCTGACAATATTGCTGAAGAGCATGCGATTGCTGTTGCCTTCACATTGTGGATTCTGCCTAACCAATGGGATTCAATAAAGCAGTTTCATAGAATGTGTTGAAGAAAATTACCGCGGGAGGTGAGTTAGACGGCGCATCAGATCCGCATACGTCGTGTCAACGCTGTCCAAGAGGTACAGGGCATTGAGTAGAGCATAGGTGAAGGCGCCTCTCCCCTGCGTTTGGAGTTCATGTGCCAGCTCTTCTGGCAGACAAGCGGCAAGGAGGACGTGGGATTGCAGTCCTTGGTGGCGGAACTTGGGTAGCTCGGTGACGCCCCTTGTTATGGGGATAACGTCGCTATCCAGATCGGCAGGAATAAGATGTGCAGCGGTGGGAGCGCATCGGACGGAAGGGTCTATGCTGCGCGTCCCCGATCCGGAGTGGCAGCAGTCCAGAATGACCGTCTAGAGACCATTCAGCGTCTATAAACCTAATGAATGAAGTGAGTGAAGTTACGATGTTGTTCCCTTTGGCGTTGGCCAGTTCCTTCAGGATAGTACCAAGGGTGCGATCAGGAAGTCCCTGAACGATCCCTCCTTCGTAGTCGCGCTGCCCATAATCGTGAGGTGTAAGGCTCTGTACATTCGAGCCCCAATTGCTCCACTCCGGAGGGGCTGGAGCATCGTTACCATGCCCCGCAAAGAAAATCAGGATGGGATCATCCTTTTTGATTTTGTCGTTAATCTTCAGGCTAATAAGCTCGTGCTTTATCGCGTTGCGGGTTGCCTGTCCATTACGCAGGTTTCTGATACGTTCAGTGGGGACGTCGAGGCGGGTGGTTAAATACTCGGCAAAGCTGTCAGCATCCGCAACGGCGCCTCTGAGTCTCCTGATCTTTGGGTCCAAATACTCATCGATGCCAATGATCAAGGCAAAAATCCGCTTAGTTCTGGGAAGTCAAGTCACTTCAGTGAACAGTGTGAACAGAACATGGAAGAAACGCACCGCGATGTCATGTTTTCAGACGGGATACAGCAAGCGGTATGCGTATCCGTGGACAGAGGGCGTTGGCGGGTCGTAAGAAGTGGGCGTCTACTTTATTCGTGGAATTCATGTATATAATGGGTCTTTTTCGCCTAATCCAGCGAACTGGCTCCATTGAGCGCTGGTGGTTTCCGTCGCCCTGCGAAAGCGAATTCTGGCCTTTGGGCATTCAAGATATGTCATTATAAAAATTCACATTGGAATGCAGTGAGGTCACGAAGCTTGGAAGATGCGAACGTTGAACGTTGAGGTGGAAGACAACAAGTTCGATGGGCCTCAGGTCAAGGACATCAATCGGCGACTTCCGAAACCGTTTTCATTCGGAGTCATAAATATACCGGCAAACCGGTTGCTCAAGCGCCTGTTTTTATCCATCGAGTTCTCTGCTACGAGGCGGTAGTGGCAGAACTATTCGAACAGAACGCAGTTCCTACGCACTAGTTGAACGATCTCCCAGGGCCCTGAAAGGCCCTCAATTGAGCCCGGAAATCAAAGATACCGGACTCAGCCCCATTTGAGGACGACCTTTTGAGTCCACAATCTCAAAAAGCAGTAGCAATAAGCTTGACTGTGCATGTAATTACCAAAATGTGAAGATGATAATAAAGGGCATACCGGGAGCAATTAAGGGCTGGACGCGACGGTAAAGTCAAAGGACGTCGAAAACGAAAGGCAATCACTTCATCAACGAGGTCGGAAATGACCTCGCGAAGACCGCCTGCCACCGCCACGAATGCTGTTGCCAACAACGACTACCCAACACCAAACTATACTCTTGACGACGAGCAGCTGCTCGCAATCTCTTCTTCCCTCGTCCTAGACTCTCCCGCCGACATGCAGCCCCAGCGTACCAGCAACCTCGACGACGTCCCTGAAGAAGACGGCTCAACTACAGAAGGCGCAAACTCGACAGGATCAGGTCCATATGGGAACCCCAGCGCCGCAAACTCGTCTTCAACCTTCCACCAAGGCCAGGGTGGAGGGAGCGGGACGTCCACACCGACCATCCCGCCACAGATAATCGCACCCGGACCAGGACACCAGCCCTCTTCATCTTCTTCTTCGACATCGTCCTCGAGAGCCCGCAAGGCGCCCAGTGTGCGGACTTTAGGCAGGCCGTCTAATGACCACCTACAGCCAGGGTCTTCCGGTGGGGGTGGGGGAAGTGGAACTGTGAGAAGGACCGCGTCGTCGGCGTCCTCAAAGGCTGGCCGGAGTTCCAGCTCTGCGCATCACCAACTGAACCGATACAGGAGCACACCGCGACTGCCCCACGATAAAGACATTGCACCAGCACCGGCGACAGGGATGTATTGGAGTAAAGCACCAGTGTGGGGGACGCTGCCTTCGCGGACCCTCCGTGCGCATACAGCGACCCTAATCGACAACACTGCCTGGATCCTTGGAGGCAGCGACGATAAAGACATCTCGAAGGATATCTACTGTTTCGACACAGGCAAGTCCTCTTTCACCTGTTCCCCCTTTCCTTTTCCTCACAGATTGCATAAAGAAACTTTACAATGGACGCACCCAGATACATTAGGAGAAGCACCACCACCTTGTCGAGCACACACAGCAACCCTCATCGACAAGAAGATCGTCATGTATGGAGGTGGAATCGGATCGATATACTACGACGCAGTCTACATCCTCGACACAACCACAAGAACATGGACCAGACCCCACATCCTCGACGGACCTCAACCTACAGGCCGACGTGCACACACCGCAGTCTACTACAAGAACAAAGTATGGGTATTTGGAGGAGGAAATGGGCTGATGGCCCTAAACGATGTATGGACACTGGATTTGGGTCCAGGGCAGAATGGGTACCCGGATAGCGATGGCAAGCGAGGCCTACGATGGGAAGAACAGCACACGACAGGCAAGAAACCCGGTCCTAGAGGATACCACTCTGCATCACTCAAGGGCAACACCATGGTCGTCGTAGGAGGGAGTGACGGGAAAGAATGCTTCACGGACATTTGGCTTCTGAACCTAGGTGCGTAGTGTCGGTGCTCAGGGGCCAGGTCGTTCTTCTGACGCGTCCTCCCAGATACTCTCGCTTGGACGATATGCAAACCGCAACCCCAGCAACCGCTGTACAAACGGCTCTCACACAGTGCGACCCAAGTTGGGTCCTACCTTTTCCTCATCGCAGGACACAATGGCCAAGAATACTGCTCCGAAATTCTGTTCCTCAATCTTGGTGTGTATCCCAGCTGCTCACTTTCTGTCCCTTCTCATCTCTTATCCACCACCCAGTTTCCCTCCAATTCGAACCTCGCATAATCTACGGCAAACCACCGAGCATACGAGGAAACCACGCAACTGTCCTCGCAGATAGTCGGATATTCCTGTTCGGCGGGTTCAACGGTCAAATGAGCTTTGACGACGTTCACATCTTGGATTTGGCAGCCGGAGCCTACCTACCACAGGTGACAGAGTTCGAAATCAACGCCATTGGAAATGGGCTATGATGCTAATTGCATTAATTGTAATTTATCATGCCTACCCGCCATGTCATGATGAAGTAGTATCACGGTCGAATACAACAGATGGAACACTCTATACCCTCCGGCAAAATTCTAGGACGGTTTCCGTTGCGATCGATATAACCCTTTTGTACACCTTACACCTAGGCTATGCTATAACCCGTACACAAGAGACTCGAGAGCAATAAAACGTAAATCCAAAAAGTACAAACAAAAAGCATAATGGAGGGAATCCGAAAGCGAAATGCGAAAGAGTTCAAGTCCAAACACACGAACCGTCGTTTAGCCGGGTTCAGAAGTTACCCTGAGGACCTCCATGACCCCACTGACCCATCCCCATCCCATGCATCCCCTGCATTCCTTGCATATTCATCCCACCAGCCGCACCCATCATGTTGGGCACAACCCCCTGTCCACCATCCCATTGCCCATGTCCGCCCTCCATACCAAACTGCCCATCCCCTCCACCTCCACCTCCCCAAGCCCCCATGCCCGGATTGAACATGCCCGGCATACCCTGCGGATGTTGTCCAAATCCATCATGCATCGACATCTGCCCAGCAGCCGCCATCTGGTTCAACATACCCATCTGCGGACCTCCCATTCCCATCGCATTCACGTTGACGCCCATGCCTCCTCCTCCACCCGGCTGTATGCCCTGCACATTCATTCCTCCCATATTGTTCATCCCCGCGAGGGTCCCGGGGTTGACACCGACCATAGGCATCATACCCGGTACGCTGACGCCCATCCCCATCCCCGGGTTCATAGCTCCCATGTTGCTCATGTTGTTGAGGTTATTCATCGACGTGAGGTTATTCCACGCCGCGCCCATGATATCGTTCACACCCATCATCTGCTGCACGCCCATGGGGACCATAGGCTGGCCTCCGGGACCACCCATACCTCCCACTCCTCCTCTCCCAGCTGCAGCACCAGGAGGACCCATCATAGTCCCTCCACTCGTTCCCATACCACCAAAGCCCCGCCCTCCTCCACCTCCACCCGCACTAAACCTCGGCGGCAGCTGCATAGGCGTCGCATGCCCAGTCATCGGGTTCGGCGGCAGCCCTCCCACTCCCCCACCAACACCTCCCCCACCACCCGTGCTCCCGTGATGATGATGCCCCGCCGCATTCTGGCCAGGTCTCACAGGACTCTTAGGCCTCAAAGCATCAATCTCGCTCGTCATCGGCACAACCGGCTTTCCACTCCCCACTACACCTGCAACTCCTCCAGGATTACCAGCAGCAACCAACTCCTTAATCCCCTCATCCCAATCATGCTGCGTCCATAAACTCCCTCGTCCACCTTCCTTACCCGCCACATGCACCGTCCCGTCTTCGAGCGTCTCGAGTTGCTCGTCTTGGTTGGGTCCCAGGACCGTTACCCAGCCTCGACGGAGAGAGGAGGGGCGTCCGAAGATTTCGAGGCGCCGAATGCCTAGGCAGAAGTTCTCGATTAGGGTGTACATTTCGGGGGGTTTGCGAGTTGGGTCTGTAGGATCGCCTTCCCAAATTATCACATCCGTGTCTAGAGAAGAGATATCAGATTAAGGCATAAGGTCTGAGAGCAGATCTGGATGGACATACCGACGTTACAATGGACGAACCAACTATCCGTAGATCTCCGCACCGTCCCTCGAATACCCATTAAACAGTGTTGTTTAGTACGCGTCAACAGAGACGTCGTCGGTGGGTCTGTCTAAAACCCCCCAATCCAATTCAGTGCCACACCACAAAGTTGGAGAAGTAGAGCTTACCCCAGGGCCCTGGTTAGTCGTTTTATTGGTCTTCACCCAAACCACATCCTCACACCGCCTATACCCCCACTTCGCCAACACCTCTCGCCCCCGCTCGAGGCCTTCTCCAGCACCACTTCCCACCCACAAAAACACAAAACTCGGGTCGGCAGCCAACGAAGGTATAGGCAGCTCCTGGAGGTTATCCCACGTAAACGAGGAGGAGAAGGGAGGATCGAGGAGTATAACGTCGAATTTACTCGAGTTCAGGGTGCTGAGCTGGGAATAGGGCAGGTATGAAGGTGGGAGGGAGTGGTTGTTCACTGAAGCTTTCTTTAGATTAAGGAGACGTTGTTGTTTGGGGTATCTATATTCATTTTCAAGGATCAGCATAAGCACCGGGATAGTCGAATGGAGAGTACTCACTCTTCAAACCTCCGTTCAGGTTCAGCGCCCAACACCCAATTCTGGGGCCATTCGCCGCTATCCACGTATCGTTGCGAGTAGTCGTTCCGTATAGTTTCTTCCTCCGGGATATAATTGAGATACCTGAGCGCCCTGGCGCGCTTTATAGGGGGTAAATCTGCCCTCAGCACCCTCTTTGGAGGAGACGTTGACGAGCCTTCCTCGTGGTGCTGTTCATTATCCTCGTCTGGAGGCGGCGGCGAAGGTGAAGGCGAGGGCAACAAGGGTAATCTTAAAACTTCATTAGGTGGTGGTTGGAGCGAATGCAGCTGCCGTCGTTGTTGCTGTTGCTTGGTCCGTAGGTTGGATAAGAGTGCGCTGTGGGCTGAGAGGAGCTCGTTGGCTGACGCGATGACCTCGGTCGTCGAGAGGGTCGCAACAGCGGTCATAGTACTGGATATACCTGTTGAATTCGTTTAGGTGAGGTTAAATGTTGTCGGGCGTTCCATGGTTTCGCCGACTATCGCGGTGAGAGACCAAGCGCTTAACGCCCATGCGATCATGACAGGCAGAGACGCTTGCGTAAGGATGTCCCACGCATGCCGACGGGCCGTGCTCTTGGCGCATTTTGGGCGCTTAATCGTCGTTACTTTACACCAGAAACATACTCTCTCGCCCCATGAGATAAACGAGCTCCGGAATGCCACAACGATGTGCTGGCACCTCTTGGAGTCGAGTGGTCATTTTGAAGTCGCACAGCAATCAAAGCAGTTGAAAGCACAGATTCAAATAATCATGATACGTGCAGACGGCGTTTCTCCAAAACTACCTATGCTACTAGTCAGTATAATCAAAGGGAGCTCCAGGCTAGATATTGGGAACGTGATTAGATAGTATTACAGACGTCTCAGGCCATCTGAGAGAGTTCTGGCTGCGTTTTACCCCGCTTCAGAACCGGGAATGCCTCCTCTGGACACTTGACGTTAATATCGGCCAGCTGTAAAGGAAGTCAAGGCTTACGCATGTTGGTCCAACGGAGCTCTCGCTTAGTGGATGCCGGGTCAGAGAGGAGGAAGACACCCAGACTGCACGCGGCCTATGGGCAAATGTAAGTTGATCAGACCATGCTCGACTCAGGGACAATTAAGTTCCTACCGTCATCGCCAGTAGTGCAAGACATGGGACGAGCCCGACAAGATCTGCATGGAAGTTAGAAAACAGATGTGAGGACCGAATGATACGGGCCTTACCCATCATATGTCCAAACCCTTCCGGAGCCCCTGGCATGCTCTGTCGCAGCGTGGTGAAGGCAAAGAGCGTCGCTACAGGTATGAGAAGGACCTCTGGCCTCTGCTTGTACCCAAAGAAGACGCTGGTGATCATAACGAGGGACAGGATGAGTGTGACGATCCCTAGGTGTATAGCTTAGACGAATCAATGTCGATTATACAATGACGACGGGACTTACACACTGCGATGGTGGAGATAATTCCGTAGAGCTTCACGAGAATACTTCTACTCAAGATGATGGTAGAGTCTGCAACTTCAGGTGGTGAGATGCGCCTGTGGATGTGGGCGACTCGGGTCTCGAATCCACTGTCACCCAATCAAAATATGTTTATGGAGCAATCCAAAAGTAAACCACATACATTGCGACGCCGCGTGCATCTCCAATTTCGACCCCCACCGTAGCATTGGTACCGACTTCTTCAGCAAACAGCACAATTTCGGCAGTGTAACTGTAATGGATGAGGCGTGAAAGCCAGTCCGAAAGGCTTTTGAGCTGAACACGCACGTATCGAACGGATAGAATAGTAGACTGGAATGGCGGTCACTGGGATGAAAAAGGGACAACTGTGTTCTGAATGTGGGTTTTTGCGCCCTGATATCGCGCTCAACGATTCCTCGGGTGTTCAGGACGAAGACTGGACGATCCGGACGCCCGCTGCTTGCGACATCTTCTTGGCTGGAATATTCACCGCTGGCTCGGAGGAGATTTCTGTTTCATTATAGTCAACTGTCGGCAGCTCAAGACTGATGATTGAGGGACCTACGCGTCGAAGAAGAGGTTCACGTCAGTGCAGGCATCGACATTGTCGATGCTGCAAGGCGATCGTAGCTCCCGCAGGAAGCTCCAGTCCAGAGTGATCGAACCAAGCTTCGGGTCTGCGGAGACGAGGACTACTTCAAGCGAAATCTGGAAGAGATGTTAGATGAAATCCTGCGAAGAAAAGGACGGAGAACACGTGCAGTGCGTCCCGGGAACTCTGCTTTTGGCTCTGCTGGATAGACCATGTCATTAGAGTGCAGATGATAGCCCATGACAATTGAAATAACAGGCGCGAGAACGATAAAGGCGAAGCAAAAGCCAATCCACAGCCTGATGCGAAGGATGGACATTTGACGGCGCTCATCATTTGGAGCGACCGGCTCGTCGATTTCTGTCGTGAAATGGGGATGGTCCTTCTCTTTTGCGTCCTCTACCACATCGCTGGAGCGGGACGGGATGGGAGTCGCCTCACGCTCCGGCGAGGCACTGGGCTGTGAAGCAACTACATTGTGCCGGACGTTGTCAGACATCATCGTTGTTCGACCGATGCGAAAGTGTGGTCAGTGGAATCCTAGCTAGGATGTCAGAGAGGAGATGGGAGAGAGCTGGGACTGGAAGAATGTCGAAGACAGCGGATTTATATACCTCTCTAGTGCGTTTCAATCGGCCACCTCGAGGTAGACGGTTGGCACTTCATTTAATTTTCCCGCGCAGCTTACCGGTAAACCGAGACGATAGGCGCCCGCAATCTGTCGAGTGCGAGGGTGGAACAGGTCCTTACTACGCAGAGAGGGAGCCCAGTTAGTGTTCCTGATCCAAATAGCAGCTAGAATGAAGAGGAATTGGTGTCTCTTCGAAGCCGACCGCACCGTGACACGCCCACATTGCTTCGGAGAGAGATAACGAGAGGAGTGGTGTTGCCGGTCAGAAGGGGTGCCGTTTCCTCAAGGCGCAATGTTTTATGACATCCAGAATGTAGTCCCTGAGCATTTGTGCAAGCTGCCAATCGAGCCGAGTTGGCCGTTCGACCTGCTGAGGACCCAGCTGGCTGGACCTGGAGATGCTCTTCCACTGCCAGATCGGAGAAACCCAAAGCACCATGCCGAGTTAATGTTTCTTTAGTAGCGCCAGGATACGATCATGAGGTTCCCGTTATTCGCTAGATCTTTGTTTGAATCCTCGAAAGCGGGTACATAGGACGGAGGGAAAGCGGGTGCACAAGGATAATATGACGGTCACTGGAGGCTCTTCTAACGACTGCGGGGGCATCACGATGATATGCGAAGACTTGGTATTGTGGGTTTTGAGGGGCTGCTGAGGTCGCACACGAAACGTCGCAGGTCGGAAGACGTCGATAGATAGATACTTAGTATGTGTGAATACAAGAGAAAGATGATGTCGGCCCCCCCCCCCCCCCCAACCAAAGCGTTGCGCATGCGGGCGTTGGCTTCATCAGCGGTCTTGACATTGAAGGTTCCTGAAGCATCAGAGTTGGCGAAGACGGTGTAGCCTTCTTCGACGAGGGAGAGTGCCAAGAAGGTAATGCACACCTGATCAGGACAGTTCGTCAGTCAACGGTGTATGTGTGAATGAGCAAGAACGCACGTCGGTGGTGATACCAGCGATGATGAGTTGGTCCTTGCCGGTAGCTCGAACCGCTGCACGGAACTCTTCGTTGTCCCAGGCGTTCACCTCACCGCTTCGACGAACGACCGTAGCGTTGGGATGCATGTCGAGGATCTCTTGGGGGATGGGCCCGTTAGGACCTCGAATTCAGGTTAATAAATCGTTAAAGACATGTTCAACCCCGGCGTGCTCGTTCATCTGACATCCAGACTACCGATCGCGCAGGCTCAGCCCCTCGATGTGATAGGCTTCTTCGACGTCGTCCTCCCCTCCCTGGGCCTCATTCCCAAAACACAGCTGCGCCAGTCCGAGATCATGTAATCTCGTCATCCGGACAACCATGCCCAGTGCCTGACCGGTCACAGAGCCTTGTCCTTTCCCATTTCCTCCCAGGGCGGCCCCGCCTAATCCCTGCGTAGGCTGGTTCAACAGATCCCAAGCTTTATCATCCATCTCGTCCGCCATACGTCCCCAAGTCGATTTGATGGCGTGCGGGAAGTTGAAGGAGGCAAGAATGAAGCATACGGGTGAGCAGAGGCCGCTGATTTCTTGTTCGCGGTAGAGGTAAGGAGAGGGGGTCTTTGGAGGAACTGGTGGTGTTGGTTTAGATTCGGAGCTATCTGAAGTGGAATCGGGGATGTGGTCGGGTAGAATGTCGCCTAGTCTGTATAGCCTTTGGCAAGCGGGACATATCCGACTTGTTGCGCGGCTTTTGTTGTACCATAGTATCTGGGAAGGAGGGGGAAGGAGGGGGTGTTAGTTATGTGGTGAGCGCGAGGTGCGTGGACCCACCCGAGCTGTTTCGTCTGGAAGCACGGTCATTAACATTTGTAACACCTCTTCTTGTGCGAATTCTGCGCACATTGGGTTCTGGAGATAAGGACGTGTGAGTTTTCGTATTTACGAGATTTAAAAGTAGAACGTACATCCCAAGCTGGCGGTTGAGCAAAGAAGCGACTTGCGAGGAACGCTTTCGCGTCTCGCACCCGCGGTCCATTCCCTGGATCGTGAATAAAGGGAGGTGTGAACATGATTTCTTCGACCCTATCTGAGTCGATTTCGGGGATGGGTTTACGCTTTTCGAAATCTCCGTAGTAGCATTTCATGTCGGAGACTTCACCCTTGAGGAATGAAGACAATGGTGGGGGTGTTCTGAGTGCGGGTGAAGAACTGGAGGTGGTAGTCGAGTCCAGAGATTCTGAGGAGGTGTTGGAGGATGGAAGATCTGGGGGTTGTGGTTTAGGAATGGATTGAGGCTGGGACGGGGGAGCTTGGTATTGGGGTTTCAGCCTCGTAGTACCTCTCTTCTTGGTACGACCCCGGCCAGGATCTCCTGCTTCATGGTGAAGCTGTGGTTGAGAACTCGATTCAGAGTTGGACAATTTGGAATCTTTCCGCGAGGTAGTATCATTCGAAGCTTGAATGAACGGTTTTGACGACGACTGGGTTGGTTTTGCCGTCGTTGAAGCAGGAGCAACAGCGCCTACAGGTTTGGAAGGTTGTACTACGGCGCCTTCCGCCCGTTTCTTTGCCTGCTGCTTCTTCCCCTGCCCACCTCCTCCCTTCTTTTTAGTTCGTTTGGGATTTGAAGGACCTGGCATTATCGTTTATAAACAATGTCTTCAGAGGGTTGTATGGTCCGTCGTTATCGTCGATAAACGTCGTGGGGGATGGATTGTATCGAGAGCGCCGCGTGTCTGCCGTGGGACCAACGTCAATGGGCGGGGAGGTCGAGGACTGTGTGCCACGCAAGTCGTTGATCGCGCGAACCACACGAGTTACGCGACGAGCAATGCGAAAGGTCGGAGTCGTCGGTCGTCGGTCGGACAGCGAGTGATGTCGATGATGCGTTTCCGCCGCCCGTGGCGACCCTGGGACTTTTCCCTCGCGCGACGCGCTCACCGTCACGCGTTTCGCGTTTTAGGGGTTAGACGCCCTCACATCGAGTCTGTCAAGCCTCCTCTTGCCGATATTAGAACCAAAGTTCATAGTTCTTGCAGTCGGACATGCAAACCTGAAGGAGGGGACGTCTCAGTGCCGCCGGCCCTTTGCGTAATGAGCGCGATCTTGACATCTAAAAACGTTAACACAGGTCAAGAGATCCTCATGGAGACCCTAAGACCACGAGACATCCATGCCTCGCTCAGCCACTGTGCCATGGCAGCCATGCATTGCGTTTGAAAGTGGCGACCAATGTCATCCTAGTAAAATCCATCTTGCAATTGAATCTAACCCGTAGTAAATACTGCACATGGCCTCTAATACAATCCGCCAAACCTTCCACCGTTATTCAGGAAGACGTACATGCCCAGTCTAAAATGGTTGAGGGCGACTCGGCAGTCCCCTCACCTGAGAGAAGCTTCTGTGCAGTTGCCTGGCCCCCAGCCCAACGGGGCGGCTGGGTGGTTCCCAATGACTATGAGGAGCGTCACCCAATCTCGAAAGTGCCTTCGCGGGGAATGCAATGGTGGCACCCCTCGTCAAACCAGGACGACCTGCCGGAGGTCCTGAACCAGAAGAAGACTGCGGACTTGCCTCGGACTCCTCCGCATCCTTCATCCTCGCCAGGAACGCCCTCGAAGCGGGACTGACCGTATCCTCCGAGCTGTCCAGAGACGGTCTGACCGGGGGAGGGATTGTGATGCCAGGAGGCAACTTGGGGTTTACACTCCCTGCTGATGGTGACCTCTTGACAGAGCTTGCAGGTACAGTGCTTGAAGTGACCGCCGGAGAGTTGACCCTGGAACTATTCATTGATGACTCCTCGGAAGCTGAATCGAAAAATGTCCTCCTCCAGTCGTCCTCCGGGTACTTCTCTCTGTGCTGTGCCCTCACGATGGCTTTGGTTAGCCGCCTCATCCGCTTCGTCGGACTGCCCAACTCGGAAATCAGGGGAGGTGAGGAGGAAAGGATGATCGGTTTCCTGTCCCTGTCCGAGTATACAGAGGCGCCTCGTTCTTTGTTGGCAAAGTGGTCCAAGTAATTGCTGAACGCTGTGGCGTCGAAACTGCTGCCGTTGTGATGCTGTCCACTGATGCTGTGCTTGTGTCCGTGCTTGAGCTTGAGATTCGGAAGAGCCTTGGGCGCCCGCTTCTTCTCGTTCAAGAGGTCAGAAATTGACCGGATGTCGTCACTATCCTCACTCTTGCGAGGGAAGTAGACAGGTGTAAAGTCGACGCCTTCCAGAGCTTCATTGACGTTCACTAGAGAGCAACATTCAGTGGGCAGCGGAGAAGACACAACGAAAAGACATACAGTAGTCAGCCAGGCCCTTTCTGAAATTGAGTCGACAGATGATTCCGAAGCCTGTAGTAAGGACCAGGAATACGAAAGCTGTGATGCTGACAGTAGCGAAGAACTGCCATGACAGGAAGATGCTCCGATAGACTATGGGGCGGTTAGCGCTGGGCTCTTGGGCACCACGCCAATCAATTTAAATTATTAACTCACCAGGGCTTGCGAACATTCCGCTGGAAATGGCAACAAGGCCTAGAGACAGAATAAAGAAGATCGCAAAGAGTGGATTGGATTCCTTTCGGATAGACTTCCAGCCCAAAATAAGGAATGGTATCTCGAGCTGGAGCAACCATTGAGCGTCTGATCTTATTACTGCTTGTATAGCCGAGGAACTCACGACAAACACCATGATGAAGGTCGCGAGATAGAGCTTGCTATGGCGGGCGAGGTCCCTCAAGTGACCGAAAGCGACTTTGTCGATCCACATTGCAGTCGAAGCGAGCGAGAAAAAGAAAGATAGTTGAAGGCCAACGGAAAACGTTAGGACCAGCTGACCGAAAATTGAGCAAAGTTTTCTGTTGCTTTGGAATGGAAATGGACGCACCTTGTACATCCTGTGTATCTGTGAAGAGGCCCCTACTCGAGCAAAAGATGCGCTACTGTACAGCTACACTCCGATGCCAAGGTTCAGTGATCAGTCTAACCATTGCGAATGAAACCCCTAACCTTGAGTAATTTCCATGATAAAAATCCCAAAATCAAAATTACAACGCCATTCACGATGACGATGGGCACCTGGATCGGTAGTGAGTGAGGTTTGTTAGACGTGTGCCAAAAAGACATACCGTATGCCAAAGCCTAACCTCCCACCATCCACCAAGAGGATCAAACCCATCGCAAAGGCCTGGCACAATCATTGAGCGGTACCTAGCCACCAAATTTTGTGTAGACCGGATTCTCGACGCTGCCCATGCTCCTCCCAGGATGTGGCCCAGTAGCGAAGTCCAGAGATGAGGAAGAGATTCATTCAAAATCTGTTGGTCACACGACCTAGATTCAGACAGTGCGACCCAATGACATTTCCGTCGAGACGTACCGTGACTATCCCCATCGTGAACATCCATATCTGATAGAACAAGATTGCAACGTCTTCCCGCTGAGAGTCGTGCAACCTAAATGGGAATGAGAGTCGTCTCAAAAGGTAAGTGAGGATGGCACTCACGTATCTTCCAGCCAACTGAGACTGTAGATGCAAGTCAAATCATGCTGTCCTTGCGGATCCCCGACAAGTTTGAACCCATCTCCTTCATGATGATCACTCCTTCCATAAAGATAGTGATCTGTCTCTTCCGACTTAGATCGCTCCTGGCGAGGACCTTTCTCAAAGTCTAGAATGACCGTGCAGTTCGTGTTCCGCTGGCCTGGAATGCTGTCGCACACTTGAAGATGGCCGCCGTGGGCCATCGCGAGGTGGACTGGTAAGCCCGCATCCGTAACGATGTCTCCGAGGATGCGAACCGCTTGTGTGTTGTCGGCCAAGATGACGCCCTGTAGCGCGCTTAGAAGGAGGGCCGAAATGAGGGTAACCCAGCAATAGAGGATAGTGAATCGGTTGGCGGTCGCTCTGTCATACTAATCCCAGTTTTCCTAGGTTCAGGTCATACAGAAATGGAAAGCGAAGTTGAAACGTACCAGAATCTTGACCCTGCTCAACCGCAACAAATGTTTGAAAAACTCTCGACGATTTCCCAAAATTCCCATTTTACACAGGGCCCATCAAAGGAGTGCAAGTAAAGGTAAGGCCAGCCTTGAGTTCAGATCCGAAAGAAATGCGAAACCAGCACCAGCTGGGAGAAAAGAAGAGGGAGAAAAGCCTCGAGGAAAAGGGAACGAACGACGAAGACGCAAGGAGGAATTCAGCAGCCTGGCATGGGGGCGACGAAAGACCCGCGAGCCGCAAGAAGGCCAGGGTTAAGTATGGAACTCAAGGTTGTTTTTGTCGTTATACCATGGAATTATGATGGTCCCTTTGTTGAATTCAAATGTCTGGAAGAGTCGAAGACCGCGAAACCTTAGTAACACCGCGTGATGGTCACTTGTTGCCAGGTCGAATGCGTGTGTGTCGTAGGTTTGCTCCCGACAACCGCGCTGATTCCGCTTCTTCCAGCGTCACCCTGTGACGGAAAATGGTGGCTGGAACGTCACATTCGAACAGTCGTGGCCACAAAGAGCTTTGAATTCACCCCACATGCCACAGGTGGGTTCAGTGTCACCAGGCGGGGGCCGACAACCAGAGGAAGTGGACACCGAGGGATTTAGAGCTTTCCATTTCGAAAGATTTGACCTAGTTGTGACCTTTGAAGAGACCATGGTCGCCATTGTCAGAGTTATAGAACTCAGAAGGGAGAGACGGAAACGGGTCGGTCCTCATCGTCGCTGCACGGTGGTGAGTGGCGATGGCAAGGGTGAGAGAACTGATGGCAACACATCTGATGGCATCACGGCGTGCGTGCAGATCATTGAAACAGGCCAAAGACGCTTCGAGATTCGGAATTGCAAAAACCATCCATATTGGTGGAGCGCTTGAAGCATGTAATGTACAACTCTATAATACAAATGATAATGGTACAGAGACGCAGATGTGCAACAAAAACGAGCGCAATTAAGCGAAGGTAGCGGGAATGGGGACCTCAGCCTGGGGCGTAAGTCGGACAGCATGCCTACGGAACTCAGGGCTGAAGTCGGGGATGGCAGAGTGTGCAGTAACTCGGTTGTCCTGTATCAAGAGACAACATCAGTGAGGAATATCTACAAAGTATAACGAAGACACGTACCCAAACAACCACAGTTCCCGGCTCATACGAGGCACGAATCTGGAAGTCGGCGCCTCGAGCGATGTGATCATACAGGAAGTTCAAGAGAGCGTCAGATTCCTCCTTCTTGAAGCCGACGATGCGTCGACCGAAGACGGGGTTGACATAAAGAGCCTTCTCGCCTGTTGCGGGGTGGACTCGGACGATGGGGTGCTCAGTCTCGATGGGTTCTCGGCGGACGGGTCCATTGCGCTTTCGGGAGCCCTCAGCCTGCTCAACAGCACTGTGGACGATCTTCAATCCCTCCAGACGCTTCTTGAACTCGTCAGAGAGGCGGTTGTAAGCCTCAACTTGAGAGACGAAGAGGGTGTCACCACCGACGGAGGGCTGCAAGAGGCTGGTAAGAAACGATAGAGCTCGGAAATTCGGAGAGGACGCACTTGGTCAAGGATGAAAAAGAAAGTAGTGCCAGGAGGTTGCTTCTCATAGGCAACATCAGAGTGCCATGCGGTGTAGTTAATTCGTGAATCAGTGACATACTCCTTGAAGTAGTCATAGCTGTTATCACGATACACAACATGGAACTCTGGGTAGCCCTTTACATTGCCCGAAGTAGGGTGGCGTTGGATAGGACCAAAGTGCCTGCACAGCAACAATGATGAAGCTCTGCATCAGCACAATTCCCCATTTATAACAGACCGGATTCAACGCACTTTGCGATCTCAATCTGACGCTCGAAACCGAGATCTTTGAAGTCCTGGTTTCGGAAGATAACGACCTTCCTCTCGGCAACGAACAAGGCGAGCTCGTCGAGACCTTCTTTGGAGAGTTGAGAGATCTGGACGCCTTCGACTTCGGTACCGAGGTAAGGGCTGAGATGCTTGAGCTTGGTGTTGGCAGTGAGCAGGTTGGGCTTCGCTTTGTCAGCGCGAAGGCCGGGTTCAACGTGCTCTGTTAACCGTAGTTAATAACTTAATGAACATCGCATAGGGGATGTTGTCGCACCAAACAGCTCAGTAGGACCCCACTTCTCGTTGACATCGAAATGAGGAAGGTATCCAGGATAGGCAGGACCCTAACGTAAATAGGGTTAGCGTCGACCCAAGCGCCCGGAAGAATGCGACGTACATTGGGCAAGCTCCCGTTCTCCTTGATCTTAGCCTTGAGCTGCTCTATAGCAGCGGAGGCGGGGTGAACAGCGGGCTGGGAGATTTCAGAAACAGAGGGAGCCATTTCGACGGAGAAGGGTGTTCGAAGTGGGGATGAGAGTGTAAAGTTCACTTGTGCTGACACTGGATTGAGGTGGTAGGGTTTATATACCTCTCCACGAGAGCTTCTTCATCAAGGGGGCAATGTCAAGGTAATCTCGCGACATGCAGGCGGTTAGTGCACTGGATGCACTCAGGAGGAGGTCCAATGACGAGACCGAAGGCCCAAATGGCGCAAATGAATGGCAAGGCGCGCTGGTTGGAAGCGCTTCCGTTCTCGGTTAGCTTTCCGAGGAGCTATTTTTACGCGTTGGGCCCGTTATCTTGCGTGGCGTGCTAATTTTTAGTTGGATGTAATCTTTACGGAAGGGCGTTGAGTTGATTGAGGATTTACCGCGGAGCGTCATACCAGTCCCATTAATGCGCAGGGGCAAACTTAAGAGGCGGTGCAATATTCGATGGCAGGTCACATCTGCGTCGTCGGATTCGTAAAAAATTGAGTCTCGTAGGTGGTGCCGGTGAAGTCAATGGGCGCACGCTTTTGGAACCCAGATCTGATGGACCCACTGGTGCACCACACTAGACGGAAACCGTTTCATTGGGAAGTATTGTAGGAAGGCAAAATGCTTGATAGCTATGATACAATGCTGGGGTAGAGGGGTCATCACAAAGGTCGTAACGAAATAGAAAGAAAAGCATCCTAAAAGAAAAGAGCGTGCTGTTTAAATGTGAACCGAAGTGGAAGTAGTACTACCATTATCGTTCGAATTCTGCTGCTGTAACGACAAAACATTCTTTCTGAAGCGTTCCATAGAGTCAAGCCTCGAGTTCCAATTAGACTTGATCTCCACACGAAGGGTATCATGATCCGTTGAAGAGAAGATTGAAGTGAAGCAATCAGCAAAGATGCAGAGGTGTCGAACAATGTGGGGGAGGTTGACGGCGGAGACGATCTTGAACTGGCCGACCGGTGTGCACTCCGTCATCCCTTCCGCAGTCTGTACAATGACACGGAAATACTCGTTTTCGTGGGCGTCATTAGAGAATGCGCATATCGTTCCGACGGAATGGGGTTCGATGATGATGTTCACGAACTGGAAGGCGGTTTTGAGCGTATCGAAGGCGTAGGGGAGACCAGAGTCGTTCCAGATGATGCGAACGTAGTCGTTACCGATATGTCTCTTCTTGTAGTTGAACATCGGGTCGTGTTCGCGGTTAGGCATGAGCGTGGCAGTGTGGAACAGAATCTGCCTGATATCATCCCACCACGCATAGGCATACTCGCCATCTTCTTCTGGATCCAACGAGCCAGTGTAGACCTCTTTCTCTGTCCTGAGATGAACCAGCCTTCCGATCCCGTCGAGGAAGCGACTGTACGCCTGGGAACCATGGGTGTTGGCCAGAATCTCGATCTCGTTGGTCTGACCTGGTCCAGCGTACATGATTCCCACCTTGTGAGTGTCGATGACGGGGGTACGATCTAATAATCCCAAGGATTTCGATAGGGTGGGAGCGTCGCTGACGTCTGTCAGTTCCGGAGTTGTCTCTGGAAGAGGGCTCATGTGGAAGAAAAGGTGGGAGGCAAAGGAGATAGGGTCCAACTCCGCTTCATAGTCCTTGTCAGTAGCAGAGTCGGTGTTGGATGCCTAACGAGAAACATGAATATCGCTTTGTCAATCTCAATGTCGCACTTACCTCGTCAGGTGGTGGTTCGTCACTTCCACCGTTATCCTGGCCGTCCATGAACAAAGCCTTCAACGCCGGAGGCCCGCCATCCTTCATGACCTCCAAGAAATGATCCCGCCGACAAATGAGACCAGCCGACCCTGAAGGTCGGCGAGAAACCACTTCAATCCACCCCGGCCTCTCCAAATCCCTCATCGTTAAGAACGAGTTCCCGAACATCCAAGTCTTCGACAGGGCAGGTCGCTCGGGTTTCGCGATATTAGGCTGTAGGACGACGTCCTGCAGCTTTAACTTCTCAGCACTGGCGATGCCATGGGTGTTGCGCGCCAACCAGTCGAAGCAGACTTGAGTAAGACCATCTACCCCTTCCCTTCCTTCGTTGGCCAAGAGAAGCTGTCGAGTGATATACGGGATATGAATTTCTCGATCCCGGAGTTTGAGGACGGAGAACCACGTGTAGAGCGTCACGAAGGACTGTTGCCTAACGTGCTGGGACAACGCCCACGACCGCGTTGGCGATTCTTGAAGTTGATTGTAATGCTGCAGATACTGCAGCGCAACACCAAAGACCATCTTAAAATCCTCCTCCGTAAAGCTGGCGTAGAGAGTCGGGAGCGAGCCGACCATCACGAGGAAGGCCAAGATGTGGACAGCCATGTTGGGATTGGACATGATCTGGGCGAGCTTCTCCAAAATCTTGGGGAGGGACCTGGAGAGCGAGGTGCTCATCTCGAAGGCCGTGAGCGCAAGAGCGTGCAAACAGCATTTGATGGTCGAGAACTGTCCGTTGAGTCCAGAGAAGAACGCTTCAATAAGCAACTGGCGTTGTTGTAGATCGAAATATGTCTTGTAACTGATGAGCGTGGAGAGGGTATGGTGAGCCAAGCCTTGCAGATCGCGGAGCTTCAGCCCCTCAGGGCAATCGTCGGCCGTCTGCGAAGCCAGTGAACCATCGATGACGCCCTTCGTGAGGACATACAACAGCTTGATAATCGAGGTTCGAGTGGTGGGCCCGCAGAAGAGATGCTTGTTGGCGAGTTGGACGGGTAGGTGCACCAGAATGTACGACACCACCTCCCAGCTGGAGTCGGTCTCGATCAGATCCGCCAACACCGCGATGTACTTCGATATCGGGAGGAGCACGCCTTCACCAAACGAGCGCAGTCCGTGCTTGACTGTATCCGGCTCGGGAACCTTGAACGGAAGCGTTTCCGGGAGGTGCCAAAGGGTTTTGTGGTGCTTCGTCTCCTTCACCTCGGACACAGTCTGCGACCGACCTCGACCCAGAAGACCTTGGGATGTTGGTGTTCGTGAATACGTCGTGCGGGACCGATGTTGCCTCTTCCGGGCAACATGCTCTTCCAGGATCTCGTCCTTGTGCGCTCTCATAAGAGAGTCAGGAAGTCGGTTGATGAGCGACGCCATATAGGCAATGGAATGATTGGTGTCGTAACCCTCCAGGGCAAAGTAGACGCGATGGTCCCGATCAGCCCGCCATCGCATGAGGAACTGGAGGATCATCACCCTAGGTTCGGGGTGCGATAGTCGAGAAAGGGCTTGAAGGAAGGTATTGAAGATAGTAACCGCTACTTCTTGAATAGCCGTGCTGAAAGAAAGTGACTTGAATGCGATTTCTGTGAACACGTGAATGAGGCTCCGGACGACGTGTAAAGCAGTGGATTCGTCTGGGTTGTTGAAAAAGATGGAAGTGAGAAGCTGGACGGGATCGTGTTCTCCCACCGCACCCGTTTCCTGGAGTTGATCACTTTCAGAGATCACTGAAATAGCTTCCTCTTCCAGGATCGAGAAAACGAGTTCCGAGGATTCCGCTGCAATCAAGATGCCTGCTTCACTCATGACGAGCTGAGCGAGCGCCTTTCGATACGACTGACTCTCCCTGACAGAGTCATAGACCTCGTACAGCGTCTCGATGATGGTGCGCCTCGTGTGGGGGCGGTTGACGGATAGCAATCGCGGGTCGAAGAGTCGCTTCCAATGCTCCAACCACGTCGATGTCAGGGGGAGAAGGTCGTAGTTGTCGGTCATAAGGACTGGAATCCGTGCAGTGTTCTCGTCCGTGACATGCTCGCACCCTTGAATCAAGATGTCCGCCAGCAGCGACTTTTGCGAATCATGAAAGTCCCGGGAAAGAAGCGTGGTGATGCTGCGCAACAACGGAGTGGGAGATTCACCGGGGTGGAAGACATTAATGATGAACGGACTGCCATCGGGGGACCTGGGAAAAGAAGGTTCAGTACAACTCTAATCCCTCGAAACGCGACCCTAAACAAAACACTTACCGGAGGGTGAAGATATACTTGGCCAGACTCTGGAGCGCATCGTTGGTATGATCAAGTTCAGACGCATCAACGTGCACCCCGCCATCCTCCCTCGAGTCAAACTCCTGGTAGATATCCTTCACAATCCCAGCCATCTCCTCCAGAATATTCTCCTTCCCCTCCATAATCCTATCCCACATATCACCCTGCGGCGAACCGCCCTTCCCCAGATCAGGCAGCCCCGGCGACCAACCCACCCACGCATCGATACTCGAGGATATCACCCGCGTTTCACCAGACTCGGTGGCGGGCCGGCCCTGCCCATGATCATGTTTCAACCACGCAACATCCAGTAGGTCCTGATCGATGGAGCTACGGCCGGTCGCCTCTTTGCCCCCAGCCACCTGCTGGGGCTGGTACGCCTTCTCCAGCCGCGTCGTAAGCGCCCGGCGGATGTAGTTTCGGAGCGTCCGGCTGGCACCTAGGGAGGTCATGATCATGAGCGTGTACGACCGGATCGCCTTGGCGTTGTCCTGTGCGACTGCGGCTGAAGCGGTTTTGGTGCGCACGCCGTTTCCGTTGTCACTTTCCTCCTCTCTGTTCTCCTCCCCAGTTGGGGTTTCAGCTGTAGGCAACGCGACACCACCAACATGCCGAGGCGTAAGATGCTTCCTTAAAATCCTCAGTGACACGTTGGACATCGGACTCGGAACGAGCGTGTTCAGGATCTCCACGATCCGATTCTCCAGCGTCTTCGGCCCAGCGACTTGAGGCTCAACTGTCAGACGCGGTAGCGGCGAGGCACAAAATGCCAAAGACCTAAATAGCAACGGTAGCACCTGCTCGAATTGTTTCTTGGATAGGTTGAGGAGATGGGTGCCGACATGCCCAAGGAAGAGCGAGATGGCGATTTCAGCGGGGTGTTTGGATTTGGTCGGGAGGGGGTGGGATTGTTCGGCTGTCGGCGTGGGTGAAGCGAGGAACATGAAGCTTGTTAAGGATGGGGCTCGGCGTTTGTGACCGCGCCGTGTCGATCTTTCTGGGACTGCATGGACTTCGGTCGGTGAGAGGACTGTTTGAGATTGAGGAAGTGGCAGATGGATGTGGTCGTCGATGAGATCCGCGTAGAATTGGAAGACGCTCTCCAGTACATCGTCTTTAATCCTCGCAATGTTAGCGCGATAGGCGAACAGCTCGTGGAGGAACCTCCCGACGACTACGATGCACCGCTCGCACTCCGAGGGAGGAGGGACCGGCATCCCTTTTGGCGGGTTGATCAAAAGACGGAACGCATTCAGGATGCAGTCTTTGATAACCTCGATGACCACAGTCTCAATCCCACGCAAGTCCGTCCCGTCCTTGGTCACAGCAGCCAACGCCTTAAAGCGCACCTCCCACAGATCCAGATGCCAACGCGACTTCGGGTCAAGGAAGAATGTCAAACACGAAAGTGCATCAGACGTCGTGGGCCAGCTCGCGTTCTTCACTTTGGAGTTGTTCCAGTAAGCCGCCATGACTTCGTAGCCGAGTGCTTGGAGGGTGAGGCTGGACCGTCGAGAACATAACCGATATAGCACGGGCTGGAGCGCGGAGAACCTGGGAGGGGTCTGTTTTGATAGGAGGACGGAGAGGAGGTGGATGTGGGAGGGCGTGGGGGCGGTGGGAGATGTGATCATCTCGATTAGGAGCTCGATGGTGAAGTCTGACTCCACTAATCCACCTGGCAGGGGTGCGTCGGCAAAGGGGAATAGTTCTAGGGGTGGGCTCTTGAATCTGATGTCTGGAATCTGCGCGTCCTTTTGTTTCGAGTCTTTGACGGAGAGGTAGGCAGTCCCTGTAAAGTACTTGAGTAGTCTGGCAAGCAACATGGTGTGCTGCGAGCGAACCTGAGGGATCAATGTTGATATCGAACTTCTCTGATATCTCAGCCCATATTTTGTTAGCATCAACGGATTGGAGTGCCTGCTACACGTTCAGCAACGTTTCTGTCCAGGAGGCAAAGAACCACATACAGCGTCAGACAGGAGAGCCCAGTCCTCATCATGTGTTACCGCTATCCGTGCTTGAGGGCACTGTGGACCAACTCCTCAGCACCTATCACGTCGCACCACGGCACGTCCACGCACCTTTTGCAACAAAACCTTGTTTATGATTGTAGCCGGATGAACGATCTATCCATCCCCTGTTAGTACAACTAGTCCATGTTGAATGGAAAGTGACCCAACGCGCACCCTCGAAGGAAACTCTGGAAACATCAGCGTAGAGCCCCCGGGGGATTTGGCCAACAAGTTGCTGCTTTTTGGACCTGCGACCAGGCCAAATCAATACACAGAGCGCACCAGATCACAAACGAGGAGCACTCACCAAAGGACGAGAAGAACCTCTTCAACGTGTTCCTCGACCTCTTCGCGACCAAATCAATCGTGCTCGTATCCGACGCTGAATCGCCTCCACCACTCGCTGCAGTCCCGACATTGATCGACGCCATAACCTTTGACCACTCGTCGTCACTAAGCGAAATCGTATGCGACCTCACAAACGTGCACTGATTTTTCGACCTTTCCGTTCCCGGGGTAGCTCCAATCGATGACGATCCTGATGGTGTCGTCGTGGTTGTTGCGGAAATTGGACTTTGGCTGGTAGATGATGACGAAGACTTGGCTTCCACATGTATATGGCCCGGATGTCCATGATACATCGACGTGTTCTTCTTCTCCCAAGAATACACGGGGCTTTCACCGTCTGGACCGACCTGGGTTGTGAACGTTAATGTAACAACAGGGCTAGTTGCTGCACTCCCAAGTTGTTGGTGTTCTTGCTGTTGGCTCTGGTTTTCCTGTCCTTGACTCTTCACTTGATCCCCCGAGAACGCGGCCATACCCCAGTTCGCCGTTTTGTCACACCCGGTGACGAGGTGAAGCTCGCCGTTTTCGATCTCGCGGCCGCAGACGCCGTTGGCAAACTTGTACCAACTGTGCGCGTGGTGGGCGGCATATTCGCGGAATTTGGAAAGGTTGCGGATGTCCTCGTGGTGAGCGCCCTCCGGGAGGATCAGGATCGCGCCTTCAGAAGCTGTACTCTCGAATGAAAGGTGGCTGTAAGGAAAGATCATTGATCAAAATCATGACACTGTAATCTTATGGGAGAGAACACGCACCTCGCCTGCTTGACTGAACTGCAGAAACAGCTATTTGGAGGATGTTCGGGCGATTCACTGATATCCTTTTGTTGGGTCAGGAGAGGGACGAAGCCATCAGGGAGGGGACCCGAGTTGTTGGGGTGCTCCGCAGGCAGGCAAATGTTGAACAGATAATCGAAGGCGCCATACTGAGTGATGATTCCGACGTCTCCAACCCTGACGCCCTTGTCCACGTATGATTTGGGGAGCTGGACACTGGGGTGAGGGCTCCAGAGGGGGAAGCCGTGACGGTGTTTCAACAGGTGCCTTTCGTAAATCGCGTTGCTCAGGATGGGTGGGGTAGGGTCGTTTTCCTAGGATTCGGGACGCGTGGTGGTTAATCTAAAGTCCAGGGATGATGACAGGTAGACTCACCAGCGACGGAGTGCGAACAGACAACCCTGTTTCCGTCAGCTTTACACCCTGTTACACATCCTGAACTGCACTCACTTGATCGGGATTCATCCAATATGCTCTCCAGCTTCTGCACAACTGATCAGCACGCGTTTGCTGAAACGAGAATAAGGCTTACAGCTTTTGAAGAGGAAAGGAAATAGGCTGAAAGAGTAAGCGAGATGAATACCGCACGTCAGGGTCCTGTACATGAGATGACACGTACGGGATTCATTTGTTTGATGAGGGAGGGCATGACCAGGTGCCTGGTAAACGTTTAACATCCGGGACCAATGACAGCATCTAACAGCAATTCCAGCCTCACTGAGATGGATTGACGGCGCTCTGCGTTCGAGGGGATAGTGGATTGGCCTGTTCATTGGATATTTCTCTGAGTGTAAAGCAATTGGACACGACAAAGAGGACGTACTCCTTGAATGATCAGTTGCATACGCGCTAGAATCGCTCGTTCCGACATAACTTGATGCAGATCTTCCGAACATGGATGGACTGTGACCGAAATAAGCAAGACACGCGGCCAGACAAGTCAGATCGAACGCACCTCGCGGGGCCAGAGGACAGGCCGTACGGAATCCTCAATGGTTTTGGCTCCATGATCCTGTGGGTGTGCCTATCTCCGCCTAGTCCACCCGCCGAGCTCCAAGAAGATACGGACGAGGAGGAGGTTGTGGACGGGGGAGCCGGGGCAGCAACGAGGGGAAGAGGGAGGGGGATTGGGGGAGTTGGTGCATTGTAATGGTCGCGATGATGATGTTGCTGTGGCTCCGAGAATCTCGATATGGATGGAGTTGACCTTCGGTTAGGGCTTCGCTGTGGGTACTGGTACTGAAGGTCGCGCTGGGGGTAGTGCCTCGAATCAGAACTTGATCTGCCTGGTGGATCCGAACTCGTCGACATGTAAATCTTGTAATATCCTTCACTCCAGGCCTAAGCGCATCGAATCTATAATCCCAGCAAGTATTCAAAAATACTCTGTTTTCGTAACAGATCAGGCCACGAGGCAAGTCAGAACTCAATGTCGTGCGTACCTGACAGCCCAATTACGTTCAGGATTTGCGTTGGTGGACTGGACTTGAGTCTCTGTGTAGTTGTTTGTGGAGGACGATGTGTTGGTGGTCGCGGAGCAAGCCTTAGCGAGAAAGATGTGCTCGATTTGGGCCTCCCCATCAATTGCTCTAGATCCGTCATCTTTATTCCCGCCTCGACACTCTTAAACTTGTTCTTCTCGTTCTCCGTTGCCCTTTAGATTCTAGGACGTTCAATTCGCCCGCTCAACTGGAACCACACATGGCACAGCTGACATCTAGAGCCTTCTGGATTCAGATCCTCTCCAGAGACCATGGTGTCGGACCTTGCAGTGTGGCGTACCTATGGTCGCCCAGATCTAACCCCCCATCTGGTCTATCGCAGTCTCCAATCGACGACAAACCACTTTCTCTTCTTGGATTACTTCGACTTCTGGTCACTAGGGGACTCCATGGCCTGGACAATTCATCGAGAGTCAATCAGCTTCCACTCGTTATCTACAAAACATCCGAAACGGTACTATTTGATCAGATTCCGCTCGCTGCTTGCTTTTTCTTTTGTCCCTCCCAAATCGCGTCTAGCTCGTTTCTCGCTCAAAAAATGCGATAAAATCGCGACAAAGTGACTCTGAAACTCCTTGGCCTGTTCGTGCTAAAATGGGTACACGATGGGTTCGACAGGATACTCAGAATGTTGGTCTCCAAATACAGGGACCCTTTTATATTTCGATACTAACTGCCTGCAGGCTTTGTGCAGGCTCCCAGCATATCTCCCGCCATCCTTCATGTGCTTCACAGCTCATGTTGATCTCTTCACTGGAACAGCCTCTGCTCGCGTCCGTGGCCTGATGCTGGGCCCTAGCACCTACAACCCGCAAACCGGCGCTCGATCACCATGTCTAAATCCTTCCATGGTGACTCGGAAATATCATCATCATTGACCCACCTTCGCATCGGAAACTCGCTGACCAATTGTATGAAAACCTCGCCTTTGCCTGGCGTCCAATCCCTACCCGGGCACATGGTTGTTGTTTTGCATAGCCTTTTGCTTCATACTGCCTGCGGTCCGTACTATTTTTTTCACCCCTCCGCGTCGGTTCTTTAAACGGTCATTCACTGTGAAACGACGCCTGCGTGGTGCCTTGCCTCGAGGAAAGACTCAAGGCTTGCTGCGGCGGCCTTGTCTGTTTGGTGCATTAAAGCAGTCAGCTTCTGAATGTTTGGGCCAGGAGCAGGTTTCAGGGGCTTTCTGAAAACAGGGTGCTGGGTGATCCTCAAGGGCTTTATAGAGTGCAGGATTTCTGGCTGTGGGGTTTTAGCATAGACAATCCGCCCTCACTCAGGAACTCTCGCATAGACTTCAGCGGGTCTGAACACTCGTCCTCTATTCGCCATTATTGCAATATCTCAAGCTCGTTAATTTTACTCTACAATGTCGGCTTCAACATCGACTCATCCGCCTCCGTCGCAAATCCCCCTCCCGACCTCTGCAGCGCCATCGATATTCGGACGCACTGCTACTCGTACACGTCGCACGAACCCTTTCGCTACTGGTAGTAGCGCTGGTGGGGGCACTGGGTTCACAATCAAGCGGCGCTTCGACGATACACGCTTGGAGTTTAAACCCGCCAAGTCCGTGCCTTCGTCCAGCGCTGCTGGGCAGGGATCGAAATCCAAGGGAGTCGTCGACGGGTCGACGAGGACCCCTCGTGCGCCACCGAAGGATTTGACCTTGAAGATTGACGGAGGCAGGCCTCCTGTTCCTTCGCTTCACATCCAGGTGCCCAGTAGTTCGAGGGGCGTGGTGGCGGACGATGAAGAGGTGTATGTTCTGTATGTGTTTTTCGTGAGATGGTTATTGGATGGTGGAAGCTGATTTATCTGTGACGGCAGTGTAATGGGCAGCAGCGGGTCTGGTAAAACCTCTGTAAGTGTTCTCCCATTCTCCTTTGTTCCCTCCCCCATCATCGATTTGCACTGCGCAAGTCGTCATTACATCTCCCGTCAACGCCGAGTCTGCCTTCAAATAAGCTTATATTAACTTTGTCCCTGTTTTATTTTTAGTTCATTAACCTTGTTAGTGGCTCGCGTCTCCCTGTCAGCTCGGGCCTCAAGTCCTGCACGAACGATGTTGCGGTGTCTGAACCTTTTACGTTGGACGGCCGTAAAATGCGTCTTATCGATACACCTGGATTCGACGATTCGAATAGGAGCGATGCGGAAGTCCTTGGCACCATCTCTGATTTTTTGGCCAAGTTGTACGTATCACTCGGGTTTTTCATTCCACTCGTAAATTACTGACATGTCACTGTCTACTTGTTAATTATCGACGATGGTTAATTCAGGTTTATCAAAGGCCACAAGCTCCAAGGGGTGTTGTACTTCCACCGTATCTCGGATGTCCGCATGGGGGCACTCTCCAAGCGCAACTTTACGATGTTCCAGAAGCTATGCGGGTCGCATACCTACCCAAACGTCGTGCTTACCACCTCGAGGTGGAGCGAGGTGAATGAACATGTCGGAGCCGCGCGGTCAGCCGAGCTGGCTTCGAAGGGCGTGTTCTTCCGGCCCATCCTAGACGCCGGTGCTGCCCTCATGCGGTACACCCGCTCCCTCGAGTCAGCGCAGACGATCCTCCGACAACTCCTCGCCAAACCCCCGATTCCTTACCTGACGATCCAGAGGGAGATGGTGGTCCAGGGCAAGTCTATGGCGGAGACGAACGCGGGTCTGGCTTTGCAGCAGGAGAAGCTGGCGTCCATCCAGAGGTTCCAGGAGAATTTGAAGGGTCTTACGAAGGAGATTGAGATTGTGAAGAAGGAGAATGATGTGGAGATGCAGAGGGAGCTTGAGGCTGATGTTGAGGAGTTGAAGGTCAAGATGAGGAGTTTGGAGGAGGAGAGGGAAAAGCTGGTTTCGAGACAGAGTTCCTTTGCGCATATCAGTGTACCGGCGAGGGAGGTGGGATTGGACGACGCGGAGGACGATGCGTGGGTGATGTTTCCCGAGGCGAAGGAGGTGCCTGAAGAAGGCGGCGGAGAGGAAGGATTGTCGGGATTTGGATATGGGCCTGCGATCTCGAGTAGGATGATGTCGACGACGAATGCGAATCCCGCGTTGCAGGTTAGTACCCTCGCTGGGACTGCTGCTGCCGCTGCTGACTTGACCACCCAGCAAGTGCGGGCAGCAGGTACCGGTGCGGTCCCGACCTTCCCGAACTGCCTCGCTGACGAATTCGAAACTCAACCCAGCCCTCAAATAATCGGTGGTCTTCCTTTTCGGCACTGGGAAGAAGTCAAGGAAGTGACGGCGGAAGTGGAGGTTCAGGGGAGGGAGGACGAAGGTGGTTCCTCCCGCAGCGATTCCTTGGACGAGGGGTTTCGTGGAGACTCTGGCATCGTATCCCAGGATGGTTCCAGAGCCATGTCCCACAGAGTCCCGTCCGAGGACTCTGAGTCAATCCCTAGCGGATTCTTGCCTGGCGGATTCGATATGACAGACGTGGAGGAGGAGTCATCTATGCAAGATAATGATTCGTCCGCCAGGTCTGTTGGTGCGACGGGTGACGTGCGCACGACTATGGAGGGAAGGAGACACGTACCGTGGGCTCCGGAACCTGCTACAAGCGGTGTAGGGGGGTCGAATGATCCGTCGCATCATTCTAATAATAATCTCACTTGGGGAGAGTGGTTATTTGGGTTTCCTCCCAGCGTATATATGACTGTGTCGTATCTATTGGGTTATTAGACTATTTTATAGCTTTTTATCTTGTATGTCCTATGTTGTATGCGCTATGCCTATGTGCTATGCCAATGTACCGTCTTATGCCAGAAATCTCTCGAAAAGCCCCTAGAGTGATCGGAGGTGGAGCAGAGGGTGCGTGGCGGTGTTGATCACGTGCGAGCCACGTCTGCGCCTGTGTTGACACGTCAATTCGGAAAGTGATAAATAGCGGACGAGCGCCGGAGTTGATTCTTCACCAATCTTTGACGACGACCACCATGGCACCTGTGCGGAGTCGTTCGACGTCGCGCAATGTCCTCTCTTCCCTTTCAGTTTTCTTCTTTGCTTTCCTTGCACTCCTTTTTGTGACAACTCCCGCACATGCTGAGGAGGCTCACCCAGAGTATGGAACTGTCATTGGTATTGGTGAGTGCACTCGATGTCTTATACGTTTAGCAATGAGATGCTAATACGCCTTTTGTAGATTTGGGAACAACGTAAGCTTTGAATGGTTTCGTACATTGAATTTGACTAACGCGGAGCGCGCCGGTGAATAGGTATTCTTGCGTTGGGTAAGTCAGCCGTCATATAAGATCCTGTCCTTATAGATTTCTAACGTCGCTTGTAGTGTAACACGAGGTGGTGTCGTAGAAATCATCGCCAACGACCAGGGTCACCGTATCACACCGTCATGGGTCTCTTTCACGGATGAGGAACGACTGTAAGTCTTGTTATCGGCTATGACCTGGCACGCCCGCTTACGCGCTCTTTCCACAGTGTTGGTGACTCCGCCAAGAACGCTTTCCACTCCAACCCCGAGAACACCGTCTTCGACGCTAAGCGTCTCATTGGTCGTAAACTCCAGGATGATGAGGTCCAGCGCGATGTGAAGCACTGGCCCTTCAAGGTTCGGGAGAAGGAGGGCAAGCCCGTCATCAGTGTCAAGCATAAGGGCGAGACTCGCGACTTCACTCCCGAGGAAATCTCCGCCATGATTCTTGGAAAGATGAAGGAGACCGCTGAGGCTTACCTTGGTAACAAGGTCACCCACGCTGTCGTCACTGTCCCTGCCTGTCAGTATACCCGTTTCGTATTGTTAATGAAACCAAAAGCTAACGTTCCTGTCCAGACTTCAACGACGCTCAACGTCAGGCCACCAAGGATGCCGGCACCATCGCTGGTCTCCAGGTCCTCCGTATCATCAACGAGCCCACCGCTGCCGCTATCGCCTACGGTCTTAACAAGAAGGGCGGTGAATCCCAGATCATCGTCTACGATCTCGGTGGTGGTACTTTCGACGTCTCCCTCCTGTCCATCGACGACGGTGTCTTCGAGGTCTTGGCTACCGCTGGTGACACCCACCTTGGTGGTGAAGATTTCGACAACCGAATCATCGAGTACCTCACCAAGCAGTACAAGAAGAAGACCGGTACCGACGTCTCCAGGAATCTCCGTGCCCTCGGCAAGCTCAAGCGTGAAGTCGAGAAGGCCAAGCGCACTCTCTCCTCCCAGCAGTCCGTCCGCATCGAAATCGAGTCCTTCGAGGATGGCAACGACTTCTCCGAGACTTTGACCCGTGCCAAGTTTGAGGAGCTCAACATGGACCTCTTCCGCAAGACCCTCAAGCCCGTCGAGCAGGTCCTCAAGGACGCCAACGTCAAGAAGGAGGATGTCGATGAGATCGTCCTTGTTGGTGGTTCCACTCGTATCCCCAAGGTTCAGCAACTCCTCAAGGAGTACTTCGGCAAGGAACCCTCCAAGGGTATTAACCCCGATGAGGCCGTCGCCTACGGTGCTGCCGTCCCAGGGTGGTATCCTCTCTGGTGCCGAAGGTACCTCTGAGGTCGTCCTCGTCGACGTCTGCCCCCTTACTCTCGGTATCGAGACCACTGGTGGTGTCATGACCAAGCTCATCCCCCGTAACACTGTCATCCCCACCCGCAAGTCCCAGATCTTCTCCACCGCCGCCGACAACCAGCCCACCGTCCTCATCCAAGTCTTCGAGGGTGAGCGAACTCTTACCAAGGACAACAACCTCCTCGGCAAGTTCGAGCTCTCTGGCATTCCTCCCGCTCCTCGTGGTGTTCCTCAGATTGAGGTCACCTTCGAGATCGACGCCAACGGTATTATGAAGGTCTCCGCCGCCGACAAGGGTACCGGCAAGTCCGAGTCCATCACCATCACCAACGAGAAGGGTCGTCTCTCTCAAGAGGAGATTGACCGCATGGTCGCCGACGCCGAGAAGTTCGCCGCTGAGGATGAGGCTCAGCGCAAGCGCATCGAGGCCCTCAACGCCCTCTCTTCCTTCGTCTACGGTCTCAAGTCCCAACTTGGTGACAAGGAGGGCATGGGTGGTAAACTCGCTGATGACGACAAGAAGACTGTCACCGAGATCATCAAGGATACCACTGACTGGATCGACGAGCACGGCCAGAGCGCCAGCACTGAAGACTTGGAGGAGAAGCTTGCTGAGGTGCAAGGTCTTATCAACCCCATTACCTCCAAGCTCTACTCGCAGGGATCCTCTGACTCTGATGATGACAACCTTGGTCGTGACCATGACGAGCTGTAATTTATTGTACGTCTTCGATGAGCATTCACTTATTTCGATTCGCACTTCATCGTTTGTACCCTTGCCTAAGAGGCTTGGGAAGGTGTATTAAAAACTAGGTAGCTAGTGTCTTCTCTCGTGTTTGGAGTACCGTAGAGTACTAGAGTAATTTTGAGCAATAGCACGCCAGTTTGAATACCCAGTTTTGTTGTGTTGAGTTGTGGAAAGAGTCCAAAGGGTGACGATGAGGCTGGTTTATGAGATTACGGAGGCGTGCTAGTTGGGCAATTGCCATGGGTGCGCGCTTCGCACGGTTCATATTCGCCCATAGCCATGGTCTGCTCACTCTTTACCATTACTTCGCCTGGCCTCGACGCCTTGAACTACGCTCGAATGGCGCGAACGTGCACCTTTTATCGACGCTCAATCGTTTTGCGTTTGATTCTGAGAAGCGTGGAAGCAGCTAATAATGGGTTTCAGAACGACGCGGTCCTTGGTGGGATTTGGGCGATGTCACGGTAGGATAAGGGAGGGAAGGGAAGTTATCTAGGACCTCCAGGAGTGCTTCTTGGATTGCGGCTTCTTGTGGTCTGACGTTCTCTCGCTGTTCTCGCCTTTCTGTGCTGTTCCGTCTTCCTTAAGCTTCCAGTGCTCCTAGCTAGTATCTCAACAAACCAACGGCTGCTGGACACCAACCACATGAATGGCGTGTACGCGCTCATCCCCATCCTCTGGATCGATGGAGTGATTTGCTTTGTCTTGGAAGATCCATCCTTGCGCGACTGCAGTCTCTTTTTATACCTTTCCCATTGTCTTGCGCGCCTTTTCTCTTTGGGACTGGAAGTAGACTGCTGGGATTCCGGTAGATTCTGCTTAGCTGTGATCGTTAATCTTCCTTCCTATCGTCACACCGATCGAGTATAGGAACAGTTGGCCCTAACGGAACTCGCGTCGCGCCTGTGGTTAGCGGATGGCCGGATGGTTTTGCGTCGATTCACAGCTTCCTCGCTCCTTTGTGGACCATCTGTGCGTCCTTTCACGGGTTTCAAAAGTCGTGGGTGTTCCTGGTGCTAATGCAAAATGTGAACCGGTAGGCTCGTTCAACTCGAGTGTGCATATCAGTGAAGAAGCCTTTATTGGGATGAGTTTTAGGTACCGGTGAGTACCGTTGGGACTATCTGGTCGTGTGCCACGAGAAGTATTTGATCATGGATATCGGAATGTGATGGAACGAATTGAATTCAGCCGTCAATATGGCTCTAGGCATTCTGAATGGAGTCCATCTCGAAGCACTGTATGACAGCGATCAGCTGACGGGGCTGAGATCTTTGTGCATCGTTTTGGCTCGAACGCGACGCTTGCGATTTGGGCCCGTTGTACAGTTTATGACGGGCAACATTATGGTTAGTTAGTATTTCCTTGCCTTCAATATGGTGTTCTCTGAGACTCTGACCATGGGGTTGCGTTTGTTTGACAGTTGTTGTCCGCAAATCGACAAACGTTCGCTTTTAGCCGAGATGGAGGTGAGGACTAGGCTCCAGTACCATGCTGAGAGGGCCCTGCTGACCGGAAATTGTGATCATCGCATGGGTTATGACGCATCCCTTCCAAAAATTACACCTGCTGTCAACAGTTACCCCGGTGTGCCACTAGTTCTTAGGTTGGGTATACAGTGGGTATGCCGAATGAACCGCTGGACAGGTACACCGGCCAGTGCAGTGTGGTGCTGCGTCCATCTCGATGGGCGTGCTGGTGTTTGCGGGGGACCAAGCCATCAAACGGTGCCTTCGGGCTGTCGGTTTCTGCCCTCTATATCACCTATGCCATCCCCATCGTTGCCAGACTTGTCGGACCTAGCGATTTCAAGTCCGGGCCATTCGACTTGGGGTCTCTCGTAAGTGTTACCCCTTCAATCCAATCGATAGGTGTCTTTAAGGGCCCTACCCTTCCTTCCTTATCCCCGTCCTTATCTGGGATACTTTGGTCTCCTGCTGAAATGCTCATCTTCCTTATCGCGATTCCTATTCCTGACTGACCTGTGTCTTTATCAGAGCCTCCCATGCGCGATTATCGCTGTGCTGTTCATGGCATTCCTGGGAGTGGTCTTCCTTTTCCCAGAGAGACCCACACCAACAGTCGGGGATATGGACTGCAACGCTGTTGTCCTGGGTGGGGTGCTGGGGTTGTCCCTGGCTTGGTATTATTTCCCCAAATACGGTGGCAGGCATGGGTTTACCAAGTGTTTACCGTTGGGCCTGTTCGAACGGTTGAACCTGCGATGGACGACACTGGGTTGAAGGAGAAGGAGAGAGTGTAGATAAGAAGCAGGACAAAGTAGGCAGGGAAAGAGAAGTGGTGTATGTACCAGCTTCTTGCCCAAATGTAATGTTTTTTGTGAGATCAGGGCCAGGGTCAGGGACTTTTTGATACTCGTTTCCCCAGAGGCGTGTGACAGTCACGGGGTCGGCGTGACACGGACACATAAGAAGCGTGACGGACGCGGAGTTATAGCCCCTTTCCTTCTCTCTCCAGCCCACTGCCACCACGCACAGTCGCACGAATCGATACACGATACATTATTGCACGCTGCATTCTCAAATTCTCTGAAGAAATAATGTCCATGGGTGCTGGAGAAATAATGTATCGTCAGTACATAGGAGAATCCGATTTGCCTCATATCATGGCCCTCGTCCAGAGTGAGCTAAGTGAGCCCTATGTAATATACACATTCCGTTACTTCCTCCATCAATGGTGAGTTTTCGTGGTCGTGTGACATTCACTTATAACACATTTACTGAGCCTTTTCCCCTTCTTTTCCTTCGTTTTTTCTTCCGCTTTCCGTTTCTCCGGAATGGAATTTGGAATTCGTTTCTCGCTGCTTTTTTGCCCGCGTTCTAGGCCGCATCTCTCGTTTCTGGTATGTCTTTGGGCGCTTACCGGCATCGTTCCTCGAAGAAGAAGAACTCATTCGAATCCTTTTCCTGCATGGCATTTGGATGGTCGTCGGTGGCATGACAGGCTTATCCCGCCGATGCATCCTCCTCCGAGCCCATAGGTGTTATTGTATGTAAGCAAAGCTTGCATCGGGGCAACTGCAACAGGGGCTATATTGCCATGTTGAGCGTCGACAAGAAGTGGAGAAAGAGAGGAATAGGTCTGTCGATTCTCTTTTGTTTCTACGAGTGTCCAATTTTCTGACGCGTTTTTATGGCTTTTGACTCGGGGCGGATCAAAAATTGTGTGGATTCGGTCTCGGAATCGTTTTTGTCGCGGTTTTTTGTTCGGGTTCTGCAGCCAGCTCGCTCGTTCGAAACTCGATTGAAGCAATGAAGTTGGACGGGGTCTCAGAGGTGAGTATCTATCCATTCTAGTCAGTATGTCCCTGGCTAACGACCCATCACATCCACTCCCATCCCCGACGCCAAATCACACCCCAAGATCTACCTCGAAACCGAATACGACAACCATGCCGCGCTCTCACTGTACGAATCCCTGGGCTTCATTCGCGAGAAGCGGTTATATCGATTCTATCTCAATGGCAAAGATGCGTTCCGACTCGTACACGTTGTGCCGCCTTCCTCAAGCTCCTCTGACTCGGACGATAGCAGTAGCATCGCTGCAGGATCGGATTCGGCATCTTCGAACTCGTTGGTGGTGAAGCAGCCGATGGGCATGAGGAGGCAGTCGCCGTATCGGTTCCACCCTGTGATTCCATATTCGGATGATGAGGACGATGAGGTGTCGGGGAGGTGAAGGGGCTGTGTTTTCGCGTCGTCGTCGGTGTTGGCGCAACGATCTTGATTGGCGGATGCTGGATGCACCCTGGACACCTAGATTTGGGTTCTAGAGGACTCCTTTCTTTGGTTCCATCTTTCTTTGGGTTTCATTGTTCATCCCTTATTTATGTCTCTCCCTCCTGGTACCCTACCTCACCTTTTATTCTCATCCCCCTCGAATTTCCATTCATGCACATTCCTGTATTCCCTTATCCCATACGCATAGGTCTTGTCTGATTCATATTCCCCCTCCATATCCACCTGTATTTGTACCACCACTGTCTGCATTCTCTTTCCTCCTTTTCGTCTTTTCCTCCCTTGTTGTCTGTATTATTTATACACCCACTCATCCATCGTCGTACCTAGTAGGTAGCGTAGTGCAGCATTCATGGCGTAATTGCGTCTTCCTCTCTTCTGTCGGTTTTCACCTGTTTCTTCTTGTCTTTTTTTCTCTTTCGTTCCCTGTTCAAATCTCCACTCAGTGCTCATTCACTCATCGTTTTTACTCTCTCCCATTCCCGCCCATATCCCATTTGTAATTTTACATACTACCATACATCCCTCTCATACTGCATGTTGAGTCGGAGTTTCTCTTCTAATGGAACTTTCGGTTTTATCGTAGAGTTTGCGGCTTCTGCATACTACTTGGGAATGACCATGTTATAGCCAGTTGGCGATTGAGCACTTGGGAAGGCCCTAAATAATTTCTGCATCATGCGGCGAGCAGTGATGAACGCTTCGTCGTGGTCGAGGTTGATCTCGATTCTCGATGTGGGTAGAGACGTCCTCTGAATCCACGCCGCCAAGCAAACTTCACGAGTCCCACGTGCGGTCGCGGGCGCTTATCTCGTTGCTCCTGACCATCACCACGTCTTGAAGCCTCTGCGATGAGAGCTCGTTCAAAGTATCTTGGATCACGTCGAAAGCTCCTTCTTGCTTTCGATGTCGGAACCACGTATAGCGGAATATCCTTCAGGTACGCTCGAGCGTGAATCAGTGCGCACGGTACCGAGCTAACAGCACTGACTGATTCTTGGCTACGATGCGCTCTATAGTATTCTGGACCCAGGCCAGTTTCCCGAGATTAAAGGGGTTACAAAGTAAGTGTTTGTAATCCAGGAGTTCATGGATTCAATGTGCCTGTCCTGTATCATTTAGGTTCCCAGCGCAGGATCATATTAGCGGTGCATCCAAGATCCCCACCCTGATCTACTACGACCAGCAAGGGAGGGTTAAGGCTGTTGGTGCAGAGGCCAAGCGAGATGGGATTCTGGAACAAGCAAATGAAGAAGGGTGGTCACGAGCTGAATGGTCCGTCTTCGCGAACACCAACAACGTCGCTCACAGGCCTCAACTCAACCTTCTGGGACAGGTTCAAGCTTCACCTCCGTCCCTCCTCGCAGGACTCTTCGACCCTTTCTGGCCACGTTCCTCCCCTCCCACGGGGGAAAACAGCGGTAGACGTCCTCGCGGACTTCATGGCCTACCTCTTCTCTTGCGCAGCTGAGTACATCCAGGAGACCCACGCCAATGGGTCGGATCTCTGGGCGCAGCTCCAGTCCGATATTTACTATGTCTTATCTCATCCAAATGGATGGGAAGGCTTTCAGAGGCAGCAGATGCGAGATGCAGCCGTCAAAGCTGGGCTTGTTAAAGACGCCAATGAGGCGGGTCAGAGGATCACGTTTGTCTCGGAGGGGGAGGCGAGTTTGCACTTTGCGATTCATAATGGACTGCCGAGTGGTGTCATTGAGGTGCGATCGTTGTCTTGTGACTATGTGACTATGTGGTGTGCTTTGAGCTGATGTGGAAATGATTAATAGAACAATGAGGGCGTCATTATCGTGGACGCGGGTGGAGGGACGATCGACTTGAGCGCTTATTGTCGTGTTGGGAGCAGCAATTCGTTGGATGTTTTCGAGGAAATCGCCGTTCCTCAATGTATGTCTCACTTGTGCCTTGCGCTGATATGACTCTCACCAGATATGTCATTTCATAGGTCATTTGAACGGCTCGTTGACGGTCACCCTAAACGCCCGGGACTACCTCGAAGGCAAGTAGCTCCCTCTGTTTGGTAGGAATACAAGCTTCACGCCTCACCTCTTACTCATGCACCTAGTCTTCCTCGCGGATTCCGATTTCGTGGAAGACCTTGACCATATCGTTGAGTGTTTTGACAGGACGACAAAACTCAGGTTCCGGCACGGTCAAGAACCGCAGTACATCAAGTTTGGGAGCACACGAGACAATGATCCAGAGTTTAACATACGAATTGGGCAGCTGAAGCTGCAGGGGTGAGGGTTCATTCTCCTGTGGCGTCTCTTCCATGCATTGTTGCTGCCTGTCAGTTCTTTTGGACTGAATAGGCCTGGCTGCAGAAAGGCTTCGTTCGAATTCTCACTGATTCAATTATAGATCGGATGTTGCATTGTTTTTTGCTCCTTCAATCGACTGTATCGTCAACGCCGTCCTTGAACAACGGAGGACTGCTCACCGGCATGTCTCTGTGTGTTTCCCTTCACAGTAACTAATCGATGGTTTTGCTGACAGAGGTGTTCGGCCACGTACAGCACGTCGTCCTCGTGGGTGGATTCTCTGCCAATGACTGGCTGTATACCCAAATTTCCGCTGCTTTGAAGCAGAAAGGCGTCAATGTGATACGACCTGACCAACATGTGTTCGTCATCTTCATTTCTTTTGGATGCCTTGTGTTGCTCAGTATGTGTGTCCGTAATAGGGGAAAGGCTGTCTCCGATGGTGCCCTCTCCTTTTACCTGGATCACTTCGTACGCGCTCGAGTTGCCAAATTCACATACGGGCAATTCTGTACTGTTCGCTACGACCCATCCGATCCCGATCATATCCGCCGTTCGAAAGATACATTTACCTCGTATGCTGGAGAACAGAGGTTAAATGGTCATTTCGATGTCATTCTCAAAAAGGTAAGTCTTTTCCTTTTGACTTGTGATGGTTCTATAACGGGTTGACTCGTGGCTTTCGAATGGCGTTTAGAATACACAAGTCCAAGAAACTAAGGAGTTCCGAGAGGACTATTGTCGCAAAACAGTCGACAAGAATTTCTTTAGATGTGTCCCATTCAAGATATTCTGCTACAGAGGGAAGAACGTGGATCCGAAATGGAAGGATGAGGACCCAGGTATGTATCGCTGAACAGTTTCCGTATGTTTATTCTATCTCCAGACTTCCTGGTGCACGCGCAAACTCTAATCGCTCATTCCGTTAATTTTGAGTCTTCTCTTCGTATCCGGCCTCCGATCTGACGCTATCTCTCCCGAACAAGACATGTATTCGCTGCTCTGTACGATTGAGATGGACTTCTCTCACCTCAACCTTGTGCCCCGGCACCATGTTCAAGGGTCACAAGTCACGGTTTACTATCAACTCGATTACGGAATCGTTTTGTCATTCGGCCTTACCGAGCTGAAAGCGCAGATTGTCTGGGAAGAGAATGTGGGTACTTCGTCAGAGCCTTTGTCGTTTCCAGATTACTGTGCTGATTGGTTTTGGCCTGGCACTATCGATGCTTTACCGATCGACTGGTCCCTGCTACCCAGGGTCAGGAATACAGGTAACGACAACAGCAGTAACGTAAACCTCGCTGAACACTGAGAGTCTTCCCCCTACAGGAGTCCTGCAAAGATTATTTACGACCCAGATATTACCCAAACGAATAGGACGTAGAGCGCTCGCAGGTGGATATGATGGGTCTTTGAATAGAGCATTTAGCTTTGTCTCCACTTTCTTTGGCTTCTAATAGCTCTTAATGAGGGCCCCGGATGTAACTACATGTCACCACGAGTCAGCACTGGAACGCTGTGACCGCCCCAATAAGCGCCCTGGCCTTGGCGCTCCCCGTAGTTCAAAGTAAATGTGCCGTGGATGGCCTCATGGGGTGGGGATGGAGATAATTTCCTTCTGAGATATCCTGCGCAAAAATATAGGTATCCTTTGAGTCAGATGAAATAACACATGTCTCCGCGACCCTTTAGGACAACGGCGCCCTATGGGCGCTTAAGTTCATATCTCGAGATCTTTTAGAACCTTGGACCCTGAATAGTCTTACTCATCTGACCCATATTTCCGCTCAAATGAAGGTCAGAAACACTTGAGACACGCTGCTTCATTGTGGATTTCCGCGCCGTTTCCTCGTGCACCTGCCAAGTAATGCTGAAACAGATGTCAGAATCGACACACGAGGCCCCGATTCTCAAAGTGGGGTCAGATTTCAGCAAAAACAACAATGGCCCCCGCCTCTCCCGGAGACATGACGATTACTTGTTCTTTTGTCCTTCTCGAGCTCTGCCATAGCCAGCAGCCAACGACTGCGCAACATGGGAATATCTCAATCTTAAAGAGATCGAGAAACATATAAGAGCAACGAAAGAGACAGCGGGGGATAAGTTAGGTCCTTGGGCTTTCCCTCGAGGTTCTACTACCACCCCTCAACCCCGCACTATGTTATCAACCAACCCCGCACTTCAACCAACAGCGGTGATTCCGTACGTCCGCGCCACGCTATACAATTGTTAAAAAATCATTTCTAACTCCGTACTGCACATTGACAGCCTTTTGGGGGCAACCGGCTCGGGAAAATCTTCCGTAAGTTATGGTTTCACGTCTGCCGGATTGATGTTGATAGTCGCTGCTACTTCCCCAGTTGACGAATGCTATCATCGGGACCGAGGCTGCACCCGTTGGCCATGATCTCGAATCGCTCACTGCTGAGGTTTCCCACTATTCGACCACATCGCACGGAAAGACCATTCGGGTGGTCGATACCCCTGGTTTCAATGACTTCAGGAGTGAGGGGTCGAAAACCGATCTCGAAATCCTGACGGAAATCAGCAATCTCATGAAGGAAGAGTGAGCGTCTTTGATCGTGACTGGTTCAAGCAAACATAGAACTGACTTCCCTTTCTTTACAGATACGATGCCGGGGTCAAGTTCTCCGGTGTCATCTTCGTTCACAACATTTCGGCACCCAAGATCGACAGGATGGCCCGAAGAAATATGGTTCTTTTCAGGAAAATCTGCGGAAAAGAATCGATGAAGAATGTCGTTGTTGTTACCACTTTCTGGGACCTCGTTGACTTCGAGCAAGGCGAGTCCAATGAACGAGAGCTCCAACAGGAGGAGGGGCTCCTCAAGGAGCTGCACGACGCCGGTGCCAAATTCTTCCGCATGGGCCACTTCGAAGATGGCGCACAACCAGATAGCGATGGGTTTGCCACTCCCCAGCAGATCGTCGACCACCTTCTTTCTCTCAACCCTGTCTGGCTCCAGATACAGAAGGAGATGGAGACCAAGTCCGTTCCTGAGACATCTGTTGGATCCACGTTGATGAACGACTTTGAGGAGCTCAAAGCGGATTATCGTCGTAACATTGAGACCCTTCAATCGGAAATTGCCACCCTCCGGAGCGCCAACGAGGACGAGCGGAACCATCGTGAAGTCCTTCGTGAGGAGGCGAAGAGCTTGCGGGAGGCGTTGAGAGTATGGGAGGAGCACGGAAGCGAAATGAAGGCAAAGATGGCGCGTTTGGAGACGCAGCAGAAGCAAGTGGGTCCATCTCCGAGTTGTTCTCATGGAATCTGTCGCTGATCATTACTCAAGGTTGCCATGAAGGAAGAGCTGGAAGCTTGGCAAAGCGCCCACCTGACCGAACTGGAAGGGTTACGCCTTCATGTCTCCCAGTGCAAGCATAATAGTCAAGACTTTGATCTTCAGCGATCGTTACTCGAGGGCCGCAACCCCGAACTTTCAGCTGCACTCGAGAAAGCTCAGGCGGAACGCGATGCCTTTTTGCGTCAATGTCAGGAGCTCCTCGCGAGCAATGCTAAGCTCCTAGATCAACTTCGCGACACGGTCTCTCATCGTGCTTTGGAAAGGTCTCAAAGCGATGACTCGGAGGAGATCGCACGATTGAGGGAGGAAGTTCATAAGCTCCGCGCCGCCGCCCTGCAACCTGAAACAAAAGAAGACCCTTACTATCTGCTTTCGCAGCGGGAACCCGGATCCATCAGTCCCAAAACGGCTACTTCACCAAAATCCAACCTCAAACCAGCAAGCCTCCGATGGAATACCAACGCCATTCTGCATCCTCAGCCAGTAACAGTTGGCCCAGTCATGTTGTCCAGAGTGCAATCACCGCCACTCGTCACAGCTTCCGAACCCAAGAGCGATGGCGACAAGCCGACTCCTACTCCAGAACCATTGAAGGAGGAGCTTGAGCGGATCCGCAGAGCTGCCGTTGTCACCTCCCAAACGAAGAAGACTCAGTTGAACACGGGTGAAGAGGCCGGTTCGATTACTTCCCCACCGGAACGGAAGTCCGCTCGAAGGGCTACAAAATAATGAACCCGCTATCATTTCTTGTTGCGCTCATTAACTTGGACCGATGCTCTCAGTTCCCCTTACTGGCCTTCCCATACAACCTCGTGCTGCACAGATGCAGTATTTCTCTCCCTCCTTGTCACGTATATGTCACATCTGGCCCACGTACTCCTATGCCCTTGAAGTTGGATCGAGATTTTGTATGCAATATGTACTTCGTGTATGTTAGTGATTTAGCAAATCATTCCCGTCGTCCTATTCGCGGCCACAAAGCACCAAACCTTCGGTCCATGTCCTTTAGAACGTGGCCCGTCGATTGTCTGAATGTGGCAATCGCAAGCCTTGCCAAGCTTGATAAATCACCGCAGCCGGCTAGCCGAATACCCAAGAAATGATGCCAGTGATGTTTGTCCGAACAAACACAGGACGGGCGATCTTGCAACTCAAACACGACTGTCATTCTCCGCCCTCATGGTTCTCGCATGTCTTTTCTTTCGGCGCTTGTTCGACTCAGATGACCATTTTATTCGGATGGAACATCTATTAGGCGTCAATAACGATTGCGGACTTCCGTTTTTCGCCGGGTATGACCCTCGCGTCTTGCGCCCATCTTGAGAGGAAATGGATGTTGTTGCGACAAGAACGGTCCTCATGGGTACCACAAGACTTGGGCGAGGCGCCCATCTCAAGCATCAGGAAATACGACGTCATCTTTTCCGTTGGGTTGGGTGACCATTGCCTATAGGCTGCATTATCTAGCTGGGTATAAGAACCGTGGAGGGCTTTGAATCCGTCTCGAGCTGCATCTCCTCTCCCCAGCGATTCTCCTCCCTCATCCTGGCCTATCATGTACCAATTCCCTACCATGTCTCCCGTTCCCGGAGTGTCCCCTCCCAAGTCGACGAAGCTGATTGCGTAGGTCCCCTTCCGCCGTTCCGCGTGGAATGTTACTCACCCAGACTGGGTAGCCTCATGGGCGCCACCGGGTCGGGCAAGTCATCCGTAAGTGTTCCTGGCCTATTATTCTATCACACCTTGCTGTGGGATTCGCTGACTGTGCCCCGTATAGATGATCAACGCGATTGTCGGTAAGGACGTGGCCGAAGTCGGGCACTCGCTCGAGTCCGCCACCGCAGAGGTGCAACAATACACCTTTTCATACAGGGGGGCGGAGATTCGCATCATCGACACGCCTGGGTTCAACGACTTCAGGGAAGAGGGCTCCCTATCTGACCTCGACATCCTCAACATGATCGCAGCTTTCATGCATAAAGAGTATGTACATTTTGCGTTCCGTTCTATTTTGCTTCGGCGCTGATATCACCTGGGGATAGGTACGAAGACGACTTCAAGTTCTCTGGTATCATCTATCTCCACAACATCTCCGCGCCGAAGGTAGATCGCATGGGAATACGAAACATGAACGTCTTTAAGGGGCTCTGTGGAGCCGACTTTATGAAGAACGTCGTCATTGCAACTACCTGTTGGGACCTCGTCGAGAAGGGGGAAGGTGAAGACAACGAAACCGAGCTCCAGGAAGGAGAAGGACTCTTGAAGGATTTTCTCGACGGTGGTGCTACATTCGTTCGAACCGGCCATTTCGAGTCGGGTGCACTTCCAGATGGCGGATCCTTCTTCACCCCCCACCAAGTCCTCGACCACGTCCTCAGCCTCGATCCCAGCTTCGTTCAGATGCAGGAGGAGATGGCTCACGTCCCATGCGTTGCAGAGACGACGGCAGGTGGGGAACTCAAGGAGGAGTATCTCCAGATTATCAATCAGCTCCGTGCCGAAATCACCATGCTGAAGAGTGCGACGGATGAGGAGAGGTCGCACCTACAAGTTCAGTCGGATGCACTCAAGAACCAACTTGAGACTTGGGAGAAGCGCAGTCAAGAGCTGAAGGAGACCATGGAGCTGTATGGTGTTCGTAAAGACCAGGTGAGTCTGTCCTGGGTCCATCCCTGCGCAATTGTCTCTTACCAATGTGGAATTGTAGGTGACTATGAAAGCAGAGTTTGAGGAATGCCAACGACGTCACAGCCAGAATTTCGACAACCTCCACCAACATGTCTCCGAACTCCGACGAGCCAGCTTAGACTTTTCTCAGAGGCAGAGCTGGCTGGAAGAGCGCAATACTGAGCTCTCTGCTTCTCTCGAGCGGGCACAGCGCGAGCGTGACACTCTCACCGAAGATTGTCGTGACCTCCGTACCAAGAACGAAAGCCTTGTCGAACGACTTGTGTCGCTCGCGCTCACGCCCGAAGCCGACTCTGGGCAGAAACAACTAGAGACTGGGAATGTTCAGATAACGAAACGCATGGAGCGATTGGCGGCGGAGTCTACTCAAGCGCGCGAGGAGGCGAAGGTTGCTCAACAGCGATCCAAGGACCTGGAACGCGAGTTGAAGGAATTGAGGAGTCTGCTGGACGCCGCCAATGCGAAGAACATCGTGACTTCCAATGAACTTGAAGCTGCGCAGCGACAACTACAGACTCTCCGAGGCGATCGGAACCGTCTCGTCGAAGAGCTCGCCGCTGCCCGTGCCACAAACACGGCCTCCGAGAGCGAGATCGCCAGACTCCGCGAGGATAACAACGCCCAGTCACATCAGATTTGGGAACACGAAGCGACGATTCGTGAACTGCGTGTCGCATTGAACCGGGCGGGTGCCACCACTGTCCTCTTTCCTGCGATCCATGAAGAACCACAAACGTTTTCTGGTAATGGGCTCGCCATTCCCCCGACCAACCCTCCACCTCGACCCCAAGGTCAACCCCCACCTCTTCCTCGCCGACCCGTACCCAAACAAGAAAACGCATACCCCCCTTTCGTCTCTCCGCAAACCCGTCAACGGTTCACTTCGATGGGAAGCGGTGCGCGTGCTCGGTCGTGTACGCCACCTTTGAGGCGTGCTGCCATGCCGGAGCCTATGCACTTTACGGGTGGTCCCAACCCACCCGCCATCGGCATGAATGATGCAGGGTACCCGACCGCATCGATGAACAATCACAACGCTGGTTCACAGAACCATCACAACCGTCAGCCTGGTCCTTATTATCACAACTAAGTCTCTTACCCGTCTCCTACTTCTTGTTGCCCCCCATGCTTTATGCCGCCGACTTCATGCGCTCTCCTTTGCTTCACCGTGTCTATTCCTTTGGTTTCTCTCTCTTGCCGCTAATGGCCTGTGTCGACCTGTCTTCCTTCCCAGCCCTTTTATGACCTCCGTACCGCATTCCATCGCACTGCACCCCTATGTCGCTTTGTTCCATACGCATACCAATGTAACTGATCCTGCTCGTCACTCAATACAAAATATCATCTATGATTAGGTAAATCAAGACAAGTCGTAAAGCAGAGATTCGTGCACAAGGGTACTAGATAGCAAAGGTCTAACGGACCGGACGTGTGTTACAGAGACACCAGCAGGTCCACAGCAATACTAAGCGTCCATCCCGAGAGTCCGATTAGGCAAGGCTGGGAGGCCAGTTGCCTACGAAGGTGTACCTATCCTCAGTAGGAGGATTAATCTTTGCAAACTTGCCGAGGCGTTCATCTGCAGTGAGGGTATGAGTCAGTGAGCGGGTTGTTGGCGTATCATGGAGAGGGTACGAACAGATAGGGTCGTTGGCTTCATGCTTGAAGTGCTTCAAAGCCCACTTGGTATTTGCAGCAGCCTCGTCCTTCCGCCTCTGCCTCTGGTCGTTCTACAACAATACCGATTAATCTCATGGGAACATGGGATATTCGCGAAGCCAGCTCACCTCGATCTTACTCTTCTCTGTACTCGCCAATTCAAAGTCACCCTCCCTGATCCCCTTCGCAACGAGGTTCCACAACTTCCTTGTCTCAAACTCGCCCATCTCGCCGTTGGGCTCTCCGCCAACGACGACAAAGTCCTCCTTCCCGATGCTCGAATCGTGGAACTTGCCCTTTCCGGCACCCTTAACCCATGAACTCGTCTCGTGCCAGGTTCCCTCGACGACATGTTCCTTGCCACTCAAGCTCGTACTTGAGGAATTCTTGCTTCCATATCCAACCCAAGCGCCAAGTCCACCGCCACTCGAGGATGAGGTGGCAGCGACGGGTGCTTCGGCGCTGGCGGGAGAGACGGTAGCCTTGAAGGAGTGGGATTTACCCGAGAAGTACCCCTTGCCCTTGTACTCGATGAGGGAGACAAAGTTCTCGCCGATGATGTGGTTCGAGTCGATGAGCTCGATGTAGGGCGAACCGTACCAGAGTCCGTCGATCCTGAGGCGCGGGAGGGTGATCACGTATTCGACGCCTTTGACGGTTAGGACGGCGTGTCCGATTTGCTTGACGATGACTGAGCCGGCTATAGTTGGAATGATGGTGTCAGGGACTGGTACGTGCGTAATGCAGCATTATGGGGCACGTACCGCTGAAGGTAGTCTTCTGAGCGTTGTGCCCGACGAGCTTGAGACCTTTGGTCTTGTTCTCAATGACGTAGGCAGTAATGGGAGGGTGGTGAGAGACCTGCTCCACCAAGAGGTTGGTCTGTCCACGGCCGTTCTTATCAGGCCAGTAGGCATAGAAGAGTTCGCCGAGAACAGGGTTGAGAGGTCTAGAGCGGTGCTTAGCTTCAAGGATAACCTCGGGAGCATAAACATGCATGCTTACTTCTTCTCAGAGCCGAGTTCTTCATTTCGAGAGGTATACTGGTCCTTGAGGGTGCTCTAGTCGAGGAATGTTAATGCGGGATGCGTAGGGAAGGGAAGGGCAGACGCACGATGAACCACTTGAGCACAGCCAAGTGTCTTTCCTCTCCCTCCTTGGCATCGGCAATAGCAGCGAAGAGATCAGGCCGCTCGCACCAATAAGCTGTGTTTTGTGGTGTTTTAGTGGACCCTGTCCACGAGGTAAGGCAGCGACGACGAACCAGGGAATTCGGTCAAGGAAGTTGGGGATAGGATGAAAGGGGGAGCGGTCAAGGACGACAAATCACCCGAGAAGGATGCGATCCTGGTATCCGGTGAGACGATTCCCAAGGACGGTGCATCTATCAGCATCGCAAACGGTCCCGATGAGAATCAGCTACCCACGATTTCAGGAAAGAGGACCAGCTGCCGCGCTGAGAAGCGGGAACGGCCTGGAGGATTGTGTGGTGGTCGTTGTCGTCGAGATGGGTGTCGGACAAGAGGTGTCGGGGGTCATCGTCATCACGCAGTCAGACCACGGACGATGTCAACGGGACGCGAACTTACATCACCAACAGTTTCAGTCGCCATCGTCGTGTGTGGTTGTGAGCTCGTCGTTGTGGTCGTCGTTAATAGGGGGCGGTGCGGTGGCGGGCTGGCTGGTGTGCTGTGGTGGTGGTTCGGAAGAGAGCCGCGGCGGAGGTGTTATGATCTTAAACCCTTCACGCATTGATGGCAAGCGACGGCCTCGAGGATTTTGGATAGGAAAACAATGATAATTGCTGCTCTTACAATCTACACACAATTATTACAACATGGCATGGTAATATTAAGGGGGCTTGAACAACCGGTAAATCGTAACAGCAGCAGCGCGCCGGCTGAACTTAGAACAGCGACGACGGCATTATAGTCTAACAGTAACCACGCTCAGGCAGATAATACAAACGTCAGCGGCGAACAGAGGCCCTAAAACTGCACAACACGAAAAAAGAGAGGAAATAGTACACACTAAAGCACAGGAAACGAAATGCAAGGGTAACAAAGCAAGGATATAACCGTCGTAGCGGAGCGCGGCGGTGGGGAGCGTCACGGAATATGTCAACTACTCGTCATCTTCATCCTCTTCACCAGATCCAGAGTTGGCCCGGCTCTTCTTGATGCCCTTGTCGTACGCCGACTTTTCATTTTCGGCCCGTTCCTTGTCCTTGTTGGCGAGCTCAATGTAGGGCTGACCGTCGTGGATTAGCATGTGCGCAACATGGACAGCCTAACTGGAACATACCTTCTTCTCTTCCTCATCCAACTCCTTCCACTTGGCACCGAGAAGCTTGCCGACCTCACCTTCACCGACGATGAGCAACGAGGACAGCATATATGCGCGCATACAACGACGTACCGAAGCCAGCATCAGGGTTCTCAGCCTTGATCCTCTCTCTCCAGTCTTGCGAGAAGAACATGTAGGCAGACAGAGCCCGCTTGGGCTTGAGGGGGTCCTTCTTAGACTTGGAGGCAGCCGCGCGGGGTGCCTTCTCAGCCTTCTCAGCAGCCTTGCGCTATAGAGTATGTGCGTCAGTAAAAGGGTTGTTGAAAAGGTAGACCGAAGGGGACATCCGGCCTAGGGGGGCCGCCCCGACGTGTCGTTCCACCGTAGCAACACGACGATGCTCACCTTGGGCTTAGCAGAGTCCTTGGGCATCTGTATATACGCGATGGAGAGGGTGGAAAGAGGGAAAGAGGATGAATCAGTAAACCGAGTTTCGGAGGCGGGGAGAGAGTGAGACACGCCGACGCCGACGACGCCCAGAGGTGCCCGACGACGCCCAAGGATGGATTCCGACGCCTCTACGGGTCGTTGAAGACGCAGAGGTGCGCTCGAGGCCATTGATCAGGGCGCGCGACGCGATATTATAGGGGGTTGATCGCCAAACAAACAAAGTACCGCGGTCGCTCTCGCAGACGACGACGAAGAGGGCGTTATCGATGAGCAGCGACGGTCCAAAGACGTCGAAGATGCATGATAGAGTGTTTAGAAGACGATGACTTACGATAAGTAATTAAAAGAAAGGGGAGAGAATATATAGAGGGAGAGGGTACGTTGGGTGTGGGCTATTGGCACAGAGGGACTGGCTGCGTTGGCTGGCTGGCGAACCTCTCACTGCGACGGCGCTGCGTTTATCCCTCCTTGGCGGGTGGGAATTTTCTCGGCACTCTCCGGTGCACGGGGCACCTTCAACAAGACCGTGCGAAGTGCACAAATACCACATAATACGCCTCAATCCCCTGATAACCCCCTTAGCAGCCCCTTTGTCGGCACCAGCTCGGAAAAATAGAAGGTTTTGCCCACTCCATCCCTCCTGCCCAGTCCTTCTCCTATGCAGTCTGTTCTGATAAACTTGGGAGACGTGACCCTTCAGAGCCTGGTGGTTGTGAATCTCTGCTCTCATTGGCCCACATACCATAAGCTTAGTGTTTCACCTTAATGATCCCATGAAGAAGGAACAATACGGCCTCCTCGGCGGGAGTTGAGCCATCGCCTGACCTTGTTTTTTTGGGTGTTGTTGGCGTTGATGCTCCCTTGCCAGTGGGACCCACGCCAACTTCGGCTTGGTTCCGGCGTGGGCGCTTATTTCCATCAAACCCGGGCCCGGTGTCCCCGGCCGTACTGGGCCGTTTGGCACTCGAGAGCAAGTTGCTCTGAGAGCGTTCAAGGGCCCATTCTTCCAATGTGCGGTTGCAGGATTTGAGAGTGCTATTTTCGTCCTCGTGCTGGAGTTGGGTGTCATCTTATGGCAGTGACATAAGAGACTCCACTCCTCAACTGTTTTTCTCTTGGTGTAGGTATTTTCGCTCTCTCACTGTAGCGAATGAATCCACCATGTATCGGAGCGATCCTTGGATTAGTTGAGGCGAAGGATACACCTGCTTGACCAGAATAAATTCTGGTATTCCTGATTGGCCTCTAGGTATCTCGAACATTAAGGGGGCATAACGAAGACACATACAGGAGAAAGGTGGAAACTGCTGTACTTTGTTTCGAGAAAAGAACCAAGTCTAGCTAATATCGACTTCCTCTCCTCTCATGGCGCCTCGTACCGTGGGGCTCGTCTGGGGAATATACTTTCTCGTCCGAAGCGGTGTAGTGGGTGGGTGTCGGCATGCGCAGCTCTGGGACTGGCATTCCGGGACTGGGACTTAAGGGTAGTGTCGCAGACCGGGAGGCGTGCATTCCTGGTGCAGCGATCGCTCGTGGACCGATGATGGGTGAATCGTGGTTTGCGTAGTACGAGTCCCCACTCGTGCTAGACATGGCGGGATAGGGTGGACTAAATGGAGGCGTTCCCAGGAACTGTGTGTTATGAGATGAACTGGCGCTGGGCTGGGAAGGAGTGTTGACGCTCGTTGGATGTACGTTCGCAATTCATTTACTTGGAGTGCCCCACGTTTGGAAATTGGAACTCTTTGATGACATCGTTTAGTCTCTCTACTTCTTGGACGTACTTCACGATTTCTTGGGCTTGTTGCTCCTTCTCCTCGAGTAAGCACTTCACTAAGTCCTGTGATTCCTCCAGTCGTAGAATGAGCCGGGCCAGCTTGTGTCGCTGATGTTGTGAAGGTAAATGATCCCCGTGAATTTTTGCTTTTCTTCGTACCTGTGTTTGTGGTTTCAATCTGATTCGTGGGTTGGAAGTGACGTACTCGCGTTTCATAAACTCTGCGATTTTCTGGAGTATATCCAGGTCGGAAATCGATTGAGTCGCCATGAACTCATCGAACCCTGGAGTGTCGACGACTCTCATCTCGATATCGTTGTGAGTGAAAGGGTACGCAGAGACCTCAGCCGTGATGGACTCCAGCCCATCCCCAACTTCAGCGACATCCTCTCCAACAATAGCGTTGGCAAACTGTAGGTAATGTCCATTCCATGAAGTCGCGCCCGGATATGAGCGCAAACGTAAAGCGGGAAATGTATCGCGTACGCAGAGATGACTTCCCTGATCCCGTAGCGCCCATTAATCTATGGGTCAGGCTATCAGAGTGTGCATTAGGGCGGTGTAAATAAAGGAAGGCACACACAATCAGTCCTTTGGTCTGGTTCATGGTGCGAAGCAGCTATGTGGTGTGGGTGGAAGAGAGAGGATACAACGGGACCGGCGACCGCTCAAGAGTGCAGAACAGATGGCTGCTCTTATGAGCAATGGGCGTGTTCTTGGAATTGCAATATGATGGAGGGATTCTGACAAGATGTAACTAAAATGGTTAGCGTGTGAGTGTATCATGATGTTCTGGGGAAGGCGGGCGTCTAACTACCCCAAGAATAAGTAGAGGCAGTTGCTGATTCAAATTCGAGTTCCTCGGTACAGGTTCCACCGTGGCGTCCAGGGTTACAGGGAAGTATTGGATTATGGACCGGAGAGTCGGGAAAAGCCGTACTTTTTCTTGTGAAAGGTGAAGGTGTAGTTGTATTTCTGAGCCCGATGCTCACTGGTTGATGACAAATCAAAGATAAGCGCCCGTCTTGGTTGACAACATTCACCAAATTGGCGAGCCTAACCGCGGCTCCACCGGACGGGGCAACTCACTCTCAGTGTAAGCCGCACAGGTGACAGCGGTTGCGTTCACACTGCCAGAATTCAGAACGCTATCCCTGATTCACAGCTCTGGGATCTTGGCTGGTACTCCCATGCGGTCCCATTGTCCCGAGGACTGGACTGGCGCAAAGTCAAAGGAGTTACTACAGGGATTAGACTCTTCCACCTCACTAAGGACAATCTGATCTCCTCTGTGGTTTCGCCTTCCGTCAGGGATGTGTGAGCATCGGCTCTAAATCCCCTACGGAAATTCTTCACACCAGTGCTCGGCGCTTCTATGTCACAGCAGAAGACCTGTTCGTATCGCATCATGCTCTTCACACCTACTGTAGGGCCAGGCGACAGTGCGGTGTTAGTATAAATATCCTATAACGACAAGCCAACACGTGTCTTGGGCCACAGCTTTGTCCCGATCGAGGGGATAAAAGAGACTGCACATCACTGACAGGTTGCCTGCCACCCTTCTGTCGTCCCTCAGCTTTCAGCACTTTACCCTTGCCGCCCACTCATTCGCTGACAGTAGTGGGTGAATAAGATGGCCTTCTTCGAGAACGCTCGCGGATCTGGGATCCACGGCGGTCAGTGGCGGGATATCGGACATCAGTACTATGGACAAAGCGGACCAAGGTCCAATGTTCGCGACTCGTACAACACCAACACGACGAGCTACGAGAATTCCTTTAACAACTATTCTCGACACTATGATCGGTATTGTGAGTATACTCCCTTTAGTTTATGCAAACAATGAAGTGGAGAACTGAATTCGAGATGGTAGACGAGAATCACACACACCACCATGCGCCTGTCCACAACTTCAGGAATACAGGAAATATGAATACGGCACCAGTCTATGGTACGTTCACTTGCGATGAAAACATAGAGGCAGGGAAGTTCTGATGGAATGGCGTAGGGAACCTCGTCCAGAACTCGACTACTACCGCAGAAGACTACTACAATGACTACGAGGACTACGACGACGATGATTATGGCTATTATCCCCCACCGCGTCACGATCCTGGTCCTCCACCCCCTCGTAGTCGTGCTCGCACTGCCCCTCCCCGTGCCGACTTTAACCCTTTCCGTAACGGACCTCGCCCTTCCCGCGATGGTCACCAACCTCCTCGCCCAGGCATTTTCCCTGTGTGGACTGATCCACCACCGCCCTCAAACGGACCCGCGTCACGAAACAACCCATTTCGCCAGATGAACAACCATGAGGAACGTCCTCGTGGAAATCGTCGACCCCAACCTCGCTTCCAGCCTCGCCCGGCGCCGCCACGCTCAGCATCTGACGATGAATGGGAAGATGAGAGTGATTATGCAGAGGACCATCGTCCGAGCACGGCACCGCCCAGGAGACCCAATCCCGTCCGTCGGGATCCCCCTCCCCGCGGCTACGCAGAGCCTAATCCCCCTCGAGGACCACCCCCACGTGCACGACGCCCGCGCCCTCAATCTGAGGATGACCCTGATCGATTGGCCGATGAGATGGAGGGCCTCGGGCTGGAAGATCATAGTAGTCGACCTAGCCCACGACTTAGTCCGCGCCCTCGTCCCCCCGGGCGTTCGTGATGGCTGTTGAATTCGAACTAGATGCAGATTGTAAATGGACTCCTTTCAGCTGAGAAGAACACTGGTGGTGAATGCCTCAGATCCACGTTTAGGCTAGCTTCAGCAATATGCGTTATTTAATAACCCTATTCAACTGAAAAGAGCTGAGGCCTGAGGGCCCAGATCGTAAGGCAGTAACGCGGTAGCTACGAGCTGTAGCAAGATAAGCGCCCGTCGGAGATACATCGGCGCTTGGTCACATCACCACCAAGAGCCTGAAGGTTTGGCGGAGAAGATAAATCCTCAAACTCAGGTGGCCACCTGCAAACCAATCTCAGACACTACCGTATATCACATAAAGGGAATCGCACTCACAATCAATTCCCGCCATTGAACCAGGGCAATACGACATTACCACAACACCAATCTTTCAAGCGGGAGGTTGCTGATTCTCCAATAATTCTATTAGTTGTTTATGTCTTAAAAAGCAATCTAGCATGCACTTCCAAAACAAACGTGGTATCGATCCGAACATCCCGACGTATCTATACCTATACCACGACGCAACGACCCTCGAAGCATCTACACATTGCGATACTCAAAGCCAGGTGCGCCAGGTTCAGAAGCATCGATAATGCTCTTGGTGAATCCAGGCTCGCCCTCCCTTTGCCTGGCCTCATCGACGCTCAAAACTTCAGCGTCAATGAGGTGGAGAGTCTTCTTGAGGTAGGGAAGGAGTTCGCGGAGGACTTCGCTTTCGTTGAAGAGGAGGGTACGGCGGAAGGCGGTTTCAGCTCCGTATTGGGCCATACGTTTCTGTGAAAGGAGGGCGTCGTTAGTTTCGTGCTAGTTGGGCACAGAAGGAGAGCCAACCAACCTTGAAAGCCTGGATGAAAGGCATAACCCTCTTATCCTTGATCAAGCCCTTCTCGATCAACAACTGCCTAACCTTGGCATCATCCACCTTGCCCTCCTTCTCGTCGTACGCCTGTTTCACAACATCCACGCTGATATTCTGCCACTCGGGGAACTCAGTGGCGACGTACACCCGCACGCTCTTGGGTTTCTTGGGATCGAAAGGCGCGTCGCCTCCGACCTTCTTACCCTTCGCAGCCTTGGCCATCATCTTCAACAGCGTGGTCTCAGCATCTCGGATGGTCTTGATCGTTCCGCGCATGTAATGTCCTGCTTCGATGGCGGTGCGGTCGACGGGGGTGGAGGGTGTCGGCCAGAGGGCGAGTTGAATGGATTGGGGCTGGTTGAGGATGCCGGACCAGATGTGTTCGGCGAAGTGGGGAGCAAGGGGGGTGATGACGAGTGCGGCGATGCGGATCCAGTACAGGACGAGGTCTTGGTGCATACCAACGTCGGAGGTGACTTCACGGTACCAGTCTCGTGCGCTTTGGAGCTCGTAGAAGCCGTATTTGAGGGCGTCCTTGTAGTTGGTGCTGAGGAAAGGGTTAGACATGAATAGAGAGACGGAAGAGAGGTAAGAGAAACTTACGCCTCGTAGTGGCTTTGGGTGATGTTGATCAGCTCGTTGATCTCGTTCTCGAAGACGGTGTCGTGGTAATTGCGAGGTCCAGTGCGCAAGTTGCCCTTGTCCTTGACCATTTCCTAAAGAAGCGTGGCAAGGTTAGCACATAACAGCAGTACTTGGTCCCAAAAGGCCACGTACCTCACACCAACCGAGCAAAGTGTGCACACGCAAAATGTTCGCGTTGGCAGTCTTCTCCTCAAAGTTGGCATCCTCAAGGCCATCACCAGCATCAGCCAAGCTCAACCTCGTAGCATCCGCACCGAACTTCTCAATCGCCTCCCTCAATGTCAACGAGTTACCCGTGCTCTTCGACATCTTCTTGCCGTTCAACATCAAGTGACCGTTAGTCCTCATGCTCAATGGCCATTTGTCCTCGGGGAACAAGGCGGCGTGGTTGTATAGAGCAAAGGTGAGATGGTTGGGGACGAGGTCTTTAGCGGAAGATCGGATGTCGAAGGGGTAGAAGTATTCGTATTCGTGTTTGAGGGCGTCGACCTTTTCTTTAGGGATGGGGGAGGGGGAGGGGAAGGGGCCGTTGCAGAAGATGTACTCCCAGATTTCGTCAGTCATTTGCTCGGGCGTGATTCCGAGTGGTCCGGGGGTGCTGCCTTCGATGTTGGCTGTGGAGAACGAGTGAGGTCCTGAAATTCGGTGAGAAAGGATAAAACGTACTATGGAGGAGGTGGGCGACGGTGTAGTAGCTCATGTAGATGGTGGAGTCACTGAGAGATTCTACCAAGAACTGAGGGTCCCAAGGAAGGACTGAGCCCAAACCGTAGGTTCGAGCGCAGGCCCACTGGTTCAACCAATCCAAAGTCTTTTGGAAGGCATGTCGAGTCTCGGGAGTGTAGGTGTTCATCTTGGCGAGCAGGCTGGAATGGGCAGATAATCAGAATTCTCGATGTCATCTAAACGGAGATGGGACGCTCACCCTTCAGTCTGCTTCTTCCACTCGGGCTCTCCATAGTCAAGATACCACTGATCCATGAGGGCAACAACACACTCGTCCGCACTTCGGGAGATAACCAATCCATCAGGTTCGGCATATGCAAAGGCCAAACCAGCCTTGATCATAGCCTCCCTGACCTTGGGCTTGGCTTCCTGCACAGGCTGACCAGCAAACTCGCCGACCAACATGGTACCGTTATAGAAGCCCTCCTTGTACGCGATTTCCTTGGCCTCGGCAAGCTGCTTGGTGTCCTTTTGCGACTGGATCTTGAGCTGCTTCACGACGGCGGGGGCGGTGAGGTTTCCGTATGTAGGCGAGGAGATTACGGGGACGGGGTCGATGGCTGCCCAGGAAGGATCGATCTTGTAGAATTCAGGCTTCTTGCGGAGATCCATGAGGGTTTGGTAGTCGTCGGGGGAGTCAGAGGGAACGGAGGTGACTACACCAGTACCCTTGAATGGAGGTTAGTGCGTCATAAAAAGAAAGTAGGATTCAGCGCGTACCTTCGTAGCGAGAACGTTCTCCATGGGTAAGATGTAGACTTCGGGGTTGAGGGAGAAGGCAGCCTTGACGCGCGTACCCAAGAGCTTCGAGCCCTCGACTTCGACGAGCTGCTCAACGTTGCCTCGAGGAGTGATGATGCCCTGGTAAGCCATGTTACGGGCAGCGCGGGTGGTGCAGACATAGGCTTCCTTGTCGTTGATAGCGAAAACGCCGTATTTGAGGGAAGGGCCGACATAACAGTTGGTCTGGCCATACATGGTCTCGGGCCTCAAAGTGGCAGCGACGAAGAACACCTTCCTGCCTCCAACTTTGTCGGCGACAAGTTTCTTTGCCTCCTCACTCCATTCAGCGACTTCCATCTTGATGCCAGTGTACTCGGTGGGTCCAACACCCTCACCGTCCTGACGGTCGTGGTCCATGCAAGGCTGTCCGTCCTTGGGACTGTAAATGGTGTAACGTTCGCCGAACTTGATCTTGCCGAGTTTGTGCAGCTTGTTGACTTGCCAGCGCACGAACGCGTCGTAGTAAGGATTGGCGTCGGTGGTGATGAAGGACCTCCTCCAGTCAATCCTGGAACCAAAGGCGTTGTTGTCGTTGATGGCAATGGGAGGGAAATAAGTCAACCAGTAGAGAGGGTCAGCGAATTTTTTAATTTCAGCGCGAGGTACACCGATAGACTCCATGATTTGGAACTGGTAAGTCAGGCCGGTGGATTTGGCGACGAGTTTGCCCTTTTTAGCCTTGGATTTGTCGGCGGGATTTCCATCGGTCGAGGCGGGGGCTGCAGCCTCTTCTTGTTGTTCCTGTTCAGCGTCGAGTTTTGCCTGGACTGCCTCGTAGTTTTCAAAGTCGGGACCGAAGAGTTCCATTTCGCGGATGATCTTGTCGGCAGAGGCCTACCACGTCACAACTCGTCGTGAGCGCTGTGCACTGCAGAATTGAAGATACAACTACGGACCTTGATAGGCATACCGGTGACATGGAATCCATGAGGGAAGAGGACCCTCTTGCCCAACATCCTCTCGTAGCCAGCGGCGAATTCAATCTTGGAAATGGTGAAAGCATGGCCCAAGTGCAGACTTCCGTTCATGTAAGGATAAGGGAAGTTTCCAAACCACTTGGGGTACTTGTCCTTGATCTCGGCTTGCGAAAGACCTGCCAGCTCTTCAGCGGGAGGCGCGTTGACCTCGAACAGCTTCTCGTTCTGCCATCGCTGTTGATACTTGGTCTCCAGAGCTTTTAGATGGTCTCTTTTGGCCGTCTACAACGAGATCATGGTTTTGTTAGCTTTAAGCGCTTTGCTGGTGGACAAAGGAAGGCGTACCTGAGCCAATTCAATCGTCTGCGCCATGCTTGAGGTCAAAAACCGACGTTGGTAATTGAAGGCACGAGTCGAGAATTTTTGAGAAAGAGGGAAAGAGAAAGGACGAGATCTCGTCCGAAACCAAAGACTCGCAATCTTGGCTATCGGTAATCGAGGAAATCAGCAATTGGTGAAGGCAATTTGTCCGCCTGACTCGACGGTCACGGTCTTCTGCTAATTTTTGCACCGCGTTCCATCACTCCATTTGTCCAAAAATCTTATCTTATCTTTACCACAGCAATCTTATCTTATCGGTGTCCTCCAGTTCCCACAGCGCTTAATCGCGAACCATGAGGTGACCAAGAGGCTGCAGCCGAGTTTGCCACCAGCTGCTCCCAGGGTAGTTGTAGCCCAACTTAAGTATTACTTAGTCAATTTCCATGAACTCAATCGATCCCATGTTGCGACGCTACGGACGAGATGTTGAAGCAGTACTAGTATAAAGCGGATTGTCGGGGTAGGCAGGGATGTACTAGGCAGGGGGGCAGAAACAAGGTATACTTACATTCAAGTGGGTCGTAGTACGTACATACACATGGAAGGAGTCCAAGAAAACCAAAACAACAGAAAAAGCGAGCGTGAAGAGTCCGTCAAGTATCTACTGAGAACTAAGTAAAAGCAACAACAACAATAACAGTAACGACAAGGAAGATGTTAACGTGAAGAAATTGAAGTGGGTATGGGATAGCGTGAGACAGGGAGACGTGTGATGTATATACATACATACATACATACGTACATGCGAACCAGCAGCTACCAGCAGCTTCTACTCAAAGGGTAATGTTCGAATGGTATCGGCCCGGGCGACTCTAAACTTCAAACCGCACACCTCCAACCTCCCCGATGACACAACAGTGAGGACGGTGTTAGGTTCAAACACCAAAAGGCCCCTTATGCCCTTTGCCTTCCTGTAGGGCATGTACCCCACCCGCTCCGTCACTCTCGAGCGTCTGGATGTAGTAGATGGAAACGCTTGGACGGGAGGTGTGTGAGAGCGTGAGCGAGGGTTTGCGGTCTCCCTGTGCGTTTGGGTCCTTGGAGATACTGCTTCGGGTGTTGAGACTCAGATCGTGGGTGTGGACGTCGTTGTTGTCACGGGTATGGTCGTGATCACGGGAGAGAGAGAGGAATGGGAAAGGTGTCATCTTCCAGCGTTTGGAACCCGAGTTGGAGGAGGGGAAAAGGGAGGTGGGGTTACGGGGTTTGGATTGGGATTGGGAAGAAGGGGAGAATGGGAATTTGAAGTTTGTTTTGATTTCGGTTGCGGAGGTGGTTTGGGAGGGGTCCAAGTCGAAGTTGTCGTGGTTGGTGTTGCGGGTGAAGACTTCGCGGGTGAAGTTGAGGGAGGAGAGGGCTTCTTCTGCGCGGACTGTGAAGGAGGGAAGGAGGAGTGTTAGTGCTGGTTGGGTAGTGGAGTTGTGGAAAGAGAAGAGGGAAGGGATACTCACGATACTCGGCGTGTCCTTTGCCGAACTGCGTACGGCAGATGACGCCCAATACGAAGCTTGCGATGAGCAAGACGAGTGAGGAGACGGTGAAACACCCTAGGAATGGCCATTGGAGGAACGTCCTGTGGAGAAAGAGGGGTGTTAGAATGGTTGGAGGGAAAAAAGAAGAAAGGAGGCACGTACCATCGATAAACGATGGAGTAGAACATGAGGAGCCATGCGAAGAGCATTGCGAACCCGAAGAAGAGGAACGCGGCCATCATCCAGCGTTTTTCGCGTTTGGTTGCGAACCAGCCCTGTTGGGAGGGAGAGTTAGCGTTTGGTTAGGTTAAGGTGTGGGAGTTGGAGTTGGTTTGGTTGGAGCGAGGGCGGAGGGAGGCTTACCATCGCGATCCATGGGAGGAGGACCTACAATGAGAAAAGTGACGTTAGTTTTGGTTCAATGTTTTGTTTGTCGCCGGAAGGAAATGGCAATGAACGAAATGATGGTACAGAAAGAAACGAGAAGATGCGAAGAGATGGAATGAGTTGCGATAGAGGATGGAAAAAAGGGATATGAAGGAAGCTGGTACGTACCAAAACAGTTGTAATGAAAACTGCGATGTAGGTTTTCATCAGCGGTGTTACGCTCCCGATGGCGGTGTTGAGGAGGACGTCGATCCACATTGCCATTGCGGTGGTGAGGGCGAATACTTCGAGTTGGAGGCATGAGAGGAGGGCGAGGAAGAACTGTATTACAAATACGTGAGCGAGGACTGTAGGTAGGGAGTAGGAATGCTTACCTTGTTGATGCGGTTAATGTGGTCTGGAGCGCCGATGCATTGGAATGCATGTGAGCTGTAGGTCTGGAAAGGTGGGATTTAGGTGTGAGGTTGTGGACCAAATGGGGAGATGGGTACCTTGAGCAATCGTATGGTGAGGACGAAGAAGATGATCAACGCTGTGCATGATAGAACCACGTCTGTGATCTGGGCATTGTCAGAGGTGCAATGTTAGTCAAAGTGGAGAGAAAGGCGCACCTGAAGAGGAATGCGATTTTGGAAGTAGTCGGTGAAAAGGTCGAGAGAGCAGGGTGTACCTGGCTCAGCCAGGAGTTCGTGGAAGAGGGATTGGTCGCGGGTTGTGCGCCAGAGGCTGAATGCGGACCAGGCTGTTACAATGGTGCGGGTTACGATTGCCGTTAACCTGGGAGGAGGGTGTTAGTGGCCATGATGGCATGCGAAGTGTTTCCAAGTGCCAGTTCCAGGAAGCGGGTGGACAGTAACGAGAAGGGGAGACGCACAGATGTGGAACCGAGTCCATGACTACCGCCAAAACTGAGATGGTCCAGAGCCAGGGTTGGAGCATGATTAATGCGATGTCTTCGCGTTTTGAGTTATCCAGGCTGTTCAGTGATGGTTCAGTATCTTCTTCGTTGGGGGTAAGACGGGGATGAGGGAACACACATCTGCTTCGGGTACGACAGGGTCTGGATGCATTGCAAACTGAGGTTGATCCTGTCCTGGTCTGCGACAGAGGTGATAATGACCCCGTCGATTATGGCGGTCGAGTTGTCGGATTTGGGGGCGGTGGCGACGCGGGCTGAACCCGAGTATTCGATGTCAAGGCCTGGTGTGGACCGCCATACTTCGATGCCCTTTGACCAGTCCAGTGTCCGTGCTGTGTCGTACTAGAACAAGGGAATGAGGGTTAGTTGATGGAATGAAGCACTGGGCGTACGAGGGTAGACGAGGCATCTGTGGAGGAGCGAAAGACGGTTGTACAGGGGTAGACCGGTTGGGCTTTGGTGGGTGCTCCGACCATTTCATAGGGCACGTCGTTGCAGATTTGGAGGTGCAGTGCGCCCGGGGAGCCAAGGACGAAGGTCATGTTGCCCTTGGCGTTGGCTAGGACGGGGTCGACGACGCCTTTGAGCAGACCTCGGATGTCATGGTCCTGGCCGTGCAGCAGAGACTGGATGACGCCTTGGGTGAAGCAATAAATTAAGCTGAAGACGAAAAAGAATGTGGTTGTGCGGCTGAGGACGATGCGGGCATACTGGCGGGATGTTAGTGGACAATTGTTATCGACTGGAATGTACTTACAATAGTATGTAGAAAGGATTTAATGGTATACATTGTGGTAGTCTATACCGTGAGGGAGCCCGCCCAGGAAGAGGGAAAGACGAAGAAGGGAGAGCAGCGACGACGAAGAGATTAAAGTGAGAATCATGTCCTAAGTCCCTGGAAACTGTCAATTCATTTGGGAAATCTCTGTAGACGTTCCCTCAAGACTGTTGCCATCAGAATTAACTTGGTCACCGACATGTTGCATCGCATTCCCAGACTACTACTGCCTCGAGCACTTTTGGCTCGTAGGCGCTTATCCTATGTTCCTGAATCTCTTGTGGCAGCAGAGACTGAGGATATTGCCTCGGTTGACCGCTTGCTCAAGGCAGTTCGCAAGTCCATCCAAGCTTTACCATAAAAATACTTTTCTGATGAGACTTTCTAGGGCAACGCGCTGACCCGGCGTTTCACAAGTGCGTTATCTTTCATCTTGTAACGTGAATAGATGCTTGACTCGATGCATAGTGTTATGCCGATGAGGACGCCGGTGTTGTGGTCTGAAGCGCTGTTGAATTCGACGATGAAGAGTGTGCCGGGGTCCGAGGGCGCGATGAATGCTCATAGGGAACGTAAGGAAGACGAGCTGGTGCCGAGGAGGATGCATGATTCGTACTCGGAACTCGTTATTCCGTTTGCGAGCAATGCGCAGGTACTGGAGCAGTATATCAACGCGTCTGGGGGAGTTAGGACGGGCAAGTGAGTGGTTTTTCAGTGAAACAAGACTTTGCATTGATTGGCGGATAGGTTGATGGAAAACCTTGACTCGCTTGCTGGGTCTATTGCGTATAAGCATATGTTGGGTCCTGATGTACAAGAATTGGGAAAGGTCAGCGAGAGAGGGTTTTATATTGTCACTGCGTCCGTCGAACGGTGAGGACAGCGCGCCCGGTTGCACCCTTCCTCACTGACGTCATTGCTCTGTCCTCGACAGACTCGACATGCTCGCGCACCTCGACCCGACTCGCGACCTGAGGCTCTGCGGCCAGGTTATTTATACAGGCAGAAGCTCCATGGAGATTGTAGTCAAGATGGAGTCGATTGGTGATGGCCAGCCTGATCAGACGGCTATGATCGGTGTGTTCTAGAGGTTGTAGTCGAGACGGCGGTTTGCTAACTGAAGCTACGCATATACAGGCAGGTTTTCCATGGTGTGCAGGAACGCCCATACCCACAAGGCGAAGAAAGTTCATCCGTTAACTGTCTCGACCGATGAGGAGAAGGCTTTGAATGCCCTCGGCGAACGTGAGTTCTGTTGGTTTTTTGTTACCGGTCAACTCTGGCTGATTATTCGCTCCCTTCCCCATTAGATATGAAACAGCGCAGACTCAAAGCTGCTTCTCAGTCACTTGATACCGTCCCTCCCACCTCGAAAGAAGCGGCAGAGTTGCACTCGTTTTATTTGTCCCATGGCTTGGAGGGTCCTTCGTCAGGTATGTATAATCTGCCGACTAATAAGTTATGGTTGTCCTGATAAGAGACAGGAAATGGGACTGTTGGTGGTAACACGATAGGGAACGTGTCGATCAGGGTGGACGAAGGGAGGAGGGTGTGGATGGGTGATACCCATATTGATAATTGTATGTTGATGTTCCCGCAGGAGAGAAAGTGAGTAATTCGTTTCTTTCATTCGATCTTTGTTCTGGTGTGGTTGTGGTTCTGGAAATCTCTTCCTTGTCCCATTCCATCCCGTCGTCTCCATTTCAGTTCACCCTGTGCGATGGGCGGTTGCCCTTTCCTACGGGAAATGAAATCTAATACTGATCATCGTTCTTGTTCTCTTTGGGTTATTTGTTGGTCGTGTGCTACTTGTTGGTGGTATACAGTGTACATCAGAAAGTATTTGGAGGGTACTTGATGCGACTGGCTTATGAGGTGAGTGTAATCTTTTCTGTGATTTCATTTCATTTTGTGCAGTACTGACTGGACGATTGTTCTTTTGGGTTTCTTTGGATCTGTTCTGGACTTGGTGACTGTTTCTATTGTCGGGGCTGCCCTTTTACCGTCCTTGTTTATCTACGCATCGCGGTCGCCGGGTTTCTGATTATCGCGCCCTGGGTCATCATCTCCCTTGATTATCTTACTTCACTCTTGGGGCCCCTGCTCTTGCGCGATGCTCGGTCTACTCGGGTGGTGATCCTTACGGCTATGCTCCACGGCAACTTGTATCGCAACTTTGCGACGGGTGACTTGACGGTGACATACTACGCTACATACGACACACATGACCTGAAACGACGCGATACGACGTCGACGTCGACGTCGACGAACGATGGGATGCATATGTATACGCGCCAAATGCAGCTCGGATTCAGCAATGCGAGCTTGTTCTGCCGTGGTCCGGTCCGGTTTTTGTCACTGGATGGGATCAGTTTTGCGCGTCCTGTGCCTATTGGCTCCATTTTGAGGTTGGAGAGTATGATTTTGCATACTGCTGAGGACGAGGCCGAGAGGAGGGTTAATGTGGTGAGTGGTCTTCTCTATGTCCTTCTTTTCTGCTTTCTGTTGGGGATCTCGGGGAGAAATGTTTTCAGTGTTGGTTTTGGCGGTTGGGAAGCTCGTCATGGCATGGCATGGGATTTCGTTAGGCTGAGGCTCAACTGTCTATCAGGCTGTCGAGGCGTTATCGTTCCTTTTTTCCCTCTCTGCTTCGTTGTTGGCAATGGTTATCATAGATCGTTTACTGATTGATTTCTCTTCCTCTCGACCTTCTCCCTTGTCTGTGTGCAATACCGACTTCTCGGCCGACCAAATCTCTCCAAAACCAACTTCTCTCCGACCCATCTGCATCTCATCCAACCATCCACAATGTCGAACTATCTTCCTGCCCGTTCCAAAAACCAAACTTACCTGTCAACTGTTCACCCGCACGTGTCCTTCCTTGGCGACATCTTCTCATCCCGTTGATTTTGGTGTGATGTCCGGTGTCGATGGCTTTCGTCTGCACCACGGCGACTGCTATGATTGGTACTTGGTGACAACTCGGCGAACGTGATGCGTGCAACGAACGACATGACGTGACGCCAACTCCCCTTCAACTGCGATGTCTCTCTCTCCGACTGGGAATTGCGATTTGCCCACCGTCTTCGGTTTTTGCTCAATGAATACGTAGCACGTCGGTGTCAAAGCGAACGTTGTGGACGTCAAGACTGGCTTGGAGCAGACTACGAATGATTTCAGGTTTACTTGGTACCAGGATAAACAAGGCACTCAGAAACCGAGGATGGTTGTTCCTAAGACTTATCAAGGTGCGTTTCATCATTTCTTTTTTTAACTTTGTTTCGTGGGTGGTCTGGAAGGGGTTTTGGGAGTTGGTTGGGGTTGGGGCAGTACGGGGAACACACTCTCTATTTGGGAGGGTGGTAGAGATCTTACCGTCTACTCTTTGATTAGTTTGGCCTTCTTCGATCTCTACCCGTTCCATTTTCTGATTGCTTGATTCGAACTTTGGGGTTCTGTGCCCTATGCTCTGCGCCTCATGTTCCGTGTCCTGTGTTCTTATGTTCTTCCTTCTTGGTTCTATATTCTGCGCTCGGCGTTCTGAGCCCTGTTGTTTTCTCCCATGACCCTCGCCACTGACCTAATCTTGTAGAGGCGATGCTGTGGTTGGAAGGAAAACGGGCTTTGGAGTTGGGTGCTAGGATTCGAGGTTCGAGGAAGTAGATGTTATCTGGAAGAGTGAGATGGAGGTATTTGCGTAGATCTAATACGTGTTTTAATGCGTAATCTAGTGCTGGGATGTAATGGAAAAGTCTGGAATATTTACAGTCAACGCGGTGGATTTTTCAAAAACGATTCACTGTCTAGGTCTGCAGTAAACCAAATAGATTTGCGAAAGTCGAAGCGATGGCCAAGAAAGCGAGTGCTGGTATACACACACAGCGCAAGAAGGACAGCGTAAATACAACAATAACGACAAATGATACATCCAACGCATCCGACACACACTTGCACTGTACACAGCCATACATACACACCCGAGTGTGGGCGATAGGAACTATGAACTATCGGATATCCGATTAGTGAGCGACGCCATTGGTCTGAGCAGGGGCAGCCATCCCCACCAGACCCCTCCGCCTCGCCGCCTCCTCCAACAGCTCCCTCGTCCTCTCGGCTGCTGCATCATAAACATACTGCGTCGGCTGCCTCCCCGGCCACCTAGGTACACCTCTCTTATGTGCACCGTGCTCGTGGCTCGCGCTATCCTCCGTATCCGAGTGCACGCCGTCGGGATCCTGTGTGTGCGAAGGATAGGTGTAGTAGGGGTCGTCGGAGGGGTGTGTGTGCGAGGAAAGCGAGTGCGCGTCCGAGTTGAGGTAGTGTGCTGTGTCGGAGTGGAAGGAGTCTGCGGATGATGTGATGGTCAGTTGTGGTTTTTGAAAGGTTGAGTGTAACGCACCTCTGGAACGATCGTCGACGTCGACTGCCCTTCTCTTACCCAATGCCTTCTCGCTTGGCCGGATTGGACCGTCGGGGTCGTAGTACCCTTCGACTGAAGCACGGCTTAAGCCGTTGGAATGCTGGCGCTGGTGGTGGCTAGCGGCGTTGTAATCCTGAGGCTGGTATTCTTGAGCGTAGTAGATCGAGGAAGCGTTGTCGTCTGTGTATTGACCTCCTCCTTGGACTGGCTGTGGCTGACCGCCGGTGACGTATCCCTGAGCGTGTGCACCGTAATGCTGATTTGGGTATTGGTATTGCTCTTGGTGGGCATACTGGCCTTGGTGAGCTGAATCGTAAGTACTGTATGCGTTTCCGTTCCCGTTCAGTGTACCGATGGAATCTTCAGCGCGGTGTCCGTGTATAGGCGACGGTGTACGCGAGCGAATGGAGATCTGACCTGGTGAGCGCGGTCCGTAGGGCGCCTTGGGTGGAGGCGCGAGGTTGGTATATTGGTCAGTAGTATTGTTAGCGTAAACGGGGTTTGCGCTCGAGTTGAGGTGGTACTCGTTGTGGGCGGCGGCCGAGTTGGGAGCGCTGGCCTGGTTGGCGTTGTCGAGTGGAAGGTGGGGTGGTCTGGCTGGTGCAACGTTGGAGGCAGAGTTGGAGTATTGATTGTTCGTGTAGCTCTCGGATCGGGCATGTTGTTGCAGGGAGGGCGAAGGGCTGCGTGAAGCGGAGCCTCCGATTCCTTCGGTCTGTTGTTGTTGTAATACCAGTTCCTGGATTGAAGTGGTTAGGTCGGGATATTGAAGGGCAATGGAACGGAGCGTACCCTGGGATCCATCCGAACCTCTTTCTTACTCCTTGCTTCTACTCTCTTCTCCTCCGCGATCCGTGCCAAGTCGTCGTACTGCCTCAACGCCTCCAACAATTCCTCGTTAGCCAATAGAAGAGCGGCGAGAAGTTTCTCTTCCATTGTCTCGTCGTCGTTCTTGCCTTTGCCGTTGGATTTGGAGTGCTTATCCCGGTGTTTGTCGGGTTTGGCGTCGCCGGCAGAGTTTGTACGTTCGCGCTCAGCGCGTTCTTTATCTCGTTCGACACGGGATCGTTCGGCACCTGCAGATGCCCATTCAATTTGGGCAAAGATGAGCTCTTGGGATTTACGACATTTGAGGTAGAATTCCTAGAGAAAGCAAGTCAGTACCAATTTTGATGGTGGGCAGCAGAACACCCACATTGATGATCTCTGATTTCTTAAATTGGGATGGAGTACAGTTGATTAATGCTTCGGAGAGGAGAGATGCGTTTCCTTGACCGATTTTACACTCTTGGAACAGACGACGCATGTCCTCTTCGGGCGGGATGATCCTGTTGCGGTTGGGCGATTTGTGCCGGCGGGGTGGTTTCTTGGGAGAACTTAGTATGGCTGTTCAGCAAGGCGGTACAAGAGCAGAACGCACCAGGCCGGGAGAAGCAGTATCTCCTTGTATGGGGCTTGCTTGTTGGTACGCCACGATTGGAATGTCATATGCGGATGTACGACCTGTTGTTGGTGGAATGAACATCGAGTCTTGGGAATCGAATGGGATGCCTTCGTCGGGCTTGTCGGGTGCTTTAACGCGTAACCAGAGTCCTCTAAATCCGTCTTTATCATTCTTTCCTGGATATACAGGCGTTAGTGTTGTTGGATGGGAGACATGGGCGATACGCACTACGACCACTGGCATAAGCTGCTGCAGCGACGACTTCTAGTAAGCGTTCTGCGACTACAGGGTTTGTTTGGGGGTTCTTGAGGATGCCTTCGATCGTGTCGAGGAATTTGCGTGAGCGGGATTGATGGATGAAGACATCGGTTGAGTTGCGGAGCATGATTGCCCAGAGCTAGACGAGGTGAGCATTGGAAGGAGTGGAGGGTGGGAAAGACGAACCTTTGCTGCAGAGAGTTGGGTTGCTGGTTGCCCGTGCCTAGTGAATGTTAGTTATAAGGAGTAAAGACGAGGGAGTAAGATCATACTTGAGCTCCATGCGAAGAGCCTTTGCTGCCTCCTTTGCTTGGATCTCTGATGCTGAGGCGCGTTCGCATACGTCGAGAACCACCGTCCAATCCTCGGATGAAGTAGCTGTGAGGTAGCCTACAGGATGTTTAGTGTGTGAAGGCAGGGGAGAATGAAGCAACTCACCAATCATGCTGGTTATAGTTTTGTCTGGATTGCGCTGGGGAGGGTATGTTGGATAGCGCTCGTGGACGCGGGGGTCGAGTGGGGGGTCTCGTGCTCGACGGTCTGGAACGACATCGGCTTGCGCGCGTTCTTTATCTTTGTCCTTGTCCTTGTTGGTACTCCAGAAGCCGCGTTTCTCTTTCTTCTCTTCCTTTGAGATGTGGCCGCTTTCTGAACCAGAATAGCGCTCGACGGGAGGAGCGGACATGATCCTGTTGCTGTTGTCGTCCTCTGATTGTGATCTGGTCATTGGGGTGCAGGCAGGCTGCTGGGGAACGGATGGTTCGAGAGCTTTGAGGATGCCGAGTGCAGCGCTGGGAGATTTCTTGGGCTGTGGTTGTGCGGCGGCATTTGGGCTTGGAGAATAGGGCGGTTGTGATGGTTGGCGGGCAGGCGATGCCGGACGGGGGCCAGGGCTTGCCAACGACGGGGAGTTTGCATGTGGTTGAAGAGAATGAAATGAGGAAGAGCGGGAAGGGCTCATTCCTGGTGGGATTTGCCTTGGCTCTTGGTAAGGAGGATGGACAGTCTCCCATCCTTCGACTGAGTCGGGCGGGGTGCTGCGCTGGACAAGCGACGGTGTTGGGACAGGCGATGGGGCTGCAGACGGTGGCAGCGACGGTTGTTTCTGCTGCTGAACTGCATGCGGTGGCGGTTTGGTCAAGTAGCGGGCGCGGCTTTGGTGAATCGGTGTGGGGATGTTTTCCTGCAAGATATTAGGGTAATTCTGGGAGATTTATAGGAAATAGAGTACCTCTGGGAGATGATCCTTTGGGATTTGTTTTGACTTTGAAGATTTGCCTGCGCCAAAGAGCCTCTTCATCGTTGTTGAGGAAAGAGCACAGTCTGTGAGCGTCCAACTCGCCCATCATTTCGCCAACCGAGATACCGAGGCTGTGTCCCACCCAACACACGTGCTCCCATCAATCCTCCAAGCGCTCGCCCACCCAACCTGCAATTCACCGACAACCCCGGAATATTCTCCCCCGCAGCCTAGCCGCCACTTGCTTCCTCTATTGCGCGCTGCAGACTAGTTTCACTCTATAGGGAAGGTCCAAATATGGTATGCGTTGCGAAGCGGAGGGCGCACGCGAGGCGCCGGTCAGGAGACATAGGTGGCTGTGCCCGCGTCGTTCCTGACCTCGTACCACCACCATCGACGACAATGCACCGACCGAATAAACGACCTCGTCTTTCAGAACCAGACGGATTTGCTCAGACGTCAAAACCTCCCCCTCCAAAGATCTCTGCACCAAAGTTTGCGAATGCATTCGATGCACCAAAGACCACGAAACCAGTTTCGAGAGGTGGGGACGTCAAGTTGGCAGAGTCCGTGTTTTGGAAAGGGGGTGCGGACGGGAAGGAGAAAGATAAAGGAAAGGAGGATGCAGGGGCGAAAGATAGGAAGGATAAAGGCAAGGAGAAGGAGGTTGCTGTTAGGCCTCCCCCAAAGCTTCAACCGGTGCGGAGCGTCAAGGAAAAGGGCCGGGAGACTTTATTGGGATACCAGCTTCCCCCACCCTTACCTGACGTTGCCAAACCCTCGTCGTCGAACTCCAAGACATTGAAACCACTTGGTGTTCCGCAATTACATGTTCAACCACGACATCCACCAGTTCAACAACCGAAAGTGCCGATTTCAGCGAGGATGGAGGCACCTCCTTTACCCCTGCCTGGGTTGAACCCCAATACGACGACCGCGGCGAAGGAGAGCAAGATAATTGTCGACCCATCGGTGCTATTCGCTGTCGAGAATTTGGTAAAGCCGGATGACGAGGGAGAGGCCAACGTAGATGAGCGACGGAGAGGTGTGGACCTGAGTCCGGAGAAGAGGGATAAGGCGAAGGCAAAGCTGATCAGGCAAGCTTTTTCACAGTGTTGTGTGGTCATTTCAACGAAGCTTACACGTCGCTTCTTTCTGCACTTGGTTGGACACCTCTGACTCTGCTTGTTTCGTCGATCCCTGGTTCTGGTTCTATTCTGGCGATTCCTCTCCGCACATCCTCGGTCCTTGCTTCACTCGTTGGCTCCTCATCCTTTCGTCGGGCTTGCCAACTCTCTTATCCTCTGCTTTGTGACATCACATTTGCCCCGCAACTCAAAAGGACTGGCCTAGCGGCGGGCGCGACGGACTACTTTCAGCGCTCAAAGACATCGCTTGTGCTCTGGAGGCGCCAGGCTCAACAACGGACTGGCGGAGCTACATCTACGACGACAACTTCGATAGCCACGAAAAAAGCCGATCTGAGAGTGAAGGTAGTGAGGATTGTCCAAGCTCCTGCGTCGTCAGCATCTGCTTCTACGTCGAAAGACAAGTCAATGGCAAAGGGTTCAAGGTCCTCGGCGGCGGGTAGGAGTGCACCTCAGAGATCGTTCGTTTTACCCGCTGTCGCGGTTTGCGAAGTCCTCCAAACAGGGGCTTTTCGGACGTTTGTGTTCCCGACTGCTCTGGGATCGGGGGGAGATCCCGCAGTAATGAAGTTTAGAGAGGGTGCTTTGGTGGATGTTTGGAAACCTTTTTATGATACTTCCTCTCCTACTGCCACGACTTTGCGTTTGGGGAACAGGAGGAGAAATAGCAGTAGCAGTTCATCAAGAGGTGGAGAAGGCCTGGGCGGGCTGAAGTTGAGACCCTTTCCATTACCTTCTTTGTCCCCTATGCCTGGAGATGCTAGTGATGGTGTGTTGAATGATGTGGTGGTTTGTGAGAAATATATGATTGTTGGGTAGATTGCGGAATTTCTGATTTGAGGAGGGATTTGAGTGGTTCTTGTTGCGAAGAGCAAACTCCAAGTCAAAACCTTGTCAGGGTTGGGTGAACGACAGATGATCACCTCAACAAGATGGTGGGTCAAGTGGGGAGAAGGTTAGCCTTGGTCTCATATTACATGAATGGGTTGTTGAGTTACCTTATTTAGGTATCAAGGTTCCCTATTCTATCCTCTATATAGAATCCATCTGCCAGGAGTATGTGAAGACTGAGATGGAGGGGAGACTTAGAGATCGGAGGTTAGCCTTGGTCTCACGTGTGACGTTATAACTTAGAAAGTGTACCCTTCGTCAAGGTTCCTTGTTATGGTCAAGGGACGCGAACTCAAGTGAGCATGCACGTCAACCGTTGATGCGTGGTCAGGGGATGGGAGGCTCTAAAACCACACACACACCAACCAAACCGGCAGGTGAAAGTAAAGAAGTAAAAGTAATGAAAAGGCTGATCCTCTACACCCAACCAAAGGCTACGTCTAAGGTCAAATGAAGCTAGACTTCACCCGAAAGGTACGACAGTATGTAAGAAAGGCACTAGAACCAAACAAAACCCTTGACAATGCAACAGTTCGAAGGGGGGTGCACGACGTAAAACAAGAGCTGGTAGGCACTGAGTAGTCGAGAAAATACACAAAAGAAAACCAAGGAGACACACGCCGGTCACCTGTGCTCACAGAAAACCAAAGTTGAACACGCCGGGACGACTGTTACCAAATCGAATACACCCAAGACGAAATGGCCAAAGAAACCCAATAGTCGATCTACGCCAAGTCGACGAACCTTTAACGTGCTGAGTCGCGCTGGACTTCACGGAGCCTTATCCTGGAGAAAAGATGCCAGTGATAATCTGTAGGATTCGAGCGAGAACTAGCTAGCTTTTATACATGAGGAGAGTGTTTGGCATGCTAAGGCTGTAGGCAAACAGAGACGGAAAAACTAGGAAGACTTTGTAAGACAGGTAGACTAAGAGAGAGAAATAAAACAGAAGAAACATGAGCTTTCGAGAGATAGGACAGAAATAGAACGGTTCGAGTATTAGGCGCTCGTAGACGCGCGGTTACTTTTGCTTAGGCTTACCCTAATGGGGTAGCCAAGTACGGCTTGTTGGCCGGGCGCCTTGCCGTGATCGACATAGCCGTGATCCGGTCCTGGTCCCATAAGGGGGAACTCCACTTTGCCATCTGGCGGGTCAGGCTTTGATCGACATTACTCCATCGGAGCTTGGTTATGACTCCTGTGACGGTGAGCTGTCCGAGTCTAGATAGTGTCATGATTAGACGGTCACACTAACCACTGCACCAAAAAGGCGCCCATGTCCAGCTTAGGTGGACAGGCAGACCGTGGTATATAAGCACCATTCTATGCCATGATTTCACCTGTTCATGACAGATAGTCCCGAGGTGACAGGTCCGTTATTGACTGGACATGGTCCCAATGTAGACGCAGTACACTCCACCTTAGACTTGGGATTTTCTCTCTTGGTAGTCCTGCTCCAATGCTGTGTGTCGGCATCGGGGGCCTTCCCGGTTGGTCCATCAACTCCAATGACATTTGCTTCCGCTGTTACGCCTGAGGGTCGCCTGACCCTTCAAAAATCGCGAATAACACACCGCCGGACTAATTTCGTCCGGTAAAACGTACATCTCGATAAGTGACTGAAAAGCCCTAAGGCACTGTGTTTTTCATAACCGGCGGTCACTTATTCTGTCGTATGAGTTGAGACCCGAGCCCAGAGTCGTCAACTAAGTCGAACTCTAAGAACGACTCCGAAAGAGGTTGAATGTAACGCATCATTGATACTGTATTAATTGACGGGTTAAGGATGCGTACTGGACCGGATTGAAGATCGAACTACGGTAGTGAGAATTTTGCACGAAGTCCTCACCGCCGGGAGCAAGACTATCCATGGGAGTGCACGATCGACTTCAAATCGACTAGAAAGTTAGTAGCGACTTAGCAAGAACGATGACACTTAGCGCCAGCGCCTGTCAGTACCCTAAGAGGAAACGCCCATAAGCGCCGCCGGACGGTCGGAATCAGCCATCAGTCGCGGAAAGCTAAGGGGACCTCTACGGATTAGGCACGAGATCGATAAGATAGAAGCCGAGATAAGATAACCAGAACGACGGGACCAGGAACGGATCACACGAGATGTTCTATTCCGTTGGACAGGTGTCCTCTCCAGGACAGATGAAACGGGGTACTAACAGTCCCATGACCTGTCAACAGAAAAAGAAGTAGTACAGAAAGAAGGGACAGAACGATGAGTCCATACGCCGCCCTCCGGCGGGTGTTGTATACCATCTGTTTCTGCGGGAGCATCTTCACAGAGTAACAATGGAGTTTCCCACCACACATTGGTTCCGTTCCGACGGGACGGAACTACCAAAATTCACGCGCTTCAACAGCGCATCAATAGACGCCTATGGGCATACTCGGCACGACACCGCCGGGGCTTCTTTTGTCGTGTTTCCTTCCTATTTCGTATTTCTGATTCTCTCGTACCTCCGCTCCGTCTCTCTACTCTCATCGTCTGTATCATGCGCACGTATTCGGTTTGTTTTATAGTCTTTGCTAGTCTTTGTTTTAAAGCCCGTAGTCAAACATTTTGTACCATATATATAGGCCCGCCGGGCAAAAGAATAAACAGATACCCCTTTGACTCGATTATACATCTTGTCCTGATCGACACAAGTCGTTCAGTAAAACAAAGAGGAATTCTCAGAGTGTCGAGTTAGCGAGTTAGCGAGTTAGTGTCGAGTTCGAGTTTGCGCGTGAATACACGAGTCCGAGTTTAAAAACGAGTCAACGAGTGATCCCGCCGGGGGCGAGTTTTAAGTGTTTCCAAGTTCAGAATTCGAGTTTCGAGTCTAAGTCGTGTTTAAATCGAGTCGCGAGTCGAACTTAGTGTTTCCCTTGTGTGTAGAGCACAACAAAATACAAAACACCACCCGCATAAAGTCAAGAGCCTTTTCAAAGCTCTAAAGAACCCTAAAAACCGTTCTATACGAGTCAGAGAATCTTCTCCTCGTTAACTTAGTCTACTAAAACAACAACCCCATCGAACTTGCGTGCCAACGTACAGACAGTACCTAAAAGTCTTTAGATTCGGCCGTCGGTCTTCATCTTCGTGTCACTTGTCTCACAACAAGTTCCACTCGATTCGGGACCGCCAGTTGTTTTCTTGCTCTTCTTTGTGCTTTCTGTGCTAGCCAGCACATCACCGCTAGGTTGTCCAAATCGGAGGGACCACTTTTAGACTTTCTAGCTTGGCTGCCTGTCTAGACTTCGGTGCCTCGACTAAGTCCGTCAAGTTGTCATGTCTAGGGTTATAGGTGGTTAGGCTTCTCGCCCTATGAGCTCTGCCGATACAGCTAAGTCCTCATATTCAGGCGGCCACAGATTGGTAAGGTTTGCCACGTTTCAAGATCTAGGTTCAAACCCGAGAGGTAACAAACTGTAAGGCTTAGACATCGCGCACGAGTTTTAGGCTTAGGGCTAGGCTACCTGCGGTATCTTCGACTAAAGTCTCTACTGGGCTTTTGGTAGGGGCCTGTGCCTTAGGCTACTCACGAAGGGTACTCTGCACCTTAGTCTAGGGTTCATCAATGAAGACTCCTTGTTTGTCCTGCTACTAGACGTAGACACTTGTAGCGAGCTTTGAATGCTGCTTTCCACTGATCTCCATTGTGTATACGGATATTGTTGTAACCCTTCAAGACATTGAGCTTGGTGAAGTACCAGTTTGTCCATAAGGTCCGTAACTAGGGGGAGGGGATAAGCATTCTTGACCAATGACGGTCCATTCGTTCAGGTAGCGGTAGTCTTGACGTGGGTGTCGCGAAGAGTGAACACTAAACCAAACTAAAGACCAGATGAGTAGAGCGATAAGTGAGATGAGAGCAGTGAGAGCGATGAATTGGAGCGATGGATAGAGCGATGTATTGACAGAGAGGTCAAGCTGAGGAATCTACAAGACCAACTACACAACTTATATACTGTAACTACAAGCTACATAGCCGCTGTGAGTCAGAATGACAAATAACGATGCAATACATGAGAGACAATAAGGAAAGGTCACAAGGCTGCACGAAGGCTGTGCAAGAATAAGGATGAAACAATAAAGAAGCCACAGTGAGTCATAATGAGTCGTAAGGCTGTGCGAGAAGAAAGGAACAATAGAAAACAGGGCAAAGGGCAAGATGAGGCAGTGTTCCATGAGGGAAAGTGTCCATAACGAGAATAAAGACAATGCAGAGGCGAAGATAAGATGAAGGAAACGATAAGATAAGATATGGAAAAATAGGGGTCATACCGGCAGTTCACGACAGTGGACGTTTCTTTCCGTCTTTCTTGGGAACGAAGAAGAATCCAGATGCTTGTGGAGAGTCCGACTGGTCGAATGTATCCTTTGGCCAGATTGTCATCAATGAATTCCTTGATGAGTTTCTCTTCCTCCGGTGTGAGCAGATAGACCTTGGATGACCTCGGTTCGGATCCTGGTTTCAGATCTATCCTGTGGTCCCAAGGTCGAGACTCAGGGAATTGGGAGGCCGCTTTCTCATCAAAGACAGAGAGGTATTCGTGATATTCCGGAGGTACATGTTGCCTGATGTCCTTGATTTCTGCTCGCTGGTTGTACTTGAGCTCGAAGGCCTGAGAGTGGGTGAGGGTGGTGTTTTAATGTCCTCCGTTTCATCAGAAAGTTCTCCATTGATGAATGAGATCACCAGGTCGTTAGTCAAGAGAGATCCCTTGTCATTATCCCAATGCAAGTTCCCTTCCATAAGCTCATTGACGTAGGTTCCGAAGGTGTCAAAGTGATCCTTGGGTATCATAGGAGAGGTGGTTGGGTACCAATCAGGTAGTGGGTCGAGGTTCTGAGGTTCAGTGTCCGGGATTTCTTCGACGGTGGTCCAAAAGCAGGGGTATGGCAGACCCTGCGGGTTTCGGGGAGGGGTAAGGGCGGGTCCGGGTCCGGGTACGCATTTTCGTACCCGCGATCTTTAAAACAAGCCCTTACACGTCCAAATCGGCCCATGAAATGGCCGGAGTTATGCTTGATTTGAAGTAAATTGAGCATAACTCGCCCATTTCTGGGCCGTTTTAGACGAAATAAAGCTCAAACCCTGCGGAAATCCCGCAGGGTTGCGGGTAGGGTTTTGGCAGGGTCCGGGTCCGGGTCCTGGCTTTCAGACCTGGGGTTTACCCATGGTGAACACTATGAAGATCTGGGTGTAAGGCTTGGTAGATGTGATCGGCGGTGTCGACAGAACACTCTGTCGCCACTCGAGGGTACCCTTCCTCCAATCAATGATGGGGTTGGCTTCCTCAAGCCAGGGAAAACCCATGATGACTTTCTGTTTTCCAAGGCCGGTGATGTAGAAGGTAATAGGTGGTGTGTGTCCATGGATAGTGATGTTCATGGTGGTTGAGTATCGGATAGTTCCTTGTTTATTCAGGGTTCTGTCTACGTTGTAGACTTTCAGAGGGGTTGGAAGGAGTTGGAGTGGGAGTTTCTTGTTTCTGGCGAAGTTTTGGTTGATGAATTTTCCTCCAGCTCCAGAATCTATCATTCCTTCAGTGTCGACGATTATCTTTCCACTCTCGGTTTTGCCCTCGAGATGCATTGGAATAAATAAGCATTTATTTTTTTTGGGCTACTAAGGCAGAATGAATCGATAAATAGGGAGACACTGATGTCGATGCAGGTCTCCATTCTAAAAACCCTGGTTGGTCTCGAGTTCCTTATAAGATTCTTCAACGACTTCCTCTCCTGCTTCTTGGATCGCGGCCCGGATGTTGGTGTAGAGATCCTTGCCATTCTTTGGGCGGAAAGACCAGTTTTGACAGTTACTGGTGTTCTGGTTGCTGGTCCCTGCAGAGTGATTGTTGGTGGTGTTATTGGGGCATTCCCAGGAGCGATGTCCATCTTTTCGGCAACGGAAGCATCCTCCCTCTCTTGATCAGGTCGGCTCTCTCTTGGGGAGAGAGCTTTCCAAGGCTGATTGCCCTGATGTGTTGCTCTAAAGCGGTCCCTGCAGACTGGTCTAAGCCCTTGACTTTGGAGATGATGGTGTCGATGTCCATGGCCATAGGATCTTTGGCAGGAGCAGGGCGACTGAAGTTCCACTGTCTGGTAGAGGTTGAGGTTTTAGCCGAGGCCTTGTTGGTGAGGGCAAAGTAGCGACAATAGTTGTCCTTTTCAATGGCCTTCTCTGTCCACTCATTGAAGGTTCGAGGGGGTTTCTCAAGGTCGAAGAGCTTCTTCTGAAGCGGATCGTTCAGGCTGGCTTGGGAATAGTTTCTGGCTACAGTGTCTCCAGCGTCAGCGACTCTTTGGTCTTCAGTCTTGTTGGCGTGGTCCTTGGGAAGGAGATTGGTTTTTGATAGGACGATCTTGAAGCCGGCTACATGTTCTTCAGCTGTCTTCTCTCTAGGGAAGGACAGGGGTAACCCCTGGGTAGCCGGACACCTACCCTTGCCCCCACCCCCCAAAACCCTTACCCCCCAACCCTGGGGGTTTTGACCAAGGGTTTTGATCATTTTGGCACTAACCATCAGTTATAGTTGTGTATATGGATATTTTTATGTGTTTTATTGCGCATACAGCAGTTATTTAGTAGAAAGTATACATAGATGTTGAAATAAATGGGTTTTGCTGGATTTTTATCAAAACCCTTACCCCCGACCGGGGGTAGGGGTTTGGCCAAGGGTAGTCCGAGACCTACCCTTACCCCTACCCTCGCTCTACCCCTGGCCTCTACCCCGGGGGTTTTAAAACCCCTTGACCATCCCTACTTCTCTCCTTGGGTCATTGTCTTCAGGCTGTCAGGGCTCGTGCACTTAGCAGAACTCTGATATACACTCGCGCCTTCCCTAGACTCGGCTTAGACTTCGACACTTCGACTTCACATCTCGATGTCTCGACTTTCGCTTCCAGCCATACTCGAACCCTCAACTTCCCCGACGTCTTCAGCCGCACCGCCACCTAGACTCCAGTCGCGTCAATGTCTACTGATCTAGACTTCACCGGATCAGGCAAGATGCACAACTCGGCTCCTTCCGTGATCTCGGATCCTCCGGAAGCCTTGTGGACTTTAGGCGCGTGCTCTTCATCCCCACAGACCAATATCTTACGTCTGCGGAGCTTGCACGCCTTTTTGTCATCCACATCTTCTCCAAGCATGGCGTCCCTTCGAACGTGATGTCTGATTGTGGTTCAGAGTTCGTCTCCCACTTTTTTCCGTGCATTGGGTGAGGCATTGGACATGAAGTTTCACTTCACGTCAGAATACCACCCTGAAGGGCGATGGACAGACTGAACAGGTGAACCAGACCTTGGAGCAGTACCTTCGAGCTTACTGTTCTTACCAGCAGGATGATTGGCATCGACTCCTTCCCCTCGCCGAATTCGCTTACAACAACGCGCCTTCAGCTACCACTGGTGTCTCGCCTTTCTTCGCGTACAAGGGTTACCATCCAAGTCTTAACATCCACCCTGAACGCGACTTAGCCAGTTCCGCTGCGCAAGAATTTGTAGTCGACCTCGCCTCGTTGCACGAGTACCTTCGGGAATCTATCACCGCCGCACAGAAGTCTTACCAGCTATACGCCAATCGCAAACGTCTAGCCCCCCCAGACTTCAAAGTCGGTGATCGCGTCTTCGTCAAAGCTGCCTTCTTCTGAACCACCCGACCTACCAAGAAGTTGTCTGAACAATATCTTGGTCCTTACGAGATTATTGCTCAGGTTGGCACCCACTCCTTCACCCTTTGACTTCCAGACTCCATGCGTTCCGTTCACCCCGTCTTCCACGTCTCAATGCTCGAACCCCATCACAAGTCTCAGATTCGGAATTCCTCTTCGTCACGAGCCTCCTCCACCCATGACATTCAAGGGAAGGGTGTATGTGCTGAAGGATAAGGGACTCTGTCAGGGCTCGTGCATCCATTCTGGTAGGGATCCTCGGCCCAACAGAGGAAAGCCCCTATCCGACCAAATCCGCGCACGAGCAGTTGCATTCCCACGACCGGCTCTTTTCCTCCAACCACCAGCCCAACCACTCGGTGACAACGACGACGATCCTGGACGCTCAACAGCGTCCAAAGACCTCAAGAACATCGACGAAGACACCTACGGAGGGAACAGCAGTGGATAGAGGTCGATTGCGCCCGGCTAGTCCGGGGCCCGACACTCTTTTCTTTTCATCTCCTCCTCGTACCCTTCGGAGGGCTTTGGCTACTTTCTTCTTTGTTTAACGTATACCCGACCACCCGCTGACTACGCCTAGCAACGCCGAGATCGCCAAGACCGCCGCATCGACAGATCGCCACCAGAGCCTCAGGTGGTTGCTCGGGACTTGGTCCACCCCGGGCAGGGTTTGGGGGAGCCCTGTCAAGAATACTCGCCTACCTTCAAGCCTGGTGAAGCGCCAAGCGGTCGTCGAACGACGGTTCCACGCAATGGGAGGAGTTGCGAAGCAGAAATCGGAAAATTTCGTACGTTTTCTTATCTTTGGTATTTCAAATTGGTTGGTACCCCGGGGCGTATGAGCACGCGCGCCCGGGTGTTTTGCGTCTCACATATACCGGGGCTCGGTCCCCCAAGATGTATTCCTCTTCCTTCGTGAAATACCATCACCACCGTTCACTTCTAGCGTGCATACCTGAGCCACAACCGAGTCAC